TAGGGAAGGAAAAGAGAAGAAGAAGAAGAAGAAAAAAAAATATTATCATCATTATTAACCAATCGAAAACTTTATAAAAGAATAACCAATGACGAGAATTAAACAATATTATAATAGTGAAAATAATAAAAAATTGACTTTGACTTCTCTTTCACTTTAGTTTTTTATTTATATTTATTTAAAACCGAGTTTGTACTAATATCATTAAAGATCGGTCTTAGCGATTCAATTATGAAGAATAAAAATATTATTTTGATGTTACATTAAGATTTTCTTTTTTTTTTATTTTTGCTCTCTGTTCATCGATCATTTTCTTTCTCTGTTGAACTCTTTAGTTAGTCAGTTAATCAAATGGAATGTAAGATTAGTAAGTAAGAAAATTATAGGGCTGTTTCATTTTTAATTTCAAACTGAGCCACTAGTTCATTCTCCTCATCTTGAGTTGTAAACACAGGCTTGTAAGTGATGTTTATTGAATTGCTGCGGTATTCCAGTGGAAATTAAGGTTATTTCCGATGATGAATAATTCTTGCATTGAATTATGTAAGCAATATATGGAATTGATACAACTGGGTGCATTTCCATTTGCTTCGGATTAATTCCGGATTAAACTAAAAAAAAAAAAAAAAAAAAAAAGAAAAAGAAAAAGGCGTTCCAACGAAAAGCAGAAAAAATTGGCTTTTTCCGCAGAAAATTACACAAATTCAAATTGAAAAAACCGAAATGGTGAAATTAATTTGAATCATTATCAAAAAAATAAACAATGTGTTGCAAAACTGAGCAACAAGATTCATCCTTACACAAGATTCATCCTTACACGATGGAATTTGCTATCGCAAATTCATTTAGATTCATCCTTAAACAAGATTCATCCTTACACGATGGAATTTGCTATCGCAAATTCATTTAGAATCGATGGGGTATCGAATTTGCCAAGGCAAATTAGTTTAGGGGAGATCTTTCATTCCTTTCAACATCCTTACACAGGATTCATCCTTAAACAATTGAATTTGCTATCGCAAATTCAATTAGAAGCCTCTAATATCAATTTCATGTAATAATCTAACGGCAATATATAGCTACTATTTTATCTAATCTATGAACCAACTCTATAGCAATCATTCACATGTTATTTAATAGCGTGGTAGCATCAAGGCGATAACCAATGGGTGTGACTTTCTAAGCTCGTCCTGAATCTCATCAAGCATTAAAAAGCTTTTAACAAGGGGATGGAAACTTTCACAAATATCAATTCTGGGTGATATGGTATTTAAATTAGATGCAGCATCTGAATTGGCTGAAGACTTCGAAACTTTCAATGGATATTCACTTTTGGAAGGGGTTTTAACATCATCTTGATTGGAATTATTGTTGACACAGTTCAAAATCTGTGCAGCAGAATCAACTTCAAATCCCGAAACATCCAATTTCAGAATAAATGGATCATTGGCAACCTGATTGCCAGACATATGGATATGGAGTGGACTAGTTTGATGGAGATGTACCTATTTTGGACATTTACACATAAATTATAGCTTTGTACAACATAGAAGACGTTAGTAAACTGAATAAAAGTGATTATTCTAACAGTAAATACTTACGAATACCTCTCTAATCACTTGTGGAGGAAATCTAATAAATAGTTTTGATAGGTTCTCTTTGTAACGAGATCTATTATCCCCATAAATTATTGGCAACCACTTAAAAATTCGCAAAAGTTAGTAAACTAGTCCAATAAAGGAAACTATTTGATTGATTTAACTTATCTGAGATAAATTGACATCATAAAGGCGATACATTTGATGAATTTGGATGGCAAATTGATGAAATAGGTGCTGGTTGTAAAAAAAAAAGTGGTCCTAAAAATATATTTTTTGATTTGCGTCTGTGTTTCTTATCAAATCAAATAAACCTCGCATTTTTCTCGTTTGTTTACATTTTTGAATTTTGATTTGAAATGAAAAAATTCTAAATTTCAATTTTCGGAATTACCCTCATTTTGTCAGAATACACGACCAAAAATTTCTGCATTGCGTTGACACGCAAGAAAAAGTTGAATATTTTTAGTTTTGTGTGTGTTTAATGCGAGTAATGGCGTGTGAGTGACTCTTTTTTCTTTTCTACAACTAACTGCAAAAGAATGAACGTCACTTATTTTATTTTTGTTCTTTGTAATGTTTTTGCACTTTGAAATCTTAACAGCTTTTGCCACTTGAATCTACGTCACTCATCATCATCAAAATCATCTTCACCGTCACTATTATCGCCATCGCCATTCGTTGTATCATTCTTATTGAACAAAAAATTGCTTAGCGGAAGGATTTGACGGATTGCCATTGCAATTTAGCCACCAAACCAAGAAAGACGTGTTGCGCAATTGATGATTTGTTTATTTTTTTTTTATGACCGAGAAAAAGCAAAAGCAAATAAAAGAAATAACTGTAAGAGAGGAAGGGGGAAGAAGAGGAGGAGGAGGAGAAAGAGAAGGAGGCAGTTGAAATCATAGTTAGACTGCAGAAATTATGAAATGACATTTTGAACACATTTAAGATTGCGATTATTTTTAGTAAAAATAAATAAACAAATCTTCGAGAGGTGATGATATGAATGAAATTACAAGAAATTAAGACTGCCAATCCTCATTTCAATCTTGAGAATAATAGATAGAAGAGAAGATCTTGTATTTCATTTCATCTGCAACATAGATTATCATCAATTGTGTATATTTGTCAATGACTGCTACTCAAATAGGAATTTAACTAACTGAAACGAAATTTTTAATCATGATCGTAAATGTATAATGTATTGAGTATTATTATTCTTATTATCATTATCATTATCAAAGTGGTATTGTATTTGACAACTTTTTGCAGTACTTTGTGTGTGTGTGTGTGTGTTTAATTAGTTATTATTTCCAGTGTTGATCTCTGCCTAAAATTCAAGAAGCACACACACACACACACACACACAACAAATCAACAAGCAGTAAATGCATATCTGTTAAAATTCACATACTCCCATTGTTCACATCTTAAATTTTTTTCATTTTTCCTTCTACGTACATGTAAAATTCCTAGTATTTTCTTTTTGTCTCTCATTGGATGTACTGGGGGTTCTTGATATTAATCTTTTAAATTTATATATATTATTCACATTTTCTAATATGAACATAATGAGTTTCATAACTTTAATCAACATGAAATGAAACAGGGAGTAGAAAATGAGCTTTTGTATTGCATTCCATGAGTGATTGCTGTTGTTGTTGTTGACTCTTACTTTAGTGAGAAATGGCTTTTATATTTAGATATGTGAGCGAGTGAGTAAGTGGGTTGGTGCATTTCTGCTACATTTAACATTTTTGCTAACGACTGCTTACTAACCCGGAATTCTGTTCAAACCCCATACATATTTGTAACATTGCACGGGAATAAAGCAGACAATATGGTGTCTAATTGTCTATATATCATTAGTCATGACCTGTGCAGTTTCAATCCAGTAACCACCCATGATAATTTGCCATCCATCCAAAAGTACATATCCGGATCTTGGAATATATGATGTACCCTTTGATGGAGATATATATATTTATATGTATTTCTCACTCTGGTAATAAAAGAGAAAGAGAAATTAGATTATGCACCCCCAAGCGGGAAAGGGAATTTCTTTTTTCTTATTATTTTATTTTTGTTTCTGTGTAAGTGAGTGGGTGGGAAATGATTTCTTTTTTTTTCTTTCCCTTTGGGGGGTGTAGTTAAGTGGGAAAAAAAAAAGAAAAAAAGAAAAAGAAAAAAAGTGGGCACAGGTACACTACATAGTCAACTAATTATTTAATAAGAACAAAAGAACTCCATTTGCAAAAAAAGACAAGAAGAAGAAGAAGAAGAAGAAAAATTTTGACCACACAGATTTCCTGTTCAACCTTATCAACAGTTTATACGGACAACAACCAACCCTTCCATACATCATTAGTTGTTGTTTCACCACAGGATCCATAAAGATTCATACATAAAAAGAACTACACTACAACACTAACATTCACCTAACATAGCATAACATAACATAACAGATCTATTCAAATCACTCATTTTTACCACAGAGGGAAATACTCAACAGACCTTTTATATATAAATCCCATATAATTTTTAATTTTTTTTTCTGTTGTCTGTTGTTTTATATAAACCTGCATTTGTTAATTTTGTTAGACGAAACATAATTAATTATCTATTTATTCATTCATTGCCCATACCATAATTTTTTTTTTTCTTTTTGGCCATCAAGAGAATATAATATCATTCTAAGTCTTTTTTTTTTTGTTGTTGTTGAACTCATCCATAACATTATAGAGCATAATAACTTTGGATTTAAAGAATTTTATATCAATAATTTTTTTTGAAAAAAAATCATCAGACTTTGTATAAATCCCAATATTTAATTAAATTTTCCTTTTTATCCCAAATTACACTAATAGGAAATTTTTTTTTTTTTTATCTTTATATTTTAATTAAAGAGTGAGAAAAAAAAAAAAAAAAAAGAAAGAAAAAAAAAGAAAGGAAATTTGTTGACTACAAGTACACGACCACCAATTTCATTCCATTCACACATTCACTCACTCACACACACCACACACACATTTTTACACATCAGTTCAACTTTCAACAAACTAATTAAAAAAAAAAGTGAGAGAACAGAAAAAAAAACAGCAACTTCGTTACAACCCTTTTTTTTTGTATTAACTATTGGACCATCATTTTTTTGTTTTCTAATTAATCATAACAAAAGATAGTACTATCAAAATAATATTGTTTTAAAGAGAGAGAGGAATACATATCCATCATTAAAATCCCCTATATTTCCCTTTCCTGCTAGTTCATCAAATTATAAAAAAAAAATTCCCTTTGATTTTTTTTTTTTTTTAATTTTTCTATATAAAAACCAAGTAAGAAAGACAATTAAATCTATTGCCACATCACATCTCATCACATAATTACAATATTAGAATTATGACTACTAATCCTCAACAGCAACAACCTCAACAACAACCTCAGCAACAACCACCAACTGATTTATCTGCTGCAGTTGTTGCTTCTGCGGGCGTTCCAACCAATCCATCTAACCCATCAACAACAAATTCTACATCATCAAATTCACATGCTACACCTCCGTCTTCAAATGACTCAACTACAACAAGTTCGACAGAGTTTAGACAAGTTTGTTTTAATCCATCTCCATCAATAGTTTCCACAAACAATACAACTACCACAAATACATCCATCAAACGCAACTCGCCTACCTCAACGGATTCTTCAAAACGCATAAGATTAGACACTACCACTACTACTGTCAACCCTGCTTTAGTAGCTTCATCAGTGACAACTACTGCAAAACCTCCTAAATTCATTCGAAAATTCCGTTCAAGATCCTTACCAATCATTAACTTTAACGCCACATCGTCGTCATCTGCATCTTTTTACCCTCATTTGAGAAAGAAGAATCATCATCACCATCATCATCATCATAACAACCAAAATCTCTTTGGTAATAATAACAACACAGCCACCGCATCATCTTCATCTGCATCAAACACATCATCTACATCATCGTCATCATCATCACAAGCTATTCCACCCCTTCCTCCTATTAACCTCCATTCCTTGAAGGAAATTGATTTACATGAAATTTTGAAAAATCCCCAGTTGAGACATGATATCCTATTTGACCCTCAATTACAATTCAGACCAAACTTGGATGGAGAAAGAGGAAAGCGTAAGAAGTCAATTATTGATAAATACTGGATGGAAATTCAAAAGGAATGTCAACAATTTTTCACCAAAGATTTGAAACCTCAAGATATTAAAATCAATCGTTTGCCTATATTATTTCAAACCTTGAGAGATATTTTATTGAGCTTATTGCCAACCAAAGATCGTCAACATGTTGGAGAAATCATGGATATTGAATTATTGGTTCAACAATTAAAGCATGGTTCATTCGATTTTGTTGAAATGAGTCAATGGTTGGGTGATGTCTTTAAACTGCATTGTGCCCCAATGAGAGATCAATGGGTTGTGGAAATGATTGAAAAATTTGTTGATGCTTACAATTTCAATAATGTTTCCTATTTGGTTAATGGTTTAAGAATGATTTTCCAAATTTTAGAAGCTATGAAATTGGATGTTGCTAATCATCAAATTAGAATATTACGTCCTGTTTTAATTGAAACTGCGGTTGATTTTGAAAAGGATTATTTCCAAACTTTGATTAACCATTCTAAAATTAACATTAATGATTCCTTGAATTGGTTTTACAAAAATTTTGTCAAGAAGATTACACAAGAAGTTGAAATTAATGACTCTAGCTTGAAGCCAATTATCATTTCTTCTATCATTGATTTGTTGAGTTGCAGACAAATGGCTACTGAATTTCCATCAACATTGGCTTTTGATCACACCAGATTGGTTTTATTGAGAGCTGATGTTCGTCAATTGGTTTGTGTTCAATTGTGTGTTGTTTTGTACAAGCAATTGGTTATTAATTCAAAAAGCTCCACTAGCTTGCTAATGCCTGCTAATATTGCTAAGATTCAACAAGAAATTTTGGCTATTGTCACTGATGATAATGGTAACATTAAATGGACCAAAAACATTTCAGCCATCTCATTGCAATTGGTTAAAAATTTGAACAACACTCAAAAGGACAATGCTAGTTTAATTGAATTCAGTCATAATTGGTTAATGAAACATATTCAACCAAATTCTGAAGTTTATGGATTAATGGAAATTAAGATTTTCAAAGAATTGACAAACGAAATCTCCACCATGATTGAAACTGAAGATTTAATTATTGATTCAAAGAATTCAACCAATTTTGGTACTACAGGTTCAAATGTTAGTATCAATTCCACTGTAACTAATAGCAATAGTAGTAATGGCAACACCAATGCCAGTAACAATAATAACAGTTCAACAGAGTTAAAGAACATTGCATCAAGAATATCTACTTTGGTTAAATTTCATTGGAGTGTTTTTGGAAATTACTACATTGATTATATCAAGTCCCAACATGATAAATCGAAATTGCAAGAATCAGCAATTATCCCAAACATGGTTGGTGAAGAAAATGATGAAAGTTTGACAGCCAATAATGCCAATAATAAAACCGATAGTAACAAAAATAATCAACCATCACATAGAGGTGATGAAAACAGTTCAAGTATTGATAACAATACATCTGCTCCGTTAAGTATGTTATCATAATGATGATGATTTCTTCTTTTTTAGATCAAGTTTTTATTTTTCTTTTTATTTTTATTTAATAATTTTTGGGGGTTTTTTCTTCTTTTTTTTTATGTTTCTTATATTTTATTATATCTTATTTTCTTCTTTATAACATTAATGTTTAATTTCTTTGGGTTAAATTGTCGTTTACTTTTATATATATATATATATATATATACATATATATTATTATAGTGTTAATCATTTTTTGTATTTTTAGTCGTCTGTTTTGTATTATCTTTAAGTCTGTTGGGAGCTTGTTTGATTGTAAATGAAAAATAGATTTGTTGATCGTATAGTGGTGACTGGTCAAGTGTGATGATTTATCACAGGGAAATGTCATTGACAGAGAGAGAAAAAAAAAAATACATCCAGAGCAAGCGAAAACTTAGACCCAACTTTATTCTTCTCCACCTACCCAACCTAAAGAAATATATATATATATATATTCTTGCAACCAATTGGACAACTTTTTATACAATCATTAATAAAATTCATCAACATATAAGACATGTCGATAATCACATCTACAATATTAGTCTTGTTTTATCCAGTGACATTTCTATATAGACTAATCAATCAGGTGGTACTTCATACAATCATCATCCCACTTCAATTGGCATTTAAGATCACGATTTATATTCCATTTATTAAAATACCCATTTTTAGATCCCTTGATTTATTTTATTAGAATTACAAGATTTTAAAATAAGAGATAAATGAACAATGGATAAATTAATCAAATTAATTTGTTTTTAATTACTGGGATTCATTATGTTGGTGCTTGTTTAATTATAGGTGCTGGTGTGGGGATTTGGATGGGGATTAATTTGAGTTTGATTAATCTTATATTAAAAGTACCAAATTTTGATGAGAAATCAATTGATAGTTACAAAATAAAGAAAACAAATTCAAATAGGGTACAAGATCAATTGAATACTAAAATAAATACAAATGTTGCCAGTAATTCTAATAGTACAAGTGATAATGGTATTAAAGGACAGGTTGAAAATTATGGAACAGGTGTAATCATTCCTGATGTACTTCCAAATTTATCGAAATCAAGAATTCTGCAGAAGATTCAACGTGAAAGATTCCTTAGACAACAACAGCAAAGATTATTGGCAGAAAGAAGACTTGCAGAATCCCAGTTTCAAGAAATTCAAAGAAATCCTGATGTTGTTACAAGTATTGAAGGTGATCTTCAAAATGAAGAACCAGTAGCTGATGAAGATTATGGAGAATCAATTGAAGTTGTTGGACTAGAAGATGATGGATATGCTTATACCGGAGGATTGCGTAATCGAATTGATAGAAATCAACAAGTACATAAAAGTGCTGGTGCTAAATTAAGTACTGGAAGGAATTCAACTGGATTGAATGAAAATAAAGTTGATGATGATGATGATAGTAATAGTGGACAGGAAGCACAAGATAGTAGTGAAGATCAATTTGAAGTTGAAGCTATTGAAGGACCGATTTTGAAACCAATTCCGCCTCATAATGAAGAACAGGAAATTCAAAATGAAGTTGATGGAGATGAAACAACTGGAACTGCTAATGAAGGTAGCTTATCAAATATACCTGAAGAAACCGAAGAAGAAGAAGAAGAAGAGGAGGAGGAGGATGAAGAAGTCTTCACATCACGTGCAGAAACCACGGAAAATACTCTGATGTAATCTTAATTTAAATCCGACTTTGTGTACTGGTATCACGTGCTAGATATAGGGCTATCAAATGTAAATTATTCTGGTGTGTGCGTTTTGTTTTGCACTTGTAGCATGATTGATAAATTATTCTTTATATATTTTTTTTTTTTTGCTCATGTAGTTTAAAGTTTAAGCTTTTTAAGATGAAATTTAACATGGGAAGTTAATTTTTAAATCAACAACAACAACAACCATTAAAAGATAGAACCATAAGGACAACAAACAACAAACTAAAACCAAAAAGAGTTTCAAAGAAAATAAGATATCAAAAAAAAAAAAAAAGTAAAGTCAAAAAAAATTACTAAAGCGACATAATATATCAAACAGATAAATTTCTAATACTTTTTCTCTTTTTTTAACATTTTTCTTTTATTAAGAAAAATCATATGTTTATATATATATATCAATTGTTTTCTATTTCACTTATTTAGTTTAATAAGATAGAATTATCAAGAGGTGGAATTAACTAACTAATTTGATATGACTACACAGAAAACTAATATTATAGCTGCACATTCAAGAATTGATTCACGTTCAAATGATAAAATATTCACGAAAATAATTACATTTAAAACAAATGATGAATTAAAACTACCTACAAATATTCCTTTTCCAAAAACTCATATATCTTCATCATGTACATCATCATCATCATCAGCATCAATTAATATTAATGAATCATATCATTCACATCAATTACCAATTATATCTACTTCGAGCAGTAGTAGTGATAGTGATGGAAATTCAAATGGAAATGAAGAAGATTCTAAAATTGATGAATTGGGTAGAAAAATAATTCATAGATTGAAATGATTAGGATTATTAAATAAAGATGTTAATTATTCAAGTGATGAATCAGATACTTCATATTCTGATTCTAGTTCATCTGGTATAATTAATCAAGAAATTTCCATTAATCGAGATCGAGCACATTCAAATAGTAATAGTGCAGTGGAGGAAGAGGAGTATGAAGAAGAAGATGAAGAAAGTAAATATTATCATATAAATGACAGCCACAACAATAACAACAACAACAATAATAGTAATAATAATAGAAGGAAAATTTATAATTGCAAAATAAACATTGAAATGTTTCGTGGAGTTGAAAAATATAATGTTGATTTGTTGTTTTTATATCAATCAAAGGATTTATCTCATGGAGTTAATGGGAATGGAGGATTGAATAATAATGGGAAATTTTTTGAATTACCACCTAATTTATATATTACATTTGAAGAATTGATCAATTATTTAAGAGATAAGATTTTTTTAAGTGGAGTTAATAAAAATTTTCATGGAATTGAAACAAAGATAAACATTTTATTGAAATTAAAATCATTTAAATGTTTTATTAATGATAAGGAATTTAAAATATCAAGAAACAACACCAATAATTATAATCATAATCATAATAATCAATGAGTTATACAATAATGAGTTATACAACAATGAGTTATACAACAATAAGTTGTTAAAGTGAATGGTGTGAATCCATAGTTTAGAGAAATTCAGTGTTTTTTTCTTTCTTAGTGATATCTGTACTTTGTTGTCTAAATTGGTATTTGAATATATGTGTCCTATTTATTATTGTTTTTGCTCTATTTCTAATTATCAATATGTCCTGGACTTGGTGGTGTATCACCAGTTTCCCATATTGTTTGTTGATTACCCATTTCAAATTCAATACTTCCACCATTTGCACCAAACAAATCATCATGATCAAACCAATTCTTATTCCAAGCCTCACCATTAATTTTCAAAGATTGAACATAAATATTCTCTTGTGATAAATTATTAGCAGTTATTGTAACTTGTGATCCATTTTCTAAATTAATACTAGCTTTAGACATAAATGGTGATGAAATTAAATAAGTGGTTGTACCAGAAATTGGATAAAATCCCAATAAACTAAAAACTACCCAACTTTGCATTGCTCCAGCATCTGAATTTCCCGGTAATCCATCTTTCCCCGATTTAAAATAAGTATAAATTATAAATCTAATCAATTCAACTGATCTATATTGTTCATTAACAAAATTGTATAAATATGGAGTTAAAAAACTTGGTTCATTCCCCACATCAACAATTTTACTACCATGTAATGGATACATATCATTCAAACGTTGAATAAATTCATCTTTATCTTTCATAAATGAAATTAATGTACTCATATCAAATGGAACATCCCATCCATATTCAATTGGTTTACCTTCATATTCATCATCATTCCAATAACATCCTTTACAACTTAATGCATCATAATTATCAAAATTAAACAGACCATCGGAATTTTTGGGTTGTAAAAATCCACTATAATCATATCCATTAGCTTTTGCATCATGATTCCATAAATTTTGCCAACCAGTTGATCTTTTCAAATATTTTTCATAATCTTCTTCTGATCCATAATCTTTAGCTAATACAGAAATAGCAAAATCATTATATGAATATTCAACAGTTCTACTAACTGAACGTGAATATTTTCTAGTAATATAACCATATTTTAACCAATCTGGTAATGCACCTCTACCTTGTTTTGTTGAAGCATCAGGTGCAAATGAATCATACCAATATGGAGGTTGATTTTCTGCATTATTAATCATTGATTTATATGCCAATTCCCAATCAATATTAGGAATTTTTTTAAGAAATGCATCAGCAATTAAAATATCTGAATTAGTGCCTCCTTGGACTCGACCATTTTGATTAGCTGATCTACCATCTGGTGTCCATCCATCATTTTGATAAATATTAACAATTGCTTGAATTATTTCTGAACCTCTAGTTGGATTAATTATATTAATTAAAGGATTTAATGAACGAAATGTATCCCAAATAGTGAAAAAATCATCATAATAAACAAGATTTGAATCTTTATTGGACCAATTTGGTGGTGTTTCTCCAGTTCTATTTGTTGGCATAAGATGAACTCCATATAAATTTGTATAAAATTGTGAAATTAATGTTTGATTATTATCTTCGATTTGAATCTTATTAAATACTTCATTATTCCATTTTTGTCGATGATCATCAATCATTTGATCAAAATCAAATTCATTTGTTTGTTTGACAATATTTGAACATGCTTGAGTAGTGGATACAAATGAAACACCAATTCTACTAATTAATTCACCATTATTATTTAAATCATCTTTATTAAATTCAAAAATCATCCCCATTGAATTTTGATCAGATGTAATTTTATCATCTTCTTGATGATATTCATCATTTATAAATCCAAATTTATTTATAAATTTATGATTAAATTCACCACAAAAATAAATTGTCCAAGGATCTTGACCTCCCCAACCTCCTTTAATTGTAGTATATCCAGTATATTTATTATCATTTGAATCTTCAGAAATTTCAATACTACCATTAACAAATTTTTGAGTCCACCATGGACGTCCAGGAGATCCTAAATGATGACTAACATTAACTAAAATTCTAACATTTTCAATTTGTTCAATATTATATTTATATCTAATCATTGCACTTCTTTCATCACTAGTAAATTGAAAATTAACATTTTTAGTAGAAACAGAATAAACACCAATTGTAGAATTATCAATATTTGATCTTTCTAAACCAAATTCTGAATTTGAATTCAATACTTCATCATCAATAGATTCATCAGTAAATGGTAATTGAGAAATAACTCCATATTGTGGTGCTCCACCAGTACCACTTTCATGCATCATTGAAATACCAATGATTTTTCCATTTGGTGCATATCCACTATATGAATCACCAAATGTTGAATCAGAAACATCAATTCCTGGTTTAATCATTCCAAATGGTAATGAAATCCCAGGAAACATATGTCCTCCTGATTCAGTACCATAAAATAAATCAACATTATCAAGAATATTCCCATTGTTATTATTATTGTTGTTGTTTTTATTAGTAGTCTTGGTTTTTAATCGACGATGAGAATTAAGTCTTCTTCTTGATGTAGGAATTGAATTAACTAGAGTTATTGTTGTTGATAAATAGAATAGCAATATTGAAAAGAACAACATTATTTAAGTTTTAAATAAAAAGATCATGATTAGTTAGTTTTATGAAATTTTAAATAAAGAGGGAAATATCAATTTATATTTATATTTAATTAAAATAGAGGAAATAAAGAGGGTATTCAATGTAAGGGTATGTTTCATAAAGTATTAATTCACAAATACGGAAGATACATATACAAATATGCAAACAACGTGGTTCATATTCTAAAAATGAAATTAAAATAGATAATTTAGATTGTTTTGTTTGTTTTTGCAATTGCAGTTAGAAACTAAATAAGCATAATTTATTATGTTTTAAATCTCACACTGTTTATTCATGTTTATCTTATTCATCTTATATGCATGGAGGATCTTTCTTTCTTTTTTTTTTTTGCAATAATTCTTGATAATATTTTCTCAAGTTTCTTGGTTCCAAGTGGCGAAGTTGATGATCTATTTTTATCACTTTGAATAAAGGGTTCATTTAATTATAGGATTCCATGAGAGGTGAATGTATTTGATTATAAATTCTAATGTGTTTGTGTTTACTGCATCAATATAGAATGCATTTGGCGAAAGGTTACAATAACATGAAATATGAATAAGCGGTTGGTAGTTTTTTTTTTTTTAGTTTGTGGCTTTTCTAAAAAAAAATTTTGTAATCTACGATAACAATAATAACAATAAACCTTGAGAAAATGGCATAAAGAAAAAAACCCAAAAATTATTCAAATTAAATGAATCTGTAGCTTGTTGCATAATTTATGGAGTAACAAGAAAACTGAATTAAGAATAGAAATTACTAATAAGAAATTCATCTGATAAATCAACGTAACTGTTTGGCGTAATATTTAGCATAATCATCTTACTTTTAGTTACCACATGAACGACTCGCATCTTTTAGTATTTCCTCTCTATTTCATGTTTTTTTTTCATTTTCATTTAGTGAATTCACTCTCACATGATGTTGAATTTAAAAAAACTAAAATACTAAAAGTAATACCATAGAATTCTTTATTTCATATGTATATAAATAATACACGTTTTATCCGAAATATGATTATTGTTTTGAATTAACATTCTTTTTTTTTTGTTGGTTTGTTTAAGCAATAAGGCACCATCTTCACGTCAAAAAATTAAAACTTTAGGTATAATTGCTAAATCGTCGTATAGACCAATTCCATCTTCTAGAAAGAATAGAAAAACGTGTCAATTTAACTAAAATGTTCCTGATAAATAAATAAATAAATAAAAAAAACCTTCATTTGGAACTCTCTACCTTCAGTATGAATATTACTATTATTTTGTGTGTCTTTTAATTTGTTATCCAAGGGACAAAGTTGCAAAAAAAAAAAAAATGTTGTGTTATACACTACCGGTACCTTTATTAAGCCATTTGAAAAATTATATGAGTGGAATCAATTCTGGGGTAACTATCTAAGAATATGAATTGAATGAGACATTAATTTAGTTTATAGATTTTAATTATTTGCTCTTTATTATTATTGTTATTGTAAAATATTAAACCTATTACATTGCGAAGTAACTACTGGCCCACATGGGTGAATATAACAAAAATTATCTGATCGAAATTTAAATAAAATAAAACCAAACACTCACACACAATACTTTAAATTTCTTGTTTCTTTGTTTAATCACCAGTTGATCCATGGGACCTTACAATATTGGACTCCACGTTTTTATATTTTCCTTCAAAAATGAGGGGGAAGGGATGGGACAGGAGTCAAAAATAATACATGAGTGGATTCTTGATATGATGGTTAATTTTCTCAAATTTGTAAATCACCCCCACGTGACACCATTGAATAATTTTTCCATTGTGTGAAAATTATTAGTAATCAGATTGAAATACAACATTAGAGTATATGTAGAATGTCATAGTGTTTCTTGTTTTAGTTGTTGATTGATGATGTGGAGAGTTGTACTAATGTTTAATGCCAAGATAGGGAATTCTATTGATGAGTTTCTACTGGCGGAAAGTGTCTGTAGGAGTGTAGGCTACTACTACTACTACTACTACTACTACTACTACTACTACTACTAAAGACCGATATAACCGTCACTTACGTCATCGAGAGAGAGAGAGAGAAAAAAAAAAGCCAACTCACAAGGGGAGTTAATTCATCACATCAAGTTGTACAGTAGTGTTTTTTTGGGGAGACTAAAACTATTCACAGTACGATTATTATCACAAGAGTGGTTGTACTTACTAATCTTAGTAATTAACTATGTATACTTATTTAATTAACAAGAATGATCAATTCCCGACTTTCCTTGTTTGTCTAAATACTTCGGTTCGTGCGCATTGGTATTTTATTTGAACGCAATTTTTCAATTGCCTAAAATGTAAACCATACAGAATTTGTATCACTTTAAATTTGCACTATTTTGTAAGAAAACACCGATATAATTCTCTAACTGAAAATGAGGTGTTCATTTAATACAACTTAAGGTAAAAAATAAAATTCCATTTTCAATGACTTCGATCGTTATTGTCTTTACAACATAGATAAGGCTGTGTTTGTTATAGATGTGATGCGTAGAATTTGGTCTTTATCGTCTATAATTCTATTACATAAACCATATGGAATAGAATTTATTGATCATTTCTTCTTACAAATTCAACCCAAAGAAAAAAGAAAAAACAGAAAAAAAGAAAAGGAAAAACGGAAAAAAACCTTGTAATAGTTAAAACAAGAAATAATAAAAGAGGCTGATTATTGGTATGAAAGTTTGAATGACTGTAAGAAAGAAGAAGTTTCAATTGTATTGGTGAATTTATAATTTCAAGTCTATTGTAATTAGTTTCAATTTGGTTGTTGCACAATAATTGGCCGCAATTCTCTATCTAGAAAGTCATCACGCTCATTTATACACACTTATTCACTAACTTACACACTTCGTGTATATTATTCATTTCATCATCAACAAGATGTAAGCTTACGTATGTGTATTTGATGACCATAAACCTTATACCCTTTTCTTTTTCTTCTTCTTCTTCTTTTTTATTGATCTGAAATATTGATAATTAGGAAACAATACATGATTCTGAAATGAAAAATTTCCCATTATAGGAGAGAAATGAGTGGCTTAAACGAATCAAGGAAGGACGGAAAGATGCAAAGTGTGTGCTTTATAATTTTTACAAAGGCGGTAACCAAGAGGCAAAAAAAAAAAAATAAAAGCCATATAGAAAAATACCCGAGAGCATAAGCAGCATTGCCCCTATTCTGGATGGAAGTTTTCTCTACACAGGAAGATACTGTTGTTGTTGTTGTTATTGTCAATATCCCATCTGCAAGTTTCTTTGGCAGACGGGTAATATCATGGTAATGGCAAGTATCTTAGTTTTGTATTTTCCTTTCTAAGTTTTCTTTCCTCTACCCGATAATATTGATAACAAAGTAATGTTTCCTTTGTTGTTATTCAAAATATCCTCTCCCGTGTGCGTTAACTTTGTAAGGGTCACATATTCTTGTAGTATGTGATACAGTTAACAGTGTGCAACTATAGTATTGGCAAAGGACAAACAGTTATTTGACTTTTTTTTATATGGGCCATCTTCTTACTTCTAAACACCCATCACAATGTCAACTGTTGTCGTCGTTCGAACATCGTCTAACCTCTATTTACAAGAAAAGAAAAGTAAACTCTTCAATTGATTATTTAAACCCAGATGATTACTATGTGTTTTTTTTTTGCTTTTTCTTGTTGTAGATACTTTTGTTTCATAACACTATCACTACCCAATAGAAGATTTTCGTATTGCTATTAGGGAGAAGGAAAGAGATACATTGAGGAAAACAAACTTAACTCCACTCTCTCTCTCTCTTACACACTCACATTATTAGTTAATTCAATTACATCACATATTGTTATACATCACGTTGTATACGAAATACAATTTCCCCCCTTTTTTTTTGCAGAAAAAGACTCAGTTACAAAAATAGAACTATAAATAACCGGGGATTATTATATTGTTGATTTACTTTTCTATATATATATATTTGAATTGAATTCAGCTTAATTATAGTTTGGAGTGGGCTACAATTCGTAATTTACAAGAACAATCTACAAGTTCTGAATTATCAAAAAAAAGAAAGAAAGACAAAACTAAGAATAACTAAATATAAAGCATACAGCATATAAGAAACCCCTTCGGTGATTTTATGAAATCCAAAATTAAATAAAAAAAAAAACAAGAAAAGTGAAAACACTGCAAACTAACTAAACATAAACACACACATCATATTCATCATATTCATCATACACAGAACCACCACTAGTTCAACCAACTCAGCCAAAAGACAAGAGAGAAAAGAGAAAAAAAAATTTTCCCCTACAAAAATAAAAATTCTGTAAAATCCCTCAAGAGAGCAGAAAAAAAAAAAAAGGGCAAGAATTTTTACTACAGCTACACAGTGTGTTTATATACAGGATTGCATCAGAGAAGAAGAAAGAAAGAAAGAAAGAAAAAATTTATACAGGCAATATTTAAATATCCCAGGTTTCCAATTTTCCAATTCTCCCCAAAAAAAAATTTTTTTTTTACTATTATTGGAAATTCATAGTATTTTTGATTATAAATCCTTTCTGCTTGATTCCTTTATTTGAAGAAAGTATTCAATAAGTTTATCACGGTTTTTAATTTGCATCTGTTTTTTATTATTATTACTTCTGTGAAAACAACAACAACAGCAAAAAAAAAATACCACCTTAGAGCCCAGGTGATATTTTTATACTAGAACAAAGAGAAAGAAAGAAAAAACGACACGCTTTCTTGGAACAACAACAACAACAATAATCAAAACATATTTTGGTGATTTCAAATTAAGGTTTAAACTACTACTTATCAAAAGAACATTTTAAGAATCCTCCCATAATCTAAAAAGGAGATTCGCTTTTACTTCTATTGGTACTTTCAGATTTATATCAGAAAGAAAAGAAAAAAAGAGAGACATTTATATTAATCTACCATCCTATTAATTGTTAGAAATCATTTTTATACAACAACATGGGTTTGATGAACAAGATATTCTCCCTGTCCACAAGTTTAGTGGGACTAGAGCAACAACAAAAGGCTAAAGCACTGAAATCAAGATCTTCTCAAGAACAACAACATCACCAACCATCATCTGCAGCTGCATCTACACAACCACGTAAATCTGTTTCTCCACCTCGAGAGAGAAAAGTCCCTGCTTCTAATCACAAGAACACCAGTCACACTAGCATTCCAGAACATGAAAATGAAGACGTACTATCCCAAGCAGATGAAGACGATATAATCACTCCTTTGCGAGAGATTAAACATCCTCAACCACAACGCCCTCAGCAGCAACAACAGCAACAACAACAACAACAATCAGGAACACCATTGACTACAAATAGTCTACGTTCAAATAATTCATCTCCAAAATTGTCTAGTACTAGATCACACTCTCCAACTAATGTCTTATCGTCAACTACAACATCCCCATTACTGTTGTCATCATTAGATAAAGAACTCAAAAAGCATGAAATCTCCTCAAATCCTGCTGTTCCAGTGGCAATCACTTCAAATGAAAAGATTAGTAATACTAAACCATCTCCAAACGTTTCTCGTTCATCTTCTGTTAGAAAACAACCTGTTTCAAGATCAACCTCTGTTAAACAGAGATCAAATTCCATTTCCTCCAATCCAAGTTTAACTTCATCAACACCGTCAGTAAGCAATTTGCCAAGATTTGTGTTGCTTGAAAATGGTAATCATGAACATCATTTACGTTCAGCAAAACGTCAAGAAAAGCTTTCTAATATGTTGAAGGATCTCTTGGGGGCCAAGAAATTGAGAGACGAAGCTAAAAGTGCAGTACCTGATTTGTTACAAGGTGCTATGCAATCATCCACCAGTCAATTACAGCAACAACAACAACAACAAGATAGTACTGCTCCTGTGAAACCGCCTACTTTATTTGCTGGTTTGGTCAATCATGTGAAGAACAATACTAGTCCTTACCATAAACCAGGAACTACTGAAGTTGTTTGTAGTAGTACACCGATGGCATCATCTGCTAATGTCAATGCAGCTACTGGACCTGATTGTCGGTCATTTGCTGAAAAGTATGGTAGATGTCAAGAGGTTATTGGTCGTGGTTCCTTTGGGGTTGTCAGAATCTCTCATAAGAAAGTGGATTCATCCCCTACAGAGAAATTGTTTGCTGTCAAGGAATTTAAACGTCGACCAAATGAAAGTGAAAAGAAGTATAACAGAAGATTGACTTCTGAATTTTGTATTTCATCATCGTTGAAACACAATAATATTATTGATACTTTGGATTTATTAAAGGATGCCAAGGGTGATTATTGTGAAGTTATGGAATTTTGTTCAGGTGGTGATCTTTACACCTTGATTATTGCTGCTGGTAAATTGGAGTATGCTGAAGCAGATTGTTTCTTTAAACAAATGATTAGAGGTGTTAATTATATGCATGATATGGGTGTTGCCCATCGTGATTTAAAGCCAGAAAATTTATTGTTGACTCAAAATGGTGTTTTAAAAATTACTGATTTTGGTAACAGTGAATGTTTTAAGATGGCTTGGGAAAAAGAGATTCAATATTCAGATGGTATTTGTGGGTCATCTCCTTATATTGCTCCAGAAGAATATAATCAGGATTCATTTGATCCAAGATGTGTTGATATTTGGTCATGTGGGGTTATTTATATGGCGATGAGAACTGGTCGTCAGTTGTGGAAATTGGCTGATCCAACGAAGGATGAATTTTTTGAAGAGTATCTTGTCAAGAGAAAAGAATCCACTGGATATGAACCAATTGAAAGCTTGAAGAGAGCACGTTGTCGAAATGTTATTTATTCCATATTGGATCCAAAACCTGAACGAAGAATAACTGGTAAACAAATTTTGAATAGTGAATGGGGTAGAGAAATTAAAGTTTGTGAAGCTGGTGAAGGACATGTACATGACTAGATGAAATAGTCTTACAGAACAATGTGATTAAACAAAAAAAAATAAAGGAAAAATCATTTTTATAATCATGATGTCTTTTTTTTTTTATTATTATTATTATAATTATTGTTAATAATTTTTAGTTTTTTATTTTCAATTATAGTTTATGTGTGGTATTTAGATCATGAGTATAGTATTTTTAATTTGGTATGGGGTAAAAGAAAAAAATAGAAGACATGAACTATTGTAGTTTTATACGAGAAGACTAGTGACTACGTCATTGATAAGCTGCATGAGAATTTTAAACAATGCAAGAAGTGTTTGTTGTTTGTTGTTTGATTTGATGATTTGATGATTTGTTGTTGGTTTGTCTCTGTGTGGTGCTGCTAAATTTAGTATCACAGAATAGCAACAACCTATTTCAGGTTTAATTCATTTGAACGCGCGCGTTTGTACGCACAGTGTAAAAACAAGAATGTTTGACCTTGAGTACACGACCGCATTCTGTACAATGTTTCATCATAGATTTCTTTTCCTTTTTTACTTTTTCTAACTGTTTACACGACAAAATGTAATAAACAACAACAAACTACAGTAAGACCAAAAAAGAAAAAAAATTGTTGTTGTTGTTAAACCAAAAAAAATAAAAAAATTCCTACTTTATAGAATAGCAATTCTTTAGAATTTCAAAAACCCAACAAGAATAAAGGAAGTAAAGGAGACAACTACGCGTTCGTTCTTTTAATATTGTCTAATTAGTAATAGTATGTATCTTTGATGTGAATGTGAATGTGTGTGTGTGAGATATATGACTTTGATTTGATACTAACATTACTATCCAACGGATAGAATATACATATAGAAAATGGTTGAATTATCTGATTTTCAACGTCAGGAAAAAGTAGGAGAAGGTACATATGGGGTTGTTTATAAAGCATTAGATACAAAACATAACAATAGAGTAGTTGCATTGAAAAAAATTAGATTAGAATCAGAAGATGAAGGAGTACCAAGTACAGCAATTCGAGAAATATCATTATTAAAAGAAATGAAAGATGATAATATTGTTCGATTATATGATATTATTCATTCTGATTCTCATAAATTATACCTTGTTTTTGAATTTTTAGATTTAGATTTAAAAAAATATATGGAAAGTATTCCTGCTGGAGTTGGATTAGGTTCAGATATGATTAAAAAATTTATGAATCAATTAATTAAAGGTATTAAACATTGTCATTCTCATAGAGTTTTACATCGTGATTTAAAACCACAAAATTTATTAATTGATAAAGAAGGTAATTTAAAACTAGCTGATTTTGGTTTAGCTAGAGCATTTGGAGTTCCATTACGTGCATATACTCATGAAGTTGTTACATTATGGTATAGAGCTCCAGAAATTTTACTTGGTGGTAAACAATATTCAACTGGTGTTGATATGTGGTCAGTTGGTTGTATATTTGCTGAAATGTGTAATAGAAAACCAATTTTTCCCGGTGATAGTGAAATTGATGAAATTTTTAGAATTTTTAGAGTACTTGGTACTCCTAATGAAACTACTTGGCCTGATATCCAATATCTTCCTGATTTTAAAGAAAGTTTCCCTAAATGGAAACCAAGAGATTTACAAGAAGTTGTTCCTTCTTTAGATGCTAATGGTATTGATTTGCTTCAAAACTTTTTGATTTATGATCCAAGTAAAAGAATCAGTGCTAAGAAAGCATTATGCCATCCATACTTTAACTAGATTATAGAAGAAGAACAACAACAAGAACAACATAAATAATATATGTGATTAGGATGATTTAAGTATGTCGATATAATGAACGCGTTTTTTTTTTTTGATTAAGTTAAACTTTTTTAGTATGAATTTTTAGCGAAGTTTCAATGATATTTTCCATACTTGCAACATTGTCATAATAATTCATCAAAACTGTGAATGAATACACCAATGATCTATTTGGTGTAATAAAGGAAGTGCTATTGAATAAATTAGAGTGTATTGTCTTGAATATAATGATAAAAATCCAACGTATTGAAATGTTTCAATTATTAAATAATAGACCAACAAAACATACCATAGGGATTCTACTTCCAACGAGTTGCTTCGTTTGTCCGAGTTGAATTTACCAACTGGATTTGCTGGCGGCATGACCGAGTGGTTAAGGTGAAAGATTAGAAATCTTTTGGGCTATGCCCGCGCAGGTTCGAGTCCTGCTGCCGTCGTTATTTTTTTCTTTTGCAACCCTTGCCTAAGGTTTCTTCTTTTTTTTTTAATCGAAAATAAAAGTATACATTGATCTCGTGAAGTTATACATATATAATTGGGGAGGGTAGCTAGTCAATGAATTTTTTTGAGCTAATCCATCATTATATTACTACGACTTCCTTCCACTATGGTTAGCAACATATGTTGATCTCTTTTTGTTTGGTTGTCTATAAGTGAAACGCATAATGTAAAATTATAACAGCACTTATAAATGGATAATGGACATTGGAGTAAGAGGAAAAGAATGAAAAGTTTATCTTTGTTTAAATAGAGTTTAATAGAGATATATATTATTATATTATGTAATTATTATTTTGATTGCATTATTGTCAATGAATCGTGCGTGAACCATTTTATGTGATGTGGCGATTCGTTTTTTGTTTTTTCTTTCAAGATGTGTAGTATAAAAAGAAGAGGAAATTTCCATACAATTGAATTATCTTTCATTAATTTTTTTTTTCTTTTTGGTTTTTCTTTCAAAAAACTCCCAATTGTTCCACCTCGTACATGAAGACGAATGGTTATTTGGATCTTTCAGGTCGCTCTAAATTCTTTAGGGTGGTCCTTTAAATGGACATTCTACTAACACTCATCATGTATAATTTTAGCATTATAATCCAGGTTTATGGATTGTTTGTATAGTTTAAATGTATGTGTTTATTTATTATTATCTAGCAGTCATTAACTTGTAATACTCTAGAGTTTTTAAGTTGTTATTATTCTCCTACTGGCTACTAATTCTATTGTTGTAAATGCAAAATTTGACCATGGTTGCTCTCAATTACAATTGTACTTGATATCGCATGTTAGTTAAATTGCTTTATTGCTCTATCATATATTATCAACACATTGAGATAAACTGTATAAAAAAAAACTATCCATGTTAAAATGTGTATCAAAGGTTTTAAAAAGTTGATGATTTGACATCTGGTGATGTGTACATATATTGACGGAATGTCATTTTCCATCCCCATATTATTCCCCCAAACTTTTTCCCATTCATTTTTGTTCATTTAATTTCCTTCCATGCATCATTGGTGGATCATTGACCTTTTTTTGTTAGTGCGTATGTGTGGCCCCCCCTCCCCTTTATCACACCACGACTCCGACAACAAATTGGTTCGCAATTTTTCTTTTTTCTTTTGCTTTCTTTTGGGTATTTATTATATTTTGCTTTTTTTTTTCCCTAACTTTTTAATTCAATTCCTCCTACCCCCCTCCAAATTCCTACTATCAATTACAAGATTTGCAACATGGTCCAAGGAAAAGTTTTAGTTGTCTCTAACAGATTACCAGTAACAATTAAGAGATCTGAAGATGGTTCATATGATTATTCAATGTCTTCTGGTGGTTTAGTTACCGCGTTACAAGGTTTGAAGAAAACCACTGAATTTCAATGGTATGGTTGGCCAGGTTTGGAAATTCCTGATGATGAACAAAAAAGAGTTAATAATGATTTAAAAACAAAATTCAATTGTACTGCTATATATTTAACTGATACAATTGCTGATTTACATTATAATGGGTTTTCAAATAGTATTTTATGGCCACTTTTCCATTATCATCCTGGTGAAATGAATTTTGATGAAAATGCTTGGGCTGCTTATATCGAAGCAAATAAGAAATTTGCTGTTGAAATTGCTAAACAAGTTGATGATGATGATATGATTTGGGTTCATGATTATCATTTAATGTTATTACCAGAAATGTTGAGACAAGAAATTGGTAATCGTAAAAAAAATATTAAAATTGGATTTTTCTTACATACTCCTTTCCCATCATCTGAAATTTATAGAATTTTACCTGTTCGTAAAGAAATTTTGGAAGGTGTTTTAAGTTGTGATTTAATTGGATTCCATACTTATGATTATGCCCGTCATTTTATTAGTTCTGTTTCAAGAATTGTTCCTAATGTTAGTACATTACCAAATGGTATCAAATATCAAGGAAGATCAATTAGTATTGGTGCATTCCCAATTGGTATAGATGTTGATAATTTCATTGAAGGATTACAAAAAGATAGTGTTGTTGAACGTATTAAACAATTGAAATCCAAATTTAAAGACGTTAAAGTTATTGTTGGTGTCGATAGATTGGATTATATCAAAGGTGTTCCACAAAAATTGCATGCTTTTGAAGTTTTCTTGAATGAAAATCCTGAATGGATTGGTAAAGTTGTTTTAGTTCAAGTTGCTGTTCCATCTAGAGGTGATGTTGAAGAATATCAAAGTTTAAGAAGTACGGTCAATGAATTAGTTGGTAGAATTAATGGTCAATTTGGTACTGTTGAATTTGTTCCAATCCATTATTTACATAAATCTATTCCTTTTGATGAATTAATTAGTTTATACAATGTTAGTGATGTTTGTTTGGTTAGTTCCACTAGAGATGGTATGAATTTAGTCAGTTATGAATATATTGCATGTCAACAAGATCGTAAAGGTGTTTTGATCTTGTCAGAATTTGCTGGTGCTGCCCAATCATTAAATGGTGCATTAATTGTTAATCCTTGGAATACTGAAGATCTAAGTGATGCTATTAAAGAAAGTTTAACTTTACCTCAAGAAAAGAGAGAATTTAATTTCCAAAAACTATTCAATTATATTTCCAAGTACACTTCAGGATTCTGGGGAGAAAGTTTTGTTAAAGAATTATACAAATGTAATCCTCAAAAGAACTTAAGAAGCTAAATTTACATATAGAGATGATAATGTATATTTCATGTTTTGTTTTATTTTATTTTACCATCATTTTCCTTTCTCTCTCTTTCCCATAAGTTTAAAAATTAGGGATGATTTTTCTTTCTTTTACCACTTTCAATAAAACATTTATATTGATCAAAATTATACATCCTCTCTTTAACATTATTATTAGTTCTAATCTATAAAGTCTAGATGAGAAACATTTTCTTCTGTAAGTAACAATGGTTTATTGTGTTTTTTAATCTTTTTCTTCTCTCCAGTAACTGATTCTTCAGGTACATTAATAACTTGTGGTTTTATACCGAATGTTCTTAAAATTGAACTTGAATATAATGGTGGATGAATAACATTACTCTCGGAGTAAAGTGAAGCATCAGGTAAATTAGTCTTTGGGAAAAATGGTTTCTTAAATTGGGTTTGTTGTCCTTGAGATTCTGATTGTTGTTGTTTAGCAATTGATCTTTTATGAGATTTGGAAAGATTATTTTCTTTTTCTTCTTCAATTTTATAATTATTAACATCCATTTCAAAATTCTTTGCTGAGCTAAATGCTGTCATTAAATATGGTAATTCGTCAGTGATTGTACCTTGATAATTGGAAACTGAGTCATGATCTTTATGACCAGTAATTGAACGAACCATTGGTACTTGTGGTGATAAGGATGAAAAAGCAGAATATTCAGAAAATGAATCTTCTGGAGGAGAATCATTCTTAGTACCAAAGAAATCCGATTCTGAATCAATATGTACATCATCATCCTCATCCTCATATTGGAATTGTCTCTGTAGTTTAGTTTCTTCTTCTTTTTGTTTTTGGTGTTGTTGTTCCACAAGTCTACTTTCTTCTAATGATTCATCAATCAATTTTTCCACTCTAAATTTCTCAAACATTTGTTCTAAATCATTGATAACAGCCAAACATTCATATTTAGCATCAAAATCACCTTGTTCAATAGCATCATTCAATTGCTGTAGTAAAGCTGATATAAATGTCTTGTAATAAGTAACGGTATTTTCATCTTCCCACATCTCCAATTCCTCTCCAATAAGAATCAATTTACTTTTTGAATAAGCAATACTGAGTTGTTCAACAACATCATTTTTCAATTTGATAATTCGTAGTAGTAAAGATGTCAACATTGTTCCTGCATCACTCATTAAATCCCTTGGTGCCAAAGTCTTTGAATTTTTACTTATAATATCAATATCTGAGGAGATTTTGGCAATTTTGACATTAATCTCCGTACAAGCAATCATTACTTTATTAGCAATACCGGCGTTAAAGTCCTTAATTTTATCATCATTATTATTATTGTGAAAATGATTATCTGAATTAAAATCTAATGATAAAAATTCCCAACTTTTGAATTTTAATTGAATATTTTCCAATGTTTGTAGTATTTTAAATGATGTTGAACATAGTTTGTTTATTCTTCTCTCGGATATCTCATGAATTAGATGTATTAGTTGTGAAGACTTAAATTTGTCTTTATTTAGATTAGGATCTTGGATTAAAGATATTATTGGATCAACATATGGTTCTATATCTGTCATTGAAATATGGATAGATATGTCTTAAATAATGCAAATAAATAAATAATTAAATAAATAAATAAAGTAACACTTTTAACAGCAATACAAATATGAAAGTAACCGGGAATGAAATGAAATGAAGTGAAATGATTAGATAATGAATATATGCTTTGTTCCTAAACAGCTAGAGAACCAATTATAATGTAGTTAAACCCTCCTTTTTTTAAAAAAAGTATCTGGTATCGATAGAAGAAACAAGAAAGAAGAATTATCAAGGATATTTGTGGGTGGTGATTAATTAATTAATTAACCAAGGAAAAAAAAAAAAAGAATTGAAGATGGTTTGGTTTATTTCTCTCCAACTACACACGCGAAAAAAAAAAAAATCGGATGGTTTCATTGGAACACAAAATTGTTAAAGAATACAAGAAGAAGAAAAAAAATTAATGCACATCCTTCTCCCACACACACACACACACGCACCACAGTCAAGCAAAAATTTAGGGCGACAAAAATACGGAAAACGTCGCGGCCAGGAATCTAACCAGCCAACCAGCCAACCGACCGACCGATCCTTGCCCAAGCCAAGCCAAGCCAGCACCGGCCGATCGATCGATCGATTGATAAGACATTCCAATTCCAATTCCAATTCCAACCGTTATCGTGTGATTTTTTATGCACTCATCGACCAAATCGAATGTCTTTTTCTCCCTTTTAATTATTACCTTACCTTACCTGACTCTATCCCCATTGTATTTTACGAATTTAGCCCAGTTACTCCGGATTACAGTCATGACTTCTAATACAATAACCTGTCTCTTCCCCCCGGAATCAACTGTATACATCTTTTAAGCTTTCATTCTTTTATTTTATTTTTTGTAAAAGCTAAAATTAATCTAAAAATCATCTTATATATTCTATTCTTTATGAACTATTGAAATGAAATAAATAAAAAAAATTATTAAATGTAAAGATAATTAAAATTTAAACTAAAAAAAGAAGAAAAAGAAAAGATATATATATATGTGTGTGCTGTAGATCATTACTATTCATCATCATCATTATTATTATTATTATTATTATTATCATTTTCAGGGTTCCGTGTTTATTTTCAACATGATTGCACCCTCTATTTGGTTAACCCTTTCTCTTTAAGAACCTTGGATGCCATTTTATCATACCATTTGTCAATGGTTTCACCATCTTCCTTATGTATAGCAACTATTATCAACGTCATATTATCGAAACCAATCCCTGTGTAATTATTCGCCATGGTTAAACTGTCATTCAATATATGTTCAACAATCTTGTTTAATTTCCATCCTAAACTCAATTTGTGTCGAATCAACTTGATCAATTGATCGTTCTTGAAGCAGTCCCACACACCATCACAAGCAAGTACCATAAATTCCGGTGTCTCAAGAACTGACATATCATAAACCATGATATCCGGTTCAACAGTAACTTGAAACAATTCTGGTGGCAATGTTATTAACTTATCGCCAAACTTCTTTTGGTTTTCAAGAATATACTTATTTCTTGAACTTGATAGATATGGTAACTTGAATTTGAAATCACCAAATGCTCGTGATAATGCCAATACCTCATTAACTCTATTATTTAGTATGTATCCATTACTATTCTCAATTCTTACTCTTTCTCCCATTGTGCTAGGTTTATGGTCAAATGATAGCGACTTTGCCACTCCATTCTTGGACACAATGCATCGCGAATCTCCTGTATTAGAAACCACAATATAATTATCAATAATAGTCGCCACTATGGCAGTAGAACCCTGATTCATCAAATTTGGTTGATGGGACAAATCATGATCAACTCTAAAAAATGAATTCTTTAATGTGGAAAAAACTTGCAGAAGGTTTAAATTGTCTAATTGTTTATTGTAAAGTGATGTAGCTAATTTGTTTAATTTTTGAAATATCAATCTAGGTAAATGGTCTGCCAAATATTGTGAGCAATTTTTACCACCATGTCCGTCAAATACCCCAAATACTGCTAAATTTTCAGTTTCATTGATCTTGACATTATGTGCATCCTCCATGGTCATTCTATACCCTTGCATAGACCCAATACAATATGTAAGGTTGGTATAACACTTGTAATCCAATTCCTTTTCTTCAATTGGATGAGATAATAGTTGGCCCATGGTGAAAACTTTTTAATTGGACAATAAAATATTAGTGGGGGATGCTTCTTTTAAATAAAAAAATAAGATAAATAAATATAAAACTGATATGCTATTCTTTCTTTATTATTGGAATTCTACTTCTCATCTAGTAGCAAACACAGTTGGACCCTTATAGTTTAACAAAGTAGAATAATAAGGCAAACAAATAAATAAATAAATAAAAATTGGTGTGAAAGCAAATTGTATAATGGTGTATATAATTGTTATCTTTTTATTTGTTGGATGGAGCAATAGGAAAAGAAAAAAAAAAGACGTTAAATTTGAAATTTTTATTTTTTTTTTTTTGTTGGGGGCCGTCTTACGTGTACTGTACTCTGCTGTAAGTATTGAAGCTGATATTTCTAACCGATACAAAATAAATAAATAAATAATTTAATGTTGAAATTATAATGAACAGTAATTCTTTTCTTATTGAATTGATAATAAATTAAAAGGAAAAAGAAAATGGCCAATGACGTATGAATTATTATTCGGGTATTTAATGGTGGGAATTTTAATCTGTTTTTATACTGCCCATTAAGCAGCAAACGAAAAAATCGTTACTTGAAACAAAATAAAAGGGGACCAATAATGGCAATTTCTTAACTGAAAAACTATTCAAATATCAAACGACACGGCAAACGTCACACAGGGTACAGATCTACACTATACGTCTTTAAATTTTTGTATTGCTTCCATGGGCCACAGTATATCCGTTGGTTGTTTACTTACGACAACCGCTGCTGCTGCTCCTCATTTTCTCTCTCTTTCTCTCTCTCTCGTATCGTGCAGATTGCTCAGTCGATGTTGCTGTCTCTCTGTCTCGCTCGCTCGCTCCCCACGTTATAGATTTTTTTTTTTGCCTTTTTGCTTTGCTTTGCTTTTTGTGTGTATCGTGGTGGTGGTGTTGTAAAAATAAATTTTCAGTCATTCCCATGTGGAACCAACAACTAAGGAACTACGTTTATAAACTACAAAACAAAGAGAAAATGATGATTCCTATAATAAACAAAAACTCAGTCGATGGGTGTAGATATTATAGACCACCGGAAACATTCCCAATTGGCCCATTCCACAGGTATGAGAAAAATCCAATAATGAAACCTGATCCTAATGTCGAATGGGAAAGTCATTATTTATACAATGCAACAGCTATTGTTGTCGACAATAAAGTATTCATGTTATACCGTGCACAAAATAAAGAAAAAGTCTCCTCAATTGGGATTGCTTGGTCTAATGACGGTGTTCATTTCATTAAACATAAAAAACCAATCATTGCTGCTTCAGAATCTTATGAAAAGGGTGGTGGTTGCGAAGACCCTAGAATTGTTAGAGATCCCGTATCTAAATTATTTATTGTTACTTATACAGCATATGATAAAATAACTGCAAGATTATGTGTTGCCACTCTGGAAGATTTATTCCACTGGAAGAAAATTGGTCCAATTGTACCTCCTTATTGGCAAGATATTGCTGTAACAAGTAATGGTAATAAAATCATTAGAAATAATTGGCTGAAATCTGGTGCTATTTTCACAGAAAAAGCTCCTGATGGTAAATATTATATGATTTGGGGTGATTCAGAGTTACATCTTGCTGAATCAAAAGATCTTGTCAATTGGAGTTTGACTAACAATTCTCCAAATCGGAACACATGGGCTCGTGCATTATTCAATCGTGAGAATAAACTTCTTGAAAGTGGTCCTGCTCCAATTAGAATGGCAGGAAATCCTAACCACTGGATCTTTTTTTATAATGCTGCAACTACTGGAGGTGCAGATTTACCCAAGAATGCATATACCGTCAATCAAATGTTGATTGATTATAATAACATTCATCAAGGACCACTAGCTAGAATGGAACACCCAGTGTTAAAACCGGAACTGGCTAATGAAAAAGAAGGTCAAGTTAACCAAGTTGTTTTTTGTGAAGGATTGGTTCAATTCAAAGGAAGTTGGTACTTGTATTTCGGTCAAGGGGATTCAGAATTGGGTGTCGCAATTGCACCGGTAATTTAGATACATATTCAAAAGGAAGTGTTTATTTAGATAAATAAAAAATTTTAAAATTCTAATATTCTATTTATTTGTTTGTATAATGTCTCTTATCATATATGCTAGCAACTCGTCAACACTATCATCAAGGTTGTCAATGGCAATAAATCCACAGTTCCATTCTTGTGCCAATCGCTTGCCATCAGCTACTAGTTTTGGAGAAGCAAGGCTACTATTCTTATGTGTACAAATTATCCATACTGGAGGCATATAAAACCCAGATGAATCTGTTTTCTTGTTTGATTTGCTCTTGCTACTGCTTGAATTTGGTTCCCTCCAAAGATTCTTCAATGCCACCTTCATTGAAAATAAATCTTGTTCCTTTTCGGCATTCTTTTTCTTTATAAACACATCGTATTCTTGCCATGCCTCTTCTAGAGTTGCCTTCATAACTGGAATTAAATTTAATGAATGATCTGATGAAAGACCATCACTAGAATCATCGTATCCAGGTGGTGAATAACTAGGTATAGCACTATAGACAAAAAAATATCCATCAACATTCCCATTCATTTCACTTGCTCCACTAGCTACAAGTATTGGATTTGTAGATACTGGTTTTCGAGGTTCATTTGCCAAATTTCGTAAAATATCCTTACCTAAATTAGAATGTAATGATGCCTCTAGAAAAGGAACTACTGATTGGGGATTAAAACTAGGAGTATCTATTAATTCAATTAAAATTCGACTCACTTCACCTTTATTACTACTATTGGAAATTTTATAATATGGATTATTTGAAGGAGGTCCATTTAATTTTAGTAAATATTCTGGAACAATAATATCGTTTTGTTTCAATGATCCTGCTAGTATTCTTTGAGCACTTGTAGATGCTTTATAATTAAATAGAATTGGATTTAGTTGATGTGTAGGATAATAAGTGTCTCGAAAATTCCCTAATGTTAGTTTTGATATAGTTGATGATTTTCCTGATTTCGGCCCTCCTAAAAACGCAAGCCTTATAGGATTGGTGTAATTATATGGTGTATTTGTATCATTGACACCTGTAGTAGAATCCTTTTTTAACATAGACGACATGAATGTATAGTTTTTGATATTGATCTATAAGAACTCCAACCTTATTCGTTTAGTAAATTTTTTTTTTTTAGTTTGTATTGTTTGCTTAATCTTTTTTTTTTTTTTAGTTTCGTCTTATCCCGTCGTTTTTTAGCTGAGGATGTACATTGATTCAGCCCTATCCGAATTTCATGCATCTATTTTTTTTTAAAAAAAAAGTTGACAGCATCAACCTCATTGAGTAGTCTGATACGAAGATGGTCTTGATGTTAAGAAGATCAACAAAATGATGTCTTATTCTAAATATATCTCGAAGAAATATATTACTCGTTTAGAATTCCAAAACAACTCAATCAATAATCCCGTGATGATCAGCGAAGAATTTTTCTTGTGTTGTTTTTCTTTCACAAAACATCTGGACAATGTAGAGGTAGATAGGAGAGTTGTGCCTTTAATATTTCTTCAATATGTACTACAGTATGTTGCTGGTTGTCAATATATCTACTTCCAGTTGAGATATATGTTCTGGCACTTCTTCACATAGCGTTGCATTGTTCTACTCCCAGAAGTACCGTACGAACTTACTTATCGCACAAAGGGGAGGAATTTACCGTACACCAAAAAAAAAAAGATACTAGAAACGTCCCCAACGTATTTGTCGCCATCATATTGAACTACAAGAGATATATCCCGATGGACGACTATGTCTGACAAAAAGAAGATTAGCATAGCTGATCAATCAAATAATACAGGATTATCCGATGATATATTTCAAGAACTTAAAGAATTACAAAATCAAGCAAGACTGGATGATAATATTACGAGTCAATACAAGAATCAAATAGACATTATATTCCAGATAGTCAATCTACTACAGAATAACTCGAATGCAAGTATTAATGATATATACTATTTGTTGGATCATGAATTGCCTACTCCTTCGATACTTTCTATTACATCATTGGCAATACAATTGAATAAACTTCGGTTGTTGGATTTGAAATCGAGAACTGAATCAATAGTTCAGGTGGGGAAGCAAATGCAAACCAAAATCGATAAATTACAACAATACAAATCTGAATTGGAGAATGAATTGGATCGAAATAGATTAAAAATGTTGAAAAAAGAAGCTGAACTTATACGTGTTTATGAGGAAGAAGTTAGTAAAGTCAATTCCCATATTGAAGATTATAAATTTACAAAGATAAAACAAGTTGAAATACAAGCTTTAAAGCTTCAATATTCGAATTTTAAAATTTTATATGGGACAGCATTTCAACATAAGGATAAGAAATTATTGTTCAATCATCAACCTATCTTGAGGCTTGAAGAATTTTTAGGATATAATCTTTTGGTTATTAATCAGTTCCTTGAAAGGTTAATTATTCTACAATCCCACTTATCCCTTTTATTTAATGTTGATCTACCTCATTTGAAAGAATTGATGAATTATGTACCAGATGAAAAGTTTTATAATCTAATTAGGAAGAAGGAGTTGATAATTTCTGGTAGAGAGGCGGAGGAAGAGGACAGCGATAAACTAGATGAACAATCATCGGATAAAGGAAACTCAATGGAAATACCCAAAGGAATACCCAATCCAACTGAGAAGATTTTTAGATTTGGCGATGGATATAACTTGCCACCATCATCAAAAACATTAAATTATCAACTACGACGCAGGGCATCGTCTGTTGAGCCAGCGGATTTGAATAATATTCCAGTAATTAAAGAACCCTCTACTTCGACTTCGTCACCTTCGAAAACAACTTCAAGAAAGATCATAATTCCTCATAAAATTATAAACAAACCTTTCAACAAACTTGCAATAAAGGATTTTTTAAAGCTTGTGGGTATCATTGTTAAAATAATTGTCAACTTTCAAGTGTTTTTAATTTCCACAAGTTATGAAACGGAGTTGAAATCTGAGGAATGGTGTAATTTCTACAATATACTTCGAGAGATCTCCAATCTTGATCAGGTATTAAAAGACAAAATTGCAAAAGAACCAGATTCGAGACCAATAACAACCCAACTGTCGACTGATCTTGAAATGAGAGCTAATTTCGAAGTACTTATGGAATTAGTTTATGAGAAGCTCATGACGTCGTCGTACAGTAGAAAACAACACAATCGACCTATTGCTTTACAAGATTTGAATTTAAAGAATTTAGTATTTAATCTGACCAAACTAAGCGATGATTGGGACATTGTCAGCGGTATGTCATAAAGTTAGTACTGTTCTGAATAGGTGATACGAATTGGGTGAATGAGTGATTAGTGTGTATAGATAAATTTAATATATGCATGGTGTCAAGCCACTATCACACACACACACACACAGAGAGTCTGGCGATACCAAAAAAAAAACAAAGAGAAAAAATTTACGCAAACAGTAAAGTCGTGTATTTGTCACCAGTAATTAAATTACTGAGAAACTTTTTTTTTTTTGTTGAAATTGAAATTTCTCACTGCCAACTCGCAAAGTCGAACAAACCAAAAAAAGAGAACGAAAACTAATTAAAAAAAGATAATCGAAGCACAGTCTTATCTATTTCTACATTTCCCATTACTAGAATTGATAAAGAAAAGACAATCAATCATCTCATTTATTGCTTTGTCATCCATTGATCATGTCACTTACAGATAAAGAATTGTTTGAATTAAACAAAAAAGCCGTCACCGAAGGTTTTAAAATCAAACCAAGAATTAACTATAACACCGTTGGTGGTGTTAATGGTCCATTGGTTATTTTGGATAATGTTAAATTCCCACGTTATAATGAAATTGTCAACTTGACTTTACCAGATGGTACTGTCAGACAAGGACAAGTTTTAGAAGTCAGAGGTACTAAAGCAATTGTCCAAGTTTTCGAAGGTACTTCAGGTATTGATGTCAAGAAAACTAGAGTTGAATTCACTGGTGAAAACTTGAAAATTCCAGTTTCTGAAGATATGTTGGGTAGAATTTTTGATGGTTCTGGTAGACCAATTGATAAAGGACCTAAAATTTTTGCTGAAGATTATTTGGATATCAATGGTTCTCCAATTAATCCATATGCTCGTATTTATCCAGAAGAAATGATTTCTACTGGTGTTTCTGCTATTGATACCATGAATTCTATTGCTAGAGGTCAAAAGATTCCAATTTTCTCTGCTTCTGGTTTACCACATAATGAAATTGCTGCTCAAATTTGTAGACAAGCTGGTTTGGTTAGACCAACTAAAGATGTTCATGATGGTCATGAAGAAAATTTCTCCATTGTTTTCGCCGCTATGGGTGTTAACTTGGAAACTTCTAGATTTTTCAAACAAGATTTCGAAGAAAATGGTTCTTTAGAAAGAACTACATTGTTCTTGAACTTGGCAAATGATCCAACCATTGAAAGAATTATCACCCCACGTTTAGCATTAACCACTGCCGAATTTTTGGCTTACCAAACTGAAAGACATGTTTTGACTATTTTGACTGATATGTCTTCTTATGCTGATGCATTGAGAGAAGTTTCTGCTGCCAGAGAAGAAGTCCCAGGTAGAAGAGGTTACCCAGGTTATATGTACACGGATTTGTCTACTATTTATGAAAGAGCTGGTAGAGTCGAAGGTAGAAATGGTTCTATTACCCAAGTTCCAATCTTGACCATGCCTAATGATGATATTACCCATCCAATTCCTGATTTGACTGGTTATATTACTGAAGGTCAAATTTTCATTGATAGACAATTGCACAATAGAGGTATTTACCCACCAATTAATGTCTTGCCATCATTGTCCCGTTTAATGAAATCTGCTATTGGTGAAGGTATGACTAGAAAAGATCATGGTGATGTTTCCAATCAATTGTATGCTAAATATGCTATTGGTAAGGATGCTGCTGCTATGAAAGCCGTTGTTGGTGAAGAAGCTTTGTCAACTGAAGATAAATTGTCATTAGAATTTTTGGAAAAATTCGAAAAGAATTTCATTTCTCAAGGTGCTTATGAAAACAGAACTATTTTTGAATCCTTGGATTTGGCTTGGTCCTTATTGAGAATTTATCCAAAAGAAATGTTGAACAGAATCAGTCCAAAGATTTTAGAAGAATTCTATGGTAGAGATAGAGAACAAGATGATGACGAAGAAGAAGAAGAAGATCCAGACAAGTCTGGTGATAAATTAATTGACGCCTAGACGTTATTACATAAGTTTCATTGATATAAATTTTGTTCGTTTAGTTTTTTTTTTTGTTATTTTTAGTTTAGTAAGTTGAAGGATTTTTTTTTAAGAAAAGGAAAGCATTTACTCTTTTTATATTTATGTCTCTTCTTCTAAGGAAAGAAAGGACTAATACATATACACATTTATTGAATTGGTTTTACATACAATGAGTTCTAATATACATTTATTAAAATTATTATGACAGGGAATTATTAATGACTATTTTGTCTCTACAAATTTTTTTTAGAGTTACCGATGTAGTTGATTGCAGAACCAGCTTTGAAGAATTCAACTTGATCTTTAGACATGGTATGTTTGGCCAAAATTTCAAATTCAGAACCATCTTTTTTAGTAACTTTAACACGTAAAGTACCACCATTATTACCATCTTTAGCAATCATATCTTTCAAATCAATAGTAGTTAACAAATCACCAGCAGAAATTTTATCATAATCACTTTCATCAGCAAAAGTCAATGGTAACATACCTTGTTTCTTTAAATTAGTTTCATGAATTCTAGCAAATGATTTGACTAAAATAATTGAACCACCTAAAAATCTTGGAGATAAAGCAGCATGTTCTCTAGCAGAACCTTCACCATAATTATGTTCAGCAACAACAACCCATGGTCTTTGTTCGTTTTTCCATTTAATCATCAATTCTGGAATACCATATGCTTTACCATCAAAATCATATGCTTTATTGACTTCACCAGTTTCTTTATTCACGGCACCAATTAATGTGTTGTAAGAAATATTTTCCAAATGACCTTTGTATTTCAACCAGGCACCAGCTGCAGAAATATGATCAGTGGTACATTTACCTTCAACTTTTAATAAAACATTAGTGGATAATTCTTCACCTGACCAAGGTTCAAAAGGATCTAAAAGTTGTAATCTATCTGAACTTGGAGAAACATTTATTTGAACTTCTGGTTTTGGTTGTGGACTAGCTTCTGGGTAAAATTCAGAACGACCTGGAATAAACCCACTTTGTGGTAAATCTTCACCTTGAGGTGGTTGGAATTTGAAATCTTCACCATTTGGTAATTTAATTGAATCAGTAACAGGGTTGAAGTTGGCATCACCAGAATAAATCATAGCAGTAACAACATCTGGAGAAGTTAAAAAGTTCATGGTATTTCTGTTACCATCATTTCTGGCACGGAAATTTCTATTAAAGGAAGTGAAAATGGCATTTGTTTCAGTAGAAGTTTTTGGAACATCAGTTCTATCCCATTGACCAATACATGGACCACAAGCATTAGCCAAGACAATAGCACCATTGTTTTCAAATGTACTGGTTAATCCGTCTCTTTCTATGGTAGCTCTAATTTGTTCGGAACCTGGAGTGACAAAGAATGGAATTTTTGGTTTCAATCCAACTGCTTCAGCTTGTCTAATAATGGAAACAGCACGAGACATATCTTGATAAGAAGAGTTGGTACAAGAACCAATTAAACCAGCAGAAATTTTTTCAGGCCAGCCTTCTTTTTGAGCAGTGGAACCAAATTGTGAAATTGGGGTAGATAAATCTGGAGTGAAAGGACCATTAACATGTGGTTCCAATTCAGAAAGGTTGATTTCAACAACTTTATCATATTCAGCACCTTCATCAGCTTGCAAGAATTTAAATTCAGAGTTGACAGCATCAGCAGCTTCAGCAATTGGGGCTCTGTTGGTTTCAACCAAGTATCTTTTATGAGCTTCTTGGTATGGGAAAGTAGATGTGGTAGCACCAATTTCAGCACCCATATTACAGATAGTAGCCATACCGGTACATGATAAAGTTTTGACACCTTCACCGAAATATTCGACAATGTAACCAGTACCACCTCTGACGGTCAAGATACCAGCCAATGTAGTAATGACATCTTTTGGAGAACTCCAACCAGATAATTGACCAGTCAATTTAACACCCAAGATCTTTGGAGCTTTTAATTCCCATGGAGTACCAGTTAATGCATCAACAGCATCAGCACCACCAACACCAATAGCAATGGCACCAAGACCACCAGCATTTGGAGTATGTGAATCAGTACCCAACATCATTAAACCTGGGGCAGCAAAATTTTCTAAAACAATTTGATGGATAATACCAGAACCTGGACCCCAGAATTGTATACCATATTTTTCACCACAACTTTGTAAAAAGTCAAAGACTTCTTTATTTGTAGCTATCGATTTAACCAAATCTTCTGAAGCACCATCTTTACCAACAATCAAGTGGTCACAGTGAATAGAAGCTGGAACAGCTGTAGATGGCATACCACATGTCATGAATTGTAATAAAGCCATTTGTGCAGAGGCATCTTGCATTGCAACTCTATCTGGATTTAATTTCAAATATTGTTGACCTCTGATATCAGCAGTATTGGAAGATGTAAGACTTTCTTCAGGATTACATAAATGTGAATATAGAATCTTTTCAGCTAATGTTAATGGTTGATTATTTAAAATTTTTTTGACAGTGGATAATTTACCAACCAATTTTGAATATGGTGGGGTTCTTGATTGATATTCTGGGGGAACTTGATAATTGAAAGCTTGTGTAGCTAATGCACGTGTAGACACATGGCTACGTATAACAGTTCTAGCTCTTAACATTGAATATATGAAATAAAACGATTAAAGTAAAGAAAAAGAAAAAGAAGAGATCAAGAAAAAGTATAAAGAATATTTTGAAAAATATTTTTCATCCAATGAATTTATACACAGATTTGATTACTGAAAATTTTCTTCACAGCCTGCAGCCGAAATAGGAAAGGAAAATCTTTTTTTTTTTATCAGTAACTATGAGTCAATGAAAAATTGCCGCGCTGGTATCAGCACGTGACTTATAGAAATATCGAAATACAGCAAATGCAAAAAAAAAAAAAATAAAATAAAATATAAAGATACTTTTATTACATCTATACCAAACCTCTCCAAGCTCTATTAACCCAACCACAGTCTCGAATATTGTCATCTTTGGCATCGATCTTCCAATTTGTCTTTGGATCATTGTATTTATCTGAAATACCTTCGCCTGCTGGTTTTGAAATGCATACAAATCTTCCATCTGGTAAAAAGCATCTAATTTGGGATGAAGGATATGGACAAGGACAAAATTTAGGTGATTCAACACATAAGCCAGTGTCAGGACACAAGTATTGGTCACATTGAGAGTTTAATATACGATTTTCATATTCTTGAGGATTTCTAGCACCTTGTTGTTGTTGTCTACCGCCACCACCATGGTTGAAATTATTTAAAAAATCAAATAAGTTTGCTGAAGAAAGTGATATAAATAATGATAAAGCTACTAGGAGATATTGCATCGTTGTGTTGACCGTTGTGTTTGAATTGACAATGCTTTACGAAAACACGTCAACAATTTTTCTTTTTCTCTTTTCGCTCGATTGAATTTTTTTTTTTTTACTTTTGACTTGCACTGTAATTGAAGAGGTCGTGCATTTTAATATAAGATTGGTAGCGACCAATACCAAACGTTAGAAATCATTAGAAATGAATCAAATCAAGTCCAAATATGGTGATTCCTCTAATATTTCCACAGTCTAGGGTTTCTTTTACAATAAAAAATTTAAAAAAATTTTAAAAAAGAAAGGGGCAAACGGGGAATTGAACCCCGGACCTCCTCGAATCTTTTGTTCAGATGTTAAACCCAAACGAGGAATCATACCACTAGACCATTCGCCCTTTTTCGTTGTTGCTCCATCCCTTCCGAACTGGGTCCTTGCGTAGGTTGCGCATTTTATCTACATGGTTCTTACGCATACTCTCCGTGAAATGTGTTGTTCAGTATAGTGACTGCTGCTGGTGAAATGTGCTGGTTTGTTCTGATGAGATGCTACAACACTGCGGAGTGTTCCATCACAGAATACTAAAATAAACTTGGCAAAAACAAGAAACAAACAAAAAAGAGGAAAAATAATTAAAGTACGCCAATACAGATTACACCTTATTCAGAACAGAACCACGGTTTCGTCTCATGTCGTACAAACAGAACATCGAATTCACAAACCGACACATGGGAACGAGTTGGTGAAACCGCACAAGGTGGAGAAAAAGACAAAAAAGAAAAAAATAAATGGGGCAAACGGGGAATTGAACCCCGGGCCTCCTCGAATTTTATGTTTAAGTTCTTAAACCCAAACGAGGAATCATACCACTAGACCATTCGCCCTGTTCTTGTGTTTTCTGAACATCATCGGTCTGACTAGTCACATAATCTTCAGCAAAAGAAGTAGCATAAACTATGATAGAAGTCAATGGAAACCCCCTGTGAGTTCTACTGAATGTTGTCATATTGTACCACACCTATTAATATGTTATGAGCAATATCTCAGAGAGAGTTGTTTACAGTTTTCGATAGTTTTGTTTTTGTCTATCTTTGGTGACAATACTGCACTAAAAACTTCAAATCCCATAATTAGTTCATGTATTAAAGTATTAAAGTATTAAAATATTAATCTAGATCTATGAATTTTGTTTAACAAGAAAATTATAAGCATCTTCAACTTCCATCTGGACTTCTTGTAAGGCTCTCAGTTCTGATCTGACTCCCATGTACCAGATCAAACCATTGAGACCACCTGTAATTATTATGATGGATGATAGAAATAAAAAAACAACGGAAACCCAAGCAGCAACATCAACGACGAATGCAATTCCTATATGCATACCAATTATTGTTGCAAATGATAAAATAAAATGAAATTTTCTCCACAACAATTGTCTAGGAATAGTGAACTTTCGATATTGGGAGATCTCAGCCAACAACTCTCTATAAACCGCTTCCTTCTCCTCATCATTGGCACCTGAGCTATAACTTTTTCTATTATTGATAGAATTAACGACCAAATCAACACTATAAGCAAAATGGTCTGAATACGAACAGCGAAATGGTGGATTAAGTTTATCAACAAATTTTACTTTCGCATCAATAGGAGTGATATTTGCCGCGTCAATTAACGCATAATCCAATCGACATGCTTCCCAAAGTGGTCGCGTTGATCTCCAAGTATTGAGTCTTGAATTACATGTAACACCAGCCAAAAGAATCTGATCTTCAAGTGACAATTTAGCAATTTCTTCATTCGGAATTACCCTGTCTTTATTTAGAATATTCCATGAATCAGACAATCCACCTTCAATAGTAAATAATTTATAAGGTAAAGAATCAGGTGTTGAATTTAAATCTCCAACTTGAATAACAGCATAACCTGCTTTTTTTAACATACGAACCAATTTGGCAAAATCCCAAGCTTGACAAGCTCTATGTGTCGAATAACTTGCATCCCCTTTTCCATATGGTGCATGCATGTGAGAATTCAATAAAGCAATTGGAAGAATATCTGCATGTTGTGGTTGAAACATGGTAACGGCAATACTTTTGCCAACATAGAAATCCCCTCTAAAGAATGCTGATGGTCTACCATTGATTGGGAAACGATAAAGAAAAGTCTCTGTCACTGGGATCTTGGACAAAACTGCTAAACCAGGACCACTCACAATTCCTGATCTAAAAATTCTTCTATAAGGATATCTAACTCGACATACAAGATCCAAATATTGCCAGTCTTCTTCACACCAGACCTCTTGTAGAGCAACTATGTCATAGTCGTCGTCTTCTGACGCAGGGTTTGCCAAAGAATCTGCAATTGCTCTCAATCGTTGTTTCCTAAACTTGGAAATATACTTTAACCCCCAGGTATTAAAGGTTAGAAGCTTGATTGATTGTTTTCTTTCTTCTTTGAATTGCTTTTGATTGAGTTCCCGTGCACTCATGTGTCAACCTGTTTATGTGTCTATCTGTATGTGTAAGGAATTACTCAGTAGAAAAAAAAATAAAACAGCAAAAAAAAAAAAACAACAGCCAACAAAAAAAAGAAAAACAAAACAACAACAACAACATCAAAACATTGAGTGTGCGAGTTTCACATTTTTATTTTTGGCGTGCTTGTGAACATTTCATCTTGTTTTTGGTTTATTTTGGGAAGATTTACAACAGAGTGGTATATTACACAACAATTATCAAATACACAAGAAAGGAACCATGTCGATGAGTACAGCAGAAAGAGCTTTCGAAAGGTTTAATAACGAAATTACAGCATATGAATCCTTAATTCCTCAAATGAATGAGATGGCCCTTGATGTGGTACAAGAATTTTCACATAAACAATCACTAATACACCAACATGCTGAAGAAAATAAATTAAAACTCAATGAGTTGATTAATCAAGAAATAAAATTAAAAGAAGAATTGAATTTATTGAAAGAAAAAGAGAAGGATACAAGGACTCGATTGGAAGAAAGAATGCAATCATTAGAACAACAAAAACAAGTATTTGAAGATCTAGCAAAAAAGAAACAAGAATTGATTCATGATAAAGAAGAACTTGTATCACGTATTGAACAACTAAATTCTAGTATACACGAACGCAAATCAGAACTTGATCAATCAAATGATAATATTTTACTTCAACTAAGTAAGAACTCAACAGAATTGGCAAAATATGAAGCATATACTGGTTTAAGAATTAACGCAAAAAGTCCCGAAAATATGAGCTTTAAATTTTTCAACTTGGATCCTAATGATTATGATAGAGAATTTGTTGTGGATTTAGATATCAGTGGGAATAATTATGAGATTACAAGTACTGAACCTCGATTGAATGACGATAAAGTGTCAGAGTTACAGAGTACATTGAATGAGAGCAAACAACTTGGAAAATTCTTAAAGGACATTAGAAATGAATTTAAAGGTTTCATAGCATACTAGGGTTGTATATTTTCAAAGACGTCACAATAGTATTATTTTGTTTTTACATAGAAAACAAGATCATCTCGACCAGTTTTCATTACAATAAACGTTTGATTTATTAGGCAATATACTCTATTTTATAATTAAATCATTGATTGGTAGTTGCCAAAAGAAAAAAAAAAAAAAGAACACAGACTAAGCGTATTATTCTGTTGAAGTGATGTTAGTTCATCTTATGCTTTCGCAATGCAAAAAAATGATTCCGCCCAGGATCGAACTGGGGACGTTATGCGTGTTAAGCATATGCCATAACCAACTAGACCACGGAACCATCTTGTTGTAAGTGGAAGTCCATGAGGATATGGAGTAAAGTCTATTGCTAATAATCAAATAGTTTCTAGACATACACACATTCTATTCAACAAAATTGATTGAACTTCCTTCCTTTTTAGAATGTTTTCTTTCACGACTACCTTTAGGAACTCTAGCCAACCAATAAAGAAAAATGGCAAAGATAATATTAAATACAATAAAAACAATGAATATCCCAAGGTTTCGCCATCTTTCACTATATATGGCATGAACAGATTCCAAAAATGTATTTGTTTCATCAATGGGACAATATAAACATTTATTCCCTACAGTGATAACATACCCTCCAACTCTTTCCATAAATAAATTCATAAATCCCTGACAAGTTTGCCCTGATGGTCGTTTAATTTGTAAATATTCACGGTCGGAACAAGTGATTTTCGAATTTGCCAAAGCAGTAGATAGTATTGCCTGTACTAAATAAGTCAATGGATTGCATCGGTAGATAAAAATCCAAAACCGTGGCATCAGTTCAGGGGTTGCCAACACTCCACAAAACATTAAACATAATGAAAACATCAACTTAGCCAAATTGGCTGCCGAATCAGGCAGTTCATTAAATGAATTGACAAAATGTCCCAAAGTTGTGATATAGCAATAAAAGGATACTTGCAATAGCCACATTAAAACACCACGTGAATTCACAGAGTTTGTCGTTTCTGCATTATGATAGAACCCAAGAGGGTAATACCAACAAAAATAAGCTAGTGTTCCTAAAATTATTTGGAATGGTAATTCAGAGGTAATTTGACCAGTGATAAATGCAGACCAGCTATACGTTCGAGATGGTGCTTCTCTAATTTCAAATAAATCCCTATTCTTCACAAATGCTGGTAACATTTGTTGTAATAATGAATTGAGAACAACAAATGACATAAAAATCGAAAACATCTGATTAGTTAATGTTTGTATCGAATTCCGGGTGTTGAAAAATGAAAACCCATTAAACAAAGATGCAGTTATCACAAGGAATAATTTTCCATAAATATACCCTGGGGTTCTCCAATCTTGAACCACTGTTCTCCAAGTAACCAACAAGTATTGTTTCCAAATTGGAGCAGCATATGTCAACTTAGCTTCAGGATCTTCATCTCTTGGTAGTTTAACAAATTCAGTTTCCATACGAGTAATTTCATTTTGAACAGCTCTATATTCATCAGAGTTTCTCCAAACTTCAAAATAGTCTTGTTTAGCATGAGATCCTGGGGCAGCACCAACAACTTCCAACATCCATTCTGCTGGATTGGCTTCTTTAGGACATGGATCTGCTCCGTGTTTTTCAAAATATTCAATCATAGTTTGACAATTTTCACCCAAGTCACCAAAGTAAACTGTCTCCCCGCCTTTTTGCAAAAACAACAATCTATCAAATTCAGCCATAATAAGCGCAGAAGGTTGATGTATAGTACACAAAATGGCTTGACCATGATCAGCTAATTTTCTCATCAACTTACAAATAGACCAGGCGGTTTGGGAATCTAAACCAGAAGTTGGTTCATCCAAAAACAACAACAATTTAGGTTTGGAAACTAATTCAACACCAATGGATAATCTCTTTCTTTGTTCAACATTCAAACCTTCACCAGCAACACCAACCAATGCATCTGCATATGAATTCATATCTAATAGATCAATGATATACTGAACATATTCATTTTTATCTTTTTTTGAAATTTTCAGTGATTGTCTCAAGTATGCAGAAAACTGCAATGCTTCTCTAACTGTAGTTGTTTGTAAATGGACATCTTGCTGTTGTACATAACCAATCGATCTTTGGAAGGAAGAATCCAACTCGTGTCCGTTAACCATTCGTACACCATCAGTAATAACACCAACTGAAAGTCTTCCTGACAAACAATTCAACAAGGTTGTTTTGCCAGCACCAGTTGCTCCCATCAAGGCAGTAACTTTTCCCGGCTTAATCCAACCAACAATGTCATTCAAGATTGTTCTTTCTTCATTTTTGATCTTGATCTTGTAAGTCAAATCTTTCCAGAAGAATATATCTTTAGCTTGAGAAAGATCCTCTGATTTGACAACTATACTATCATCAATGAAATCATCATGGGTATACTTTTCTTCTAACAAACCACCTTCAATATCATCACAGTTTCTATTTAGCTTGTGTTTCTTCAAATCACCCTTGAGAAATAAAACAATTTCACCCCTTTGAATAGCACCTCGATTAATTCCAGTTAGGCCAATATAAATTGCTAAAAAGAAAACGATGAAGCCAATGACAATACCAAAGTCTCTCCACTTGTGGACACCATAATATTGGTAGGCATATTTTAAGAAATCTGTTCCACTAACATATGGATTTCCTGGAATTGACCCCACGGCAGAACAAACTTGGTCTTCTGAGTTTAAATCTTCATAACCAGATCCTGATGGTACATAAGTTGAACAAAGAAAGTGACGACCATGAAATTCATTAACCATGATAGATTCAAACACATATGCAATTGGGTTTATGTAACTGATCCACTTTGCCCATCCTAACATGTCTGGTTTTGGAACAACAAATCCTGTGTAAATAACCATTGCCATTAACAAAATAGTCGAAGGTATCATGGCACCTTCCAATGAAGTTGTTATAGCACCGACGGATCTAAAGAAATGAGACATAACTAATGTGGCAAGGAAATTCATCAACCAATAAAAGAAAAATCTTCCAGGTTCTCTTCTCAAGTTTATCATAAAATAGAATACAAAATTAAATGATATTGATGAGATCAACTTGATTGGGAGTTCACTTATGATACTAGCCAATGCATCTGCAGATGGTCTATAAAGAGCAAACTTTCTATGTTTCTCAACTACGGGTCTGGCTTCATACATTGTCATTACTTCCAACAAGGAAGAAAATGCATTGAAAAGAACAGCATAAAACAAAGCAACACCACGGTGATAAAATGAATCAGTGGTTGGGGGAAGATTATAGAAAACCGAAGACAATATCAATCCCAAAACTAATTGAACAAATCCTGAAATAAGTGCAATTGATGGATCTCCCTTCATGCGAACAAAATTTCTGGCCACAAGATATCGAACTTGCATGAAAAATGAAACAGTATACGGTGAACTTGGACGAGTGTGCTCTGATTGTCTTGCAACATGTGATTTTTGATAATTTTTTTTGGTATTTAATTTCTCACATTCAATCAAATAACTATCCATGTCTTGAATCAAGGCAGAATATTCTGGTGACTGTTTCCAATACGCTTCAAATTCTTTGGGAGTTCTGGGGACTTTATTTTCATATCCTGATAATGGCTCTCTTTCAGTTGGATTGGTTAATGATGTCAAAAAGTCTGCCATAGTTTGTCTTTGAGGACATTTATACCCCATCTTGACAAAATACTCCTTGGCTTTGTCTGCTTTCCCAAAGAAAATCTGGTAACCTTCATACAACACAACAACATTGTCAAACAAATTATAAGAATCTTGGGAACATTGGTAGATGGCAATAACTGGAGTACAGCTAAGAATCCTTGCTGATGTTTTCAATGCTCTAATAAACTCCAATGCAGTAGCGGAATCCAAACCTCTGGTTGAATTATCCCAACATTGAATCTTAGCTCCACTTAATGAAACTTCTGCAATGGAAACTCTTTTCCTTTCACCACCTGATACCCCACGTACAAAGTCATTACCAACTTTAGTGTTTCTTGTGTGTGATATACCATATGTAGCCATATACGCATCAGCCATTAGTTTTGCATACGTCTCCCTGTCAATTCCAATCCCTCTATTTTGTGGTGTTCTCATTCGAGCAGCAAATTCTAAAGTATGACCAACAGTCATGTGTGGGAATATGAACTTCAATTTCGGCAGAATAGATAACATCTCCACGATAATGATGCTCAATATCCTTTTGTGTTATGCCATCATAGATAATAATTGACTCCTTTGCTATGTGAAACCCGTATGTCTGGGCGGCAATGGTTTTCAATAGAGTTGAGCATCCAGCACCAGGTCTACCTAAAACAACAGTTAGTTCCCCTGGTCTCATTATTCCATCCATTGTTTTCAAAATATCATAATATCTTGACTTGTCTTCTTTCCAGAAATGTCTTAAACCTTTTCCTGCCAATTTCCAGAGTGCATTGGTAACCGTTGGTTGATAATCAACATCATTAGCAACACCATAAACACGTAAATCTCTGTAAGCTACACCTAATTTTGAATGTTGCCAGTATTCTGGATCAGAATCGTATACCTTTCTCAAGTTCTTGATCCAAAGTTTTGAATCGAAATCATCCGAGTCTGGGTTCAATTCTGGTGGTAGATTATCAATGTCACAAGGGTTTATACCTGGTACTTGACTCATATTTGAAATACAACGCTCCAAACTATTATTTGAACTAATAACCACCAAAGATTTGGCTAAATTTTTGATTTCATTACTGTCTAATCCATGATATTCTTTATTTGGTAACCTTAAAGTTGTTGATTCATCCATTTGTTAATATTCTTGTAAATTGAACTCGGTGATTATCACAGTAAAAGTGATAGATTGAATTGATAAGAAACGTTGTATTATATAGAAAATATTATTTAGAATTCAATCCTTAGAAAATCAGCAAAATGCCCCGTTGAATTGAATAAACTTTTTTAATATCGTATGACTTGGTATACAATTTAAGCTCTATTGTTTTGTCAACTATAATGGAAGTAAGCCAATGGTGAACAAGATTTGGAAAATTGTCTTCCATAGTCGGTAAGCTCTTCGCAACCGCTACTAACAAGCGAAGATGTTGTTCAATTTTTAGGTCTCCCATTACTTGGTCTTTCTATTAATATAGCTTACAGAAAAGTATCACTGTACCGGTGAATTAGATGCGAAATGTCTTGATGATGGAAAGAAAAAGCAGAATTTGATGGGTGGATTATACTTCAATTGATCATTATTAAATCACATACTCCTATACAGCATTTATTTTAGTCTACAACAAGATGGTTCCGTGGTCTAGTTGGTTATGGCATATGCTTAACACGCATAACGTCCCCAGTTCGATCCTGGGCGGAATCATTTTTTTGTCTTGTCTTTTAACTCCGCACAGATATTTTTTTTTTTTTTGAAATTTATAATTTCACAAGGAAAAGACCATAAGAAAAATTTCTTGTCTAGAGTTACGTACTTATCGGGATAATCAACTTATTTTTTTTCTTCTTCTTCTTCTTCCTATTCTTCGTTTAGTATTGGCCTGGTTTTGCCATTGAATTTTTTTTTTTTTATTCTTCTTTACTATATTGATTTGTTATTTTGACTAGAGATTATCAATGTCTGGAAGTGCTAGTGAAAGAATCATTGGTCATATGAACAATGATCACCAGTTGGCTTTGTCCGATTATGTTGTGGTTTATGGGGAAACTAAACCAGAGAATTTAGTTGAGGAATCTGTTCAAATTGTTTCTGTTGATGAAAAACAAATTGTTATTGAATATGATATTGTCAAACCACCAATCACTAAAACTTTATCCCTTTACTGGTATGATGCTAGAGAAGATGAAAATATCGAAGTTAAATCTTTTGGAGATATTAAGGGCAAATTAATTGCCATGGCAAAATATTGTGCTAAAGAACAAGGGTATGCTATTAAGAAATTGGACAAAATTGCTTTACCTGGAATTGCAGATTATCCAATGTATATTATTTGGTTAGTATTGTTTGCCAATGCATATGATCCAACTATTTTGAGAAAATTCTTTTCCAACATTGGTGTTTTGAAGAAATTGGCTGAATATTTACCAGCTGTGGCTTTTGTTCCATATCAACATCTTGAAAACAATGCACTCAAATACATTGTTGGATTGTTTGTTACCCATTTGGCAGAAGTATTGTTGGTTACTAGAGGTTATCTTAGAAAATATAGAGTTCCAGAAAACCAAAGATGGATTTGGTATTTCATGCACTTAATTGAAGGTTTCCCATTTATTTTTAGACTTAAGAATGCTACTAAGTAAGCTAGAATGTATTAGAATAATAGATGTTAGTGTTGTGTTGTGTTGTATTTTGTTTATCATTATATTGACGATTATTTGTAATTACTAACGGTCTCTTGCTCATAACGCTAATTAATTAACCGATATCGGTTTGCAGTGATAGTTATCATAAATACCAGAAAGTCATGAAATCATATATGGGCAGTGTATCATTCTGGAAGGTTTAGTTGTAAATGAATACTATTGTTTCTATTAAAATTGGGTAGCTGTGGATCACTTGGCTTTTATCTTTCAGTGAACTCTAGTAACAAAAGATACCCTAGCATTTCGACTTCCAACGAATTGCTTCGTTTGTCCGAGTTGAATTAACCAACTGGACTTACTGGCGGCATGACCGAGTGGTTAAGGTGAAAGATTAGAAATCTTTTGGGCTATGCCCGCGCAGGTTCGAGTCCTGCTGCCGTCGTTATTTTTTTCTTTTGCGACTCTTGCTTTTACAAGGGTTGTGTTTCTTTGATTTTTTTTTAATAGATAATGAAAGCCCATATGCTTATAGAATGTGAAATAATGTTTGGTACCTATCAGTTAGGTTTTAATGTAAAACAGAGAAAATATTGATAGTTCTTGCTGCACCCAAAGTATGGTGAGATATCTGTAGTGCGAAACTGAAGTTCCCCACAAATCATTATATAAGAAGCAAACTATTGTCTTGGTTTGTGAAAGCCAGCGTTCAATTGATTTAGCATAAGGTCCTTCTCATTGTAATTATTCCTACTTATTAAGGATGTATCTCCTTGTCCTTGATTCCAATGCTGCCCGGACTTTCTCGCAACCATCACGAAAATCTCTGCTGGCAGGATAAACCACGCCTGCTGGATTTAACATGTTTTGTTACTTAAAATCTGGACATTCTTTAGAAGAGTAGCAATTCTTAAAAAAACAGAATATCAGATCACCAACTGCATTGGCATTAATCAATTGGTATCTAATAGAAACATCTACCGTTTAATCAATCACTATCAACGACTATCAACGACTATCAACGACTTCAACAAAACGTGGGTAATGTACACTACCCTATTCAGCCTTTCGTAGAGTTGCGTCTAAACAAAAAAAGAAAAAAAAAAACATTCTCGTTTTGCCTTTTGCTTTACAACAAAGTTTTTGTAATTTTTAAATTTTTGGTTGTTGTTGTTTTTCTTTTAGTTTTTGTTCTTTTTGCTTTTCCCTTATATATTCTCCTTTTTTGTTGTTGTATCCAATATAAAGAATAAGGATTATAGATCATTCCCTTCTTTTTTTGATTGATTCATTTATATTTGCTACTGTGATTCACTTCAATCACGTTCTCAGATATTTACAGCAGTAACAGTTAATAAGGTTATAATTTACATAGTGCCACACAATTAAAAAACCATTTGTTAGATTCAATTTTACTCGATATAGGCGTTTTAGTCTTTGGCTTTGATCATTTTTAATTTTGAGTAAACAATACAAGTATGAACGGCGACCATCATCATCATCACCACCATCACCATCATCATTCTGCAAATAATCCAAATAATTTACATTTACAGTTCTTTCTGGTACCCCAAGATCCCATACCTACAAATGCCCTTGATACAAGTAGTTTAGTGGTTAATCGAGTAACCATGAATCCACTAGTTGAACCACCTTCAAATCACACAGTACCCACTACTACAACGACGGTTACATCTACAACTGCATCAGCAACATTATCGAACACGGTAGGTGCAGATGTAAAAGAATTTGAGGACGATGACGAAGATGACAAATATTCCGAAGATAAACTAGATCCAATTGCATTCGCAATCAGAAATCGAAAGTTTAAGGCGGAATTAACCCCAGATGAACGAGGATATATTATTGGCCGATCAGTTAGTACAAGTATTCAGGAACTTTCAAAAGAATTAAAAATGTCAAGAAGTACAATACAACATACACTTAAGATGTGTAGACAGAGGAAACATAACAAGACGCTTAATCAGAATAGAGGAAGAAAATTGGCTATTTCACCGGAGGAAATGGAGGAGGTTTTTAAACTTCTTGACGACAAACCAAACATGAGCAAACAAGAAGTCATAGCGATATTGAATTTAAAAGTAAGTCCTCGAACTCTAAGTAGAGCATTACAAAGAAATGGAAATAGGAAAGGTACACAGCGTAAGTAGAGTATCATAAATTTACCCAATTTTGAATTATATTTATATATATATTATATTATTTTGTCACGTTAATAAAATTAATGAGAGTTACTACTACTATTTTTATTCTGTTTTAGCACGTTTAGCAGCTGGTTCTTCATTGTCATCGTCATCATCATCAGAGATGTCCAATTCTTCACCTTCCGAAGAATCCAACTCTTCATCATCACCCTCACTTTCATTCAATCCAAGGATATAAAATTTAACCCCATTTAAAAACAAATCAACTAATAAATTGGCAACCTCGTCACCATTTCTAAATTCTTTACCTGGTTTTTTACCAGTCCAACGAAACCATGAAAAGAATGATTTCATACCTAATCTATAGTTCATCTTATCCTTAGCTGACATTTCTTTTTTATCTTTACCTTGATATTTTTCTTTAATAGTAATTGGATTAATCTTGGATAATTCTTTTGGCCATTGGATATCCACTGGTTCTGATGTTATACTTTCTTCGCCATCTTCTTTCACAATAGTTCTAAATTTTTTAGTTATTTCTTGTTGTGGGATCAATTTACTTTTACCAAAACTGATTGTTATATCGAAATCTCTGAAATTATCGGCCTCACCATCAACAATTGGATAATGAACATATATATCATCGATATATTCTAAGAATTTCAAGTCTTCGGGACTTATATAATCAGCAAAATCATCATTTTCTGCAAGGACAATATACCAAAATTTAGGTATTGTTTTTAAAATTGAACGTCTTTTTTCATACATTGGTTGTGTTTCCTTCATTCGATGAATTTCAACTTCTTTTTCAACATCATTCATATTCTTTTCCCAATCAGCAAGTTTATCCAAACTTGCTTGGAGTTTCTTTCCTTCATCTTCGGCCATGATTTATTTGTTTCCAATTGATATTGAGTTACTATTGACCAAAACAAAAAAAAGTACAGAACATACATTTGATAGATGGAATTTCTTTTTTTTTTTTTGCTTCTTTCTTTTGGCTGACGATTATGCCATTTCCATTCTCTGTCGCGTTTCTTTCTTTCCTTCGTTCTTGCATAATTCGCCTTGTGGCCAAAATGTCCATCGTTCTCTTCGTTCGACAAAAAGATCATTGGCATCCAACTCATCATTATTGAATTTTCCCTTCTACCATCGACCCATTTTCATGTCCTCCTATTACATATTTGATAAACATGCTTAAAGAGAACGAGATCATATCCAAGACCCTTTTAACAATAGATAAGTTTAAAGGAAGTGTGGAGACTTTCAAAGCATCTATAACTGGTGGGGAATATACCAGTTTGAATATGCCAAATTGTTTTACAAGAACTTTGGTTTGGAAAGTTTGTTTAATAACTGAAAGTCTCAATCTTAGCTTGATAAATCAAAAACTTAGGGATTCTAGATTAGTATATCATCTGTTGATTCATAATAAGGAAATGAAAATACCGTGGCATGAATTAGATCCTGAAAGTGCTTATTACCAACCTGTCAATACAATCAAAAGAAACGTATCGTCAAAACATAAATCATCAGCAAGAGGTAGGAAGAATACCCTTGATAGAGTTCAAATACAGCATGATCCCCTTTCTGAAGATAGTAGTACTACTCCTCAAGTAGAGGAAACCCATGATGATCATGAATTATTAGTAGCAATAATTTTAGATGTTGATAGATTACTACCAGGAGATCCTTTTTACCAAGAGTTCACTAATAAAAAACAATTAGTTGAGATTTTATATATTTGGTCAAAATGTAATCCACAGGTAGGATATAAACAAGGACTACATGAAATTATTGGCCTTATATTTATGCATCTTGCTAAAGAATCAGCAATTATACCTCAAACAAATACGTTTTCCAGTGATGACTTGAAAATTTTAAACCTTTATGATTTTAATTATTTATCTCATGATGTATTTACGATTTTTAATAGATTTATGATTCAAAGTGGCATTATTACCAATTTTTATGAAAGTGAACAAAGTTTATGGAATTCAATTGAAAGATTTAACATGTATTTAATGAAAATTGATCAATTTATTCATTATACATTAAATACTAAACTAAAATTAGAAGCACAATTATGGATAATTAGATATTTACGATTGCTTTTATCAAGAGAGTTAGGTGAAGATGTAGAAACAACAATGTTATTATGGGATAAATTAATAGCTTCACAATTATCAACTGATCATCTGGGATCAAATTTAACTGCAATTCCAGAATTATTAAATTTTATAATCATTCAGTTGTTAATGCAAAAGAAATCAGATATAATTTCAAGTGATTTTAGTGAATGTTTAACGCTATTATTACATTATCCAATTAATTTCACTAATGATGAAGCTAGAAATGAATTTATTAGAAAATTATATAAAGATGCTACGAAGTTATATGAAAGAAAAGATAATGATTTAAAATTGTATGAATATGGTGTAAAATTAAATAAAGATAAAATGAAATTTGAAAAAACAAGATTAGAAATGAGATTAAAAAAGAAAGTACAACTGATGCTTAATACTTAGAAATAGGTTACAGTATACAATAGATATATTTAACGAATAAATATTTATCAGCATGAACTAGATTTCTTAATTGAAGTGGTTTACTACTTGTACAATCTAATGTAGTTATTCAGATTACAATTTTTAATCACATATTGTCACCAAAGATAGACAAAAACAAAACTATCGAAAACTGTAAACAACTCTCTCTGAGATATTGCTCATAACATATTAATAGGTGTGGTACAATATGACAACATTCAGTAGAACTCACAGGGGGTTTCCATTGACTTCTATCATAGTTTATGCTACTTCTTTTGCTGAAGATTATGTGACTAGTCAGACCGATGATGTTCAGAAAACACAAGAACAGGGCGAATGGTCTAGTGGTATGATTCCTCGTTTGGGTTTAAGAACTTAAACATAAAATTCGAGGAGGCCCGGGGTTCAATTCCCCGTTTGCCCCATTTATTTTTTTCTTTTTTGTCTCTTTCTCCACCTTGTGCGGTTTCACCAACTCGTTCCCATGTGTCGGTTTGTGAATTCGATGTTCTGTTTGTACGACATGAGACGAAACCGTGGTTCTGTTCTGAATAAGGTGTAATCTGTATTGGCGTACTTTAATTATTTTTCCTCTTTTTTGTTTGTTTCTTGTTTTTGCCAAGTTTATTTTAGTATTCTGTGATGGAACACTCCGCAGTGTTGTAGCATCTCATCAGAACAAACCAGCACATTTCACCAGCAGCAGTCACTATACTGAACAACACATTTCACGGAGAGTATGCGTAAGAACCATGTAGATAAAATGCGCAACCTACGCAAGGACCCAGTTCGGAAGGGATGGAGCAACAACGAAAAAGGGCGAATGGTCTAGTGGTATGATTCCTCGTTTGGGTTTAACATCTGAACAAAAGATTCGAGGAGGTCCGGGGTTCAATTCCCCGTTTGCCCCTTTCTTTTTGCTATTTTTTTGTTTAACTCACCTAGTAAGTTTACTCAAAGCCAAATAGGTTTGTTACTACACGTCTTTTTTTTTGTGAACTAAAATAGTGGTTAAAATATATCATCTTGGTATTGAATTATCATGTGGTGAATAGGTGATAATATTCGTCTTAACAACAGCATTATACAACTCATGCAGAATCATAGCAACTTAATATGACTAATCCCTATTCTTGTTGTAGCTTCTTTTTGTCAAATAGAGTCACAACAACCGTTGGAAGGTAATGTCCAATAAATATCATGGGTCGGTTATGATGATATTTAACTATAAATCATCATTAGGATCATTGTAGAAATACAGCCAATTCTAGTGTACGGCATATGCTTTTCTCCCTTAATATACATATATAAAAAAAAGGGACCTGCGCCATTTCCCCCCATAAAAATTAGATAATTTTTTTTTGAACGGTTGTCTTATCTTTTTATCACCAATTTATAAGTTAATTGAAAACCACAATGTCTTACAATCAACGTCCCCGTAAACACCGTGTATATACAGAAATTAACGGTGTACTTTATTTAACAATCAATAATTCAAATCAAAATCAAGACCATTACATTGACTCCCTGTATTTTCCTCAGGTATCAAATTCAAGGTCTGAATATGAATTGAGAATTGAACAAAGAGAACGGGATGTAGCTGTAAAGGAAATTCAAATGGAGAAGAAACAAAATTCTTTATCCCAACGGGAATCCCAGCTCGTTGCTAAAGAACATGGCTTTTCTAATAGAAGTATATTACTTGATGAAAAGAGTAGAAAGCTTGCTGCTGATATGAGATCATATCAAGAGAAAGATGCTATGATAAAGAATCGAATTAAATTATTTGAAGCTGATAAAGCAAAATTTGAAAATTACAAGACACAGTATGAAAGGACAAAAAATCAATTGGGTCAGAATTTAATTTCAAGATTTGAAAATATGGTTGAATCACAAATTTTATCAAATATTTTAGGTGATTTTGGTGAATTAAGATTTGAACTTGATAATTTTATGCAATGGACTTCAGATGAAGTAGAAGATAATATAATTAATAATAGAAGAGAACTTTCAAGGTTGAAACAGCAAAATGACCAATTGCTTGAAACAATTAGATCATACGACGAGATAATGGGCATTCAGGTGACTCGCTTTAATTGTTTGTTTAATGAGGTTTCATCCATTAAACGTATACAAACAGGAATTGCTGATTTAGAAAAGAGATTAGAAATGAAGGACAATATATTGGCATTAAAAGAAATTCAATTGAGCCACAGGGATAAGGATTTGAAAGCTAAAGATAACCAATTGAAAGAACTTGCCAATCAATTAAAAATTAAGGATGATGAATTATTAGCTAAAGAGAAGGAATTAATGGACAAGGATAAAGAGCTACTTGCCAAAGATAAAGAATTATTATTGAAGGATAGAGAACAACTTGATAAAGAGAAATCAATTATGAATTCTCCCATAGAAACATGGGGTTATGAAACCCAATTGGGAAAGAGTGAGATCAAACTGAATGAAGAACCAGATGCCAAATCCATGAAGAATGATTTGAATAAACTTCAATTGAATATGAATTCCGCATTGTGTCAGTTTGAAATGACCAATGATCAGATTGCTGCTAATTTGGCTAAAACTGAAAGAGTAAAAGAAATCGATGATGAATCAGATACTGAAAGCGATCCTGAAACCATTAATTCTTTGAATAATTTCAGGAATATTGTTAAGAAATGTATTCCTACTTTTGATGATACACCTTTTGAAGGGGATGAAAACGTTAAACATGCAGAATTTAAAAGAGAATTTGTTATTAATGGATCTCATGATCCTAATATAGTAGACAAGATAACCAAGCTTCAAAATCATTTTAGGGAAGGAAAACTTTCTTCTGAACTTTGGCCAATTGAAGCAGAATTCTATCTTGAAGGAAATTTACAGGATACGTATACGAGACAACGTAGTTATCCATTGATACCTGGTAATATGAGATGGTTAGATATTGGCAAAGTGCTTTTAAGTAATTCTATTGTCAAGTATAATATTGATACGTCAGAAGAAGATGAAGAACCTGAAGACAAGCATGAAGAAGAGGAAGAGGAAGAAGCAGCAGTGGGCACAAAGGATGAGGAGGAGCAAGTTCATGAAGACCAAGAAGAAGAAGAATCGACACCTTCAACAATATCCCTTGATGAGTTTACAGAAGAGGAAGAAGTAGATATAACATCCGGATTATCAACCGATTATGAAGCTGATGTAGACTAGATAGTTTTCATTTTTTTTTATTTTTGTAATTTTATTTTATATGTATTATGTAATTACCAATAATGGAAATGGATTCCGCGAGCCGCAATCTATCTTATCGTTTTTTTCCAACGGAAATTCCGATTTAACAAATTAAGTAATTGATTTAAGAATTGTTGTTTATTAATTTTTATTTATTTTGACAGATTACATACAACTCTGCATATTATTCTCCAGATTTTTCAGCATCAGTTGTTTCCATCTCCCAAAATACTAAGCCTATTTGAATTCATGAGTACAGAAGGATCAAATGAAAATACTACCAGTAGTAGTACTACTAGTAGTAGTAATGCTACAAAAAAGAGAAAGTCCACATCATCAACAACAACAACCACTACAGGAGGACAAGTTAAAGATGATACAAGAAGATTGGCACAAGCATCAAGAACATTAAAAGCATGTGAATTATGTAGGAAACAAAAGACAAGATGTTCAAGATCAATAGAAACTTCAAATTCATGTTTAAGATGTATATTTTTAAATAAAAAATGTTCATTTGAATTAAATAATGAAAATAATTTAAATAATAATGGAATCAATATTCCTTTTAATTTAAATAATCAAGAAAATAATAAAAAATTGGATAATATAAATGATGGTATAAATGAAATTTTAAAATTATTGAAAAATAATCCAGCAAGAATAAGAAATAGAAATGAAAGAAGAAAAAGAAGAAGGGGGATTAGAGATGAAGATGTTCAATTGTTATTAGAAACATCTGAAAATACGGGAAATAAATCAAGAATACTAAATGATGTTGGTGATGATGATGATGATGATGATGATGATGATGATGATGATGATGATGATGATGATGGAGAAGAGGAGGAGGAGGAGGAGGAGGAAAATATACCTCAATTTGAATCATTTAGAAGTATAACTGAAAGTTCACCATTTTCAATCATACTGAATTTATTCAATGATAAGACAACATCAACCAATGACGTGGAATATGATAATGAAGAAGATGAAGAAATAGAAAATATAATCTCATTAGGGATATTAACAGAATTAGAAGTAATTGAATTAATATCAAATTTTAGAAGAAATTATGGACGTTGGGTATCATTTCCATCAAATTTAACAACTGAAGATTTAATTAAACAAATTAAAAAAACATCATCATTATTATTAACTTCATGTTGTTTAGTATCAATAAGATATCAAATATTTGAAAATAAACAGGACAAATCTTTGAAATATTTCATGTTAATTCAACAATTAATTAAAGATTTAAATAATTCTTTAATTAAATATACTTCAATTAATAATACTCAAAAGAAGATATCAGGACAAGTTGAATTTTTACAAGCTATTACAATATTAAGTATTTATCTGATTAGTATTTCAAAACTTGAATCATCTTCTGGATCTTTAATTAAACTAGATCCATGGATATTATCAAATATCGGATTATCTACATTTATAACTAAAACATCATTAGGAGAATTTAAAGAAATCAATGAAGAGAAAATCGTGGTTAATAGTAATGATGGTAAAGAATATGATAAAGTTATGATCATGAGAATTTATAATCATTTATGTCTTGCACATATTGTTAATTCAATATTTTCCGGTAGATTATGTATCATTGATTCAATTAGAGTTGAACAAACTACAACAACATTAAGTTTATTAAAAGCAACTAATTTTGATGGTAGAATGGTTAGTGAAATTGGATTATTATTTATAACTTATAATTATCTTCAATCGATTAATAAGGTTGAAAAATTTCAAAAATTAGATGATTTATTTCATAAAATTATAGATGATATTAAAAAATGGTTTATTCAATGGGAATATTTATTTAATCAACCAGTTTTACATTTTCTTGAATTTAATTATAATTTTTGTTCAATGTTTGTTTATTATATATATTGTCATCAAAGATTAAAACTACTAGGTCAATTAGATGATAGAAAGTCAATACTGTTGATGGATAAAGATGTCTTGAATCATGTTTTTAAAAGTATTGATAATGAAGATATTTTATTAACTATGTTTGATTATTGTTTGAATGTTCTTTATCATATTAATAATATTGATAATGATTCATATTTTGCTTATCTATCTGATCAAATTCATTTCATATTCTTTTTTTGTGGGATATTTATGATTAAATTAACGAAAGTAATGATTGATAAACAAGTATTGATAAATAAAGATGATAAAAATAAAGGAATAAAAGTTGTTAAACAATTGATTCATAAGTTCAATAAAATTACAAATGATCACCCTGATGATATATTGAACAATTATAAATTAAATCTTGAATCATGTATATCTGAAAATATGTAATATACAAGGAGAGGATTATTTTAAATGACCTTTATAGTTACCTTCCATATAATCAATATGAACAAAAGCTCTTTCAACCATTGGTAAACTTTCAATTGAATATTGTAAAGCTTCAGCAATATCATGACAATCTTTAAATGATAAATTAAATTTATCATTAGCGAAAACCAAATCAATTTCAACATTTAAATTATCACCAACATGATAGACTTTAAGTGCAGTGATTTGTTTTATAGGTTCAGCAAATCTATAAGCAAGATATAATATAACTTTATAATCCAAAGGATCAGCAGCAGCACCAGTTAAATTATTAATATGTTCAAAAGCAGTAATACCCCAATTAACAATAATATAAATTGATAATAAAAATGCACCTAATGGATCAAACCACCAAATATTGAAAAAATGACCCAATGTTGGCATCAATAAAGAAACAGTATTAAATATAACATCAGTCATTGCATCTTGAGCTAATGCTTGAACAGACGATGATTTACTACTAGCACACCAAACCCAACAACCTAATTTTGCAACTATTGTTATTGTCATTATACCAATAGCATCAAAACCAATGGTAACAGGGATTTTTTGATTTGGAGAAGGAAAGAATAATCTTTTAAAAGATTCTTGACCAACTTGAAAAAATGAAATTATAATAAGAATTGAAAATATCAATACTCCTAATGGTTCTAATCTTGATCTTCCTATTGGATAAGCATGTTGAATTTTCCAATTGTTTTTGGCAGCTAATCTGTTTACAATATAAATAATAAAAGTGGACATGAAATCTAATATAGAATCAACCAATGAAGCAATAACAGACATTGAATTAGTTAATAAAGTAACAACAATTTTACCAATTAATAATAAAATATTAATTAAAAAATTAACTAAAATAGCTGTCAATACTTGAGCATTATTTTCTTCTTCATTATATCCAAGATATCTTGAACCATCATTATTGACATTTCCAGGAACATCATTAAATCTATTGGAGTATTTTGAATTTGAATCATTTCTCTCTAAATCAGTTGCTTGAAAATTTGTTTCTGCATCATGATGGGATCTCGATAAACTATTTGAACTATCCCCCAGCTCTTCAGTAATATTCTCCAACAGTTCAGTATTGTTACAATTGTTGGTAGTATTAGTATTAGTAGTATTAGTACTAGTTGTAGTTCCATTATGAGTATTACTATAGTTACTCAATACATTATAATGGATTTTACCAGCATCTAAGAAATTATCAATTTCAGTGAATCGTTCAATTAAATAGTTTTGTTCTTGATAATATTTCCTAACATCTTTACTTTTATAATTTTCAATATTTGGATTGAAATAATCATTCCAATTACATAAAGGAGGAACAGTACCTAATAATCTAGCGGGTCTTAAACTACCGACAATATCAACCACACTTAATCTACGATATTCCCCAGGTACATCAATTAAAGAACCGATACTACTTCTTTCACCACCGGTTTTTTGAGGAAATAACGGGGTATTAATTTGTGAACTACTAATATTACCATTTAAATAATTTTCAAATGGTGAATTTGGATTTGTAACTGAATGATGACTTGATAATAATCTATGAAACAATGGTTTTTCCAGTTGCTGTTGTCTACTGGAATATTCATTTGCACTAAAAGAATAATGACGTTTTGAATTCATGACATAATCGTCAAATTCAGTATATTCTGATAAATTAGTTGAACCTGGGCCGGTGACTTGTGGACGAATTATATTGCTATTTGCTGGAGCAGATGTAATAGTTGTAGAAGTGGGGGTTGAAGTGAAAGTAGTTGTTGTAGTTGGAGTAGTTGATGTGTTTATAGTTTGAGTTGGGTATTGAACAGTCCGTTGATGAGGAATTGGAGATATCGTATAATCAGTGGTTTTTGACTTTCTCAATTGTTTATTCAACAATGGTTGAGCTTCATTATCTTTAGTCATATTGAAAGGTATTTTGGTTGGGTGATGGAGGAGGAGGAGGAGGAAAAGGAATAAACCAAAAAATGGGGCAGAAAAAGTTTCTATTAATCACAAGGTTATTCTTTAATTATTATTAATAGTATTAGATTGTCTGTTTATATATCAGATCAAAGTGGAATGTTGGTTGGTTGTTTAGTTTGTTGGTTGAAGATGATATAATAATAATAAGTGCAATATTATTTTTTTGTTATTGGGAGGAAATTAAATAAAAGATCTTTCAAGATAAAAAGCAAACAACAAGAAATAATTATAATTTACAGTTGAAACAGACACAGGTGATGATGATGATGATGATGTAATGACCAGAGCAATGAATGAGGGAAGGATAACTAAAGTTGATACTCTTTCAATTTGTTGAACTTGTTTGTTAATGAAGATGATGAAAATGATTAAAACAAAGTGAAAAATTTCAATCGTAAATTAATTCTGTGTGGTTCCATTTTATTTTATTTTATTTTATTTTATTTTATTTTAATTAACTAACTAATTAATACAAGATGATGTAACATTGATGTTAATGAGATTCAGTGCTGATAGTGAACAGAACTGTTGAAAAACAATAAATACAAAGACTAATAGGAGCTTCAATGGTAGATGGTTGCTTATATCAAACCCCATGGGTCAGGATAGTTTATCATGCATCAATTGATTGCGATGCATTCCTCATTGTTACTATTTGCTATTACTTTATGATGACACTTGATTGATTGTGTTGATAGTGTACAACTGACCACAGTCACATGACACACCATCATTCCAACAACCACCACAACAACAACTACATCATTATCATCTTCTTGATAATCATTTTGTTAATCATCATCATTAACACATTTTGCAGTTGTTGTAGCCATTTTAACCCTAATTCAACGCACACACCCCAACACCAATACTCAAACAAATTTATCACCTTCGACACGACTTCTCAATTTTTTCTGGCGCTATAAAAAAAAAAAAACCTCAGCGAAAATTTTTTTTCATTTCAACTCATCATTCTTTTCTTTCTTTCTTCTTTTCAATATCAACAACAACAAGAGGAACTATAAAAAGTATGTGAAATTATGATAATAATCACTTGTTTGAGATTAATAATTATGATTAAAACTATTGATGTAACTTTTTACTTTACTGAGGATGTATATGCAGGATAAATAGTTAAGGAATTCTTCGTTTATGAATTTTTCAATTAATTAATTCAAATAAGAATAATGAATTAGTAGTATGGGGATTTATTACTAACTTATTAATAATAGTGTATGTTTTATGATTAAATATTGTTAATGGGAGGAATTAATGAAAAAAAACAACAATGTTTTTTTTATTACTATGATGAATTACTGTTACCACAGTTTCTGTCCGGTGAATAAATATATGATCCAAGGATAATTTACATGCATCACCATCTGATTTTTATATTTCCAAATAACTTTCATTTCTTTTTTATAATATGAAGTTTCATTTTGAAATACTAACTGGTATGTTAAGTTTTATTTGAACCATTTGTGTTGTGTTTTATTGAATTTAGAATGATGAAAAATAAATGTTATCAGTTCTGCTTCTGAACCAAAATAATCTGAAGATATCAACTTTACCAAGCTCTAGAATTACACTGATTTCTTTATTTATAAAAACAACAATACAATTGATGATTAACCATCAATGAATATTCATTACTAACTATTAATTTTAAAGATTTAATCAAATAGTCTATTGAATTAGAATAATTAGAATAATAATAATAATATATATTTTAGATAAACACTTTATATTTTTGTAATAATTACTCTATTGTAACTACTTAAACGTTGAAGATGACAACTTTACCATCAAGACCAGAAGTTGAAACTTGACCTGGGGCAAAATTTCTAATACTATTAATTGTATTTTGATGAATAGTACTTAATGCTTTGGCTGATTTCCCACCAGCACTTGGTTTACTAACTCTACCTTTCAAATCCATTTGTTTAAACATATTCAATGCTTGGTGAGATGAAATTTCTTGATCATCATCATCATCACCATTTTCACCAACATGATCATGTCCAGCCTCTTTAGTTAAATCCTTTTGTTGTTCAACTTGATAATCTTCTTTCCAACCATTTTCATCACCTTTGAAAACAACCAAATTACAATTAAATCCACCAACACAAACTTGATTATCATTTAACCAAACAATACTTTTAAATGGTAAATAATTAGTTTTAACATTGAAAATAGCTTTTGGTGGTAATTCTTCTCCTTGAGGATAAATAAATCCTAAACTTGAATCATGAGAAACATAACCTAATGAATCACCATCATTACTAAATTTAACTCCATGAATCCAAGCTGAAGTTTCATTAGTAAAATCTCCACATAAAGTTTGGAATGGTAATTTAGTACCCCAAACACTTGGTTGAGGTTTAGAATCAATTCCTTTAATATAAGCTGAAAAGACTCTAACATGACCATCAGTTGATCCACAAGCTAATAAAACTCCATTTGGATGCCAATCAATTGAAGTAATTGTTGATTTTAAAGGTTTCTTTAAATGTTTAGAAACCCACCAATCATTTTCTTCTTCATAATAACAAATGGCAATAATTCTATCACTTGATCCAACAGCAAATTTTCTACCATCTGGTGCCCATCTACAACAAGTTGCTGATCTATTAATTCTTAATAATACCAAAGTTGGTTTGAAATCACCAGTAGTTGGATCCTTTTCCCAAACTAAAGCATTTCTATCTTGAGAACAAGTTAAAATTCTAGATCCATCTGGTGAAATATCAACAGAAGTAACAGTTTTATCATGATCTTTCAAAACTGTAATTAATTGAGGTTTTGAAGAAAGATTATTGGTTGAAATTTTATAAATTTCAACTTCATTATCTTTTGTAATGGCTAAAATTGAACGATCTGGTGAGAAACAATGATCTTTAATAGGTAAATGACCTAATTGATAAATAGCTGGGACTTTAGAAGACATGTTTTTTACTCAGGAGTATCTCTCTACTGATTGGTTGTTTATTTGATAAATTGACAATTGATGGCGATAATCAAAATGAGGTTGGTTAATCAATGAACAAGTTTAACAAAAAAGAGAAAATCTCGACGTTGGTTGCGGGATGACGGGGAGCCGGGTCGTGTTCGTGTACCCAATCGGGTCGTCGTTCTCGGGTCGTTCTCGGGTAGGAGAATCGCTTTTTTTAGCACAGCCTACCCGACCAATGGCCCACTTATTCAAATAGAATGATACAGATATCAATGGGTCTTTATAATATAATCAACAACTATAAAATGATACTAATCAACTTACTACTACTTATACAACACCTAAACACACACAAAGGGTTAAAACTCATCAGCTTGTTGTTTTTCTTTAATAAAAGTTTTAGTTTTATACCAATAATGTTCAACTTTAGGATTTTTAATACTTGACATTTTACCATCTAATCTATCAATAATTGAGTTAAATAAATTAGTGGTTTCTTTATTATACAAGATTCTTAACCAATAAAAGATCAAAAATACAGTCAATTGATAACCACTTGCATTTCTAAAAAATAATGTTCTAACAAGCAAATAAGCAATCAATAATAATTCATCATAAGCAATAACACTTGCCAAAAAATCAGCTTCTTTAGTAATAAATCCAATGTTTTTAGTAGTACCAATATGTAATAAAGCTAATATAAAATAAGGTAAAATTTTGAAAACGGATTTAAATGTAAAAATCCAAATTGATGCCAATACAAGATATTGAAAATTTTGATGACTTAATAAAGTTCCAATATTTGGTAAATTATGTAAACCAAATTTATGACTAAAAGTAGCAGTTAAAGCAGCAATACTACCAATTAATGACAATCTATAACTTATTGAATTAATATAATAATAATTAGGTAACCAAAAGATTTGAAATATAAAACTAATTGACCCAAATATTAATGCTGATATATGCCCAATTAACCATACTTTATATTTCAATGGATTTGCTTTAGCTGGACGTCTAACCAATTTTCTTTTCTTATAAGCATATGGATCATTAGATACATCTGCTGATGGAGCTGATGATACAGGAGAAGAAGCTTTGGTTGAATTGGATTCAATTGGGGTATTGTTTGAATCGTTGACTGTTGTAGTTGTTTCTGAAGTTGATGACATCTTATCAATTGACTCAAACAAGAAGTTAAACAAGAAGGAAAGTAAGCAAATGAATGAATAAATGAATGAATAGCAATGATGTGTTTTTTTGTTTTGATTCTTTTTTTTTTTCTTAAGGAAATTTCAGGTTGGTTTACATGCAGGACATACATTCCCCAGTGGGTAAAGAAAGAGAAAAAAAAATTATACGCGCAAAGGTAAAGACACGACAATCATCATCAACATTAATATCAATAACAACAATAACAACAACAACAGCAACATTGCAATAAGAATCAATTACCATGTCAACAGCTAGTAACAATGATGGGGTAGTGAAACCAACAAGTATAGATTATACAAATAATCCTAATTTATCAACAATAGAAAAGAAAATCCTTGATCAATATCAATTAATGAACAATACATTACTTGAAATATCAAAAGAATTAGAATCATTAACAGCAACAACTAAAAGTATACAAGAAGATGACGGGAATGATAAAGGGGTTAGTATTAGATTAGTTGAGAATTTAAGACAGTTGGAAACAAAGATGGTTTTCATATATACTTTTTTCAAAGGTGCTGTTTATTCCATATTAAATGCTCAAGATTATACTGCTGAACAAGAACAACAGCAAGATATTATACGACATGATCCTGATGATGATAATAATAAACAACAACAACAACAAGAAGAAGACGATGGTGAACTACTGGGAGTATCGGATAATGACACACAGAATTTGATTACATGATATACTACTGATAATAGTTGTATATATAGTAGTAGTTAATGATGATGATGATGATTATTAGAAATGTGTACTCCCTAATTAAGCCGGCATTAGGTGATTTTAAGTATACCCACCAGTTTAATGTACATACCAGTACGGTAGTTTATATTACGAATGAATCGATCCCTATTTCGCCCGAGTCAATTTTATCACCCGCGTGGGAAAAACTAACTAAATTACTTTTGGCGGGCGGAGAAGTAAAAAAAAAAAAATCAATCATCTCATCTTGTTACCAAAATATATAAACTACGAATAAAAACCCCCTTGAAATTTTTCATTTTTCATTTTCAACAACTTTTCTTTTCTTTTCTTTTCTTTGAATTCTTTTAGTTTTCAACCCAAACAATAACTAGTTTTAGCAATGTCAGATTACGATAAATACTCAACTCCATTATCTTCAAGATATGCATCTGAAGAAATGTCCAAAATCTTTTCTTTAAGAAATAGATTTTCAACTTGGAGAAAATTATGGTTAAATTTAGCAATTGCTGAAAAAGAAGTTGGACTTTCAGTTATTACAGATGAAGCAATTGAAGAAATGAAGAAACATTTGGAAATTACCGATAAAGAAATTCAAGATGCTGCAGTTGAAGAAGCAAAAGTTAGACATGATGTTATGGCTCATGTTCATGTTTTTGGTGAAACTTGTCCAAGTGCTGCTGGCATTATTCATTTAGGTGCTACTTCATGTTTTGTTACTGATAATGCTGATTTAATCTTTTTAAGAGACGCTTATGATGTTATTATTCCAAAATTAGTCAATGTTATTGATAGATTATCTAAATTTGCTATGGAATATAAAGATTTACCAGTTTTGGGTTGGACTCATTTCCAACCAGCTCAATTAACAACTGTTGGTAAAAGAGCCACTTTATGGTTACAAGAATTATTATGGGATTTAAGAAATATGGTTAGAGCAAGAAATGATATTGGTTTAAGAGGTGTTAAAGGTACTACCGGTACTCAAGCTTCTTTCTTGTCTTTATTCCATGGTGATCATGATAAAGTTGAAGAATTGGATAAAAAAGTTGTCGAATTATTAGGTTTTGATATTGTTTATCCAGTTACTGGTCAAACTTATTCAAGAAAAATCGATATTGATGTTTTAGGTCCATTGGCTTCATTTGGTGCCACTGCTCATAAATTTGCTACTGATATTAGATTATTGGCTAATTTGAAAGAAATCGAAGAACCTTTTGAAAAATCTCAAATTGGTTCAAGTGCTATGGCTTATAAGAGAAACCCAATGAGATGTGAACGTGTTTGTTCATTAGCTAGACATTTAGGTGGTTTATTTAATGACGCCGTTCAAACTGCTTCTGTTCAATGGTTTGAAAGAACTTTGGATGATTCTGCTATTAGAAGAATTAGTTTACCTTCTGCTTTCTTAACTGTTGATATTTTATTATCTACTATGTTGAATATTACTAGTGGTTTGGTTGTTTATCCAAAAGTTATTGAAAGAAGAATCAATTCTGAATTACCATTCATGGCTACTGAAAATATTATTATGGCTATGGTTGAAAAAGGTGGTTCTAGACAAGATTGTCATGAAGAAATTAGAGTTTTAAGTCATCAAGCAAGTGCTGTTGTTAAACAAGAAGGTGGTGATAATGATTTAATTGAAAGAATTAAAAATACTGAATATTTCAAACCAATTTGGAATGATTTAGATAAATTATTGGATCCTTCTACTTTTGTTGGTAGAGCTCCTCAACAAACTGAAAAATTTGTTAAACAAGATGTTGCTAATGCTTTGGAACCATTTAAACATCTTATTACCACTGAAAATGTTGCCTTGAAGGTTTAATCATTTTTTATTCTTCTTTCCTCCCTCCCTCTCTCCCTCCACTTTTAAATATGACTTTATTGAATATAAAGAAAATGGTATATGTACATTAAATTAATATATAAAAATTACTATTACTATTAATACATAAACAGATCCAAACAAAAAAAAGAGTTACATAAATTACAATAAGAAGAAAATAATACCAAAGGATAGAAATTGTTCATTTTTAATAGGAAGCAAATAATGATAATGAAAACGTCCCAGTTTTAATAATCTTGAATAGACATACGTCTTTTATTAACCATATCCAGATATGGTTCAGATTTAGAATTTGAAATAGAAGTAGAATCATCAAAAGGTCTTAATAAACCTAATACATTTTCTCTAACAATTGAAGATCTTGGAGTTTGAGGTAAAATAATTGGAAGTTGAGGAGGTGGAGGAGGTGGAGGTAAATGAATAAAACTTGGTGATGTATTACTATCAATTGATAGACGAGGTTGGAAATACAGTTGTTGATTAGGATGTTGTTGAAGTGGAGTAAATGGATACTTGAAATTTGGTGGAGGAAGAGGTTGTTGTTGTTGTTGATGCAATGGGAATGATGGAACTCCTTGAAGGGAATTTGAAGGATAATAATGATGTGACACAATTAATGAAGGTCTTCTACTTAATGGTGGAAATCCAACTGGTTGTTGTTGTTGTGGTGGAGGAGGTCCTGAAATAGAAGGTGGTGCCATTGATTGATTGTTTGATACCATCATTAAACTATCATCCATCGAATGAGCTCTAATTGGATGTAATTGATGTGGTGAACTGAAAGTTGATGATGCAACAGTTGGTTTTGAATCCACTACCACTACTTCTTGTTCTTCTTCTTGTTTAGGTTGATCAATAATTGATTTACTTTCAATAATGGATTTCTTATAATTTTTTAAAACATCATCACATGGGAAAGTACAATAGATATCTCTATTGTAACCAATTGATCTTTTAATTTTTAAATCATTTAAATCATCATTATCATTTTCAAAATTCAATTGAATAATCCCATTGAATAAATCTCTTTCAAACATTCTATAATCCGTATATAATGAATAATTTAAACATTCAGGTATGAAATAAATCTTCATATTTGATTTATATCTTGGTCTAGCAATAATTTTTTTAAAAAATAAATTATTTGGAACTTCATTTACTTTACCTAAACTATGCAACATTTCATCACTATTTTCTTCATCATCAATAAGATTAAAATCTCCTGGAGTAGCAGTTTCTAATTTTAATATAGTACTTCCATGAACATCATCAGTTGTTGATCTTGTTATTCTAACTAATGTGAAATTCTTAGTACCAAATAATGAATTTAAAGCAGTATCTAATGAATTAAAAGTTGGAGTTGAATTACCATTAGTAAATGATTTTAATATCTTATTTGAATATTCACTTAAATCAACAACATTATTATTAATTAATTGTAAACTTTTAGAAATTAAATTCTTATCATTTGATAAGGAATTCAATTGTTCATCTTGATAATCATTGGTATCAAACAAATTATAGAATTTCCTATTATCAGTAAATGGAATCAAATTATGATATAAAGAAAATAAATTATTTGATAATGTCATTTTAACTTTAATACCAGCTTTTAAAGATTTAATATGAAGTTTTGATTGTTTGGTATCATTTTTAATCTTTTTAGTTGAATATTTTCTTCTAATTGCTAATTTAACAAACTTCTTATTATTTAATATTTTTTTATTGATTCTTGATTTTGGTATTTGATCTCTAAGTACAACTAAAGGTTTATTACTTGTCAGTTGTTTAGTAGCTGGTGGTTGGAATGGGGAATTTAAAGTAGATTGTGGAGAAGAATAATCTAATTTAGGAGATGAATTTGAAGATAAACTTTCAGTTGGAGTAGTAATACCTGAATGTTGTTGTTGTTGTTGTTTACTAATTAAATCATCAGCATTTAGTAAATTTAATATTCCTGACATTATTGCAAAATATATATAAATATAAATATATAACTGTAATTGGTAGTTGTTGATAGGTGTTGATAGGCAGTTGATAGTGTTCCAAAATTAAAATACAAAAGAATATAAAGAAAAAGAAAAGAACTTAAATAAACACATTAACCAGAAGGAAAACACAGGGGGGGATGTTGAGGGAGGGATTATCGATATCATTTATATATAAATCCTTCCCGATTCACATTTCAACTTGAAAGAAAGAACTCTAAAAAAGAAAAGTAGCAAACATGTAAAAAACAACTAAATAGACAAGAATAGGATTTAACACCAACCTTGTGTTCAATTGGATGGGTGGGTGTGTTCATTATGTTGAACAGGTTAAACTTGTTTTAAAAAAGGGGACATTAGCTATTGTCATTGTGTTTTGTTATTTAACATCTACCCAACTTGCATGCATTTATTCATACATTAAATTTAAACACACCCATTGTAAATTATTGCAAATCCTTTTTCCTTGTTGCAGTTTGTGTAACAACCAATAATGATTCACAAAACTCAAATGGGATTCCGAGGTTTGCGATTCAACAAGCACATCACCAAAGAGAGAAGAAAGAAAGAACCAACAAAGTAAACAATAGATAGACCGAACATCACACAGAAGAAGAACAATGAAAAATATCTAGAATTACTACTACAACAACAAGAAGAAGACGAAGAAGAAAAGCTTAATATACTTTAAGCAAGTTTAATCTACCGACGGAGTAAATCAACCATCGATGATATTCTATCACCTTCTTGTAAATCTTCATGGATAGGCACATCAAAAAATAAGAAAACAAGTAGTAATACATATTGAAACAACAACTCCTACTTGTTGATCTTTAGACCCAGACTTTTGTTCCAACATCTTCAAATAATAATAATAATTCAATCAATATCTCAACTCCGAGGACATCCGCTTTGTAATCTTTGCTTTTATTTTTTTTTTTTTTATCATGAATGATTGAATGAATGTGCATAATAAGTGGCTAATGTATGGTCTATAAGGAAGAGCATATTTTCATTTTATTGAATTTCCTGGCCAGAGTCACTTGATTCACACACCGTAAACAAACGTTTCATTTAATCACCTTAATTTCCAAGAATGAATATATACGTATACACAAACTTACCTAAATAACAATAGGAGTTCAACTAATCCATGCAATACTATAAAGAAATCTCAAAGCCATACTTCCACAAATTTAAGAAAAAAAAAACGCAAATTAAATAAGCTATCCAACTGATACTGATTATTGTTCTTCACATTAGTTAAAAGAAACAAAAAGAAGGAAGGGGGGGGGAGAGAGAGAAGAAAAACTTTGGGCCATGGGTTTATTATTAAGGGCTATAGATTAAGGTTATAGTTAGGGTTTTTTAAATCTATTAGGTTCATAAGGGAAAAATGGATAGAAGAAGATGGAAAGTAGATCATTGGTTCCGGAATATAGTATCATTAAGAATGTTCCGGAACCGGAATTTAAGGATAAAGAATATTGATATCAGATTCAATACAAGAAAAGAAAAGAAAAGAAAAGAAAAGACAAGTAATCCAGATATTGCATTTGCATGAGTAAGTACTGTATATTGGTAAATGGGTTATATATAGTCTAAATGTATGTGAATTATGTACAATATGGTCCATGCGGATAAGGATGAAATTTCGTATAACATCCAGCAAAACACAGACATACACACATCCAGTACAAGAAGAATAAGCAAGGGATAGCGAAGGGTACTCTTGTATTCTTTATTTTGCAAATGAATAAATAATAATAAACACTAAATTATACATTAGTTTCTGTTTCTTTGGTTAAACCAACAATAATCTCCATCTTGTTCTGACTAGGAAAACAACAAGTATACAACAACAAATATAACATAATCAACTTATGCATCAACAACAATTACCAACAGATAATCTTTATTGTTCATCTGTATTACTTTGTTGATGGTTTATTTTATTTTGCAATCATTTTTCTTCATTACGGAACAAAAGGGTAATAGACAAAAAAGAAAATTCAAAAACAAGAAAACCCCCTAAATTCAAACCCCAAAAATAACCATAACCTGTAAATAATTGTCAACACTTTCCCAATATCATCATGATCATCAAATGAATATTAATCAAAATTTCAGTTTAGTGACAAAATAATAATGGAGATTTTCCAAAATTTTTTTTTATTTTATTTTTTTTTTTTTCATCCTATATCTCGTGCACTTCTCCTCGAACCATTTTTACCGAAGTAATTGGATTTGACACAATCACGTAGAATTAAAGTAACTTGACCCGAATCAAATTCTTGATCAATTAATAAACCAGCATTAAAATAGTTTGATTGGTTTTCGGTAGTAATCCGAGACTACCATATTACCTAAAATGAACTTATTTATCTAAATTTAGGGGGTTTACTGTTGTTATTATTCACAATATCATGGTTATGAATAAAATTGCAGTTAAATCTAGCATCATAACTATAGCCGCCTACTAACCTTCCCAAAATGTAGTTGTTTTATTTATTTTCCAAATACTGTTCGATGATATGTATAATCCAAAAAAAATAGAAAGGATTGTCTAATATGGCTTATGTGTGAACTTACAAAAATGAAAAGTTTTCATTCACCACATGGTTATAGGCGGCTCTTGTAAATAGATGATGAAGATGATGATGATGAGAGTGAGGATTGGTGGAATAAATCCTTTAGTGTAACATGTAACACGGATTCATCCAATATTACATTTACATTTAGAGGAAAATGCACAATGACATAAATAATGTTTAAACACAAACACACAACTAGGAGTCAAAAATAACAGACACCTAAAGGAAACCAAAAAAAAGAGCAAGAAGGGGTCTTTCAAGAAAATAGCAAGTTGAACTAGAAGAAGAAGTTAGTTGGAGATTTCAAGAAAAATTTTCATAAATTTCAAATGATATTTCAATTAGGGAGAGGGAGAGAGAGAGGAGAGATATGCAGTTGATATTGCTATTAATCTTGTTAACCTGTAAATCAACAGTTTTTATTATTAACCAAGGATATATGAAATTCTATTGTTCATGTAAGATTTATGATTCATATGTCGATGATGATGTGGATTTTAATCTTTATACCATGTTATTATCTATTATCTATTATTATTATTGTTTTTATTTTTAATAATTATCTACACTAAAATAATCGCAACAATAAATCCACCTTCTTGTTAACACACAAAACACTTCGGAGAGTTTTGTAAAGTTCTTTAAAATCTAAAAATATCATTATCTCCGTATTTGCTCGTGGGGGTAGCCTTGGCCGTGGTGGTGGTGGTAAGAGTAAGAGTAAGAGTAAGAGTAAGCAAGTAAGTGAAGAGATGTTTAGTCTTATTGATGGTAAACTGCATTTAAACAGAAATAAACGTTTGCTGTATTGAAATTAGTAGCGATTATGTGATCAATATTTAGAATTGTAACCGCTCATATTGTCAGATATCCTTGAATCATCCCATTATTTTCATACATACTTACATATTCACACACACCAACTATTCTTTCAACCCCTCCTCTTTTCCTAATAAAGGCCTGGATCTAAAATTGAAATAATAGTATGCCGGAGTCAATTAAGCCTTTTGTGCAAATTATAATTTTGATCAAACAGACAATACGTTAAAGATTTCAATTATCTTTCGAGGATGTTCTATTATATGATTTTCCCATATTTGCCGTACTTTTGCTCTTTTCTTTTCTTTTTCTTGTTACAATTTTCAAAATTGGGTAAGATCATCTGTCTTTACATGCTTATCCAATGAACGGTTTTACAAAATATAGATACTAAGTTTGTGGTCTAGATTTCTTATATTCAGGATTAAATAGCAATTCCGTCATCACTAACACTGTTACGAATAAACTCACCCCTTGGCACATAATACTTGATCCATTTGCCATTTAGTTTATTGTAGGACTAAGCTATAAACTAACTTTAGTTTTTTGACTACAAAACTTTAAATCCCATTAACAACAACATCTAGTTGGATTATGTGTGTGGGAGTGTTTTTGTATTGCTATTCACAAAATCATGGTCAAATTTTTCTATTTGGGAAAAATGGACCGAATTGAATTGACCCCAATTTTTTTTAAAAAATAAAAACTCGAAGGAACAAGCGAAGTTTCCTTTAAACCAAGACTTTTTAGTTTAATTCCAGTACGATTTTCTTACAAAAGTGAAATTATTGTTGGTTGGTGATACTGTAATAATGTTAGGGGGCGGAGAAACAAAGAGGATGAGCGAGAATAATAATAATAATAATAAAATATATAAAAAAATACCCCTTTATTATTTGAGCAAGTATCAATACAATATTACAAGGGATATTTTAATAATAGATGTATGGATTTTTATACCAAATGAATATCATTATACTATAGAATGAAATAAGTATAGTCTAATATTGATTGCTCTTTCAAAGAAAAAAAAATAAAATAAAAAGAAACCGGGATAGTTTTTCGTAATCCATAATTCCCGAGGATTTCAAAAAATCAAAATCAAAAACAGGAAAAACAGCAAGATTTACCTTGAGTTGTGTTAATTGTTTGCTTGTTTGAGAAGAGATATCCGACTATTCCATTCCAAATACTAGAAAGAGCTATGAGGAGCTCGAAGAATGATAGAATACTAACAGAGAATCAGCTGATAAATAAATGTAAGCCAATGAAAAAGAGATGACGAGGTAATACGACAAAAGAACATGAAGTTGGATCTAACATCTAGCATTTAGTATCTAATAGTCAGTCATTTTATTATATAAAAACAAGGCAGGTAAGTTGATGATGTGTGAATTAAAAAAAAAAAACCAATGAAAGTTAAAGCACAAGTGTAGACCTAAAAAAAGAAAAACAACAAAACGGAATGGAATGGAACTAAAACTAAAAAATTGGTCGACCCAAATCTCGCCATTTCTCTCCGCAACCAGTAACAAGCACCAAGCAACCCGCACTGAACTCGAGCGCGCGCGTGTGTGTGTGTCTCGAACCAAAAAGAAAAAGAAAAAAATAATAATTTTAAAAACGAAACAATATCGCGCGTTGGTTTTGTATAATACTGCTCCACTTGTGTATCATCAACAGTTCAGTTTCCCTCTGTGGGGAGAGGATAGGAAGAAATTGTTATAATATTAGTTAGGGGGCAATTAAAATTTTTTTTGCTCATCTTGAGGTTTCCTTCAAACCCCCCCTTGATTATTGATTACGGAGTCTACTCACATGATTCAAACTCAAGGCGATGTTACATTTACAATCCCTACTTGTTTCTTTTTTATTTTTATGCTCAAAAGCAATATTAATTAATTAGAAGAATAAAAGGGCTAGACCAAATTGAAATTTATGTTCAAAACAATCAAACTTCTCTCTAACCTGTAAAAATAACCTCAATCATTGTGTATGCACAGTGTGTGTGTCTGTGTGTACTTGTGTGTGCGTGTGTGAGTGTGTGCGTGGAGTTATATTTTAATTGCTACGATATTCGCACCCATGCATGAATTTTTTTTACCCGCGCTCGCCTCATCTTCTCCATTTTTATGCCCTCCCCAATGGGAAAGCTTATGCTTATCCCTTGTCATTGTCAAGTGTTATTGTTATTGTAACAACTGCTCGTACAGTATTTTAGTTTATACTTCTTTATCACCTGTTCCATTTACTTTGAAACCAAGATTCAATTTCTAAAAGCATTTAAAAATTAATAGCTATTTGATTCACCGGTGATAGGAATCGTTCATAGTACAATGCTTAGTTAATGTAGACATCTCCGGCTATGCTGTTGCGGATAATTGGCTCGGATATTCTTACCAATTTCAAAAGGTTTTATACATTTAAGTATCACTACCTGTTTATGATCCCATTAATTCTTCCATAATTTCTTTACATCTGCTTAATTACCGCCCTGCTGTTAATAATATTGTTGATATTGACATTGTACTTCCTTTCATTTACTCTTTGTCTAGCCGCAAGTTCCTTAATCTGTTTTTTTTTTTTAGAACAATAAGTGATTATTTGTCATTTATCTACTGGTTTCGATTCGTTTATTCTGGTGCTTTCTATCTTTATACCCAATTACTACTCCTATTTTTTATTTCAATTAATTATCCAGAACCTCCACATGTAGTTGAATTATTCCATATTTCCCGGGTAGAAGTCAATACTTTTGCCCCTTCGTCTTCCTTTTTTTTTGATTTTAATAAGCCTTCTCCATTGTTCTTAATAATAGACGTTATCACATGAAGTCGAGGAATACGGACGGGTAGGAATATCATGTTTAGATTAAAGTTATTCCGAGAACTTATCAACTTATTCTTTTACATATTATCTTTATTGCGATAAACCTTCTCGATACATTTCTCTGTTAGGGGATTTTTACTTTTTAGCTTCCCTTTTTAAAGTTCAGGCAAGTAACTTCCTTCTCTTCCACTATTCACTTCCTTATCATCCATCTCTTATCTCACTCTTTCTCATATCAATTTGCTCCCCCCCACATACACATGCATAATAACTACTCATTGTTTTCATCATCAATGCTCCATATACATATGATTAAACAATTTCTTGAAATTTGTGGGATGAATGAACACATACTCAAAGAAATTACAAAACAGGTAATTGTGTAGTTTCATACTTATAATAATTATATTGATAGAAACAATATCTGGATTTGTACAATTACTCAACATAAATAATTATCTTCATTGTTTCTATTTTAGGTCATATCTCTTTTGATATTTATTATATTTTAATCCTTAGTTCAGATCGTTCACCTCCACTTTCTCCTCATCGTTGTCATTTAAATAATAATATTATTATTATTCTATTAATTGGATCTCATGAATTTGGAGGATAATGGATGGGGAATTTAAGTTAGTAATTACGGGATAATTATTATAATTATCATACCTTAGCACGGCGTTTCAGTCACTATGTTATCAATTACGAATTAAAATCCTAAGTTTTATCATTCGCAATTATGGTTATATAAGCGCTTAATTCAACTAGATCCAAAATCCAAAATCTAAAAAAACCAATAAATCTTCAATTCCCTTGTCTAATGCATTCTAAACCTTGGTGTGTGAGTGTGTGTGTGTGTGTGTGAGTTTTTTTTTTTTGGTTTTTCGTATCTGTATACTTTTACATTTTATTGTTTGGGTTCTAAATCCCCATTTTTGAATTGGATAAAGATTCCGAAATGATCTTGAATCTAGATCTAGTCATTCAACATATACGAATTATTGCAAACAAAACAGAACAAACAAAATAAAATAAAAACGATTTTCTTTATATTATATATATGTATATTCTTTTAAACTTATTAATAGTATCAAAATTTAAACATTGATTTATATCCTTGAAAATTATGGATCACAAATAATCTTCAATTTTGAATTCTTGATTACTCATTCTTGCAAGTTTAGCTTCAGGACCCCAACCATTTATTGGAGCATTTAATCTAAATGGTTGTAACCAATTTGTAATTTTAATGAAATTTCCACTAGTATTAAAAATTTCAAAAATTAAATCTTCAACACAACATAAACCTAAATCATCACCAAATTTTTCTTCAACCAACAGATTATCATCTAATTTGATTATTTTTTCTTCTTCTTTTTCATCATCATCGGTTTTAGTGGTGATTTTAATGGTTGCTCTTTGTTGGAATAATTTTCGTATGGAATTTAAAGATGGTGATCCAATTAATACATAAGGTTCAATTAATTTCAATATATTTTTGGTTTTTTCACTTGATTTAATGAAAACTCCAGTATTAATTTTAGTTAATCTTAAAACTTGTAAAATTTGTAATACTTTATTTGGAATTTTTAATCCCTTAGTATTTTGATTTGGAATTCTAACAACAAATAATAATTTATATTCTTGATTACCTTCACTATCATCTACTTTCTTTTCTTCAACAACATCATTATGCTGATTTTTAATTAAATTTTTAATTCTTTTTCTTTCTAATTCATTTGATTTATGATTACTTATTAAAGTTTCAGGTCTAATAAATTTAGTTCTTTTCTTTTTCAATGTCTTCTTGAGAATTTGTCTTTCACGGATTTGTTCTTGTTTTTCTAATCTTTTTCTATCAGCATTTTTCCTTTTACGTAAAAGAATTTCTGGATTTGAATTTAATATAGCCATGATGCTGTGGTTTGGTTCTTAATAGTTACTTGGGTTGGGTATTGGGATAGAGAGATGAGATGTTTAGAATTTTTTTTTTTTTATTTTGGCGATGAGAAAAAAAAAATTTGGGAAAATGAGAAATGGTCGTGTAAACTGGGGAAATCATCCAACTGGTAGCATTTAGTATTATAATATTGGAAATCCCATTAAATGATTGATGATAAACAACCATCTTGAATGATGATCTAATCCAATTGTCAGTGTAACACTATTTAAAATGTACTACAGCACTGCTCTAATAATGGATATTATTTGGTATAATATTAAAATGTTGTTGACGAACCTCGTTCCTGAGAGTTGTATACTTGAATTTGGAATTGGTCCTCAAAAGAAGTATGACAACCAATTGTATTTATACCAAGAATGACTTAATTAAAATTGTCATAATAATTCTTTAGCATACTGTTGGCACTTATTCGTAATTATTTTATTGGTCCGATTCGTGTATTAACCATTTTTTGGCATTCTACAAATATACTCTTCCTTATTTGCAAAAACCAGTCATTAAACCTTCCGGAGTCAAATGTAATACCCTTAAATCTCACGAATTTATCGACTGATTCGGTATTCTATTGTGAGATTCGATTACCTTTGCTACAGAATTTTATTACACTGCGAGTAGACCAATCACCATGAAGTGTAGTAATATCCATAACGGAGATAACAGATTCTTCGTAATGGATCTTGAACAAGATCCATTCCCTTTTGAAAAAAAAAAACGAACTAAAATCATGTCATAATTCTTATCAAACCAAAATCAGTAGACATTACTTGACAATACTTGACTTATTGAAAAACAAAAAAATTCATCTTGCATGAAAGAGAATTTTATTCCAAAAGTATCGTCTAAATTCTTGTTGAAAATTTTTCTCTTTTTTTTTTCAATTTGATAATTAACAAATATGATCTCATAGATAAATACATTTACCGAATAAATCATGATTGAATTGTTGGCTTCTCTTGTATATGTTTTGATCTATCTTAAACTATTTCTTGTCTTCTTAAAGAAACAATCGTCATGATCCCCTTAGCTAACCGATTCCTCCCCTTAACGAAAGTAAAGGTTCTAGATCAAGGTTGTAAAGTTGTCCCTGCATGAAAAACATATCCTTTGTTTATTTTGATTTTGTTCAACTATAAATTTAATTTCCACAACTTTTTTGATTCGGGAAAAAGACAGAATTATACTTTTTTTTTTTTTTCATAAACTCAAAGTAGAATATCCATTGACTAATTAGGCAGCTTAGATCACGATTGAATCTGATGTATGATTCGTAAAACGGAAATTGACGATTTAGTCAAATAAAATTACACATTCTTTTGAATATTTATAACCCCGAATTTTTTACTGTCAGTATGACATTTCATACATTCATAGGAAGAAAGACCCTGTGAGTTACATGAATCGAGTTATAATATTGATGAAATTGGAAGTTATCTTCTTAAATATGTATTTATTCGCCACGTTTCATGCACGTCATAGACAAAATGGAAATTATTATTACACCAATTATTATTCTTTCGTTTCGGGAGGATTGTTGTACAGATCAAATTATGGGATTATTAGTAAAAATAAAAAAAATATTGAAATTCAGAATAGGATTGTTCCCAGTAATAAAACAAACATCAGATCAATAGAGTAAAGTAAAATAAAAGTGAAATCAATATTTATGACAATGCATGTATATTTAAACTTTTTCGTTAACTCAAGTGTGTTTCAGAATATACAGAAACACGTTTGATTCAAATTACATGTCAAATTTTAAAACCAATTAATTATTCTATATATCATTACGGGATACAGAGAAATCCCACTTTTCGTATAAAACCATTAGATAGTGTATATTCCAACACCTCCAGAATATTTCCCTATTTGTTCACTTGAATAGAATTTCAATTAAGAATAATCATGTGTTTATAATTTCACAAAATCAATATGCAAGTAGGACACCGTGTCTATGTATTGTAAATCCCTTTTTCTTTTCATGCCTAAATTCATTCATTCATTCATGCATTTATTCATGCATTGTCGATCTTTTATGCCTTTTGTTTTCTTGAAAAAAACGTCTTAATTTGGATAAAATATCGAGACGCTCGAGAAAACCAGACAATGAAAATGAAAGTGAAAGTGAAATTGAAATTGAAATTGATCTCTATAAATTTGTTCTTTTAATACATCTAAGAATTCACAATTTGATCGAAAGTTCATTGTTATTGTTGTTTGTTAAAAACACGATCAGAATGATTTTCTCAAATGGCTCCAAAATTAAGAATTGTTGCTTTTATGTTTTTTTTTTGCTAGCCTAAAATCCCCTTGGATGCACTTTGCAACACATACAAATTGTTACTTTCATTTGGTTAAATATACTAAAAAAACTGAATAGTTTGTTCAAGGTTTGAAAACCCATCCATACACAGTAGTTTGTCAATTCAACATGTTTGTAAATCCTGATAAATGATACTAAATGACTAATGAACATAAAAGAAACGGGATTGAATGTATTTTCATGTTTATCAATGGTCATCTTTTACTAAAATTTAAATCAAGCAAATATGAGCAATTGGTTACACTGTTTACTTATATCTCATAGTTTCAATATCATTTTGATTTGAATTATTAGAATAAAAAGAATAGGAGCAAAAACAAACCTAACACAGAATCCATACATGGTGTCCGTTGTAGTGGTGTAATTTTATATTTGCGCGTTCATGGAACCTCTTAGCAAATAATAATGTAATAGGCTTGGTTGTGAAATCAATCACAAAGGTGGATATGTCTATCGAATTGAATGTATACCTTCGGCGGATACACATAGCAATCGTTTGAATAAGTAACAAAAATAGATTGGTTTGAATTTTTACTACTCTGATTTTTGATTTTGTAAGTTATACGAATCGGTACATAATGAACCTCGTGGAGCAAAATCAAAGAAATATTCTAATAAAAAGTAAAGGATGATGAGGAAGAAGAAGAAGAAGAGGGGTGGACATTGTATTGGTAGTGTTGGTGATATTTAGACAATCCTCTTTAAATAAAAAATGAATGATGATGATAATATTAAAGATTAAAGATTAAATATAAATGTTACAGTTTCCATTATTTAATGAAATATCAACTTTCTTTCTTGCTGATGTTTTACTTCTTCTTGATTATTCACAAACTCATAAGTATTAAATCAATAAACGATTTGAATACATACTTTGGAATTTCTAATTATTAATTGATCTCCAATTTAGATCGTACATTCCCCCAATTAAATATATTTTTGAATTTGGCTTTGACTTTGTCTTCCTAAGATTTGATTTACATCCATAATAGGGAATAGTGGGATCCTTCCTTTCTTTTCATACTCGAATTCGAATTCAAATACTACAAAGTTCCAAGATCAACAACATATTTATAACCCAACCTGCATAATAACGGAATAAGAGAATACTAATTAAAAGGAAATCAAGTAATAAATAAAAAAAGCAAACCCTCTATAACCTCAATTTCAGGTGACTTTATGCATATTACACATGTACATATTCAATCTTTTTTATTTAAAGAAATCAAAACAAACATCCAAATCAAGCAATAATCGACCCTTCTTTTCATAAATCATTTTGCTGATTTAAATTAATTACTTTCCATAAATTATTATCCATTATACATTCTAACAATATTAAAAAAAAGAATCAAGAGGCAGGTATTTTGCATTCGAAAATTTTTTTTGAATGTTTTGATTTTTAATGTCCCACAGGTTTATTATTGAAAGAAAAAAAAAAGTATATAAGAAATCAGAAGAAAGATCATTAATTGAATTTCATAAAAGCAATTGAGAGTGAAACCAGTATTATCAATCATATCTCAAAGCCTGACAATTCTAAAACAAGTGATTACATCATAATTAATAAATCAATCACCATCTCATTTGGGCGCAAGATTTTTTTTTTTTTTTCCTTTTTTCTTTTTAGTTTGAGATCAAAAGGAGGAAATCCCAACAAGGCAATTTTAGAAATCAAACAAGAATCATACACACACACACAGAGATTGAGAAGAGTGGATTTAATACAAGAAACTACTACTAATAACAAAACAAGTGATATCACGTGGAACCCATTGACATTTAGAAAAGATATTCCATCCAACCTTTTGGCAGGTTACATTTTTATTTATTAAATTTTAAAAATTAGATCATAATTTCTTAATAATTATTTTTATTACCAGATCAAAACTCAAAGGGAAATAAAGGAAAAAGGAACATCGTGGGTTTGTTTGTTTATTATTATTATTATTATTATTACTAATCTTTTCATTTTTGGTTAATATCATTTCATTTACATGTTCACCACCACCATCATCATCATTACTACTATCGCAAGATCAAGATCATCATATTGTTATTTTTAGAAAGTGTATTCCCCTTTTTTTCTTTGTTTGCAGTAAATCTACATACACACACACACATACACATTTATATTATACACACACTGATTTGTTATATTAATGAATTTAAATCAGCCACATCAAGGTAATTCACTTGAAGGAGAAGATAATATACTGCATCATCAACAACAAATACAAGATCAGCAACAATTATCAATGTCTAATCTACCCAATTCTTCTACGTCTTCATCAATACAACCCCACATTCATCAACCAACACATCCACAATTAACTCCCTATCAAAACCCGCCACAACCACAACCATCCCCTTCTAATTCATCTTATGTTAAACTGATGGACATGAATCAGCAGTACAATTCCCCAAATCAGCAAACACAGCCACCACTTCCTCCACAGGGGCAATATCAAAGTAATAATCAACAAACTTCTCCATCCAATTATTATACCCAACCAATTTATAACCCACCTCTTCCTCCACTACCGGCTCCAGTATCATATCAACAACAAACACAACAACTACCGACAACAACCATCACCACCACCACTAGCACATCATCAGCATCACAAGTACCACAACAATCACTGTTTCAATTTGATTATTCTCATTCATATACTACCCAACAGTCACATAATTTCCCTTCAACTTCATCAAATACCCTGTTATCTAATAATTTCCAACCTTTCCAACCAATACATGAATCATCTGCTCCACAACAACCACAAGTTCAGGATTCCTCAGTAACACAGAGGAGAAAAAGACCAAGACGACTGGATTCAATACATTCAAATACCGGAGAAAATGAACTAAAACAATTGGCTTTAAAATCGTCTGATGTACCATTATCTGATTTAGCTCATAAAATAAAACAATTGGAAAATGATGTAATATCGCATACTTCAACATCAACATCAAATTCAAATTCAGATCAGTCTAAATTGAAAGAAAATAAAGAAACTCAACGACTGTTATTTGGCATGGTTTGGCTATTAAATTCTTGTGAATTATCCCCTACTGCGGTTATACCAAGAAATAGAATTTATGCCAGATATGTTCAAGTCTGTGCTGATAATAGCTTAGCTCCAGTTTCTCCTGCAAGTTTTGGTAAATTGGTTAAAATTTTATATCCAAATATAACTACTAGAAGATTAGGTATGAGAGGTCAATCAAAATATCATTATTGTGGTATTAAACTCAATGGGGATGAAAATATGCAACTGCAGTTGTTAAGTTTACAACAGCAACAAGCTGAAAAGGCCCAAAAACATTTACAACATCGTCATAGTCGTCAAAGTAGTTTACTTAGTGGATATTCTGGTCAAATTCAATCTCCTGCTTCATCACCAAATTCAACAGGTTCATTTGAAGATACTCCACCAGCACCAGCACCACCACCTCAACATCATCATCAACAGACATCACAACCTCATACACCTACTTTTACACCAATAAATTCTCCAAGTATTTTATTTTCAGCTACTTTAAATGATCAGCTTCCCCTGGTTCTGCATATGAAGTATATTCCAAATTTATTTCAGTTATTAAACAGCAATGCTGATCCGAATTCCAATCCTTATACTCCTATACAATTACCGTCAATTTATCCTTATTTAACCCAAGATGTTGATTATGATATTGCAGATACATTATATTCATTATATAAAGTACATGTCAATGCTATTTTTGAATCACTTCGATACATGCAATTGAAGAAATTATTTTCAAGTTTTAACAATTTCAATAGTATTCTTACTGCTCCGGTTTTCAAGCTTTACACCACTGATTCAGTTATAGATTGGATTATGCGATGCGATTTAATCATGTATAAGAAAATGATTCGAATGTTGACTAAATTACAATTGCAATTATTAATCCCACAAGAGCAATTATACCAATTGAAACAAATATCTAATGGATATATTAAATCATTGGCATCATCATTAGTTAATTCAAAAGTTTCGGTTAATTTTGTTATAATGAAATTAAAATTAGCTAAACATTTTATTAATTTATTAAATCGATTAATTAAAGTGATTGAAACTGGTCAACCTGCATCAAGAATATTAACTGATGATGCTGAGAAAAACTCCATGATTCAAGATTGGATGAAATTGAATTTACTGGAAGTTATCAATAGAGAAATTCCTTGTGGTGATAAAAATATTGATAATTTAAATCAAATTTTAATTAATGATGTGATTCAATTAATCAAACCTGACACTTCATCTGGTAACAATACAGAAGAAGATTCAATTAATCCAACTTTAACAATGAATAAATTTGCAAATTATGTATCAAATTTACCTTCAAGATTTCCTGATGTTAATGCAAGATTATTTCTAATATTATCTTCAAATTTATTAACCACATGTTTAAGAGAAATCAGTTTACTGGGAGGAGAAGGATTTGGAGCATGGTGGATCGTTAGATGTTGGGTTGATGAATATTTAGCTTGGTCATTTGAAGTTGGTGGATTTTTTCAAGATGATCTTCAAGAGGCAATGGAGCAACAGCAAAGACAGCAGCAGCAGCAACAACAACAACTACAAGAAACCCCAAATTTATTACAACAATCAGTAGATCAACAACTGTCATCAGATTATCAATTACAACAGCAACAACAGCAGCACCAAGAGGAATCTGGAGATATGATTTTTGGAAATATTGATTTATTGGAAACATCATTTGATCTTGATTCCAAAACTCTAAGTCAACAATATTCTCAACAAAATCAAGCAGCTGAATCATTATTAAATTTCGATACAAATATAGATAATTTGTTAAACTAAGAAGATGGTTATTATCGTAAGATACGTGAATGGTTTATATTTATAGAGTTTGTTAGCATTTATTTTTCATAATTATTATTTCTTTCTGAAATTGAGGATGAATATTTAGTATATCCTTCATTTTTTCTTTTGCATTTTCATATTGTATTATCAAGTTTTTATATATAGGTTTTGTATTAGATTTAATTTAATTAATAATCTTCATCTTTTTTTTTTTTTTTTTGTTAGCATTACAATTATTTGATGGTGGTTTGCTTGTAGTGGTTGCAAAAAATAACAAATGACAACCATAAAATTGACAACCGTAAAATTGACAACCAAAAAAAAATAAATTATGCAATGTAAGAAAAGAAAGACAACCAAATGGCAACCAATCAGCAACAACCGTTCAATGAGATAGACAACATCCTTGTAACTTATAATTTATCACCCACATCAATCGAATCATTAAAATCAATAGATGAATCAGAATATTGGAAACGTAAATTAATCCAACTTTTAATTATTCAACCAATTTATATTTTTCCCAATGATGAAAATTCAACAAGATTAATTCATGATGGTTTATCAGATGGGAATATTTGTATTTATGGCAAAGAGCTCAAACCCGGTAATAGAGGAATTAGAAGTTGTAAATATTCATTAGCTGGTTCGATAATTATGAAAATTAATCCAAAAGTTGTATATTATTATAATGAGAATAATATAGATGGTGAAGATACAAAAATTTGTGATTATTTGATTAAATTTGAAGATGTATTATTATCATATTTAAACAATAATAGTAAAAAATTTGTAAATGTTGATAAAGGGATAATGTATTTGACATTAAGATTGTTGTTTGTCTATTTGAATGATGATGAATTTCAATTGAAGTTGTGTAATTTATGCACCCATCAAAGAGATATTAGATTAGATAATGAAAAGAGATATATTCTAGAACCAATCAAGAATATAATTATCAATTCAATCAAAGATTTTTTAAATAATCATGATATTGGGAATTCATTAATTAAAAAAAATTTAATTAAAATTAATAAAAAAAATTGGAAATTTATTGATGATTTAATATCAATTATTTTTATAAATTATTTTAATCTATTTAATTTTAAAAAACAGCCTTTTGCAATTTGTCTTGATCCTGATTTTTCCCTTATTAATCATTCATGTTTACCAAATTGTACTCAGATTACCAATTCAACTAATGAATTTCATGTTGTTAATACTTTACCAATTTTTGAAAACGAAGAAATTACTGTTACTTATATACCATTAGGATATCCTAAAGAAATTCGAAATTATCAATTATCACTGCAATTTTATTTTCATTGTCAATGTAAATTATGTAAATTTGATGATAATAATGATCCATTTTTCAATATTCAATGTAATAAATGTGGAATTAGGATTAAATCTCCTTCATTTAAATTAATTTTAACTTCTCCCAATCTTGCCATGAGACAACATATTTGTATTAAATGTTTAAATAATTTAAATCAATTAACATATCCTAAAAATATTAAAATTAGAAATTTTTTCATGTCGTTAATAATTTTTTATAAAAATTTAATTGGGTTATCATTTAATGATCAAGATTATTTTAAATTTTTAAATAAAGAATTTGTTAAATATATTGAAAAATTCACCCTGTTTGAATTAATTAAAATGTTAAGTAATGGGATTTATCAATTTGAAATTCCAAAATTAAGAAAGAACTTAATTAAAAATTTAATTGAAATTATTGTAAATGATAAAGTTTTCCCATTACATACTTTTCCATTTAATTTAATAATTAGAGAATTAGATAATATTGAAAATGAATCATCAAGTGTTATTTCATCAACCGATGGAATATCAAAATTACAATTAAAACTTCAAAGAATATTTGGTGTTGATATACCTTCTGATTTAACTTCAATGCTAAATTTTGATAATTATTTGTTTTTAGATTTAGCGGATTTATTATTTCAAATTATCAAATTTATAATTAATCCCAATTTTATCACTAAATCAAGGGAAATATCAACTTTATTCAATGGTAGCAATAATTCAAATAATTTGACCCTTGGAATATTTTGTCAATGTTGTTTTTATTTTTATAAACAAGTTAAATCAATTAATGAAATTGATTTAATTGAAGAGAAATTAATTGAACTATTGAAAATTTATCAATCAATTGAATTGACTGAAAAATTAACCATACATTATTGTTTACATGAATTGTTTAATTTTGGAGGATTATATATTAAAATCACTGAGTCTCAATTTGCTATTAAAAGCGCTATTGGATTTTTAATTTATTTTCCTTTAGATAAAGATGATTGTCTATAATATACTATACATCATTTAATGCCACACACACAGCACCTTTATGATGTCCATTATACTGTCTTACGGTTTCACTATTTGATAAATCCCATAATCTAACATAATGATCAGAACAAGCAGTTACTAAATAAGCACTATCTGCACTAAAAGCACAATCCCAAACCCAACGTTGATGACCTTGTAAAGTAGTTTCCAAATTGAAATTTTGTTCAGTTGACCAGATTCTAGCAGTATGATCAGCTGAACAAGTAGCCAAATGTTTCATGTCTGTAGATAATAATACTCTTGTAATATATTTCAGATGAGATCTAAATTTAGTCACGGGAGTTAAATTGGTTAAATCTTTTTGATTTTGCATCTTCCAAACATAACAATTACCTTTGCTATTACCAGCAACTAACATTGACCCATCACTAGCAACACTAAGAGAATTTATAGGTACATCATCCTCAGGGATTAAATGATGAGTACATTGATTTTCACCAAGATCCCAAACTTTTATATTACCATCTTGATCACAACTTATTAACTCCCCTTGATTTGGATGAATAACAACTTCATTTACTGGACAATGATGTTTATAATTTCGCTGTACACTAGGTGATCTAACATCCCATACTTTAACAGTCCCATCTTCCAGTGATGTAACCATCCATTTATTATCAGCTTGAAATTGTAAAGATGTAACATTAGTAGTATGTCCTTCAAATGTCATTACTGGATTATTATTTGAATTGTTTTGTCCTGTATTGGATGTTGATGGTGGACCAACCATTGCATTTGGATTATTATTATTATTATTGTTAGCATTATTATTATTAGCTATTGTTGTTGTTGTTGTGTTATTTGTTACATTTGTTGATGCATTTGTTGACGATGATGATGACCCAGTATTTATATTACCATTAGGTCCATTACCTGAATTACCTGTTTGTCGTATATCATATAATCTAACATATGGATTTCCGGCTGCTGCTAAAAATCGTTTATCACTAGTTATTTCTAATCTATTGACTTGGGATTCTGTATGTTGAATTGTTCTTGAACAAACTCCTGTTAATGCATCCCAAAATCGAATTGTATGATCATATCCTGCTGATGTTAAAATAACTGACATCTTGATTTAATGATTGCTGTTGTTGTTGTTGTTAGAGTAGTGGACCTGTTGTAATAGGTAATCGAAATTGTCGTGATTTTTTTTTTTTTTTTTACTTTCTCGTTTTGTTGTTGGTTAAGGTTTCAAATTATCGCGAATTTATTTCAACCATGTTCTAGTGTTGATAACAAATGATAAATGTTGGTTTCTTTTAATGATAAATAATCCATAGCGACGGGGTTACCTTGATGATAGTAATAACGAATCATAAAAGAATTACTAAAAGATTAGAAAAAAAAATAATATATATATATACATTTAAAGTACCCAATATTTCCTAAATCATGAATTTTTTTTATATAATTATTATTTCATTCTATTATTGTGAACAGATAATGTCATATTTAAATTGAATCAAAAGTTTTCTTGTATAGCTTGTTTTTGAGCTGGTGTTAAAGAAGTTGGATAATCAACTTTGTAAACTATTTCTAAATCACCTCTTTGACCAGGTGTTTTACTTATTGGCATACCTAAACCTGGATAAGTTGAAACAGTACCTGGTTGTATTGGTTGAGTTCTTGATAATGGGATTCTTCTACCATCTAAAGTAGTAACATCTCTTTCAAACCCACATAAAGATTCTTTAAATGATAATGTGACATTCATTTTCAAATTATTACCATCTCTTTTAAATACTGGGTTTGGTTTTTCTTCAATGACAAATTGAATAGTTTGTCTAGCACCACATTCAGGTTGATAATCCCCTTCATTTGCAAAATTAATCTTTGTACCTGATTTCCAACCTGGTTTAATATTAACTTCAAGGATTTTTTGTTCTTTTGAACCATTTGAATTTTTTCTAGTAATTTTTAATTTCTTAGTAGCACCTTTATATAAATCTTCCAAAGAAACTCCCAAAGGCATTGATACAACATCAGGTTCAGGTCTTGCTTGTTGTCTACCAAATCCACCTGGCATACCACCACCAGCTCCTCCTCTAAAACCACCAGCTCCACCAAATGGATTACCACCACCACTTGAACTAAATGTAAAACCATCATCTCCCATACCAAATCCACCCATTTGACTAAATATATTAAATGCATCAGCTTGTGAAAATCCTCCACCTGAACGGAAACCACCTGGTCCACCTGAACTGAAATTGAAATGTGGTCCACCTGCTCCACCACCGGCACCACCAAATGGATTGCCTGCATCAGCAGCAGGAGCATTACCTCTAGCTGCTTCTAAACCATAATTATCATATACTTCTCTTTTATCGGGATTAGATAATATATCAAATGCTTCAGAAATCTCTTTAAATTTCTCAGTATCACCTGTTGGTTTATCTGGATGATATTTCAATGCTTGTTTTCTATATGCTTTCTTAATTTCTTGTTCACTTGCGGAAGGATCTATTCCTAACAAATCATAAAGTTTCTTTTCCTTAACCATTGTAATTGTAACTGTAACTGTAGTTGTTGTAGTTGAGTAATACTAAATAATTGTAATATCAATTGACAATAAAAATAAAAAAAGAAAGAATTAAAAAAATATATAATCTAATTTTTTTTTTTTCAATCAAGGGGAAAGAAGGAGTAATAAGAAGAAGAAGTCTTTGTTGGCTTTGGTTGAGTTATATTCTGTTTTTAGTTGTGATTTTAAAATTAGAGCAAACATCTTTCCCATTCCATCAAACGAGAAAAATCAACAACGAAAAAAAAAAAAAAAATTGTTCGAAGATTCTTTCATCTTCTAGAATCTTCTATTCCTCATATACACAGGTACAGATGTAGTTATCCTATACAAGCTAATCGTTCTTTTCAGCAGCAGCAGCAGCTAATCTGGCAGCCTTCTTCAATGCCCTGTGACGAATGGATTGGTGCATTTGCAAGTTCAACTTGTTGGCGATCTTGGAATAAACCCCAACAGTGCTTTCAATACCAAATTCCATTAAAGCATGACTCCAGTATGGGGTACTAGTAGCATATCTTTCTTGAGCACCTCCACGACGTCCAACGCTACTCAATGTAGATCTAACAAATTGTTTTGGATTTGGAATGGTGACAGATGAACGTTTAATCTTGGACATGGCTGAGGTGACCAAGTAAGAAATAACCAATTCAACATCAACATTATCTCCAGCTAATTCACCTGCTAATGCAGAAGACCAAGATTGTAAGAATGCCTTTGAACCAGAATAAGTAGCCAAATAAGGAGTTGGCAACAATCCACCAAATGAGCCCATGGTTAAAATCAATCCTCTCAAACTCTTTTGTGGACTTCTTTCAACGGTTGAAACAATAACTGGAGCAACAATTTGTGTGATTCTTAAAGTAGCTGTGTTATTAATAGTAATGATATCTTTTAATTCTTTCTTAGTAGTTTCCAAAAATGGAACAGGAATAGAATGTGATTGTCCAACATTATTAATCAATACAGTAATAGGTAAATCAAAAATAGCTTTTTCTAAAGTCAAATAATTCTCTTCGTCATCAGTAGAAGCATCAAATGCAACAATTTTAGTGTTAACTTTATAAGTAGTTTCAATTTCTTTAGCAATTAATTCCAATTTAGATTGAGTTCTAGAAACTAATACAATGCTTAATCCTTTCTTAGCCAATTGTAATGCATATTCTTTACCAATTCCATCAGATGCTCCAGTAACAACAGCCCATTTACCATTGCCTGCTCCATATTTACTGAAATCAACAGCTGGAGCAAGGAATAAATCATAAATTAATGATCCAAATTTAAGTAAGAAAATAGTTAAATTTAAAACACCGATTAATAAAGCAAAAATCAATCCAATTTGAACCAATTGGTTATCTGAATAAGTATTAAAGAATTGAGTAAATGACATATCGTGTCGTTGAATCTGATGAAACAAGAGAAGAAAGTTTCAGCCAAGGAGTGTTTTGCTTTGTTTGAAAATTTTCTAAATGGCGAGAATTCACCAAACGGGTAAAAAAAAAATAAAAATATCAATCCTCCTTACAAAAGAAAAATTTAATTATCCGTTATATTCACGTGATTAAAAGTCACACGTTCATATACTATAATAATACACATATATACACACACAGATTGTTTATAAATAAGTAAACTCTTCTAGTTTTTCATTTGTTAATTCAACATGTAAACTTTCTCTATCAATTTGTTTTTCAAGAACAGACATTGACAATTCCAATTTTAATTTAGATTTCTGTAAATCACTTATACTTGAATCGATTTTTCTTAATTCATCATAATTGGTTTCCAATTTATTTTGAGTGGTTTCATCATCAATTTGTAAAATATTTATCCATGGATTATTAAAATTTTTGATTTTATTATCTTGCATCATCATCATTTGATCTTTAAATGATCTATTTGATCCATTTAAACTACCACCTCTTCCACCTCTATAACTTCCTCGGAAATTACCACCTCGAAAAGATCCACGATGAAATCCAGATGAACCAGGTCGCGAGTTATTCATATTTTCTTCCCCTTGTTGTTGTTGTTGACCATTAGATGATTCATTCTCTAGATTGTTATTATTATTATTAGTAGTAGTGGTGTTATTATCATATCCAGATGAATTATTTCCATAATATCCTTGGTCACGATATCCAGAATATGATCTTCCACCTCTACCACCATGATGGTTATAATATCCACCACCTCCATATCCTCCATGTTTATGTCCATAATATCCATTTCCACTACCTCCTCTATAACTATTATTATTATAATATCCATTATTTCCTCCTCCTCTTTGACCTCTATATGAACCTCCATTACCACGACCATGACCTCTATATCCTCCACCTCGATAGTTATTCAGATAATATTCATCTCTTCCATATGAGTTATATGAATCATAGCCATCTTGACTATTATTCTGATTGTTGTTGTTGTTGTCAAATGACATGTTTACGTTGTATCAAAGTAATAAAGAGCAAAAAGATAGGTAAAGCAATTTTTTTTTTCTCACAGTTTTTTTTTTTTACAATCACTTTATATAAAATTGGTTATTATCCTTTTGTACACGACCTTAAATGAAGAATACCAATTGATGCAAATTGTATCCATTGCTAGAAATTGTCAATAATACAATAATTATACATATATATATTAATTAAAATCGAGAAAGAAGTTTTTTTTTAAAAAAGAAAGAGATATTATCTAATTGGAAACATTATCTAAAGTATGTAAAATTTTTCTCCGCTTAGCACTCAGCAGATATTCTGTTTCTGATTTCAGTCTTTGTAAACTAGGAATTCTAGTTGGTGAAGTACCAGCACTTCTATGTACTCTCACTGCTCTTGAAGGAGATAATGAAGGTTTATTAAATTGTGAAATATTAGAAGTATCTTTAATTGGTGATATTTTAACTGTATTAGCATCAAACTGTTGGATTTCATTCAATTCTTTATCTATCTTATCCAAATTAGTTTCAATCATTTCATTATTTTGTTTAATATTAGTTGTTATTTTTGACAATTTGCTAAAATTTGGATGATTTGATAATTTGATTTTATGGTCTTTTAATTGGTTCATTCTCTTGAAAATTTCATCACTTGTAGATATGCTTTGTAACTTAGTTTTACAGTCTTGATGAATTCGAGTATTAGATTCTAATTCTTTTTCTAATTTAGGTAATATTGTTTTTATTTGATCATTCCATGTATTTTCCATTTTTAATGCATTGGCTCTTTCTTTTGAAATTTCTTCATTTGATATTTCACGATAATCTTTCATAACTGTATCTATTGTTCCTTCAATTTCGTTCATCATTAAGTTTTTAAAATTTTCAACTAATGGTGAGAAATTATTAACAAGTAAACTACCAAGACGGGAGTTTAAAGTTGTTCCAAGATTGGCCAAATAATCATCTTTCAAAAAACCTGATAATTTTTCATTAACAATACCAAAATCTTGAATAACCTCTTGAGTTCTAGTATAAAAATCTTGTTGGAATGTTAATAGATTATCGAAATTTTGTTTAAAAGTAGTAATATAATTTGTTAAATCCTGATTCATCACTTCGCCAACATTCTTCTGATACTCTTTAACTTGTACATCTATTTGTGTCTGATAATCATGTAATTGTTTACCAAGTTCAGATTCAAAATTAGTCAATTCATCTACTGAGTCATTATCTGTCTGTAGTTTCTTGATATCACCAAGATATCCAATAGATGACTTCAAATGATTGGATAATAAATTAACCAACATATTGGCAGAACTGGATGATTTTTCAAATGCTCTTTTCAATTTCTCATTCAAAGCAGATATGGTTGCTTGATTGTCATTATTAGTGTTCACAGCTTGGCGATACTTTTTTTCAATGGTATTCAATTTTGTCTTATAACCCAGAATTTCTTGTTTCAACAGATCAATTTCCTCTTTGTTTTCTAATTTGGTAAACTCTAGGGTTGCAACTTTGGCCTTTAACAGTTCGATTTTTAATTTATCTTCCCTTTCTTGAGTTTTCAAAGCATTATTTTCTTGAATAAGTTTATCATAATTTTCAGCATCCAAATAAATACCATTTTTGTTTCTTGTAGCAATCAAGTCCATATTCATTTGAGTCAATTCCTGAGCCAAATTCTTCACCAATGTCTTCTTCAATATTACTTCTGAATCATGACCAACCCGTGGTGTATTCTTAACATTCTTGGCTTTACTAGCATAATCTAATGTTGAACAAGTTTCCAGGAAATTGACTTGAGCAGGAGATATAGTAGCAATTAAAGTTGTCTTTGTATTCCCGCCCAAGGAATCCTGTAATATATGAGTTAATTTAGATTCTCTATAAGGTATATGCAGCAATTTCTTTTCATTCAATGAATTTATCACACGACCCAACGTAAGCAAAGATTGATTTATCCCACCAGCTTCTTTAACTATTGACCCTGATCTACTAATATTTTCTGATCCTGCTAAATCCACAAGGTTCATTTTGGAAATTCTGTATAATGAATCATCATCTGAAGGGATTTTCTGGAATAATTGTACTGAAAATATAGTATGTGATCGAGATGAAGAATCGTTTAAATTAGTACTACTAGTTTTCTTTTTCTGTAAACCCATTTTCAAATATTTAATACCTTGATTGTAATCACTAATACAAAATTCTGTTAGATTCTGGATTCCAATGGATTTACTTTTACCTATTGTCTTTTCATGAATTCTAAGCTTCCTATTATTCCCATTTCCATTACTCAACAAATCAATCAATTCTTCATTATATATTTCCAAATATGATATTTTAACCATATAGTCTTGTTTATTTTCATGTTCAAGTTTATTCAATTTCTCAAATAGTTCAAATAACAACCTAGGTATTATTCCTGCAATATCTGAATTTTCATCAAGAACATTATTATTATCCAATCCACTCATAGTATAGGTTTTACCAGTCCCAGTTTGGCCATAGGCTAATATTGTGACATTGATGCCTTGTAAAAAATCCGATAGTAAAGGGTGGCCAATTTGAGAATATATCAAAGATTGATCAGCTTGTGATCCATATATTTGATCAAATTTATAAGTTCTCTTCTGTCCATTTTCTAAAGATGGGGATGTAGCACGAACAGGTTGATTTAAAGTAATGTATGGTTCAGTTATTGAAAAGTTATCATTGGATAATTCCACAACTATAGGGGATTTTGCTGTTATTTCTTGAGAATTTCGTCCTCGACATCTAACTATCACTTGAATATTTGACATGTTATACAAGAATACCCCTTAAAGAAAAGTTGTAGCTATTGTTGATTGTTTTGATAGAGTATGTTTTGATTTCCAAAAATTTTTTTTGTTTTGTTTGTTTTGTTTTGTTTTGTTTTGATTTTTTGTTTGATTTGGTTTGGAGTGGTGCAGTGCAGTGCAGTTCATTTGCCCATACAAAAAAAAAAAAAAACGCGACACTGAAAAACGAAAAAAAAAAAAAAATGAGACACGCTATATGCAGGTATATATTAAACTATATAGACATATGACAACATCCAGATTAGTCAAAGAAATCATCATCATCATCACCAAGATCATCGTCATCATCAAGGACATTCTTTCTATCAAATGTAATCTTAGTTTGTTGTTTTTGTTGAGTATCTCTACTAATACCATCCAAGATTTGCACAACATCCTTTTCCGTCAATTTTTGACGAATTTGACCCATTGAATACAATTTCAAGATATAATTCTCAACAGCCTGAGCCCTGTCTGGTCTAACAATTCTTACTCTACTCAATCTTTCTCTTGCTTCAGTTTCTAAAACTCTTCCTAAAACACTTGCTGCCATGCTATTATTAGCCAGTTGTTGTGGATTTGAGCCACCATTTCCTGATGAACTTCCTCCTCCACTGGCATTCTTCTGTAGTTCTGCTAATCTTGCTTGTCTAATTGCATTTAATTCTGCGTCATCCATGATTGTTTTATGTTAGTCTTGTCTTGAAAATGAGGATCAACTTGCCTTCTATTAGTATCACTTGTGACATCTTCATTAGAATTTTTTTTTCTTTTTTCTTCTTCCCTCAACATTTTGTTCTCGCCAAAAATGCCACCAAGCCATAAATGAAAAAAGAGAAAAAAAAATGATTAAAAATTAAAGAAAAAGAAAAACAACTGCAATTTGCCTGGATTGGGTTTGATCTAGATCAATAAACATACCGACTAATACTTGATAATAATATTGTTATTAGAAAGATAGAGATACTTATATAATTAATATCGTTCATTGTTTCAAATCATGAGTTCAGACAAATCAAATTTACTAAAGAAATACAAGATTGTTTTCCTTGGAGATCAAAGTGTTGGTAAAACTTCATTGATCACTAGATTCATGTATGATACATTTGATGAAACATATGCTGCTACTATTGGTATTGATTTTTTATCTAAAACTATGTATTTAGAAGAAGGTAAAACTATAAGATTACAACTATGGGATACTGCAGGACAAGAAAGATTTCGATCATTAATTCCATCATATATTCGAGACTCACATGTTGCTGTAATATGTTATGATATAACTAATAAGAAATCATTTGATAATTTAGATAAGTGGATTAAAGACGTTAAATTAGAAAGAGGTGATGATGTTATAATAGTATTGGTGGGTAATAAACTGGATTTAGCAACTGATAAACGACAAGTTAGTTTAGAAGATGTTGAAATTTTACAAAATAAAATTGGTGCTAGATTTTTCATTGAAACTTCTACAAAAGCCAATCATAACGTCAAGTTGTTATTCAAGAAAATTGCCCAATCATTACCTGAATTTAATCAAGATGAAAACTCTGAAGATGCTAATAACAAAAATAATCATCCAGAAACTGTTGATATAAGTATTGACAATAATACAGACACCAATCAAGGTTCAAGTACATGTTGTTAAACATCATTATTAGACGGGATATGAATAAATGTACATTTTTAAACAAGCACTACCTACAAAAACAAAGCAGTAATTAGAAAACAATGAAATTATATAAATATATATATAGTAACAACAATCTTAAATGATTATATCAACTCAAATTCATGATTTGCATTCTGTATGCTTAACGACAAAGAATTTAGCTGTTTATCAAACTCATTTGAAATCTTATGATACTTCACAACATCGGCATACGCCACATCTTTTATTTTCTTATTACTATATCCTCGAGTTATGATACCGTTATTAACAATTCTAGAAGCCGAATAACGTAGGGCTTCAAGTTTACTTACATCTGCCAAAGCTTGGGTCATTGATCTTGGTGTGGGATTATCTAGATATTTAAATTTGATGATATTATTAGTTGTTTGAATTCTTATTGATAATTCAATTAATTCTTGTAAAAGATCTTCATATTCTTGAAATAATTGATTTGGATCAAATGGAGGTTCATCACCTTCTTGTGCCTGACAACATTTTTCTATCAAAACAGATAATTCATTTGTTTGTTTGGTTAATTGTGATTGTAATTTTAATGCTTCTATCAAATTCATGATTTATAATGTATATGTATAGTAACTCGATAGAAAATTAAATTACAAAAGAAGTGATTTGATAGTAGGATATAAATATAGTGGATTCAAATCTTGTTTGTTATTGTTTTGATGACTAATCGCGATAGTTTGTTGTTTATTTGTTGTTGTTAGTCATATTATCTGTTTATTATAGATACTATTGCTATCTGCATCGTCAAGATGATGACTCACTTTAACTTACAAACATTATCAGGTCATCTTGTATACTAAACAGACTAGTAAGGAGATGTATAAAGAGAGTTAAATAATGTGGGGGTATAAATACGGGGTTATTTCTCTCTTTCTCAAAACCCCGTTTCAATTCTTTTAAATCATTAGCACAAACAAACAATCATAATCACCAACTATAACATGAAGTTAGCAGAAGCCTTGAAACTACGAGAAGTGTTAAATTCAGAAACTTCTAGAATAGACTCAAAAATTCGTCAATCGTTGATTTTACAAGAAGGTAAAACTCCATTATATAATGTTGATAAAAAATATGACGAATTTGTTGCTAAAACTACTGAATTGTACCGACTAGCAATGTCCACAAATTATACAAATAACACTGTTGAAATAAAAGATGGAACACTTTGTCTAACAAAGGCAAAGACTATTGGTGAGGTTTTAATACACCGCAAGTTCTTGAAGAAAAAGTTAGAGCTACTTGAGAAGATTGTCGAAAAGGGCCAAGAGAAAGACTTGGAATCCATAGATGAAATACGGTTTAAATCATTTGTTGACATTGAAGTATATGATACTAAAGCTGAAGATGTAAGAAAACAAATTCAAGAATTGGATACAAAACTACAGGAACTTACTTGGGAAATTGATTTGATTGAGATTTAAATTTGTATTATTATCACACTAGCATTTTGTTGGTACTAATTAACTTTTTCCTTTTCTTTCCTTTCCTTCCAACCACCTCCCCCCTATTACCTAATAGTTCTATTTTTCAATTATTTTTATCAGTTATTCAGTAAATTATTATTATTCAGATTCAGTTATTCAGTTTATAAACAGAAAAAATTATCATATTTTTTTGAAAACTTTGATTGTTTCCTTTTGTCTTCTTCGGGAGCAAGAGGTTTCGATTTGGAAGGGAGGAAAGGAGAAGAAGAAGAAGAAAAGTGGTTAATTGGGAGGGTGGGTCTTGGGGACAATTGTTATAGTGCAATATATAATCATTATTGTAAATAAGAGTACGTAAAAAACGTTGTAGAATTTATGAATGTAAATCCGGGGTATCGAATTATTTTTCGTACAGAATATTGACCAATTTATATTCAAAATCAAAACAAAATCAATTTCTATTGGTAGCTGTAAAACCAGGATGATTTGAGAATTGCCGTCCTGTGTTTCTCAATGCATTAGTTTATACATTTTGCACCCAAACTATTATATACGACTGGTAAACCATATTGATTAGTCATAAAATAAACCCAACTTTCCCCCGGGGGCCAGGGTACACGACCATAATAAATTATCACCACCACAGAATTTTCTGGAAAAATTTTTTTTCTGTTGGTCGCTCTCGTCTCTAATCCCGCCCTCCTCAAACCAGCGAGGTGCCAGTCGTCTTCTTCTTCCTTTGTCCGCTCAAATATCCGAAATTTTTCATCAACTCAGAAAATTTTTCTTTCTTTCAATTTACTTCTTTTTTTTTTTTAATTGAAAAAACTCTTACTGTTGTTGAACACATTTTAGTATCATCATCATCATTGTTTTGAATTAATCATGTTAAGATCCAACACTAGATCATCTATCAAGACTTTTGTTCGTCACTTGTCCCACAAAGAATTGAAATTCGGAGTTGAAGGTAGAGCTGCCTTGTTGAAAGGTGTCAACACTTTAGCTGATGCTGTCTCTGTCACTTTAGGTCCAAAGGGTCGTAATGTTTTGATTGAGCAACAATTTGGTTCTCCAAAAATCACCAAGGATGGTGTTACTGTTGCCAGATCAATCACCTTGGAAGATAAATTTGAAGATTTGGGTGCTAAATTATTACAAGAAGTTGCCTCCAAAACTAATGAAAGTGCTGGTGATGGTACTACTTCTGCCACCGTTTTGGGTAGATCCATTTTTACTGAATCCGTTAAGAACGTTGCTGCTGGTTGTAACCCAATGGATTTGAGAAGAGGTTCCCAAGCTGCTGTTGAAGCCGTTATTGAATTTTTGCAAAAAAACAAAAAAGAAATTACCACTTCTGAAGAAATTGCCCAAGTTGCCACCATTTCTGCTAACGGTGACACTCACATTGGTAATTTGTTAGCCAGTGCTATGGAAAAAGTTGGTAAAGAAGGTGTTATCACTGTTAAAGAAGGTAAAACTTTGGAAGATGAATTGGAAGTCACTGAAGGTATGAAATTCGACCGTGGTTTTATTTCTCCATACTTTATCACCAACACCAAGACTGGTAAAGTTGAATTTGAAAACCCATTGATTTTATTGTCTGAAAAGAAAATTTCCAGCATCCAAGACATTTTGCCATCCTTGGAACTTTCTAACCAAACCAGAAGACCATTGTTGATCATTGCTGAAGATATTGATGGTGAAGCTTTGGCTGCTTGTATCTTGAACAAATTGAGAGGTCAAGTTCAAGTTTGTGCCGTTAAAGCTCCAGGTTTCGGTGACAACAGAAAGAACACTTTGGGTGATCTTGCCATCTTGACTGGTGGTACCGTCTTTACTGAAGAATTGGACATTAAACCAGAAAATGCCACCATTGAACAATTGGGTTCCGCTGGTGCCATCACTGTTACCAAAGAAGACACTGTTTTGTTGAACGGTGAAGGTTCCAAAGAAAACTTGGAAGCTAGATGTGAACAAATCAGAGCTGTTATTAATGACACTGCTACCACTGAATACGAAAAGGAAAAATTACAAGAAAGATTAGCTAAATTGTCTGGTGGTGTTGCTGTCATCAAGGTTGGTGGTTCTTCCGAAGTTGAAGTTGGTGAAAAGAAGGATCGTTACGACGATGCTCTTAATGCCACCAGAGCTGCCGTTGAAGAAGGTATCTTGCCAGGTGGTGGTACTGCTTTGATTAAAGCTTCCAGAATTTTGGATGAAGTTAAAGAAAAAGCTGCCAACTTTGACCAAAAATTGGGTGTTGAAACCATCAAATCTGCTATTACTAAACCAGCCAAGAGAATTATTGAAAATGCCGGTGAAGAAGGTGCTGTTATTGTTGGTAAGATTTACGATGAACCAAGCTTCAACCACGGTTACGATTCTGCCAAAGGTGAATTCACCGATATGATTGCTGCTGGTATCATTGATCCATTCAAGGTTGTCAAGAACGGTTTAGTCGATGCTTCTGGTGTTGCTTCCTTGTTGGCCACTACCGAATGTGCTATTGTTGATGCTCCACAACCAAAGGGTGCTGCTGCTGCCCCAGCTGCTCCAGGAATGGGTGGCATGGGTGGAATGCCAGGTATGTTCTAAGAGTTTTGTTGATTAGACTACTCGTAATATTTATAATGACACGATCTGTAAATAGTATAAATTATTTTAAAATTCAGTTAATTTTTTTTTTTGTTCTTTGTTGAATCGAAACCGATTATTGATAATTGTATTAAGTTTCTTTTTCTTTATTTTTGTATTGATCGGTATAACTTTTCATCTTCTCATCTCAAAAGAAATCTTTAGAAAAAAAAAAAAAAAAATTCATAAACAATTGATCTTTTTGATTGATGGATCCATCTTGAACTTTATCTACAGACGACAAAGAAGAAGAAGAAGAAGTACACATTAATACTATGAATAGAAGACTACATACCCTATGTTTGAAGATATAACGTTTCGAAATAAAGACCATATTAGAGTGTCAAGAACCTCGAGACAATTATTAAGTAAATATAAAGAACTTAAAAAATTCACAGAAATTTATAAAAAATCAAATAATTCAAATAAACAAAAACTACGACGACATAAAGGGAAAGTATTGGAGATATTACATAATGAATTGAATAAAAAATTAAAACCTGAAGAAACGTATGAAATTTGGCATGATTTAGCTAATGTTTTGAATAAAAATGTTGCTAAGAAAGTTAGTAATAACAATACTAGAATGAATAATAAAAAAAAGAAGAAGACGAAAACAGATATGGAGATGATTATAGATAAAGAGAATAACAGTGATACTGTTATTGATAAAGTTAATTCATTTTTGGAAAAACTGGGAAATGGAGATATTGAAGAATTTGAAGAAAATGATCATAGATATGAAGAATATGATATTATAATGAGTAATAAATTGAATCAATTTTTAAATAATTTTGATAATTCAAATCGATTAAGTAAATCAAAATTTATAATTGAATCAAATGGTTTAGAAATATTACCTATTGAAGATGATAAAGATCAATCTAAATCAATATTTAATCATCATTTAAAAAATTTAACTAATTTATTACATTTACAAATAATGAAACAAAATTGGAAACAATCTTATAAAATTTTTAGTATATTAATTAGATTTCCACAAGTTGATTTAAGATCTATTTGGCCATTAGGTATTGAAATTTTATTACATATGAATGAAATTCATCAAAAGAATAATTTATGGTCATTAAAAGTTAAAAAATTTTTCAATTATTTATCATCGTTTTATCTGATTTCAAATGTTAATGCAACTACTAATTCAAAAGTGAATAATAGAAGCAATGTTGCTCCAGTTTGGAGATCAGGTAGTAAAACATTGACTCCAATGTATATTATTACTTCATTATGGTATTTATTTATTCTTCAAGATTATGAACAAGTTATGAATAGAATTAATGAATTAATTTTAGAACCTCCTTATAATTTAGAAGGTGTTTTATATTTTATTGCTAGTCTATGTTCATTATGTAATGGTTTTAAAATTGTTGAAGCTTGGAAAATTCAAAATGAAGATATGGTTAAATTTACAAATGAAATGAATCAACCAATAAGATCACAACATCAAGTATCAGAGGAGTTAAATAAAATTGAAAAAGATATCATGAACTATTTAAAAAAATGCACTGAATTGCAATTCATATTTCCTAAAGAACAAATAGAACAAGAGTTGAAACATTTACATCATGCAGTTCAAGAAAAGAAGAATATCACTAATGAATCAAGTTCAAGTGAGAATGAAGAACAAGAGAATGAATCAGATGATTTAGATTGGGGAGCGATTAGTTCCGATTCAAGTGAAAATGAGAATGAAGAAGAAGAAGAAGATGATAAAACAGAAGAAGCAAGGAATAAATCTCAAATATCATTATTAGCATCTAATCAACCAACTCAACTTGATGATATTAATTATAATCACTATAGTGATCATGATGAAGAGGATGAACAAGAAGAACACGAAACAGAAAAGGAATCAAGACGTGAAAGTTTAAAACAAATAGATATGACAGATGATAATATTACCATGAATGGACATTCTCTTGAAAAAGATGATGTATCATTTGATGAAATTCCAGCCACTCAGCCAATAATATTACCAGATACACAACCGATAGAATATCAGGATTATCAGAAAGATATAAACATGAGAGGAGAGGATGATGATGAAGAAGAAGAAGAAGAGGAAGAAGATTATGTAAATAACAATAATAATTTTGGATCTTTTGATACCAGAAGAAACAGTTTAGAATTATACAGTACAAAAAGTTCAAGTGTTGAACCAGATTTAAAAAGAAATATTCAATCTCAAAATGAAAGTCAACAAACAATGCTTGATTTTGATTTTGATTTTGATTCTGATTCAAATTAAAGTAAATAGAATTAAAATCAGTATTTATTATATATTATATATTATCATGTTCGTTTCACTATATAGGAGGTGATTCTTTTGGAACTTCATAGACTTTAATATTACGGGTAATTGATTCTTTTGTTTGTAATTTCATGTTTGCTTTATGATGAGTTGAAAGACTCACTTTATAATCAACGTCTCCTTGTTCTCCTTCTTGTGGTTTTTCTAATGGAAGTAATAACCAACCAGGAGGTATTAATGCATTGCTTGGTAATGATAATGCTTGATACAATGGTGGTGTTGAGGATCCACTAGTAGATGACGACGCAATCGATACTGGCTGTTGTGCGTCTCTCGAAGAACCTTCTATTGGTTCTGCAGGTGTACCAGTACCTGTTCCTATTGGAGTTTGTACATGTCCTTGATTTGGAGTTACTCCACCTTGGTTTTGTGGTTGCTGTTGATTTGCTTGTTGACGTTGAGGTTGGATTGTGTGAAGAAATTCATTGATTTCTCGTAGTCCTCTTTGAAGATCAACATTTGCTGGTGGGTTTGCAACATTGGCTTGTGGAATAATTGGAACTGGACCAGGTTGTGGTTGAGGTGGAGCTTGCGCTTGTGGTTGTCCAGGTGCCGATGCAGGGGTTGATGCACCTACATCGTCAAATACTTTTCTTCGACACAATGGACAACTATCAGATCTTTCTAACCAATCTTTCAAACATCCCAAATGCAAAATATGTCCACATTTTAATTTCTTTGGTGATCTTCTTGCAGATTGTGGTTTATTATAAATCCTTTGATATTCTTCAATTGAATGCATATCTTCACGACAAATAATACATAAATTATCAGATGCTTCTAAATCTTCCAGATTAGCATTGGCCAATTGACTATCCAATCTCTTTGATTTCTCTATAAATGTAAGTAATTGGGTAACTTCAATCCAGGTTTTTCTTATTGAGGAATAAGTCCCTTGTAACATAGATAATGGCAAGGAAAGTCCGGAATGAACAGTTAATAAATAAAGGAATGATAAATAAGAAATAGAAGTTAAAATTGAAGATGCAATTTCAACTCCCTTGGTATAGTATGGTTTATTATCCCAAATAAGTTCCAATTCTTCGTCATCATCTTCTTCATCATCATCATCTTCGACATCTGCCTCACCCAAATTTCCTGATCTAAAAGATTCACTTTCACCTTCTGGAACTTCATTTTCTGTTTCAACGGTCTCTCCGACTTGCTGTCCTCCATCTATTTCATTCTTTCTTATTCTGTAAAATACAATTTCATAAATGCCCAATGCCAATTTTGCAAAAAAAGTCAATGCATTAACACCTTGAACAGCAAATTGAAATCCAAATAAAAGACAAGTGACAGAATTTATACCTTGAAAAACATCATAAACTAAAAATTTAGCTAATGCAAAATCAACAAAGATGAAAAATAAATTTAACCAAAAATTAATCAGTAATCCAAAATGTTTTATCACATCACGTAAATCTACTTGAGATTCATGATTATTAATCTTGTTCACAATTAAAATATTTACATAATCTAATCGATCAAACATTATGATATGGAATACTTTAAAACTAACACTTAACCCCATGAGAAAAACATTTAAAATCATGTTATTATCACCCATAGTTAAATTTAATAATAAATTAATGGCAAAAATAGGTAATTTTTCAAATAAATGTTCCACTTCAACCATTCTTAAAGATCCAAATATCAATACTTGTAAAGTTTTATCAATTGCTAAAAATAAAAAAACCATGACATTAATCAAGATCCCAAGTTTGATTCCATCCGTGAATTCTACTATAAACATAACAAAATTATAAGATTTTGATAAGGAATCATAGATCGACCAACTTAGTAGAGCCATGGTTATTGCTGAATAAGCTATAAGATATTGCTGAGTTCTATTTAGTAGCATAATGAATTGTAAATCTAGGAATTAGTCGAATATAAAAGAATGTCAAAAAAATTTTAAGCTAAATGACGTGAAATATTTTTCTTTCAGAAATTATTTTAGATAGAATTGCAACAAATTTGGATAATGTTGGGTATAATCGACCTATCTGGTGAGTTAATTTAATGTTGGATAATCAAGATGTTGTTGGGTTGTTGCTGTCAAATCTCGTGAAAGTGGCCACAGCATGGGAGACAGACAAAAAAAAAGGGGGGAGACGTGAGCAAATATTTGTATTAGAGAGAGAGAGAGAGAGACAGCCAAACAAATTGTTGGCGTGTGAGTGTTGCCAACTCATGAACTATTTTTTTTTTTGGCAAACGAGAGAAAGTCGTGTATAATTAGACAACTATGGTAATACACTAAAATCTACTTTAATTCAAACCTTTCTTTAACACCTGGGATAGCTAATACTCTATTGTACCATTCTTCAACATGTGGGAATTTGGTATCATAACCCTTGAATGAAACATCATCACCAATAAGTTTACAAACTTCATTTCTTCTATGATGACCCACAGCAAACGCCAAATCAACAAAAGTGAATTTATCACCAACAAACCATGTGTTCTCTTTCAATTGATCATCCATAACCTTGTAAGTTCTTTCAAATTCATCCAAATAGGAATTGAATACATTCTTATCATTTCCCTCAACCTTAATATAAACATTGAATGATTTCAAAGTACCAGCAAATTGAGTAGCTTGATAAAACATCCATTTCAGTTGTTGCCAATATTCAATTGGATTAGTAGCCAATTTGTAACTAAATTTCCCATCTTTATCATAAGTCTCAGCAAGGTATTGTAAAATGGCATTACTTTCGCAAAGAACCAAATCACCATCAACCAAAGTTGGAATCACCCCATGTGGGTTCAATTTCAAATACCAATCTTGTTTCAATTGATCACCAGCAGGCCATTTGAACATATGAATTTCATGAGGAATATCCAATAACTTGATAAATAACAAAGGCTTACGGCCATTTCCAGTTGGAGCAGTATATAAAGTCAACGTCATTTCTTGATTGCAGATAATCGATGAAGATTATTGGACTGATGACTAATATTAAAAAGTGGATGAAATTTTTCTCGTGTATTTGTTTGAGTTTTTTCATGCGGGGGACGGAGGACGGAAGTGAGCCGCGTGAGTCGGAAATAACGCGGCGTAATTATTCCTGCATCGCTTTAAAAACCTTAAACTTTAGCAAGCTCAATCATCATCATCATCATAATACACAACTGTTTCACATTTAATCTCTTTGATGATTATGACTTCTTCTCATGATATTCTTTCTTACTTTCCAAATCCCGCCAATTTTCATTCGTTTCTCTTCAAAATTAACATATGGAAAATTGAAATCATTGGTTTTCAAACCTTCTTTGTTTCTTCTCTTTTGTTTCACTGAATCTATTTTAAGATTAACTAATTTAGGATGTAATACTTCACAACTTGGTACTTCTCCATCTCCTCGGACTATCATGATACTATAACCTTGTTTGATTCCCTTTTGGAGTTTTTGAACTACTGAATCAGGAGCATAAATATTCATGTAGTGAGATTGTGGATTTATACTATGAATAATTACCAATCCACCAAATTCTGAATCAACTGTGAAAACTTTATCAAAATCTTTTTGATTTAAGAAATATGGATGATTTGGATTTGTTGGTGATTGGGGAGTGACCAAGGATTGTTTTGTTAGATAAACACCACAGATAGATACTTCCATTAATGAACAAATATCAAAATCTTTTGGTATGTCAAAGTTTAACACAGTTACTGAACTCACAATTCCGGTTGTACTAGACGATTGTGATGGACAATTATAAGACAACTTCAATGGTGATGCATCTAATAATCGTTTTGAAAAATCAAACATTCCTTGGGCTTGTGGTGATGCATGGAAATATAACAACTTATTAATTGATCTAATTTCTGGTGCTGAATATTTTGAAAGTTGATAAATCCCTGGTAGTATTTTAACATCGTAGTACTGTAAGTCTTGTAATAAGTAAACATTATCAGGATATTCAATATTTAAATTATTTGAAAGAATAATTAATTTATCAGGTTGAATCAATTTAGTAATTTCATTTAATAATTCTTTCCCAAACCCTTTTATATATCCTGGAGTATTTATAATTAAGTGATTTTTCCCATCATATTTTGAATATAAATCTTCGATTATTTTCATATATCTAGTTGGTGAATGAATTGAACTTGTAAACCCAAAATAATGATCATATTTTTTATCTTTCCCTATATTAGTACTTGAACTATTAAAACCAAATTGAAGTTGATTTATTTTAGAAAGGGATAATGTATAAGGATGTGAATATTCAGATTGTCCTGGATCCAAATCAAGATAATCAACACGAGATTGTGGTACTTCAAGAAGTAATTCATTAAGTAAAGTTTTACAAAATGTGGATTTCCCAGTATTTTTATTTCCAATAATCATTATTTTCAAAGGTTGATAACATTCTTTTAATGAATTTAATTCATCTATCCAAGTAGGATTTATATCCAATCCACATACTCCATTATTATCATTAAACACAATTTCAAATGAATAATTCTTGAATGATTGATCTTGATTTTCTTCATGTTTGACAATATTTTTCAATGGTTTACACACTTTTCCAATATTCTCTAATCCATTATATAAATTGATTAATTCAAATGTGGATTGTTGATTATGATACGCAATGATTGGTAAAGACTGTGATTGTAATCCAATTAAATCATAACTCACGTCTCCTGCTTTTAAAACGTGACAATTATTTAATTTAATTTCACCCAGAAGTATTTTAATTTTACATTGTCCAGATATAAGTAAATATTCTAAGGGATCATTTAATGTTACAATTACCGAATTTTCATTAAATTGAAGATTTTCTTGAGTTGGTATAAAATTTGATATTGTAATTCTAGCAGTTTGTACAATTGGAGTCGAAGACGTACTGGTTTCTTTTTGTTGAACAGGTAGTAGTAATCCATAATCTGGGGAATCTTCTTTATCTTCATCATCATTGATTTCCTCATCGGATGAATTTGCTTGATATTGAATTAATCCTTCATCATCTTCTTGTTCTTCTTCACTATTATTTAAAGTACTAAATATAGATCCACCATTTGAATTTCCTTTAAGGGCAGCAAATGCACTCATATTAAATAATATAAATATAGCAAAGGATCTATATTTCTCAATACTAAATATATACAACCTGATGGAGGAGGTGGGTTTTCTTTTTTTTTTTTTTCATGTTTGAACTTTTTCCGATGTCGTGCATCTTTGCAGAAATGTCGTAAGGACCTGTTATTGTGATAATTTTGTAACCATAAACTAAATCTTATCTTGCGACATTGATCTTTTGTTTGAATTCTTAATAATTTTAGAATACTTTGCATTCTCTTATTCAAGTGATAATTTTCATTTATTGTATTTCATAATAATGGCGGTGAATAAACCAATGAATTGACAGAAACGTATGTTGAGCACAAAAAGTATACTTCGTCAAAACAATGAATTATTCCAGAATTGATTATTTCCATAGAATTAATTAATCAATTGGACAGTACTCATAACGATTGAGGAATACAAAACCATAACTGGTCTTGGAGTGTTAATTTGCTTGCATCCTAGAAGTATAATTACATCATGTGTATTACTAAATGAACTTAACCCCATACGCGATTTATAATTACCTGAAAAAGGATAGGGAATGTTATAACCTTATTATTTACTTATTCTAGCATAACCATTGATATGTATAAACTAAAAAAAAGAGAGATGAACAACAATAATAACGGGTTACTTGCACTGTACTTTTGACCAAAATGGGAATTACAGCGTGGTTAATTGAGGTTAATTGGGTGAATCAATAGAGTATTGAAAGACGACTTTATTGATAATTTGGAAAGAGTCACCTTGTGGGAACAAAAAATCAATTGATATTGGTATTATAAAGGGTTTGTTTCAATTAGCAAGTTAATAATTGCTTCCATTTCGATTGTAATGTTTTCTTTATCACAAAAAAATTATATAAAATATAAACAACACAATCTTTCCGATATTCCTTTGTTATGAAATTTGCTTTTTTGAAATACACAAATATCTAACTGGTTAGAATTCAGTATCTGCAAATACAGTATATTGTTAATAATAATAATAATCACAAATATAATCTGAATAATAATAACAATCAATACTGCGAAAAATATCTAAAAGATTCCAATGCATCGTTTATTCTTGTAGTTTTTACGTATTCATTTTTGGTCTTGTTTTTTGAAATATAAGATTGTTAACATATTGTCATTTGTGGGTTATGAAACTACTATACATAGATTAATGATGTTGATGTTGATGAGGCAATTTGAAATTTATTTTCTATATTTTTCGGCGTTTTCATCGGTAGATTAATGATGAAATAACTCATCATACCTGTCAAAGTGAAATAGCTAATATTATGAATTATGAAAAAAAAAAAGTTCACTGCTGTTAAGTTTGAAATTTTAGTGTAATTAATAGGGTACCCTGCAATATGTACATACATACTAGAGTTTCATTGAGAGGATGATGGAAAACAACAAATTTTGAAATATCTTTTACTTTTCTAATTCACGGATAGACGACATATGGGTTAGTAATTTATTTGCTCTTATTTGAATGAAGAATTCTAACCCTAACGATCGTATGTTTTTATTCAAATAGTGAATATAATCTTTTATTTGAGATTGTTTTTGAAATACAAGGTAGTTGCATTAATGTCCCATTTCTATGGTTTTTAGTAAACTCCGTAAATACGATGATTCAAAAAGGATGCTTTTAGATCTTTCAAATTATGATCTTTTATTTATGCATTTATTTTTCGGTCGATTCGATCACATCCGGGGATGTAGTATTTGGATTGAACCAACGGGATAAGAAGTTAAAATCGTTTAGCGGTATCGGAGTAGTGTGTGGAGGGTGGAAGGGGAACCATTATTCATCCCGTTTGTACTAATTTTGAAGGTGGAGAAATTGGAAGAAGGTAATAGGATTGCACTTACGAACTTCATCGTCAGCATTAGTCCTTTAAGGTGCAAAGAGGAGTACAGAGATCAGGGGACAAGAAAAAGCAAGGTGCAAATACAATAAATCTAACATTGTCAATTTGAACTCAACAGTGTATTTTGATAATGTCACGCTTGATTTATATAACTTTATACTACACGAATTAGACAGTAAAAAAAATAAAAAAAGGAGTAATAACGAGGGGAATGGATATTGGTTTGTTGATCATTCACACAACCTTCATGTTTTGTAAATCTTAAAAATGATCTTTTTCTTCAGGGCAGTTCTAGTGGGGAAAAAAAAAATAAGGTGTAGATCTAGAATTAACTACTTAGATTTGTGTGATTATCTCTCGATTGAACAATAGTCACTCCACCTATTGCTCATATCATGTTCTACTTCATCCCTTTAAGATGGTGATTTTCTTTTTTTAGATTGACCTGGAACTATTCGGATGAGTTTTTTTTTTTTTTTTGGTCATTAAGAAATGGAACAACAGGAACAACAATACAAAAACAAAAAGATTAAAAGCTTAAATGATACAACGAAAGGTTATTCTCCTTTGATGACGATACTATAAACTTTGTGGGTAATGTAAAAGCTATTTTTTGGTTGTTGTTTTAATCATCTACTAATCCTCTTTTTACCCCCTAAAATGAGACAAAAATTGTTTCACATCGAATAAAAGTAGATATTTTAGTTATTTACAAGTACATTAAAGAGATCAAACAAAAGCTGGAATGGACTCATTTTGTCTTATTCTTGAATATGTTACAAGATTACAAATAGTCACATGATTCAAGTTGTGTATAACCATTGTTTTCTTGGTAGCTGTTTTCTTAGCAAGGTTGGTGTTGAAGAAAAGAAAAAACGACATTTCTTTATTCAATAATCATCAATGGATATAATGTAAATGTAAGTGATTAATAATTCCGGCATTCGCTTGAAAATATACGCCTGTGTGTATACTACGAAATGGTTAAAAATGTCGAAGAACATCAAGGCGGATTTATGAACACACTCATGATAATGAAATTACCATACAGATGAAATTTTCAACAAAAACAAACAAAGTGTATCAAAAACTCGATACGAAATACTGCAAAAAAAAAAAAAGAACCAATTGTTATTTTAATCACGGCACGGCATTCTCTATTAAAATCAGCAAGCAAGTCAAGCAAGCATGGATTTCATGATGATGTAAGTATGGATAATTTTTTTTTATTGTTGATGTTATTTTCTGTCCAATGAAAAGTATCTAAAAATAATATAACCAAGTTGTACATGCACCGTTAATGTCAAAGTAAGCCTCATAAAAGTAAAAAGATTTTTCTTTGGTAAGACAAAAGCCAGATGAAATCCAAGAAGAATTGCTATTGATGGGAATAATAATAGAAGAAAAACTTATCTTACTTACGGGAACGATGGGAGGTGATGAGAATAAAGCAACTTAATAATAAATATTAAAAATAACCAACCCACTTGTTGCAATTATATGATAGTTCTAGATCTATGTAGATTACGTCTCTTTTTTTTTTCTATTTTATGGTTGTTTTTTTTTTTGTTCAACTTTCCTCCTACTTTCCCCTTGTTTGACTTTAAACATTTAGTTTTAGTTTTTTACCGCTCTTATTATTACATCTTTGAAATTACCCCAAAGAGGTATAAATTGGTTTTTGGGTTAGTCATTGCAGCGACATGAAGTGTGTGTGTATATATATACATATTTGATTTTAGTTTATGTGCAGTATGGCTGGAATTGTCGCAGTGTCAAAAAAAAATTATTACATAAATGAAGTTGTTTCATGACACTAGATATAGAGATTCTATATAATTAAGGCAAGCATGAGATTTATACATCACAAGAAATTCGATAATGTAGTCGTTTATTGAAACAACTAAGCTGGTTGTTGTGATCAATGTTGATGTTTATGGTATGCCCTAATTGGATCTTCGTTAAGGGCTTCGTTTTTTTGATTTTCTTTTTCATGTAGTCAGCCAGTGTTTCCTATTTCCCCCTTAAATTAAAATAAAAGAAAAAAAAGGGGAAGTGCACCTATAAATAATAAAATAATGATCAGCTTAATAGGTAACAGCAACAACTAACAACCAATATCAATATCAATATATAATACCAATTGCAAGCTGCATCTACTAAAATTAGTTGCTACTTTATCCTATTCCATCACTTCTTTATCAAATCCAGCCAAATTACTGCAAAAAAAATTTTTAATAAGAATAAAATAAATACTTGACAGGTTTTTAAAATTCACTTCTAAAGTAAGGAAGAAGAAATTTAAGGCACAATAAACTGTTTAGTCGTACAGTCGGCGATAACATGTGTGTGTGTTTAGTTGGGGAGGGCGTGTTCTGATGTTGGATTATGATATCTAAAACTTCTTTATGTTTCATAAAAAACGAAAAGATTATTAATTTAACAAAGGGGTAAATCTTTCTACATTCTATCCTCAAACATTAAATCTGAAATTATTTCTTTGCAAAAATTACATTGATTAAATCTAATGAAATAATTACTCAACCACAAGCCCATCTTGAATGTCGTTTTAATAATGGTATAGATAGATATATAATATTTTATAAGTCTCGATAATGTCAAAGGGAGAAGAGAAAGGTTCTAGAAATGGTTATATAATTCCCACTCCATTGTGGTTTTGAAGTGTCCAAAAAAATAAATTATTCTTTATTTCCATCGATCCATTTTCGTACAAAATGTCGTGTCACAAGTTTATATGTATCTGGTAATATATATATATACACATTTGTCAATGTATCATGCATAATGTGTTAGTTGCATGATACGACATTTTTTAGGAGAATAAGAAGAAGAAGAAGAAGAGCGTTTGTGAAATTATGAAGAGGAACATGGATGAATATTTACTGGGTGGTATTTTTTTTCATTATTTTGTATTTTAGTTTGATTTTAGTTCACAATTATTTGAACTGCCTGGTCTGTGCATAATGGGTTAAGTTGATTGTGTTATATTATTAATCAACTGTTTTATTAATTCATGTACAATTTTTTTTTTAAAGTATCCAGGTTGTAGATGATTGAGTTACAAAAATGTTTATGTATGAAAGTTTCTTGTATGAATGCTTTGAATTGCAATGAAATGACAAAGTGAAAAAAAAAAAAAATTTTTTATGTATTTATTCTTTCTTTCTGTAGTTTCTTTTTTGATGTGGTTGTTGTTTCTCCTTGTTCCTTGTTTTACTATTTCATAATTGTGAATATTGTATTATTAATCTAAAATTCTTTGTATTCTATTATATGACATATTTGGCTGTACTGGTTGTTTAAGTTAATTATATAAATACTCCAACAAGTTTCACATCTGGTTTTTTTTATATTTATTTATTTCAAATTTTCTTCTCTTTTTTTTTTTGATCTCTTGTTTTCTTTTTTGAACTTTTATTTTTTGTATACTTGTAATCCTTATTTGTGTGTTCTTGTTCTTTACTACATCCATATATCTATTTATATACACACTTTGACAAGCAACCTGTTGGAAGAAATTTACCCTTCTACTTCATCTCAACCAAATACACACACACACACATCATACATTAAGGTTTCTCAAAAGAAAAAGCATCATCCCCCTTTTTTTTCTGGTTCCTTAATTTCATTTCCACCTATACATCACAACTATCCCATCAAACAAGATTCTAAATTTAGTTCAAACTTTGTCCTCGTCTCATTTTCACATTTAAATTGATATCGTCTAATAAGAAAACAAGTCGTTTTATATTATATTTTTTTTACTATTATTATTTCTACTGTAACGACATTCAATTCAATTCAATTTAATACTCGCCGTAGCATTTTTACTTTCCTATCCCCCACTTTAGTCCCACTCGCTTGATTATTTTGTACGGCCACCCCACCTTAGTACAACCACAACCACAACAACGATCACAAGCTAAGTACCCTTCATTATAAATTGGTCTAGAGATTGTTGACTAATCCCAATTGTACTTCAAATTCAACTCATCACAAGGAAATTTTTTGTTTCTTTTTCTTACTAAGGAAAACAATCTGTTTTTTTTTTTGTATAACATTCCCCTTAAATTTTGGTTAATTTTTTTTTTTTTTTTTTTGGTTTTCTTGATTCCTTAACTGTTTCAAGTTATTTTTGAAATATTTAATCTTTATTTAATTAAACCCGAAAGGAGACCCAAGTGTCAAAACGATTTTTCTATATCCAATCCCAAACAATAGAAGAATCACAACCATCATCTACTACCTATCAGTTGAACAAAAAAAAAACAGTGATTACACGAGATCTATCAATAACCTAGACGTGTGTAAATTGTCTCACAGATTTCCATTGAATTGAGTCTTTAGTTGTCCTTGTGTTTTTTTTTTCTTTCGTGTCGTCTGTGTTACATTGTGTGCCTTTCTGTACCTCATTCACAAAGACAAAAAAGACAAAACTTTGTGGCAGTTTTTATTATCATTGTTTTTGTTGCTACTCGTCTTCCAAAAAAAAAAAACCTGTGCATCTATACACGACCATCAACAATTAACCCCTTCTGCCCCTAAAAATTGAGTGTCTTACATTCCTCCCCCAAAGAATACTTTATTTGTACAGGCAAAACTTTTTTTTTCTGCTGCTGTTGTTGTTGTTGTCCCCCTCGCATTGAAATTTTCTGTTGGTGTTGTTTTAATTTAATTTTTATTTATTTACAACCACTTTTCATCCATATTTCTACATTTACAACTCATTGTCATAATTACAGCCACTGAAAAATTTGACAACACTTTACTTCAACTAATCAACCAATCAACTAATCAACAAATTCATCCGACAAACACGTCTAATCAATCATAATCTTTTATCAGTTTGTCGTACCTTTACAATATTTTCATTACAACTTTTAGTTTTGTCAAATTGAGTTAACTTTGAAATCGGAAACCAAGTCAAAAGAAAACAAAAAAAAAAATAAGGAGTTTAAGTTTTATTTTTAATTTCCAAGTCTACTGTTTTTTTTTTTTTAATTTTCTAATTTTCCCTTTTCCCTGTTTCCATTCTGATTATAATTTCCCCCTGTTAATTGTATTGTCAATCTTGTTTTGAAATCAATAGCCGAACTACTAAGAGATTAAGATAAGAACAAGAAGAGGAACAAGAATAAGAACGAGAACAAGAACAAGGAGAACAAGACGAAGAAGAATAAGAATAAGAAACAAAAAAAATTTGACATCCTTTCTTCTCCCATTCATCAAAAAAGAAAATTAAATATCATTATCATTTACAAATAAGAAGTTGTTTTCATCATCTCTCCCCCTCATATTTGCTTGATTTTTTTTTCTTTCTTTTTAGGGTTATCTTATAATGTCAAGTAATACTCAGGTATATCAGAAAGAACTGCCTCATTCACAGCCTGGCCAATCACTACTCCACCATGGTCATGGCCATGGTGTTAACAACAATAGTTTACCACCTTTACCGCCAATACCTCCTCCACATTTACCTCCTATATCTAACAACAACAATAGTCATAACTCGAGTACAAATAGCGGAGCAAGTATAGCTCCTCCTCCTGTTATACTGTCGTCTACTACAAACCAACAGCAATACTATCCTTTACCTGCGTTGCGTGCTCCACCTCCACTAAATGCCATTTCTACTGCCATCAATTCATTACCGGCTCTAACACCTACTATGACTAATGCCACTCATTCTACTATGTCATCAAATTCATCTGCCGAGTCAGTAGCTTCGTCCAATTCCCCTAATTCAATTACAAAGCCAAAATCTAAACGATCTAGTAAAGGAAGAGTGTTTCAATGTACTGGATATCCGGGTTGTAATATGTCATTCACAAGAAGTGAGCATTTGGCTCGACATAAGCGGAAACATACAGGTGAAAGACCGTTTACTTGTCCTTATTGTTCTAAAAATTTCAGTCGATTGGATAATTTACGTCAACATAAACAAACAGTTCATGCTTATGAAACTTATTTAACTAAAGATAATTCCGATAGTAAATTGTTGATTGAAAGATCCAAGACTAAAAAGAAATTGAAGCAACAAGAAAAGAAACAACAACAGCAACAAGCTCAATTGAAAGCACAAGCACAAGCTCAAGTACAACATCAAGCACAAATGCAAAGAAACCAACAATTTGGATACAATTTCCAACCACCATTCCCACAGTTTCATAATAATAGTAATAGTAATAATGGTCAATACTACAATCCACCACAAGCATCACCTGTATCTGTTGGTATGCCTCATCCACATGCACATCCACCACAACAGCCATCTTCATCACAATTACCACCTCCACCTCCACCACCTGGCCCAACTGTATCTCAACCACTTGCACATGCAACAAGCAGTTATTTTGATCAATATAGGCAAACACAGAATCATTTGACTTCATTACCTCCTCCACCAAAGATTTCTGCCCATCCTTCCAAACCATTGCCTCCATTACCACATCAAATTGATCATGAAGCTCAAGGTGGATTGAAAATTCCAGAACATTCGTTTAATCCAAAGAGGAGACCAGAACCATTATCTTTGATGCATTCTAATCATTCTGGAGATAATATTGAAAATGCTCCACCAGTTGTTAATGGTAATACTTCATCAGTTTTATCTGATGCAGTTTATCCACCTCCACCAAAATCTGCAACTTCTGCTGCTTCTATGACACCCAACTTGGCCAGTCCAATCTCTCCGTTGTTTCAACTGTCGTTTAATCAAGGAACTCTGAAGAGTGGTAACGGTAATAATGCTGGGGTTAGTGGAAGTAATCCAAGAGCTTCAACAATAACTACTTCATCTGTATCTATCAAATCACCAATGTCACAACACTTTTCTATCATCAGCTCATCATCCAATTGGACCAACAATACCACAAATAGTTTACCATCAGTTAATAATCTACCTCATCCTAATTGGGGTAGTGGTGGTGGTTCAAGTGGAAGCTCAACAGGAGGTTATAATAAATCATTCCATGAAAGACAGAGTTCAGGATTGAGTGATTCAATACTGGTTTTTTCAAACAAGGATGTTAAAAGCAATTGGCTTAGAGGAGTATTGAACGATGAAGAAGAAGCTAAGGGTGATGGCGATAATGATTCAATGATGGTTGATAAAGAAGATGATCAGGAAGATGAAGAAGAGAATAAAAATCAAGAGGATTGTTCGATAGCCAACAATACAACAAGTAATAACAACTATTCTACATCTACAGAAGTTATTGATGAAAGTATGAGAACATCTACACCTTCGATTAGATCAGATAATTCTAATGATACAATTCATAGTACAACAGTTGTATTGAAGAAAGATCATCAAGCACCTTCAATTGTTTCTACATCCCATGTGTCAAAGAAACCTACCATCAATAATTTGATTTCCCAGTCACCAAATGAACCTGTTTCGATCAAAGAAGAATGAAATATTTAATACATTCGTTTAATTTCAACTGAATGAAAAAAAAAAAATATTATTATCTTTATGACTTTTTTTTAATGATATTGGAGGTGTTGTTTCCCTTTGTTTTTGTTCATATATTTGCATTTCATTTCTTATTATTTATTTTATTTATTGTGTGTTCCATTGCCAAAACCAAAAACTTGAAAAAAAAAATGGAAAAATATTGTTAAAAGATTTATGATGTTTTATTTTGATCTTTCTTTCTTTCTTTCTTTCTTGTATATGATGATAATTAGCGCGTCTGTGTAATTTTTTACTTAATTAATTTTTAATACAAAAATTTTTCATATATATCTTATTCTCATTGTCGGTGTGTGATGTAATGTTAACTCTGATTAGAAACAGATTCTTACACATGGGTCTCTCTTGAAGTTCGTAAGTTAATTCGCCTGGCAAAACTATATAAGTGAACATGCATACGGATATTAATTATCAAGTTATCCGTAATGAACATATGTAACATTTCCTAAAATACTACTCAAAGAAAAATGATATTCATATTGAAATTTCATTTGTATTATAAATATATATATATAAATATATGCGTTGTAAATCCTTAGATTTTCATCTATAGTGAATGTTTCATCGATATATGTGAATAAGAAAAAGGATCTTCAATTAATGAAAAAAACCCTCCTCCGATAATTAATAGACGATTTTAAATATTATTAATCTTAAAATGAGTTACAATTCAGGAGTAGAAGAATTAAAGAAAAAAAAAAAAAAAGAAAAAAAAGGGGGAAAGAAGAAAGGGGAGAGGAGGTCATTCAATAAAATTGTATAAAATCATCAAATCATAAACTAATTTAACTCTATTATAAAGTATAATACAATGAATAATAATGATATCTTGATGACGATGACGATGACGGTGATGATGATGTTGAATAAATGACGCCTAAATAAAGACATAAATAATTGTTCAATTTCCGTTTGTTCTAAACGCAGGAGAAACTAGACCATGCAAATTTATAAGGGAAAGATGTTCCTATTTCATGAACTAGAATCATTAAATTTTTGTTCCCTTTCTTTTTTTTAGAAATGTATTTTGATGATGTTAATGATGAATGATTTTTTTATGAATACTTTTAAGGCACGCATGAACCGGAATTTACCGTGATAACCCGTGTGAATGGTACAATGCAAGAAGAATCTAAAAATAAAATAATAATCACACAAAACAAAATGTCGTATGAATTTTCATTTTCATTTTCTTTTTTTTTTTTTTCACGCGTCAGGGAAATACTGAAAGAAACTAGAGAACGTGCGCCACCCTCGCACTTTTAATTTGGAATGTGAACGGCGAAAATCTAGGGCCAGGGTCAAGGGTCATCGGCCCATAATATGGGCCGTGGACTAGATGGTCAACTCGTTCCGTATTATTAGTAACAAAGCGAAACAATACAAAATTGGGTCTAGAAGCTGATGTAATGAATTTTCAATTTGTATAAACTAAACTAAGATCATCATAAAAAAGTTTTCTACTGTTCTTCTTCTCCATTGGTAAAATTCAATGTTTGTATGCATGAAAAAAAAAGCGAAAATGATTTTGAATATCGCGTGTTTTAAAATAAAGAGTCAGAAGACTATACTCTATATTGTAAAGTTTGTTTATGTTCAAAGAAAAAAAGCTTACTTAGATTAAAATGATTGATCATGAAATATTAGACGATAAATCTCTATAGTAAAAACATTGCATTTATTGGTTTGTGATTTTTGTAAAATTTCAAATTCCCCTCAAGTGAATATTGGTAATAGTACTAAACTCACATGAAAATAATAGATATTCAAGAAATTATCAAATGATGAAAAAAGGGGGAGAATCGATGGGAATGTTTATTATTAATATTCAAAGAATGAATTAATGAATGAATGCAAAGAAAGATCCTCATTTGAAAAGCATCATGAATTATATTTATTCTTTCAAAGATTTGTTGATTCTCAGAATGTTGATTGTTTTATTATAACAGTAATTGAATAAGAATCAACCCAACCATTTTACTCGTCTATTCATATCTTCTCGATCATCTTCATCGTGATGAGTAACAGTACATCCAAGAAATGCCTAGGATCTATTTTTAGGAAATAGGACAAAAGACATGAACATATTTCCATGGCTACATCTCTGTACAAAATAAATTGTAAATGAAACGGACTTAGCGCGATTAAATCCGAGCATAAAATGAATGTCGTTTGTTTCGATTACATAAACCACAAAAGAAAAAGGAACATGTGAGTGAGTATACACTTTCTTTAATCATTTATACATTATACATAATCTAGTGGCTTTTCTATAAGCAAGTTTTGGTTTTCAAACTTCACACAAAAACAGTGCATCTTCTTTCTTTCTTCCTTGCCTCCATCTGAGTGTCAAAAAAAAAAAAAATAGAAAATACACCATACGACATTTCCATATTTTATGACATTGAATAATTGAATGAACCCCTATTATCGTAAAAACTATTCAAGATTGTATTAAACATCCGTGTCCTTGTTTCATTGATTCATCAATTCACATAATGTTTTCAATTTATCAAAAATATTCCATACAAATCTAACATAATTTAAATAATCATTATAAATTTGATTAATAACAACATGATTTTTTTTATCTTCTAATGATTTAATCATATTATTCTTATTTATTAATATATCATTAATTAATTGTCTTAAACCAGGTAATAAATTATTAATTATTTCATCTTGATATTTATTTAAAATTTTATATAATTCTTTATTTCTTAATTTTTTCTGATATTGAATTTTTTTCAATTTATTAATATCATTTAGTAGATATTCAATATATTCTTGAGAATTCTTCAATTTATTTGATCGTTTAGGTAGATTATATTTTTGTTCAAGTAAATAATGTAATGGATCATTAATTATATTATTACCATTTGTTGTTGTTGTTGTAGAAGAAGAAGAAGAAGAAAGGGTATTTTCTTTGATTATTGTAGATGATAATGAATCAAGTATCGTTTGATTATGAGTGATTTCTTCAGATATTTGATTTATTGCATCTATTAATGGATTTAAATTCTCTGTTTTTAATAAAAAATAATAATTCGTTAATGGATAGGAGGTAGGATCGGGCATTTATACTCTTTAGTTGCTGATGATGCTGATGCTGATGATAATTGATCTGATCTAATCTGTCTGTTGTTTTCTTTTGTCTGTTTGTTTGCTCTGGTGTTTTTTTTTTTTTTTTTTTTGAATGTTATTGTACAAAATTACACGAATCATCCACGTGACTATGAAAAACGTAGATTATATAAAATTTTATTGAAAAAAAAAATGTATAAAAGAACTATAATTAAATTGAAAAAAATATTTTAAAAAAAAAAAAAAAAATTAAAAAAATCTCTGGAAAATTCGCCAAATATATATTTATAAGTTAATCACATCAATTATCCTTCTAGACTCTTTTGAAGTTTTCTTTCTTGTTTTTCTTTTTTCATCACTTGTTTCAACGCAACACTATCCAATGGATCCAATAATTCAAAAGAACATAATAAATCTTCCAGTACTCCCATAACTGCACCCCAATTATCAAATTCTCCACAATAATTAGGTGCTGAAAATACTGTAACTAATGTTCTATCATTGAAAAATTCATATCCATCTTCAACAACCATATGAGCTCGACAAACTAAATCAAAATTAAATTTACTTAGAAATTTATTAATGGCAACTTTGGAGAATACATAAGAAACTCCTCTTTCGTTATCTTCCCATTCATTTATTGTATCTGCTGGATCTGACCATAACAAATCATTCAATAATCCAAAATCAGGCACATCTGTAGGTCTAGCTATATTTCTAATTTCATCCATTGAATTCAATACTGGAGATAATCCACCATGAACACAGAAAATTTTACCAGCAACAATAGCAGCAATTGGCAAAGTATTAAAAGTATCAATAAATAATTTCCAAGTTTTAATATTGCATCTTCGTTTACATTCATCATAAAATCCATAAACTCTCGTAACATTTGCACATTCATGATTACCTCTTAATAAGAAAAAATTCTCCGGATATTTGATTTTATAACACAACAATAATAGAATTGTTTCTAATGATTGTTTACCTCTATCAACATAATCTCCTAAAAATAAATAATTTGTCTTTGGAGGAAACCCACATTTGGAGAAAATACGAATTAAATCCAAATATTGACCATGAACATCACCAACAACTTTAACTGGAGGCGATAATTCTAACAATGAAGGTTGACTCAAGAAAATTTCTCTTGCTGATGAGCAAATAATTTCAATTTCGGAATTTTTCAAACAAACATTCTTGGTTCGCTTACTATATGCTGCATTAATCAATTTATCTATCCATACATCAATCTGTGAACTATTTGTTATAGATGCAGAAGTTAATGAAGTAGAAGTTGAATGATGTTCTATAGTTGGATTTCCTTCTAATTGTTGTTGTTGCTGCTGTTGCTGTTGTTGATCTTGAGAAAATGAAGATGATCTATTTAGAATTGAACTTTGTGATGTAGTTGACTTAATTGAATGTGTCATCGAATGGTTTGTAGATGTACGCGAGATTGAATGAGTTCCATTTAATGGATTTATCGCGGGCGAACTGGGGAAACTATTACTGTTGTTATTATTGGAAGAATTCCCATTCATGTCGTGTTGTATTGAATTGCTTGGTACTGAAAGACTATCTGTGGTACCATTTCTAGAAAATGAAGGTCTTTTATTATTATAATTGTTGTCATTATTGTTGTTATCATTATTATTGCTATTATTATTATTGTTCTTCAGGAATGATTTGGCCAGCCTTGACGATAATATTGATCGTGAAGATTTGACTGAACTTGTGGAAGCTGTGGTATCAGAACGTTGAATTTGTGGTAAAGACGAACTGGAAGATCTTGCTGATTTTGAACTTTGAGAACCCATAGTATTGAATTAATGACTATTTTGGTATTGATGAATATAGAATAAAAAAATAGATTGCTGGAGTATAATAAAAATGGATATACGAAACTAGAATGTAGGAAGAAGAAGAAAGGAAAAAAAAGGTATAGCAAAGGATATGTCAATTTTCTTTCTTATTATTGTTTCTTGTTTCTTTGCCACTTGTTAATTGCTGTATGCTCTTGTATTTGACAATAAAAAAAATTGAAGAAGTATTTAAGTTGGTTTGGTGTAGGATTGAAACAGTTGTTGCTGTTCTTATTTCTTATTGTTGTTGTTGTTGTTGTTGAAGATTCTTGGGAAAAGTTACGTCCAACTGTATGATTAATTTTTTTTTTCTCATTCTTTTTCTTTTTCTTTTGGAGTTTGAGTGTGAGTGTGAGTTTGAGTGTGAGGCGGATTTCAATTTTGTCTGCTTTCTGGTTTCCCCCTAATACAAATTGTGTGCGTGTACTTGTGTGTGAGTAAGTGTAAAATGAGAGACAGAGAAAAAGAAAGAAGTTGTTGCTCTTCCGGCGAGCAAATAATGCAGTTTACTACGATGGTCACCGCCACCGCCAGTTCCTTGTTTTTTGTTCTACTACGCTGATTAATCGTTGACGGACCGAACATTTAAAAACACGTATTGTGTTTCATTCCAACTTCTAGCACCAACAACGCCAATACCACCGCGCCAGCACTACCACCACCGCAGCCAATAAACATTTCTCTTGATCTCCCCACTTTTTCGTTTTACATTCATTTCTTGTTCAAACTTGGTATTCACATTGCTCCTCCTCCTCCCTCCCTCCCTCCCCGCTGTACACACCAATGTACTATCGCTGGTGACAAGATCTTAATCCGCTCAATATCAGCTAATCTCTTCAGTTCTATCCTTACACGATATACACAATTTTCAACAAGCCTTGTAAGATTATTTTTAATTTTAAACGTGAACTAAAAACTCAAATACTTAATTTCTAAAAAAAGACTGTATATATGTAGACCTTGGCTCTCCTTGAATGTATATACCACAGCCCATATTATGTTTCTAAAAATAAATATCTATCTATCTACACACAATACACACACGCATACATCTTGCAATTATCGGTGTGTCTCTTAGTTATAATTTTATTTTGCATTCTAAACCGTACATTGTGACATACAGACGGCAGAATGATAGTGAAAGAAAAAGAAAAAGAAAAAATATTTTTTGATTCATAATGAAAAATCATCATGTCAATTTCTACCGCCTTACCATTGATTAGTGAAGCATAACCTAAAATTATCACTTTAAAATGTCTTTACTTTCAAACAAATAAAATAGACAACACACAATGTGTCACATAGTACCTTGTTTAAAGAACAAAGAGATTATTTGTACCTGTAGTATACTTGAATATATCAACTATTGTAAGTCATTCGTAGTTAAAATGTGGAGACTTTTTTTTTCTTAGTTTATTGTTTCATATTCAGGAGCACGTGCTTGTGATTGGTTTAGACGATAATAAATAGAATACAAATAATACGAATATAGGTGCAAAGGAATATGTTTTAGACAATTTGAAACAATATAGAATGATTTATATTGTTTAAAAAGCTATTTGGCTAGTTTATGTGAAAAAAAAAAAAAAAAACACATCAAAATCGTATCAAAGTACTCGTTTTGACACTATTATTGTTATCAAAATTACAAAATACAATAAAACAGAATAATACAATATTATAGTACAAAACAGAAATATACAAGATCTCTAAAAATGTTAACTTCCTCACCTATTAATCTTCTATATCCGCCCAATCAATATGCTGTGATTCCCATTCCTCAAATTGTTTAAGCAATTCTTTTTGTCGTTCCTCATCCTCTTCCTCCTCCTCTTCTTGTTCCTCATCAAGTTCCTGCTTGAGTTGCTGCTTAGCATGGTCATGTGGTTTATTAGTGTTGTGTGAATGACGTGGTCTGTGACTGTGTCTATGTTCATCTCTATGGTTGTGTCTGTGTTCACCTCTGTGCGAGTGGTTCTTCTCTCGTATTGATTCTGTGCCACGTTCATGATGACGATGATGATCCCGATCTGCTCTTCTTTTCTCTGCAGGTCTTGATCCCAAATCCTTTCCAAGATTCAACATGTCCAATCTCAGTGCCAATGGGTTTGCACTGTCTATCTCTGCCGATGATGGAGGCGTGGGATAGCTAGATCTGTGATTCTTCTTTGGTGTACGAGGAGGGGCTCTTGGTCCCTTAGGTCTAGTGGTTGCATGTTTGTCTTCCACTACTTCAGCTTTCTCTTCATCATTATCATCATCATCATCAGCGTTGGCCCATTTGCTAACTAAGGGTTCCGATGCTTTGCTTGTTATTGGTTTATTCCATTTACTATCCTCAAGACTGTTGTGTTTGTGGTCGTCATGTTTTGAGTCTTGCTTGAGTGCTTCTTGAACTAATGACTCATCAGTAGCCCATTTGGATACCAATCCTGACATGATCTCGATAGTTGTTGATTTGTACAAGAAATGGCTGGTTGATTGATTGTTGGGCTTCTTTTCTCATCTTAATCTTTTTTTTTGTTCTCTATTCAATGCAGCGAAAAAAAAAAATTGAAATTTCATCTTCCTTGTTGATAATTGCAATTTTCTACAGTGCTGCAAAAAAAAAAGTTTAGATTGGAGTGCAATACAAATTTTGAGGACTAAATGAATTGAAGATACTTCTTGAAAATACAAACTGTATTGTATTGATAATAGTATCAATGTATGATTGAAGTGTCTTGTTTGTTTTTTTAAGGGGATTGAGCTTTTCATGAAATTTGAATAGGCTTATTGATCTGTTCACAAGTTAAATCCCTCAAGAGCGCTTTTATCATAGATTTCAAATGCCGCCAACAGTATGTCATAATAAACACTTGTGAATAATATTCATCAATTGTATCATTATTTAAAATCTAGAAATATTACTTATCTGTGATCTGCATGAATTGTATAAACATATGCTACTGCGCAATTGGAATTTCCTAATTTCTCTTCATTATCATACCAATTTCAGTATAAAACTAACTTTCAAAAGTATTGTTGAATTAGGAAGTCCGCTAGTAAGATCAACTACCCAATATGCTCCAATGAGACTCCTCACTTGGCCCATTCAATGGAGAGGCAATAATAATAATAATAATAATAATAATAATAATAATAATAAACAATATCACAAAATAACCACTGAGCCAAGTCCCACAACAACAAATGAATAGGTCCATTTCTGACGTCAATCAAACACGTCTCCTTTTGTTTAACTTATTTAATGGTAAGTCACGATGTCTTCGTTTTGCAACATGAGTAATAGGGGTAAAAGGAGAATAACCAATTGTTTGAACGCAATTTGCTTACTCCCAGATACAGAAATTCGTAATTGCGCCTTTCTTATCGTTAGTGACCCATCCATCACACATACACCAAAAAAAATAGGTGTAGATGATAATGTTCTACACATCTTTTTTTTTTTCTTACTCTATTATTGACAGGAAGAAAAATAGTCCAAGATTTTAAGATCGTTACATAGTTTAATAAATCCTCTATCAAACAAGATCCATCATATGGTAAGTTTTATAAATTGTTTGTTTAGAATTCTTTGATTAAATCCATTTCAGTTATCTATTGAAGCCCCGCGGTTTCAGTGGGGATTTCGGAGGAAATGCTTTTTAACACATTTGCACTACCACATATGCTCACGCGGAACTAGGCTGATGTATGAGTTTTGTGATCTATTGTTATCATTCTCACTTTATCCATTTCTACATTTCTTCTATAACAGGTTATAAATACACCATTTCATTCACTTCAATAAAACTTTAATCGGGGAAATATCAATTTACTTTGCTGATATATTTGTCTTGAATTTTTCCATTTGTGAAGACGAAAAGTTTTTGAAAAATCCCATGTTGTTGTGTCAAACTACTCCTACTACTACTTCAAGTACTACCAATTCAATTCTTGAACAAGAATCAATTGTTCCTACTACAAGTACTTCAAGTTCATTGAGTTCTAATAAAAAACCAAGATCGAATAGTTTAGAAACTATCTCATCTAATCCAAAACGTACTCGAAATTCAATTCTTGAAGAAGCTGCTAAAAACAGTACCATTAACACTTTTACACCACCTACTAGATCTTCATTTTCTATTCCTAATCAATTAAATATTTCAATTGAAAAGGCAAGTTTGAAAGATTATCGTAGAGTTGCTAAAACTTTATTACTTGCATTTGAAGATGATCCATTTACAAATTTCATTCTTAATACTACTAAATATAATAAATCAACTACTCTGGAAAATACCTATAAAAAGAAAAAATTAGATTTAATGTTATCATATTTTGAATATTCAGCTTATGATTGTTTATCTACTGAAGGTACTGTATTTATTATTAAAGATAATAATTTTGAAAAATCATTAAATGATTTTGATATTAAAAATACTGATAAATTTCCTTATTTAGGAGTTGCATTATGGAATCAAATTTATGGTCAAAAAATAAGTGATTCAAGTTCAGGTTCAGATTCCGATTATGATGATGAAGATTATTTTGCACCTGAATCGTCATCAATTTTTAATAAATCATTATTAAAATTTAATCTTAAAGCAGTTAAAGGACGTTGTCGTTTTAAAGTTTTTAAAGATAAATTACCATATTTGGTTAAAGTTAGAAATGAAGTTTTAATAAGTCAATTATTATGTCGTGAAGATGATGATCATCATTTTCCTTGTGATTTAGATATTTGGTATCTTGGTGATATTGCAACTTTACCTTCAATGAGAGGTAAAGGTTTAGGTAAAATTTTAATGAATTATGCAAGAGATCAATTTTTATTGGAAAATGAAAAATCTTATATGTATTTAGAAAGTTCAAATCCAATGAATAGAAATTTTTATTTGAAAATGGGTTATACTTTAATGAAAAGTTATTCGATTAGGGATAATAAATATGTTGATCTGGAAAAAGTATTACGACTAGATCCTAAAAATAAAGCTGTTAATATGGATGCAATGTTATATTATCCTGATTTAAAATAAATGAAGCAAAATAAAAAAGCAAAGATTATTGTGCATTATTAGAAAGTATTGATTTGATTTAATAAATAAATAAATAAATAGGTGTTATTATATGGTTTATTATTATTATTGTTATTATTACATGTTAGTATTCTTACAAAAGGATGAAGGGTATAATTTGTAGACCATGTAAGTCACGTTTGCTGATACTGTTCTTTGCAACCAGCCAATGGATTCCAAAAAAAAAAAATATGCACATATATTACTTCCTATTATTCAAATTAATAATCTCAAAATAAAGTATATAAAAAGAGTACAATAATAATAAACATGATGATATTTGGATTTACCGTATTAGCATTATCTAAGTTCACAACCTTGTCAATACCATCAATATTCACAGTTTGTGCTCCCTCGACAGTAACATCATTATCGATATTCTCCAATTCGTCATCTTGTCGTTTATCCATAGTTGGTGTTTTCTCTTCTTCACTATCCAATAACCTAACATCATCTTTAATATTACTAGCTATTTGTTCCACAATTGGAGTGGTTTCAGTTGACCAATTTAAATCTTCCTGTACTTCCGGTTTTGTCAATTCTTGTAATACCAATTCATCATCATTATCAGTCAAGAATGTCAAGACCTGCTTGTCATCCTTTATATTAATTGTTCTGTTTGAATGAAATTTATCTCTATAATTAACCAATTCATCATTGAAATTCAACAATTCATCCCGGATATTTTCAATTCGATCATAAATATTATCATTACTTTTAGATAAACTTTTCAATTCTTCTAAATCTGAACTATTCTTTCGTTTTATTTCTGCCAATTCTGTTTCTAATAAATTATATTGTTTATCTAATTTGGTATGCAATAATTCCAATTCTTTTAATGCTACTCGTAAAGTTGGTTTTGTCCAATTAAAAATCATATCTCGTTGATTCATATTTTCTGTATCTTCTCGTAGTGGTGAATTTTGATTCATTTCCATAAGTGTAGCTGTTTCATCATAATCATTTTCTTCTGATATTGAATCACTCATAGGCGGATCAATAACATCTCCATTTCTTCTTGTTCTACTTCTTCCTCTGGTGGTGGTGGTAGCAGTAGTGGTAGGATTATTAGGATCTAAGAATTGAATATCTTTTAGACTATGACATATAATATTAAATGCTTGTTGTTTATCAACTCTTTCTAGAAATTCACTTTGTTCAACAATCCGAGATTTAATTATAAAATCATTAGTTAAAAAATATGGATCAATAGTAGTTGAACTCATCAATTCAATCTCTAGATATTTTAATAATCGAAATAAATCATGCACAGGAATAGTTTCTTCATTAGTAGTTAATGACCAAATATGATCAAATATTGAAATATCTGAAGATGGTTCAGGAGTTGATGTGGTAATATTATTATAATCCTCTTCTAACTCTAATGATGAATTGAGGGGACAAGGAGAAGGTGGAGTTTGTGGAATCCTTGAAGTTTTAGGTACTCTTGGGATCCTACTCTTTTGAGGTGTAACTGGAGGTGAACAACCAATATTCATGAAGCCAATAAAAGTATTTATATAATGATATCTCTGTGTGTGTAGATCAATGGGGTAGAAACAGATTTAAAATATATATGAATATATTAGAAAAAAATAGAAAATCAAATCTGTTGGGTTTTGCTGTGATTTTTCTTATAGTTTACTAAAAACTGTGTAACAATTGTTCTTTTCTGAAAAAAAGAAATAAACAAGTCAGCAATGTGAAGAAAAGGAGTGGATGTTACTTTGTTTCAGTTATAAGGAAAATAATAATCAAACACGTAATATATAGATATATGTACTTAATTTATAATTGAATCCTCCTTGTCTCCTGCTTCTTCTTCTTCTACCTCCCTTTCAAATCACTGATTCAGATCGGAATGAGTAGACAAGTAGAAAAAAAAAAATTTAACGCTATGTGAGGATATCAAGGAAATTTCCTAATTTGTTATTGTTTTGACCTTGAGTGCACGACCAATTATTTCTTAATTGGGTGTTTGAGATAATTAAGCACTAGCGATATCAATGGCACACAAATCTAGATCCACATGGGAATACACAGAGAGAGAGAGCAATGAAATATGGGTTGTTTGTTTAGTGTTTTGTTGGTCAAAACAGGTAGAATGAACACGAGAGTAGAGTTAGTAGGTTGTTGTTAACTATTGCAGGACAAACAACGCAGACAGTTACCCTAACTATTGTCATGACAAATCAACTTCAGACAACATCTAAACGAACTCTTTTACAAGTCAAGTTGTCATAAAAACAAGATCAACTTCCAGTTAATAATAATAATAATAAATTCCCTGTCGAATTTACCAATCTATCTATTATACATTCATCTTACATTTTTTATTTTTTTTTTTTTATTAATCTCTTTCAACATCTATATTCACTTCTATGTCGTTTTCTTCATCTTCTTTTTATCCAGCCTATTTCCATCATTTTCAGATTCATCAGATTTTTCATCATTATTAGTATATCCATCAATAAAAGTTAAAACTTCATCACGTAATTTCAAATTATCAACAATAATAACAACTAATCCATCACTTCCAACTTCATATTTAATATGTGATTCATTAGGCATAGCTATATTTTCATCAAATTTATCAAAAAATAAATCCATTTGTTTAAAACTTTGTATTGAATCTAATAATCTTTCTTCCATTTCATTTAATTCTTTATTTTCTGGATGATCAATTACTAGAATTATTCTTAATGGATTATCTAAATCTTCTTCTTGATCTAGTATTGGATTGTTTGTTTCTATATCTGACATGATCTATTGTTTAATGTAAATATATTAACCGTATTTGGCTTGAATATGAAAGTGGTTCCAAGTTGATTGATAGTTTTAATGTTCTAACTATTTTTTTTTTTTAGTTCTTTGCTTTCTCATCGTGGATTTGATTTTTTTTTTTTTTTTTCTTCCTCTGATTTTCACACAATATGTTCCTGTTTCTGTTCCTGTTCCTAACTCGCAGTAATTAAATTTGCAACTATCTACAGTTAATAATTAAAAATTTTGAAACGTATTATAAAAAGAAAAGAATGGTACATTTTATAAGGTGCGTATCAACACACGTCATAAAATAATCTATAGAAGAAATAAGAATATAAAGTTATCTTTTATATATGGTAAAAAAAAAAAATTTAAAAACACATTGATCGTCACTTTAAAGAGAAATGCTATTTCAAGTATTTCTCTTCTTCTTTTTTTCGGGCCATTTAATAGAAAAGTAGCTTAGATATATCAAAATTAGATATATCATTCACAACTTGGTGGCTAGTTAAGCTTCCCATTTCTTGAATTGGTTAATCAAACCGTTGGTAGAAGCATCATGGGTAGCAACTGGAGCTTTGTCATCCAATTCTTTACCAATGACTTTAGCCAAAACTTTACCCAATTCAACACCCCATTGATCGAAAGAGTTAATGTTCCAGATAGCACCTTCAGTGAAAGTAACGTGTTCGTAGTAAGCAATCAAAGAACCCAAAGCAGCTGGAGTAATCTTTTGAGCCAAGATAGAAGTGGTTGGTCTGTTACCAGAGAATTCTTTGTGAGGAACTAAACCACCAGTGGCACCTTCGGCTTTAACTTTAGCTTCGTCTTTACCAACCATCAAAGCTTCAGCTTGAGCAAAGAAGTTGGAAGCCAACATTCTTTGGTGCAAGTTGTTTTCAATTGGGTTGTGGGATTGAGCAGCCAAAATGAAATCAGATGGAATCAATTTAGTACCTTGGTGGACCAATTGGAAGAAGGAGTGTTGAGCGTTGGTAGCTGGTTCACCAAACAAGATGGTACCGGTTTGGTAGTTGGTGAAAACATTACCTCTGGTGACGGATTTACCGTTGGATTCCATAGACAATTGTTGCAAGTAAGCTGGGAATCTGTGCAAGTATTGGTCGAATGGAACAACCAAGTGGGTTTGAGCACCGAAGAAGTTGTTGTACCAAACAGACAATAAACCACCAATAACTGGGATGTTATTTTCCAATGGAGCAGTCAAAAAGTGTTGATCCATAGCTTCGGCACCCTTCAAGAAGTTGTTGAAGTTTTCAAAACCAATGTAGATGGCAACAGACAAACCAATGGCAGACCAAACAGAGTAACGACCACCAACCCAACTTTCGAAACCAAACATGTTTTTGGTGTCAATACCGAATTTTTCAACTTCTTTTTCGTTGGTAGACAAAGCAGCGAAATGCTTAGCAATGTGTTTTGGATCTTTAGCAGTAGCCAAGAACCAGTTCTTAGCAGAGGTAGCGTTGGTGATGGTTTCCGCAGTAGTGAAAGTCTTGGAAGCAATCAAGAACAAAGTGGTTTCTGGGTTCAAGTTCTTCAAAGTTTCAGCAGTGTGGGTACCATCAATGTTGGAGATAAAGTGGACATTCAAACCTGGTTTGCTGTAAGCTTTCAAAGCTTCAGTGACCATAACTGGACCCAAATCAGAACCACCAATACCAACATTGACAACATCGGTAATAGCTTTACCAGTGTAACCAGTCCAAGAACCGTCTCTAACGGAGTCAGAGAATTCTTTCATGTGTTTCAAAACATCATCAACTTCTTGGGCAGTATCTTTACCATCGACTGGCATTTTTCTCAAAGCACGGTTTCTCAAAGCAACGTGGTAGACGGCTCTGTCTTCAGTGGTGTTGATGTGTTCACCAGCAAACATAGCATCTCTCAATTTTTCGACACCAGCTTCTTTAGCCAAGGTAACCAATTGGTCCAAGATTTCCTTGTTAACCAAGTTCTTGGAGAAATCAAACAAGATTTTAGAATCGTCGTAGTTTTCGTAGATCCAAGAGAATTCTTCAAATCTGTTTTTGTCACTAGCAAAAGCATCTCTGACACTGAATTTTTCACCAACAGTTTTGTAGGTTTCTTCCAATTTTTTCCATTCTGGCAATTCAGTGGCTAATTTGAATGAGGACATTGTTATATTGGTATGTTGCGTATGTGTTTTCTAGTGTAGATAATAAATCAATTGATTTGATATATATAATCTAACGGTCGATATCTTAAAAAAAAAAAGAAAGAAAAAGGAAAAGAAGGAAAGAATGAAAGAAAAAAAAATTTCTGATCAAGGGGAGTGGTGTGGTATAAATGCAAGTTGGAACAGAGGGGAGGGAGGTGGTTTGTGTACACCAAAATTAGTACAACAAGAACAAGAACAAGAACAAGAAGAAAAAAAAAATTACTTCTGAAATCAATACTAGTACTAAAATTTACAAGGATAAGTCGGTTCCGGAAATTAAACAATTACCTATTTGCAATTGTTGCTTTCATAACTACTCCTTAAAATCATGTCTATCTATCCTTTCCTCCTCCTTCCCCCGGAATTCTAATTAGAGAATAACTTCATGTAGTTTCTTTTTTTGTAAGGTATTATTAATAAGTATGGTTGACTAAACCATTATTAATCTTTCACAATTTTTCTTTTTTTTTAAAGTTTGTCGATTCCGGAAGTCAATTCGCATCCTGCACAATGGTGAGTCGGATTGGCGTCGACCATTATTCGAGTAGAGTTGCCCCCACGATATCCAATAGCTCAAACCAAACGATGTGAGGAATATATGTGTGTATATATATACGACGAGTAATTGCCCTTTAGTGTGGAAACAGTTTTCTTTCAAAAGAACATTCTGTAATTAAGTACATGCATTGGTCAATTTTATTCAAGAAGGTATTTGCCACGTGAAATGTGCCATCAGAAGATACACACACATCTGAATTTTTTTTTTTTTTTTCTCTTCTTCCACTCATCAGTTGATTGTCATTTCCGGACTAGGGTCACCGGAAAAATGAACCCCACTAAACAGAGAACGAAAAAAAAAAAAGAATCCCACACCCTCGGGCATGTTTACAATAGAGGAAGATTAAACTTGGTATAACTGTCAAATATCATGATAGCCGGAAATACAACGGTTGATTCGTATTCTCTCGAGCATCAGTATCCGAAACTGACTAAATTGTGAGGTTAATGTGTACCGTTTTTGTAATTACGTATGGAGTTCCTACTAAAGTGCGTCATGTTTCTAATTTAATAGGAATCACAAAAAAACTATCGGTACTTCAAATACCATCAAGGGATTTGTAATATCCAAAGGGAAACAGTAGTGGACATTGGATATTGGCAATTTTGTAACATTATCAGGTCTTAAATTAAAGGTTCGATAGTTGGCTACAGTTTAAGTTCAAGACAGTTGTTGGCTGCTGAAATCTTATAAGGAAACTACACTTCTGTGGAATTTTCATAAATTTGACAGTGATACTACAACATCAACAACAGCTACATATAACCTCAATAGATATTGCCAATAGTGCTCTCTATCAATCTCGAACAATCAACTTTATGAATCTAAACTTTTTTTTTTTCTTTTTGCAACTCCACAGAAGCGCAACTGTTACGGAAAAATTCAACCGTTACCGCTGCATGGAGTAAACTGAGAGAGAGAAAAAGAAAAATAAAGAAAAAGAGATCAGGATGAGAGAGAAAACTCTCTAATCAACCAGCCATTTCTTGTACAAATCAACAACTATCGAGATCATGTCAGGATTGGTATCCAAATGGGCTACTGATGAGTCATTAGTTCAAGAAGCACTCAAGCAAGACTCAAAACATGACGACCACAAACACAACAGTCTTGAGGATAGTAAATGGAATAAACCAATAACAAGCAAAGCATCGGAACCCTTAGTTAGCAAATGGGCCAACGCTGATGATGATGATGATAATAATGAAGAGAAAGCTGAAGTAGTGGAAGACAAACATGCAACCACTAGACCTAAGGGACCAAGAGCCCCTCCTCGTACACCAAAGAAGAATCACAGATCTAGCTATCCCACGCCTCCATCATCGGCAGAGATAGACAGTGCAAACCCATTGGCACTGAGATTGGACATGTTGAATCTTGGAAAGGATTTGGGATCAAGACCTGCAGAGAAAAGAAGAGCAGATCGGGATCATCATCGTCATCATGAACGTGGCACAGAATCAATACGAGAGAAGAACCACTCGCACAGAGGTGAACACAGACACAACCATAGAGATGAACATAGACACAGTCACAGACCACGTCATTCACACAACACTAATAAACCACATGACCATGCTAAGCAGCAACTCAAGCAGGAACTTGATGAGGAACAAGAAGAGGAGGAGGAAGAGGATGAGGAACGACAAAAAGAATTGCTTAAACAATTTGAGGAATGGGAATCACAGCATATTGATTGGGCGGATATAGAAGATTAGAAAGTAGTCAGTTTAACCTTGTACTATTACTTGTAACAATAAATGATGATTGAGTCTGTTAAATGGTGTTTGTCTCACCCATTATAAAAGAGAAGCAACAAAAGAAAATAAATCTCTAACGCGAAATAAGCACTCCACACGCACAAACGATCGATTAAATTCCAATGACACTCTCTTGAACCCGCCCCCTTATATGATTTTCCTTTTTCTTTTTTTTAACCATCATTTATCCTCTGTTCAACCATAATGTTAACAAGAAATCTAACTAGAATATCATGTCGAAGAATATATCGTCTGGGGTATATTATACCAACTAGGAATTATTACAATGATCGACAACAGAAAATCAATCAAGTTATTAAATCAGCACTTCTGAACTCTACTAGATCAAGCAATTTTCAAACCATTCCAATAATGAACCGCAATAGACTTCCAATACGAACAATTATTATTTTAATAGCTGCATCAAGTTCATTTACAATGATGTTCTATGTTATGGTCCAGTATAAAAAGTTCCAGGATGAAGTTGTGGAAAATGATGGTAAATTAAGAAAACGACTGATATTTTTGCCATTATGGGCAAATATGAATCTATTTTATCAAAAAACTTACAAATATCCAATTGGATTGAAATATTTCGATACAGATTATTACGAATATTTAATTACAGAGATGGGCCAATCAAATAAAACAGGAAAACGTGAAAACAGTGTTGAAAATTATCGAAAATTATTACAAGATGAGAATATAAAATATTCAGTTTTGGAACTGTTATCAGCAAATGCTAAAATTAGACAATTGTTTGGATTACCATTGAATATGGAATTGAATTCTGATGATTTTAAAATTTGGGTCGAGTCAAAGTATCCAAGTGTTTCAGGATTACAGATTGATATAGTTGAGAGATCAACCAAGAGTGGTAAATCTACAGAATTTGATACCAATTGGATAGTGAAACCAATTAATGCAACTTCAATTGTTAACGACACGTTGGTTGCATTGGGATTAAAATTGGATAGGTTGGAGAGATCTGATGCTAGTATAAAAACACACGAAAAGGCAAGTGGAAAGATTCATGAGGTGAATGTAAATGAGAAAGTCAAATTGAATTCCAATCGTGATTATTCTGTTCGATTTGAAGGTAAATTTGTTGTTTCAGATAAGTCATTCGTTAATCTTGGGGTCATTAACTATTCTGGAACACTCGATTTTGATCATTTAATGATTAATAGGGGAATTAAGGTAACTGGATTGGATTTGGATTACGATGGTGTTTTGTATAAGATTTTATAGTATGTTGTTTTTGTAAATATGATTATCAAGGTTTGAAGAATTTATACATAAATTCATAACTTATGAATCGTATTATTTGATTTATTTCCCAGTTAGGAAATCTACACGATTGAACTTTTTTTTTCTCTTCTGTTCAGAATTCTTAAAAAAAAGAAAAAGAAAAAGAAAAGGAAAAGGAAAAAGGAAAAAGGAAAAAAAAAATCAGAAACGACTTGTTCTTTTTCACCAGTATTTGCCAACACAACTATAGACACCCATGTATAATCCTTACGGTAATTCAGCTGATGCATATCAGCAACAACAAAACACTCAACTGCAGCAGCACATGTCAAATTTACAACATCCACAACCAATTCATCATATGACACCTCAAGCACAACAAGCAAATCAAATACCACAACAAGCACAGCAACAATCAATGGGTTCCCAATTCAATTTTTTGAATGATCCAGCTGCTGCTCTAGCTTCACAATTTGCACGTACTGGTTTTGAACAATCAAATCAATACATTCAAGAAAATTTTGGAAATATCCAAGGTGATATCAAATACTATTTTCAAGTTAGTAATTCGTATGTTTTGAAGAAAATTCTTTTGATCTTGATGCCATATACACATAAGGATTGGAATAGAATTGTCACTAAAGAAACAGGACCAAATCAATTCTTACCTCCAAGTCTTGATGTCAATGCTCCAGATTTATACATTCCATTAATGTCATTTGTCACTTATATTTTATTATGGGCAGCTTTTCAAGGTTTAAATGGTGAATTCCATCCACAATTATTTGGTTATTTGGCTTCCCAAACATTGGCATTTTCTATTTTGGATGTTGCTATATTTAAAACCGGTTTGTATTTGTTGAGTTGTCCACAATCAAAGATGTATGACATTGTAAGTGTTTCTGGATATAAGTACGTTTCAATTGTTGTTTTGTTGTGTGTCAAACATCTCGTTGGTGTATACTTGGGATCATTTTATTACTTGATTGTATTGGCTTTAATTGCTAGTTTATCTATTTTCTTGATGAGATCATTAAGATTTCTTATATTACCACAAGGTAATGCAATGAATAATACCATTAATAGCAAACAAAGAAAGATCAGAATTCAATTTTTGTTTATTTACTCGGTTATTATTCAAGGTTTGATCATACTTTATATGTGCAAATAGACAAGATAAATGAAAGAGATGATTCTTTTTTATTTTCCGTTTTGTAGAACTGATATGTAAGCAATATGTATACATAAGCCAACTGCCATCCTCCATATACACATTTCTATTTACCTATCAGTATGCTATCAACATCATCTAAACTAATGCTATTGATCTTGTATTTTCTGTTGATTCCATGGATAGCTTCCCCAGGACCTAAGTTATACACAGTATCAATGTCTGATTTCTCCAATAGTGACATGGATTTCAACCATTGAACTGGTTGATAATTTGCCTCCAAAATGTTATGGATTGTATTGTCTGTTTCTTCTGAAATCTCTCCATTTAGATTTGATATTATAGGAATCTGTTGAGGTTTAGTCTTCCCCTCCAACACCAAGGCTAGTTCTGGCACTATTGGATTCAAAATATCACTATGGAATGGAATTGAAACTGGTAATTGTACAGCTTTCATTAATGCAGACTTGTTGACTTCCTTGAGTTTTTCTATAAACTTTTGTAACTTATTGACTTCTCCTGATATTACGACTTGAATAGTTGAATTGATATTCCCTAAGACGCTGTATTCTTGAGCTAATTGTATCACTTCATTGATGAATTTTGGTTTTATTAATAATGCAATCATTCCGTAATTCTTACCATGACATAATTCTTCCATCAACAACCCTCTTTTTCTAACTAGTTTCAATCCAGTAGCAAAATCAATAACTCCACTTAATACAAGAGCAGAATATTCACCTAAAGAATGACCTAAAAGATATGATGCACCCAGAACCAATGGAACATTACACTTTTTCTCCACAACTTTCAGAATAATATAGGTAGATGCTAGCATAGCTGGTTGAGCATTTGAAGTTTTACTCAACCATTGTTTAGCATCCAATTCTTGTTCTTTAGCAAATAGGTGGTTAGAAAAGTTCTCATTTAATGTATCATCGATTTCTTGAAGATATTTTTGATATAAAGATTTATGGGTTTTAGTTAACTCTAAAAGTCCATTCCTGTAAAAACCTTGACCTGGACATGTAATTGCATATTTAATACTTGCTAATGATTTCATGGTTCATGCAAAGAAATGTGTGGGGGACTTGAGAATGATTTTATATTTTTTTTTTCCATGGCAGATTGTTCTAATCTTTTGTTCTCTTTGATTCTCGCTTTTCAAGAAAAGTGAAGAAAGTTTAAACTTGAACCAACGGGATTAGGATCGGTTTTAAAAATTGAACAATCTACCACAGAAAATTCTACAAATATGTCTACTATTTTTGATTTTCCCACGGAATTATATACACTTATGGAAGTAAAGTTTCAGTATTGTAGTATGTTCTGGTGGTAGATTCGTGTTAACCCGTCACAAACTATCAAGGGGATAAACCTCCCAATACGAACGCTCTGACCCGGCCATTCCCGGTCAAAGTTAATAACAATAATAACTTGGATCTACTATCTTGAATGACTTTTTCCTTCTCCCTATTGATCTAAGTCAAACAAGACAGACATCAAATGATAACTTTAAATTACTTAATTTAAAAAATCCCTTGTTTACATTATTACGACGCGAAAACTTTCTTTTATTTGTTTATTTAATTTTTTATTCTCGCGTGTGTGGTAATTTTATTTAGAACTTTATAGTGCGGCAATTTATGGTGGTGGTGGTAGTAGTAGTGGTAGTGGTGGTTCTATTATTTCCTAGTCCTTAGAGTATTTCACCCGACGGGGATGAGGCAAAAAAAATAGAAAGGGGATTTTTTTAAAACGAATGAGGCGGCCACTTGGGGCGGAATCTGATTCTATATTTTTCCTTTGTCTCGCTTCTTTGTTGTTCTTTGATCGACACATCCTCGCGTAAAACGTTCCTCCCGTTTCCACTTTCTTTTTCTTTTATTAGTCGGCGTTTTTTTTTCTCGTAGTATCCGCCTCCTTCGCGTGTCGCGAATAAAAAATTGGAAATTATTGGCTCGTGTGGGTTGTTTTTCCTTTGGGCGGAGAGCGGAAGAAGAGAGGAAGAAAAAATTTTCTCTCTCTCCTCTCTCTCTCTCCTCTCTCTCTCTCTCTCTCTCTGTGGTGTCCGTCCCAAGTAAACAAAAAATCTGCTCATTTGCTGTGCCCACCTCCCCCCGAACTCTCACCATTTTTTTTTCAAAAACTGTTCTACCCACTTTTTTCTTACGTCCATTCTTCCCACCAACAATTCAACCAACCCTTTGGTACCACGACCACGACAGATTACATAAAAAGTGCTCACTACCAAAAAAAAATATTTTGATTCTCATTCACAATGTCCGAAATTAAAACTGCCAAAGACACCCTTGTTGCTTCCCTCTTTTCATTGTCCAAAGCCGCCAATGATGCTGCCAATGCTGCCGTTGAATTCTACAAAGTAGCTACTAACGGTTCTGATGATGTTGCTGCTGATCAATTGAAATCAATCAGTGATGCTTTGAAAGTCGCTACTGACTTATCTTCTGGAGCTCTTAAAGTTGAAGGTGGTGAAACTAAGAAGAGAAAGAAGCAAGTTAAAGATCCTAATGCTCCAAAGAAACCATTGACTATGTTTTTCCAATTTTCTTATGATCTTAGAAAACAAATTGGTGTTGAAAGAAAGAGAAAAGATTTACCTTCCTTATCTGCTATTGATATGAACTCCATGATCAAAGAACGTTGGGATAACATTACTGCCGAAGAAAAAGCTGCTTATAAGAAGAGATATGATGATGCTATGATTATTTACAACGAAGAAAAGAAGAAATACGAAACTTCCTTGGTTGATGGTACTTCTTACCACCCACCAAAGAGTGTTCAATCTCCTATTGTTGAAGAAGTCATTAGTCCAGAACTTCTTGAAGAAATTCATGCTGAACCACCAACAAGCATTGAAGAACCAAAAAAGAAAAAGAAGAAGTCTGAAAAGAAAGAAAAGAAAAAGAAGTCCCACTCTAGCCATGGTTCTTCATAAATCTAATCAAGAAGTCAATTGTTATTGGGTTTATTTTAGTTTCTTCTCTCTTATTTTCTAAGTTTTGTATTAATTTTGAAAATTTTATTTGTTTTACTTCCAAATTATTATTATTATTATTTTAATTTCTGTTTTAATTCCTTTAAGTTGCAAATATTGTCTTTGTTTTATATATGTATTTGGCGGCTTATTTCACTTCTAGGTATTAAATAATTGATTAATTCCTTAACATGCTTTTTTTTTTTCTTTTAATATAATTTATCTATATTGTATATGTGTATTAATTTATTACGAAGTGAACAATAAAACAAAATAAAATAAAATAAAATAAAATGAATCTGCCTGTATCTGTATTTACTTCTACATCTAATGACCTTTCTTCTTTTGTTTCGTTATATGAGCTCTTAAGACTTTTTGTCTATCACGTAAGGAAAGTTTTTGTTTACCTTGAACAGCTTTTTTATGAATCATCATAACAAAATTCTTCTTTCTGGCCTTTTCTTTATTAGTAGTAGAATGAGGAGCATCTCTTTTACCCTTTCTAGATCCGAATTTCTCACGTCCTTCTTTGGATTCTTTAGCATGAGCAATTCTTTCTTCACGTAATTGTTTGTATTTGACTTTACCAACTAATGTTGTAGAATCAACAGCTTCTTCGTTGGAAATACCCATAATTTTAGAAACACCAGCTTCAGTTCTTAATTCTTCTAATTTAGCGAAATCAGCAGGAGTCAAGATTCTACTAGAAAGCAATTCATTCATAGCTTGTTGTGGATCAACAGGTTTGGCTTCATCTCCTTCAGATCTCTTTTGTTTCTTCTTAGCAGGTTGTTCTGATTCATCTCCTTCTTCTTCATCATCATCATCATCATCAGATGATAAGTCCAAATCAGAGACGTCATTTTTATCGTCTTCTTCTACATTTTCTTCCTCTTCATCATCCTTCTTATCATCTTCATCTTCACTATCAGAAATATTAATTTCTTTATCGGATTCAACATCAACCCAATCACCTTCGATGTCACTTCCATCAGCATCTTCTTCGACTTCCCAATTGGCATCATCTTCTTCACCTTCATTACCTTCCAATCCTTGTTCTTGTCTCCATTTGGCTAATAATTCAAGACCTGGAATAGATGTAACATTGTTTTCAATACCATATTGAGGTAATCCAGATTTTTCTCCCTTTTGAAGTTCAATACTGGCAACTTTACCACGATCTTTTCTCAACAACATTTCAGGAGCAACTTCACGATACAAGGCAATCAAAGATCTTGCAGCCATCATGACTGCTTTAGATTTAGAACCTTTATATTCTGTCAAATCTTGCAATAATGGAGCATCAATAGCTAACGGAGCTCTGGACAAGATTTCTCTAATAGTGTTGATACCAGCTGAAGCAACTTCTGCAGCAACACCATCACTGACGAATTCATCAGCAATTTTACGAACCACAACTTGGATAGATTCAGGTGGAACTAAATCATGAGAAGCTTGGGCAGAAGCAGCCATAATTTGAGTAACATTTCTTTGTTTTGGTGTAAGATATTTCAAAAAAAAGGTGTAAATACCTAAAACTATAAGTTTATGTGTACCAATTAATCTTGAAATCAAATTCATAAATAAAATCTTTTGTTCCAAATCAAATTTATTTGAATTTTTACTACTCAAATGATTTTCAAACATTTGTTCAGCAAAACCTTGAGGATCTCTTAATAAATGAATAGCAGAGAAATTCAAATATGTAGCTGAATGTTTAGCATTATTTTTCTTCTTCGTAGTTTTAACAGCTTGTTCCAATTTCTTACCTCTCTTGGAAGTCTTTTTATTGATTTGCATTTTATGTCTTAATTCATTCATATCAAATCCATCTTCATCTGAACTTTCATCAAAATTATCTTCTCTTTCTTTGTCAGCACCCAAAAAGAATTTGGCACCAGCAACAGCAACTTTAACATCTGGATGTAAAGCTGCTTGAGTCATAATTTCAACTGTTCTTGAATCATCCCAAATACCTCTTCTCCATAATTCTCTAGTTAATTTAGTAGCCCATAAACCTTGATTATCTCTTTGTTCTAACAAATTGAACAATAATGCTTGAGTCGATTTATTCAATTTTTGATTCTTTGTACCAGTATTGACGGATTTCAACAAGGCAACCAAAGTAGCATAAATTTGTTTTCTCATTTGTTTAACTTGTTGTCCAGCATTATTAGTAGTTAATAATGGGAAAATTGTTTGAATTAACATTTCAGCAGAAATGATATCTTTATTTCTTAACATGGTTAAACATTGAATAATCTTTTCACGTAATTCTGGAGTTAAATCACGATGATTATTTAATAAAATTTCTTTTAATTCATTTGGAAAATTAGCTGTTTCTTTAGGATAACAATTACATACAGCAGACATGAATCCAATTAAGTCAATAAATTCAGTAGTAGAATTAGAATCAACACCAGTTGGATTAATCAAGTATAAATCTCGAAGTGATTCATAATGAGAATATTGCTGTAAGAATTCTTCATGATATGATTCTGGGTCCCTACGGACTACATTTTGTAAAAGAATAATATTAGTTGGTAAAATAGCAGCTCTTCTCTTCTTAGCCATGGTATCTGTAGTTTATTGATAAAGGAAAGTTATTATGGGTAGTAAATATTCCTCTTTTTTTTCTTTTAACTGATATTTTTTTTTTTTCCTGTTTAGAGATGAGCAGGCACACAGAGGATTTTATCACACAAAAATTATAAATCAATTTACTGCAAAAAAGAAAAAAAAAATAAAAAACATAATCAACGATAAATTTTGAATTAAAATACATATATAAAAAAAAACCATAGGCTAATCTCTATTATACAGAAAATGAAAAAAATATAAAATATAAAATAAAAACATAAATATTTAGTTTAAACCCATACCTCCACCTAATAAACCTTTAAGTGAATCATAATTAATCTTCTTAGAAACTGAAGTTTTAGCAATATATCTTTTGGCACTATCAGCAGCTGATCTAGGTGTACCATCCTCATCTAATTCAATATCACCAAAATCTTTACGAAGTTCTGGAGGAAGTGAATTTTTATTCTTCTTACGACGATTACCCCCAGATGAGTTAGAAGTATTACCAGTCAATTCATCTGCTTCCATCTTCAATCTCTTCTTTTCTTGTTCAACCATGTAGTCATGGTTCAAACCTGTCCAAATTCGTTCTTTAATGGCAATTTCTTCTTCAGTTAATTTGCTTTCCATCACTATCTCATCGTCATCATCTGAATTTAATTCCATTTCTGAAGATACTTTTTCTAAAATTTCGTCAGTTTTAGGTAAATTCTTAACCAAATTTCTTGGCCTATTCATATCCCAGATCTTATCCAAATCACTCTCTTGGCTATTTGACAATTCATATGGGGTTTTATAAAGGGAGTTTTCTAAACTAGTCTTCTTCATTTTTAATATTCTATCCATTTGCTCATTAAGAGTATCACTAGTAATTGTAATATCACTCAATATAGTATTCAATAATATTTGCTTTTGTAATTCTTCTTTATCAACTTTTTTGAGAGGAATATCATCACCATTTGCTTCTGTGATTTTAGTTAACCCTTCAAATGTGTCTTGTTGTTGCTGTTGTAACTTCTTTGCTATCTTTAATTCCATAGCACGATTCTTTTCAAAGGATGGGGGATTAGAACTTTCTAAATGTTCTACTTCTCTAAATGATTTAATAGATAATTGACCTGCTTTAGTCTTTTTAAATTCATTCAATCTTCTCTGTAAAGTTTCCTCCCCAACATGAGAAACCGCCACAATCTCTGCATGACTTCTTCTGAAATTATTCATTCTAGCTGCTAATAATACACATGCACCAGCTATACCTGCTGGACGTCTACCTTCATGGATCCAATCTGCAGCCATTCTATGAGCTAGTTTCACGGCATCTTTAGCGACTTTAGTCGCCTTATCCTTGAAATCCAATTTCTCCACAAAATGTTGTATAAATAAAGAAGGGTCGGCTAGTGGTAATGATGTGATATGCAATGCTTTAACCATTTTTAAAAATGTAGCCCCGAGGGAATAGACAGATATTTGTAATCTTGAACTAAAATCAATCAACATGTGATGAGTTCTCTCTTTACGACAGGCAACATATAAACATGTAGCTAAAACATTATGAGAACGTCTACCTTGTACAAAATTCAAAGTCAATGCTAATCTAAACCATTCTGCGGCTGCATCAGCAATATAATCAGGGATTTTCATGGCTGCTGCAATTCTCTTTATTCTTCGTTTCCCAGTATTTATAGTTTGTTCTCTACTTTCCATGGCATTCTGACGACCTCCAGCAAATGTCGCTCTAGCTTGATCAGCACCAACCATAGCCCCTTGAACCATGGCCGCACCCGAAGAGGATTCTCCAAATTGAACTTCACTAACAATGGGGTTTTCTTCAGTAACTGTCCCACATCGAAGACAACAAACATCCCCCGCAGCAGTGTATCTATTGACATCAAATTGTGTGTAACCACAATTTTTACATTTTCTTTCTTTTCTAGGTCTACTCATATTGACATAATAATTGGAAGGTTCCTCTTATATAGGTGTATAATAACTTGTTTGGTGTGGTGATTCAAATGTAAATAAAAAATGTAGGGAAAATAAAAAAAAAAAAGAGAGAGAAAAAAAATTTAGAATGTAAGACTGTCTTTTTTTTTTTTTTTTCTTCCTTAATTTTTTTTTTTGGTTCCCTTTCACTGTCAGACAGATTAAAGAATCAGACACAGACACGGAACGACATCAATTAAATTAAAAAAAAAAATTATCGCGGGCGTGGATGTGGACGTGGACGTGGACTTGAGACATGGATACACAGTGAGAGTTCGTTTGTGCCCCCCCCCTTGGTTTCTTAATGTCACGTTTTTCTCTCATCAGACACGACCAAGAAATTTGAAACCACACTTCATCTTTATTATTTATTATCCCCACCACACTTTTTCTTGAACAAATTTCTTACTGTATTGCTTGTTTAAAGCTCATAGAGTATGACTGATTCGAGACAATTGGAAGAAGAGATACAGGTATATGAAGGGACTTCTGGTGGAGAACTTCAGAGTGCTCAAGTGCTACGCCATAGAAAACCAATTAGTCTTCCACCAACTCCCAAACCTCAAGTGATGCCTCATTTCCCATATAGTTTGGTATTGAAAGTAGAAACTTCTGAGCCAAGAGATGTCTTACAACTGGAAAGAACATGCCTTACATTTGTCAGATTTTCCACTGCTTTATTTTTCACTGCTTTGGGGATCATTTTGAATTTTCGAATAGACACCTCAGGACATCCGCATGATGGCAATTCTAATAATGATAACCATCATAAAAAGAAGTTTTTCAATCATTCTTTATTCAGCACAGCAGTATCTTATATATTGTTGGCTCTTTCATTGTTCATTTTAGCTGTTAGTGGTGTTAATTATTTTATTACTATCGATAGATATGCAAAACACAAAATTGCAACAAATAGTTTCAATAATTTAACTATCATTGGTATCACCGGTATAATAATTACATTAATGGCCATAAACATCACCATGATTATAGAAGCTTACATAGAAGATGCTTAGGTGGTAATTTATTAATATATTATTCTATTTTATCTATTCTTTCTTTTGTTTCTTCTTTTTACTTGGTTTATTCTTTTCCAACTCTAGTCCATGTTTCTTTCTATTAATCTTTTTACGTTCCCCAAAGTTCTCTTTGTCCATTTCCATCATAGATTCACGTTTGGCAGCAGTGGTTACATTCAATGAATCTTTAATCACTTTGTCATCATCAACATCTTCAAGTAATTCCATTTTTTTATTAATTCTTTCTTCAATACTTTGGATTCTATCGATATCTTTTTCACCAATAATGGACACAGCATCACCTTTTCTACCTGCTCTCGCAGTTCTACCAACTCTATGGATGAAATCATCAGGATCAGCAGGAATATCAAAATTTACTACCAATTCAACAGTTGGGATATCCAACCCTCTAGATGCAACATCAGTAGCAATCAAAATTCTAGCAGCACCAGCTTTGAATCTATGTAAGGAATTTGTTCTTTCAGCTTGAGGCATTTCTGAATGTAATGAAGCAACTCTGAAATCCAATTTTCGTAAAGTTCTACGTAAAACTTCAGCGGTTATTGTTCTATTGACAAATACCACAGCAGTAGCATCTTTAAATTTTTCAAGATTCAAAATACTATTCAAATAGGCTTCTTTAACATATGAAGGAACAAAAACATATGAGATTGACAAAGTAGATGGAATGGCAACTTTATCAACAGTTTCAACTTCATGCATAAACACTGGTGGTTTTCCTTCAGTTTGTGGTTTTTCTTTTAATGCACGAACAGCATCAGTAATTGTTGCTGTAAATAATAAAGTTTGTCTCTTTTCACTTGGTGGTAAAACATCAAAACATCGTTTTAAATCACTTCCAAAACTATTACTCAATAATCTATCTGCTTCATCCAATACTAAATATTTAACTCTTCTTAATCCACTAATGGTTTCTTCCCCACTGTTTAAAATATGATCTGCCAATCTACCGGGAGTTGCAATAACAAAATGTGGTTTCTTCTGTAATTCCAAAGCTTGTTTAACAATATCTTCACCACCTACAATAACACTAACTTTAATATTCATATTTGATCCCAAAGCAGTAAATTGTTCAGCAATTTGTAATGCTAATTCACGGGTAGGTGTTAAGACTAATCCAAATACACCATATGGATCTTCTGACCATTGAGTTAACATTGGTGCTGCAAATGCAATGGTTTTACCACTACCTGTTTTAGCACCTCCAATACAATCATGTCCTTTTAAAATTTGTGGAATACAAGCTGATTGAATAGATGTAGGTTTATAAATTTTCATAGCATCAAGTGCTTCACTTAACCATTTGGCTACACCTAATTCATTAAATGACATCTTGTGGTATGTGTATTTGTTTGAAGTCTAGGGATATTGATCCGTAAAAATATCTAGATGTCATCGCAAGAATCGTTCCTAGTTTAATTTTTTTTCTCTCTCTCTCATACAAGCGATATCAGTATTTTGGTAGGTGCACGAAAAAATATTAGTGAATGTGAATTAGTTATTGATAAAGATCAATACTCAATGAACAGATAGTTGTTGAACGTTCTAAAATAATAGCTATTTGTTTATTTGTTTTTTTTTTATTAAAATATTCGGGTTATTCTTTAAGAAAATTTGTTTGTTTTGTTTAAAATAGTTGTATTGAATTTCGAATTTGCAACTGAAAAATTATCAACAATCAAACAGAAAAGAAAATTTTTCGTTTGCTAAAACTACGCATTCATCTCCACACATAGAGTTATTCACTATATTATTCAACATGATTAGAAGAGGATCTAGGTATTTCACAACTTCACGATTTTTACGTAATAATCTTCCCCTACTACAAGAAAATAATTCGACAACTACCACACCAGAAGTTCCAAAGAATTTTAAAATTCATACCGTTAAACCAAGTACCCCTGATGAATTAATTAGAACAATCAGATATGATGATGATAATGTTGTGAAGATAACAGAATTAAAACAAGATAGAAGATCAAGATTAACTACATGTACAATGTCAGTGGCTGAATATTTCTTGGGTAATACGCATCATTCCCATCATGTATTCTATCTGAATATGACACTTATAAAAGCTAAGAAAGCGGCAAAAGTTGAAAAGAGAAAATTCATTGATTTAAAATTGATAAAAATAACCAGTGGGAATGGAGGAAATGGAAGTGTTTCATTTTTTAAAGATAGTTTTAAACCATTTGGTCCTGCTGATGGTGGAGATGGAGGTAATGGAGGCAATGTATTTATTAATGTTATTGATCAACATAGTTCAAGTTTACATGGGTTAAAGAAAAGATATATTGCTAAAAATGGACAACCTGGTCGTTCTTCACAATTAGATGGGAAAAATGGTGAAGATGTTATTATTGATGTTCCTCTTGGTACTGTAATTAGATGGATTCCTGATCCTCATGATTTTAAAAAGTATGTGAGTCAAAGAGAAGGCGATTCCTTGAATGATATCTTTATGGAATTTGAACTTGATGAACTGGATAACCTTCAATTAAATAGAGGTGGATATCAACCGGGTGAAGGATGGATTTTTAAAGAGCATGATGAAGAGTATTATCAAGACAAAGACTTCTTCCAGGACTTGAACGATAAGGTGGTTGAATATGATAAGGACATTATATTTGAAGAAAGATACCATGATAGATTTCCTATTTTAGGCTTGGATTGTGACAAAGTAACTCCAAAGCCGTTATTGTTGTTACGTGGTGGTAAAGGTGGATTAGGAAATATGCATTTTACCACTAAAGATATCAAAGGTCCTAAATTCTGTAAAGCTGGTAGACCAGGTATTACCACTTCATTTTTGTTGGAATTGAAATTGATTGCTGACTTGGGTTTGGTTGGATTGCCAAATGCAGGTAAGTCCTCATTGTTACGAGCCATTTCAAGAGCCACACCAAGAGTTGGACATTGGGAATTCACAACTTTGCAACCAACTGTGGGAACCATTTTCAGAAGAATGGATGAAGAACCATTCACCGTTGCTGATATTCCAGGTATTATTAAAGGAGCATCACAAAACAAAGGTATGGGTTTGGATTTCTTGCGACACATTGAACGTTCTGGCGGATTGGTGTTTGTTGTTTCGTTAGGTTCTAAAAATCCTGTGGCTGATTTGGAAATTTTGTTAGAAGAGGTTGGTCCAAAACGTATGAAAGACAAGAAAGTATTAATTGTGGCCACCAAAGCTGATCTCAGTAAAGAGGGAGCAAACTTTAAGCTATTACGCGATTACATTGAATCCCATTACAATGATTGGAAGATTGTTCCGGTATGTGCACCAAGAGGTGAAAATATTGATACTTGTATCAGGTTGATGGGCGAAATTGCCAAGGATAATACATCACCAAAACAGGAAGTTTAGGTATACAGGCTCAGTTCTTGTAAATAGTTGAAAAGTAATATAGAGTAGTTTTATATTCCATGCTTGATTTTGTAACCATGTCTAAGTTGAGAATGAAGAAAAAAAGGAATATGTAAGGCACACACGCGGAGATTTCAATAGATAATGTAATAACCTTGTTAATTTAGCACTTGCTGTAATAAACGTACGATAGGTACCGACATTCGGCGTGTGAGCGTGAATGTAAATGTAAGAAGTTGTCGTTGTTAATTTAAAATTGTTAAGGAATGTTGAGGACGTAAAAATTTAGATTGTCCTAAAAATAAATCACATGAATTGTAAATGTGTATGTTCAGTGTGTCGAATTGACGATTCACAAAAAAAAAAGAAGGTGGATGAAGAGTATAGGGCTGGAAGATACATGTAAAGTTAGACGACAACTGCCATTAAAGTAGACTTGAGCACTGAATTCGTTATCATGAATTTGTTTTCTCTTGATGATAATGTTGTATTAGAAATACAGCATTATAAGTTACTAGACAAGAACAAAGAGGATGGGATTATCATAAGCAATTGAAACGCCATTCGCGTTGTCATCCCAAAATTTAATTGGACCCCAAGTAACAATTTGGAGTTCGGCAACAATTGCTTCCCTAAAAAATAAATTAATGCAATCTATCGACCCGTAGTGCAAAAACCAATACTCAATCAGAGACACCATAATTGTTAATTTTACTTTATTTTCTTTTTTCTTTTTTCTGAGGCTTTGTTATGAAATTTCTCTACCGGTTTCGTTGTAAATTTGGTTCCTGAAATTTTCACCTTCTGAACGAAAGAAAGATGAAACTGTTGTATTGTGGGATCATGTAACGCGACAAAAATGAACAATCGGACCATTCCAGAACCGTGTCATCATCTCCACCATATCATCATCAACATCAACAACTGAAATTATTTTGGTTTCGGCTCTATGGATTTAAAAATTATTCTGACCTTGTACGCCTGTTTGGTAAGAAATACTAGGGCGTTTCTCAATTTCCTATTGTTACCGAGAATGTACAAAAGAAAGCTCATTCTTCATTTTTTACTTTTTTTTCCCCTTCAGGGGTAATGAAAATTCAAACCCAAAAAAAAAAAAATCAAACTGTATCAAAAAATGACACAACAAGAAGTATCTAAATTGGTGTTTCAAAAGAATTACATTTCACAAATCCAACTATCATGAACGAAATACACACAATTATTTATTCACACACACAGAATTTGGGTGTTTCATCTAGATTTTGTTTGCCGTAGCATTTTGTGTTGCACTCAAGAACCCGACCAGAGACTCTCACAACGCGTATAATACCGACAGGTACTCATCACATCGCAAGTGTTTTGCAATTAAATGTTTCAAAAAGGACTTTCTAAAGTTTAGAGAAATTGACTTTCCAAACTTTGACCTTAGTCATAATCTACTGTATGGAAGAATACGACACATGAAAAGCAATATAAACTGAACATGTAATAAGCGAGCAAATGTTTGCTTTATTTAGTATTCTGAGTCCTTCCTATTCTGGTTGTGAGAGATTGCAACAGTTGCATCCACAATCAGATTATCTTTTCATGTGGGGTGTAGGTGGTTAATAATTGATAATTTGTTGCAAAGTGTAGATGTAATGTTGCTATTAGCAACATAATGTACATTCTTAGTATAACAAAAGACGAACGGAATGTGTCTGCCAACTGCAATCTGTAATCAGTTGAATTCTTTACACAGTACGAAGTAGACAGTAATTCTGACACAGGTTGACAAAACCGAACGTGGTGTTTCCATTTTGTCACATTTTTAACTAGAGTTGAATAATTCCGTTTGTTCCCACTACAAGTTGTCCGAGAGATAATTCAAGGGGGGATGTCAACGAAATAAAAACCCACGCGGATAACAGATAGACAACTAACGGAAGGAAGGGCTGATTGTAGTAATAGTGGTGCCATGAAAATAATGGAACAGGGATTGCTTTTTTTTCAACTTCTTCCGTCTCTTTAAAAAAAATCGTAATGTGAATGATCCGAGATAACCTTGGAACTATGTGTGAGTTAGTAAAGGGAAAAAAAACCATCGGCTATAACCACCCTTGGATCCCGAGATATATAGAAAGAGCTAATAATGTGCATATTCTTTGCAACTAAAGGTGTTTTTAGTAATTTCTACCAATATTGTTGTTGTGTTACGTATTGAGTCCTTGGTTATTCGCTTACTGCATTCAGTTGTACTATACTAACATGTTTCACTATGATACTGTATGTATGTAAAAGGCAATATTAAAGGACTTGTATTGTATTTCTACCGTTTCGTCTACGTAAAGTGAAGTGGAATACCTGACCGCCTTGTGTGTGTAACTAAGAAACATTAAAACTATAGACTAAAATTCGAGTAAGCATTTATTTTTTTACTTCAAAGGTTTATTATTTTCTTATTGTGGTTCTTAGTTGAGTAAGCAAGATTTATTGCATTTAATTCGTTGAGGATTGTGGTCATTTTGTGCAACTGTACAAATCCTTTCCTTCCTCGTTTTGCAAGAGAAACACACATTTTTGATTATTTCACTCCCTGTCTAAGATACGGTAAGGTCAATCGCAAGTGAAAAATATTCCAAAGTCAAATAAAAAATTTGAAATTTTGCTATTCCATGATTCCATGATAGTGGAAATATGTATAGAAGTATCGGCATCGTCGTCGTCGTCGTCGTCGTCATCGTCACCATCATGACTAGTTGCTCAGCAATTCCTGTGAATGATTAAAAGATAGCCGAGTGAAAATGATTTTTTTTTTTAGGTTTGCTATTTTGTTGAACTAGATTGCTCAAATAAAATGTAAGATAATTTGATGATGGGGGTTACAAGAGAATGAGATGGAAAAATACCAAGGCTGCCCTGTTTTTTTCTCTTCTTTCTTTTTAGTTGTTTCCGTTACACAAACCAAGCGTAAATGTAGGAAAAAATTTTCTTTGTGTAATTTGTGCTGCAAAGGCGAACTACAAAATAAACAGAAAAAAAAAAAAAAAATAAAATAAAACAAAAGGCGGGTCACTATCAAATCAATTTTCTGTAATGCATGAATGGGTACTTTAAAATTCTCTTTTCTTTATTGTCAATTGCCTGCCCCCCAAAAAAAACTAGATTGAATATAAATACCCAGATCAACTCCCTGTTTTTTGATTGATTGATTCAACTTGTTGTTTATTTACGGAGAGGCTCTGTCTATATTATTTCCTTTTCATTTTTTAAAAAAAAAATTAATTTACTTGTTTTTGTTTTAACAATCAACTATCCTTAATAAAAATACATTCAACAAGCCAATGAGTACAACATGAACTACATTATGTGCAGAAATAATTTATCTCAAAGTTCGTTACCACAGCTTTCTAGTTCTGCAGTCAACGATGCCAACATTGACTACTTTTCCTTAAAACCAAAACTTTCCTTAGATACAAACAGTTCTGGCAACAGTGAGATAATCTATAGTGATTGTGATAATAATAAGAATAATAATGATGATGATGACGATGATGATGACTACAACAAAGACACATACGATGAGCTACTTGATCCTTTCGACACTATAGCTGTTAATCAACATGATTTGGAGTACTATTCTCCATTGACACCTTTTGAAATACAAAATACTTCACCGCAAGATTCTATCATATCTTCAAAATCATCTAATAAATCTAATAGTCTACAGCCATTCCCACTAACATTACCAAATTTAACTAATTACAGATTCCTAATAGTTGATGACAATATAATCAATTTAAAGATTCTTAACCGTGTATTATTAAAGTTGTATCCTAGAAGCAATATTGTTCAAGTTCAAGATTCTAAATTGGTTAATGAAATTCTACAACGTCAACATTTTGATTCTGTATTTCTCGACATTGAAATGCCAGATATCACCGGTATTGATATTGCTAAGTTCATAAGATCAGATGAAAGATTCAATCAAATGGCTGTAATTGCTGTTACAACAAGAAATAGTGCCAAAGATTTACAACAATATAAGGAATGTGGAATTGATCATACTTTCCACAAGCCATTAAATTATTCTTTGGATCTTATAGGTGGTTCAATTGACGACATTATTGAAAGAAGGAAAAGTTTATAGCTATCGAGATGGAGTTTAAAAATAGGGGGCAAGGTTATTTTATAGAGCATTATGTATTTTCTACGTGTAATTATGAATAGATTATTGGGTTTTTTTTTTTTCTTTTAGTTTATCTTTACTAGCACTTGTATTAAGAATCAAGACGGAATTTGAAATTTCAGGTTTATAGTTAGTTTTTTCGTAAATCATTTAAATCATTAAATCGTTTAAAAAGAAAAATAAGCAGAAATTATACATACATAAAGGCTGTGGTAATCTCGAAAATTTTACAAAGAGGCTGACCGCCGTTTTGTTTCTTTTCTATTTTCTTATTTCCTATTCTTGTATAGTTGTTTGTTTAATTTACGATCAACGATTATATAATCGAAAAATTCAATAAAACTCCTTAATTTTAAACAATGATATTTTTAAATGAACAAATTACTGACTGATACATAAATTACTAATCGCTACCAGCTAAATGTTTTAGTCTGAGGCTGATAAAAGAAGAGGAGAAGTCGTTGTTATAAATAGCTAATGAATCATTAATAGAAAAATGACAACAGGGAGAGGATAGTTTGCAGAAATAACCGAACAAACGATGAAAACGAACACAAGAACAATGCCAGTCGGATGAATGTAACATACGGACTTTCCGTTAAATTAATTGGTTATAATTGCATAAAAATAGGAATATGTTTACTAAAATACCCGTCGTCTTGTAAATGTAATTTCAAGTATGGTGCTTTAATCTGATAAGATACTATTTAATTGAGAATTGTTACTAATTATAAATGAAAAATACTGATCCGATAATTCCTTAAAAAATAATAAAATAACAATACCGGAAGCACATAGCATCCCCTATTATGCTGTATACATTACTATGCAATGATATTACTTCATAAGACTTCATTCATCCCATGGTTTCGTTGCACTTCTTGTTGGAATAGAGCACGAGGAGAATACGTGGATGTGAGGAACAGACACAAATCACTGGCTGTGGCCTAATGGTAAGGCACTTGACTACGGTTACTGTTAAACAGTTTCGCAATCAAGGGATTGCAGGTTCGAGTCCTGTCAGCCAGGCGATTTACTTTTTTGTCCTTTTCTTGGATTATTTTTTTCTCCTTTCCTCATTGTGGCCAAGCTCACTAGCCACTGAGGACTGGGAATATTATTTTTTTTTGTTAGTTGTAGCAGCAGGCAGTTCTCCCACGTCGTTGTGTAAGACTACAGTCATCTGAAACAACGCAGCACCCACACATATACATATATATATACATCTATCATTATTTGAATACTGTGGTAATGTTTCAGAATGCACAGGATGTGTTTGAGCATGTTTACTGGATAGCTACGCTCTGTACAGCGTGTTGTGGAGAAATATAGTAGTGGATATGAGGTGGAGGTAATACAGATGTGGGTTGGTAGGTGCAGTGAGGAATACAACAAGAAGCTCCTATGGTCTAGGGGTTAAGACATTCGATTGCAATGGAACAATTCCTTGCAATTATCGATTGGTCCCCGGTTCAAATCCGGGTGGGAGCTCTTCTTTTTTCTTTTTGTTGCCAAACCAATTTTTTTTTTCTTTTCGCTGTTGTCGGCAGCTGTGGTGGTGGTGGTGGCTCACTCAATACTTTTTTTTTCTTATCCTGTTGTTTTCTGTTGTTTAAGAACGGCCAGCACGGCAGTGAAGGAAAGGATACATTTTTTGTAATAGTTAATGGCGCCATTTTATTTTTTAATTCCATAATCATTTGTATAAAGATTCTATTATTTCTATAGAAAACTAGTCATAAAAAGAGACGAAAGGTGAAAGAAGAATAGTTACCAATGCATTTAGTTAGCAACGGTTTCGTAGAAAGATCTACCTTGAATGAAGGCAATTTCCTTTTCCAATTTGGTTGGTTGTCTTGAACCATCAGCACCAGAGAAAGTACCAGCACCGTATGGAGAAGCACCATGAATTTCTTCCAAGTTGGATTGTAAAGCAAAAGCTTTAGCGTAACCCAATGGAACGAAAATAATACCATGGTGAACTAAAGTACTCAAAGAGTTGACAATAGTAGTTTCTTGACCACCACCTTGGGTACCAGTAGCAACGAAAACACCAGCATATTTACCGTGTAAAGCACCAGAAGCCCACAAACCACCAGTGGTGTCCCAGAAAGCTTTGAATTGAGCTGGGAAGTTACCGAATCTGGTTGGAATACCAAACAAGAAAGCATCGTATTGAGTCAAAGTGTCAGCAGAAGCAATTGGGTAGTTTGGTCTAGCTGGAGCATGCATTTTAGTTAAGACATCTTGTGGCAAAGTTTCAGCAACTTGGAAGATGTCAGCACGACCACCGGCTGCTTCAATACCTTTCTTTTCTTCTTCAGCTAATTGAGCGACGTGGTGGTATAAGGAGTAGATGATAATTGCAACTTTTGGAGCCATTATGTTTGAATTGTTTTTGTTTTGTTTTATGTGTGTTATTTGAATTGAATAAGGATGAATTGACTGTTTAAAAGTTGGGAAATACTATTCTTTATATACACCAATAAGTTGGAGTTCAACATAGAATAGGGGAGATTTGAAGAAAGCATAACCGATGTTACAATTACATTTGTAAGCTTAGATAATACTTTTAGTAAGCATTACACGGTTAGAAAACAAAAATAGTTTTCATTCTCTGTTTTGAGTATTTATTGGTTTTCCGACAGCTTGTAAAACAACCGCTCCCTCGTTCTTTTTTTTTATTTTTTTTCATTGTTGCTAAATGTTCCATTTTTCTAACTTTTTTTTATTTTTCATATCGTAAAGGCAGACCAAACCATGCCAACAATTCAAAATAGTAAACAATCTTGTTTATCAGGAAAATGTATGTGTATACGATTCGATGTTGATCTTTTAGTTGTTTTACAAGCTCTAACACCTGCTTTTCGGTTGTAACAGCAGTTCGGAAATACAAGCCATTGGTTGCCAAAAAGAATCCTATTTCCGAATATGAGATACTGCTTGATAAACAAATACGTCATTGGAAAATGCAGAGAGATACGTTAACCAAGGCTTTGAGATATACCAGGGAAAGAAATACCGTTGAACTGTTAATCGAAAAATATACCACCGTTGCTCAAATGGCATCTAACTATTTGTTTAATGAATACAGTATCAAGTTTGCAAAATTAGGTGGATACAAAGAATGGCAGATCAAGCAATGGCAAATTCAACAAGAACAACTATCATCTTTTGATGATGATTTACAGAATGTTTATTTGAAGTATTTTGATTCTGAAGAGTTTGTCCAATTATCTGAATTTGAAAAGAAAGAAATCAAACTGAATTACCAATCGAGATTTGAAGAAACCAAAGAAAAAGACCCACCTGAGTTCACAGATGAGTTTACTATGGGTGATTTATATAAAATTTTGAATTTGGATTATGACTTGGTATTTAGTTCCTAATTAGGAAGTCTAATTGACTTCAATGTAAAAATGAAAAAGAAAGAAAAAAAAATTTAGTGCCATTTATTTAAGCGACATCGCGCGAAATCTGAAATTTTTTCTACCTGACAGTTCGTCCGTTTAGAGTGGCGATGATCTCTGTGCAATATGTGCAGCAAAACTGAAAGCAAAAAAAAAAAAAAAAAAACTAGCGAAAAATAGATTACTGTACCGCGAAAAAAAAAAGTAGAAGAAACACGAAATTTGTGATAGATAACATCAACCTTCATTCCATTCATTCTTATATTATAGTCAACTTACTTTATATATATATAGATACCATGGTGAAAGTAAAAGTGCTCTTTGGAGAGACGGAACAAGATTTTGATGAAAGTAAAGTGCTAAAGCTACTTCAAGAACTTAGTTTTAATTTGGAGAACTTGCAACTTGACGATGTATTAGAAAGTGTACAAAAGGGTTTACCTGCAACAGTAACTGTTTACCAACTATACACATTTATTGCCGAAGTTATTGCTAGTAGGATCATTTATAATCCCGATTACGCCATCTTGGCTGGAAGGGTTGAACTTAGAAAGCTTTATTTGAAAGTTCCATACAATTTTAGTGATAACGTGGAAAGATTAAGAAATTATAAATCACACGGTGCAAAGTCTTACTCACCCATTTCTTCCAAATTTTATGAAGTTGTTAAGAAACATAAAGAATTCTTTGATGGGCTAATAGATAAAAGTAGAGATGACGAATTCACATATTTTGGAATTAAAACCTTAGAAAATTCTTATCTTTTGAAAATTGACTCAGAACCAGCAGAATTGCCACAATTTTTGTTTTTGAGAGTTGCAATTGGTATACATCTTGAAGATTTGGGGTCAGTTGCGGAAACCTACGATTTGATGTCAAAGAAATACTTTATTCACGCCCTGCCTACTTTATATAATGCCGGTGGCGAGTTCAATTATTTGTCTTCCTGTTTCTTGATAGCTATGAAAGATGATTCAATAGATGGAATCTATAAAACCCTTCACGAATCAGCATTAATTTCCAAAGCATCAGGGGGAATTGGTATCCATGTACATGAAGTTCGTTCCAATGGTTCATATATTGCTGGTACCAATGGGATTGCAAATGGATTAGTTCCAATGTTACGTGTTTTTAACAACACTGCACGATATGTCGACCAGGGTGGTGGTAAACGTCCTGGTGCTTTTGCGATTTATATTGAACCTTGGCATGGCGATATTTTTGACATTTTAGAGATGAGGAAAAATCATGGAAGTGAAGAATTAAGAACTAGAGATTTATTCTATGGATTATGGATTCCTGATTTATTCATGCAAAGGGTAAAAGCTGATGAGTATTGGACATTGATGTCACCGAGTGAAGCCCCTGGATTGAGTGATGTATACGGTGATGATTTTAAAGAGTTGTATGAGAAGTATGAGAAGCAAGGTTTGGGAACTAAAATACGAGCTCATAAACTATGGCTAGCAATTTTAGAATCACAAACTGAAACCGGTGGCCCATATATGCTTTATAAAGATGCCTGTAATGAAAAATCAAATCAGAAAAACCTTGGTACAATCAAGTCGTCAAATTTGTGCTGTGAAATTGTTGAATATTCATCACCAGAAGAAACAGCTGTGTGTAATCTCGGGTCCCTTGCATTACCGACGTATTTGAAAACATCCGATGATGAAGTAATAGAGTTTGATTTCGAGAAACTACATTCTGTCACCAAGGTGTTGGCTAAAAACTTGAACAAAGTGATCGATGTAACATTATATCCTGTTGAGACAGCCGAATACTCAAATAAACGTAACCGTCCAATTGCCTTGGGTGTTCAAGGGTTAGCAGATTTATTTGCCGAACTTAGGCTACCATTTGAATCAGAAGCTGCTAGGAAATTAAATATTCAGATATTTGAAACAATCTACCATGCGGCTCTTGAAGCTTCAGTTGAATTATCTATTCAAGACGGACCATATGAAACTTTTCAAGGATCACCTGCATCTGAAGGTATTCTACAATTTGATATGTGGAATCATACTCCGTCTAAGATGTACGACTGGAATAAACTCAAAGAAAGCATTCAAAAATTTGGGTTAAGAAATTCCCTTTTGGTTGCACCAATGCCTACAGCTTCCACCTCACAAATTTTAGGATTTAATGAATGTTTTGAACCTTATACATCAAATTTATATAACCGTAGGGTGTTGTCAGGAGAGTTCCAGGTGGTTAATAAGTATTTAATTAAAGACTTGATGGATTTGGGTATTTGGAATTCAGCAATGAGAAATAAAATCATGATGGAAAATGGCTCCATTCAAAATATACAGAGCATTCCCAAAGACATCAAAGAATTGTATAAAACAGTGTGGGAAATTTCCCAAAAAGTAATAATTGATATGGCAGCTGATAGAGGTAAATTTATTGATCAACTGCAAAGTATGAATATTCATTTACGTGAACCAACATTTGGTAAATTAACCAGCTGTCACTTTTATGCTTGGAAACAAGGTTTGAAAACTGGTATGTATTATTTGCGTACCCAAGCTGCGTCAAGAGCCATCCAATTCACTGTTGATGCTACCGAAGCCGAAAAAGCGGCAAATGAGAAGCCAAGGGGATCATTGAAAAGAAAGAAATATTTAGAGACACCTCCTAGAAAGAAGACGGTGTATTCTACTCCAGACTCTGAAGTTTATGATATCCATGATTCAACTCCCATCACTTGTAACATAGAAGATTCAGAAAGTTGTCAATCGTGTTCTGGATAATTGTTGAAGAGGTTGAAGAAATAATAATAACCACATATACTTAAATAGAGTTTTTCCTGTAAATATTGTTATTTGTTTGTATTTTAAATTGTACATATATATATTCTCTGGTTTGCACATACTATTACTATCTTTTTAATTTCCTGTTGGCAAAATCAGCCACTTGAGTCATACCATCTTTTGTCACAAAGAATTTTCTTTTTACTTTATCTGCCCATATCAATACACCCAATTCAGATGCATAATTGGACAATATATCATATTCTTGTTGATTGGCAAAATCTTTAAATAAATAACCATCAAATGTTTGAATTCTATCAAGTTCTAATTGCCATAATTTAATCTGATCAACCACGTTTGGAGGTAGAATTTCTAACTTGTGTTGAGAAATAGATCCATCAGTTTTACTTTGTGGAGCACCACCGGCAGTATTGATATTATGACTGGTATCGAATTCAATTTTCTTATCCAATTTTTCTTTAGCCAAAATTCTCATTTGACTATGAGCATGAGTCTCCAAAAATTTGATGATTTGATCTGCAGTTATACCATTATATAATGCATTTCGAATTGATTCTCTTGTAATTTGTCCACAGACCATATTGGCAAATCTGGTTTTTAATTGAACAAATAAATTCAAAATTGCAATTTCCAATGGTGATTTTGTATATGCATATAGTTTGAAATTTGTTTCTATAATGATGGATTCTTTGGTTACAACTTGTTGTTCCTCTTCATCCATAGCCATTGCAGGAGTTTTCAAGGCAGCTGAATCCGATGTTAAAGTAGTTGCCAATCTAGTTGGATAGAATCTTCCAGATGTATCAGATCGTTGATATACCAACCCATAATCTTTCAAATCTGCCAACATACTAACTTGGGTTTCACTTAAAGTGGATACTGCATAACTCTTACCTAATTCTAAAGATCCCAAAACAAAAATAAAATTCAAAACATCAACTGGATCCATGTTTAACTCCTGAGTTAAATTTAAATATTGTAACAACAATGTCCATATTTGTGCATTCACATCTTGTAATAAAAACTGAAACCCACTATTTGTAATTCTAAGTTTATTATTAGGACCCTCCATTAATCCACCCAATTTAAGTAAACTCAACACTGAATCAGAAGGAGTAGCTGTGGCTTCAGTACCAACCATGAAATGTAAAATGGTTTCCCATTTCAGTGATGCAAAATTATCCAAGAATGCAATATCAACTTTATATTTATCAGCTGTAGTGCTAATACTTCCAAAAGCATTAGGATTCTGTGAACCCGTTAAACAATCACGGAAATTCTTTCGAAATGTTGAATGCAATCGAATATGAGAACCTTTACTATCATATTCTATCAAATGTAATGATTCTAATCTTTTCAACGCTTCAAATTCTAGTTTTCTCGCCAGTGGTTTGCACCATTTGTCGAGATCACGTAATGCAATTGGTTTTTCATTAAAGATCATGGACATAATATAGAATTTGGCCATGGGCGAAAGTAATCTGAAAATAGATAAACAGGTTGCAGGTGCCTCATACAATTTAGATTGCACTGTCTTGGGAAGACCCTCTAGGTACTCATTAACTGTGGCTTTGAACAAATGTGCTGACATATGTGTTGGTATTTATATCTGTGTATATATAGTTAAAAATCAAGACTGGGGGTGATTGGCAATAGTTGTGATGACAGTTTTCTTGATTAATTTTTCGCTTTCTGTTTATAACATTTCTTCTCGTTAGTATGGTAATTTCTTTCGTGCGAATGCCTGAAAAAAAAATTAATAAGCAGATGAGATCTTTAAATTTTTCTTTTATTTTCATTTTTTTTTTTTTCCACATCTACAAATCAACCACTACATCACTCTAATGCCACCTAAAAGAAGACGCAGTTCTGCTGCTGGGACTGCTCATGATGATACTTTCAATGAGTTGATGAAACCAGTTTACAAGGGGAAGAAATTAACTGATGAGATCAATACTGCAGAAGATAAGTGGAACTTACTTCCTGCCTTTTTGAAAGTCAAAGGGTTAGTGAAACAACATTTGGATTCTTATAACTATTTTGTTGATGTGGATTTAAAGAAGATTATTAAAGCAAATGAGTTAGTTTTATCCGATGTTGATCCTGAATTTTATGTGAAATATTTAGATATCAGAGTTGGTCATAAATCAACCGCCAAGCCAGGTGTTAAAGAAGTTATTTTACCACCACACGAATGTAGATTGAGAGATTTAACTTATTCTGCCCCTATTTATGTTGATGTTGAATATACCAGAGGACGTAAGATTATTAGACACAATGATTTGGAAATCGGGAGAATGCCAGTTATGTTGAGATCAAACAAATGTATGTTGGAAGGCATGTCTGAAGCATCAATGGCTCAAGTTGAAGAATGTCCTTTGGATCCAGGTGGTTATTTTGTTGTGAATGGTACTGAAAAGGTTATTTTAGTTCAAGAACAATTGTCCAAGAATAGAATTATCGTTGAAGCAGATGAAAAAAAGGCTATTGTTCAAGCTTCAGTTACTTCATCCACCCATGAACGTAAATCTAAAACTTATGTTATCACCAAGAATGACAAGATTTATTTGAAACATAATTCCGTTAGTGAAGATATTCCAATTGTTATTATTTTGAAAGCAGCAGGTATTACTTCAGATTTGGAAATTTTGCAATTAGTATGTGGTACCGATCCAAACTATCAAGATTTATTTGTGGTGAATTTTGAAGAAGCTGCTAAATTGGAAGTTTTCACCCAACAACAAGCTTTGCTTTATGTTGGTAAACGTGTCAAAACCATTAGACGTGCTGGTGCCCCTAAATTGTCCCAATTGCAAGAAGGTATTGAAGCCATTGCCACCACAATCGTTGCTCATTTAACTGTTTCTGATTTGCAATTTCGTGAAAAGGCTCTTTACATTGCCACTATGGCCAGAAGAGTTGTTATGGCTATGCACAACCCTAAAATGGTTGATGATAGAGATTATGTTGGTAACAAAAGATTGGAATTGGCTGGTCAGTTGATGTCCTTGTTGTTTGAAGATTTGTTCAAGAAGTTTAACTCTGATTTTAAGGCCAATATCGATAAAGTTTTAAAGAAACCAAGCAGAACTTCTGAATTTGACGCTCTATTGTCCATCAACATTCACTCAAACAATATCACTATGGGTTTAAATCGTGCAATCTCTACCGGTAATTGGTCCTTGAAACGTTTCAAGATGGAAAGGGCAGGTGTTACTCATGTTTTATCCAGATTGTCTTATATCTCCGCTTTGGGTATGATGACCCGTATCTCATCACAGTTCGAAAAGTCCAGAAAAGTTTCTGGTCCTAGAGCTTTACAACCTTCTCAATTCGGTATGTTATGTACTGCCGATACACCAGAAGGGGAGGCGTGTGGTTTGGTTAAGAACTTGGCGTTGATGACACATATTACAACCGATGATGAAGAAGCTCCAGTTAAAAAGTTGTGTATTGCATTAGGTTGTGAGCCTATTTATGCCTTGGATTCTGCAACTTTGCATTCCGAAGGGAACTTTGGTGTTTATCTTAACGGTACATTGATTGGTACAACCAGATTCCCTCAAAAGTTTGTCAATGATTTCCGTCATTTAAGAAGAAACGGTAAAGTTTCTGCATTTATTTCTATTTATACAAACACACATCATCAAGCTGTTCATATTGCTACTGATGGTGGTAGAATCTGTCGACCATTGATTATTGTTGAAAATGGTGAATCTAAAGTGACTGCTGAACATTTAGCCAAATTGTTGAATCAAGAATGGAGTTTTGACGACTTTTTGAAACACGGGTTGGTTGAATATCTTGATGTTAACGAAGAAAACGATTCTTTGATTGCATTGTATGAAGAAGATATCAATGCCAATAGTAGTACTACCGTCACACACATGGAAATTGAACCCTTCACAGTGTTGGGTGCAGTTGCTGGGTTGATTCCATATCCACATCATAACCAATCTCCTAGAAATACTTATCAATGTGCGATGGGTAAGCAAGCTATTGGTGCTATAGCATATAACCAATTCAGAAGAATTGATACATTATTATACTTTATGGTTTATCCACAACAGCCTATGGTTAAAACAAAAACTATTGAATTAATCGACTATGATAAATTACCAGCTGGTCAAAACGCAACTGTGGCGGTTATGTCTTATTCTGGGTATGATATTGAAGATGCTTTGGTGTTGAATAAATCTTCTCTTGATAGAGGATTTGGTAGATGTCAAGTTGTGCGTAAGAACACTGTTCAATTAAAGAAATACCCTAACCATACACAAGATATTCTTTCGGGTATGAGAGTTGATGAAAACAACAACCCGATTTTCCCTCATCAAGCCTTAGGTCCAGATGGTTTGGGTGAAGTTGGTAGCAGAATCCATAATGGACAAGTTTTTGCCAACAAGTGTGTTCCAACCAATTCTGGTGAATCAGCACTTGGTGGTCCACAACAAGATGATAGACAAATGGATAGACACAGAGAAGCTCCAGCTTTCTATAAAGGTCCTGAACCTTCTTATATTGATCAAGTTATGATGTCCGTTAGTGATAATGATCAAGCTTTGATTAAAGTTTTACTTAGACAAACTAGAAGACCGGAATTGGGTGATAAATTTTCATCTAGACACGGGCAAAAGGGTGTTTGTGGGATTATTGTTCAACAAGAAGATATGCCATTTAATGATTATGGTATTTCCCCAGATATTATTATGAATCCACATGGTTTCCCATCTCGTATGACGGTTGGTAAAATGATTGAATTAATTTCAGGTAAAGCTGGTGTCTTGAATGGTTCTTTGGAATATGGTACCTGTTTCGGTGGTTCCAAATTAGAGGATATGTCCAAAATATTGGTTGAAAAGGGGTTCTCCTATTCCGGTAAGGATATGTTACAATCTGGTATTACTGGAGAATGTCTTCAAGCTTATATTTTCTTTGGTCCTATTTATTATCAAAAATTGAAACATATGGTTTTGGATAAAATGCATGCAAGAGCTAGAGGTCCAAGAGCTGTTTTAACAAGACAACCAACTGAAGGTAGATCAAGAGATGGTGGTTTGAGATTGGGTGAGATGGAAAGAGATTGTGTTATTGCCTATGGTGCTTCTCAGTTGTTATTGGAAAGATTGATGATTTCTTCCGATGCATTTGAGGTAGATGTTTGTAACAAGTGTGGTTTAATGGGTTATAATAATTGGTGTACAACTTGTCAAAGTTCTGAAAATGTTATTAAGATGACAATTCCTTATGCAGCTAAGTTATTATTCCAAGAATTGTTATCCATGAATATTGCCCCAAGATTAAGGTTAGGGGATGTATTTTAGAATGGTTATGTAAGTTTTAGTTATACTTTATGAAAATAGTAAAAGAACACAAATATATACAGAAAAGAAACCAAAAAAAAAGTAAATTCAGGGAGTGTAAAGATTAGTGCAAAAACAAGCTCTGGTACCACAGTTGTATTGAAGTAAACTTTTAAACTTATGGAAGTGGTTATTCTACTTTTTTTACTTTTCATTCTTTGGGGGTTATTTGACTGGTGTAGTTTAATAAAGCATTTGTAAAATAAATGATTCAATAATAGAATAAAGTAGCAAATGCAAAACTTTGTTGAAAAAAAAAAAAAAAAAAATTGGTGTGTCACGTGTAATTGTCGTCATAATTTTAAGTATTTCCGGTCTGAAATTGTTCTTTGATGCAGATTACTAAAATTACATTGCATTCTTAGTAATGCGAAGCTTCTATTATTTTTTGGGTTTTTTGTATAAGAAAATTAACGATCGGATATTAATTATGTATGGGAAATTTCTGGACAAGAGTTCTGCGTGCGGAATTATTAGTAAAATATATCAGCAAGTCGTCGGTTACACAAAACCCCCATGGTTCTGTATTTCTTTTGGTTTTGTTCACCCTTCGAAAGTCTTCTTTTTCGGAAATTCCGACTTGGTATATAAAAATGGACGAAGTCCTGGTTGTCAAAAAAAAAAATTTCAATTAAAACTCCTTTATTTTTTTTATTTTTTTTAATCAAATTGAATTTTATTCTTTATTCACTTTAATCAATTAACACACAATGGCTCAAAAAGTTGCAATTATCATCTACTCCTTATACCACCACATCGCTCAATTAGCTGAAGAAGAAAAGAAAGGTATTGAAGCTGCCGGTGGTCAAGCTGACATCTACCAAGTCCCAGAAACTTTGCCACAAGAAGTTTTGACTAAGATGCACGCTCCAGCCAGACCAAACTACCCAATTGCTTCTGCTGAAACTTTGACTCAATACGATGCTTTCTTGTTTGGTATTCCAACCAGATTCGGTAACTTCCCGGCTCAATGGAAAGCTTTCTGGGACACCACTGGTGGTTTATGGGCTCAAGGTGCTTTACACGGTAAATACGCTGGTGTTTTCGTTTCTACCGGTACCCAAGGTGGTGGTCAAGAAACCACTGTTGTCAACTCTTTGAGTACTTTGATCCATCATGGTATTATTTTCGTTCCATTGGGTTACGCTAAAGCTTTCGCTTTACAATCCAACTTGGATGAAATCCACGGTGGTTCTCCATACGGTGCTGGTACTTTCGCTGGTGCTGACGGTTCTAGACAACCAACTAAATTAGAAAAAGAAATTGCTTTCGCCCAAGGTAAAGCTTTCTTTGAAACTGTTTTCTAAATAGATTGCTAGAGGTATTTAGTTTTTAATTTTAACGACTGGTTCTTATTTTGAAATAAATAGTAGATTGAATATTTCAATGAAATTTTCTACGTGATTGTGCTGTTTGTGGCATAGTACTAAAAAATAAACCACCCTTTCCTTCGTTCACTGCCGTGCTGGCCGTTCTTAAACAACAGAAAACAACAGGATAAGAAAAAAAAAGTATTGAGTGAGCCACCACCACCACCACAGCTGCCGACAACAGCGAAAAGAAAAAAAAAATTGGTTTGGCAACAAAAAGAAAAAAGAAGAGCTCCCACCCGGATTTGAACCGGGGACCAATCGATAATTGCAAGGAATTGTTCCATTGCAATCGAATGTCTTAACCCCTAGACCATAGGAGCTTCTTGTTGTATTCCTCACTGCACCTACCAACCCACATCTGTATTACCTCCACCTCATATCCACTACTATATTTCTCCACAACACGCTGTACAGAGCGTAGCTATCCAGTAAACATGCTCAAACACATCCTGTGCATTCTGAAACATTACCACAGTATTCAAATAATGATAGATGTATATATATATGTATATGTGTGGGTGCTGCGTTGTTTCAGATGACTGTAGTCTTACACAACGACGTGGGAGAACTGCCTGCTGCTACAACTAACAAAAAAAAATAATATTCCCAGTCCTCAGTGGCTAGTGAGCTTGGCCACAATGAGGAAAGGAGAAAAAAATAATCCAAGAAAAGGACAAAAAAGTAAATCTCCTGGCTGACAGGACTCGAACCTGCAATCCCTTGATTGCGAAACTGTTTAACAGTAACCGTAGTCAAGTGCCTTACCATTAGGCCACAGCCAGTAATTTGTGTCTGTTCCTCACATCCACGTATTCTCCTCGTGCTCTATTCCAACAAGAAGTGCAACGAAACCATGGGATGAATGAAGTCTTATGAAGTAATATCATTGCATAGTAATGTATACAACATAATAAGGGATGCTATGTGCTTCCGGTATTGTTATTTTATTATTTTTTAAGGAATTATCGGATCAGTATTTTTCATTTATAATTAGTAACAATTCTCAATGAAATTCTAATTTGTCATCCTAAACATGTTCTTTTCTACGTACTTTTGAGATCTTAACTATGACTATAGAGATATGTCTTTGCCAGATTAAAAGAAATAAATGCTTAAGGTATTATTTATTTTTTAATTATTAAACAAATGACATAATTAACAGTAAGAATTATACAAATTTTTCAATGAATATCGTTCTAGATAATGATTGGCTCAAATGACTTAGTTAATTTAGTCACTTTCTCTATCATTTGAACTATAACTATACTAACTAGACTATTTAACAATTCTTTTGGCTTGTTCTATGATTGAGTGAATAAACGTACGATTCTTTTTTGAGTGGAAAATACCTAATCATGTCGAGTTTAATTTCCCCATACATAAAAAAGTGAAAAAAAAATGAAAGAAAACCCGTAGATTGAAAAAAAAAAAATCTATTCAGTTAGCTGACTCACATTCTTGTTTCTTTTGCAGCATTCAACAGGTAAATTAACAGTACATTCAATTATAATAATGGTTCTTGCTCCTCCTATTAATATCAATAAATGGATTGAAGAAAATGGTGATCTTTTAAAACCACCAGTAAACAATTTTTGTCTTCATAGAGGAGGATTTACAATTATGATTGTGGGTGGGCCAAATCAAAGAAGTGATTATCACATTAATCAAACCCCGGAATATTTCCACCAATTAAAAGGAACCATGTGTTTAAAAGTAGTTGATGATGGAGACTTTAAAGATATTTTCATTCATGAAGGTGATTCATTCCTTTTACCTGGAAATGTCCCACATAATCCATGTAGATATGAAGATACTATTGGAATTGTTGTTGAACAAGATAGACCTGAAGGAGTTAATGATAAAGTTAGATGGTATTGTAGTAAATGTGAAAAACCAATTCATGAAGTGGAATTCTACTTGACAGATTTGGGTACTCAAATTAAGGAAGCAATTGTTGCCTTTGACGCGGACATGAATGCAAGAACTTGTAAAAACTGTGGAACTGTAAATTCATCCAGAAGAGATTAGTATAAATAAAATAAAAATTAAATAATTTCTATATGTTGCTAATAACTATAGTCTAGTCTAATAAATATTATGATAATGATTCAAAAATTAGAGGAACCCGTCACTATTCAAATTTCTTGTTGTAAAACTTTACACCTTCATCAAAGATCCAATCAACAGCGTGCTCAACAGGTTCATCAAAAATGTATGGCAAAACTGGAACAATACCTAAACCAATAGCCACTGGACCATAGGTTTTAAATGCTGGGATCTTGGAATTCTTAAATATATAAGATGAATAACGAACAGCACTATGAATGGTAAAAGCTGGCAAACCCATAGATGCTACACTTTGGAATATACCTCTTTTCAAAGCTGATAATCTCCAATCAGTATCAACTACGTTGTGTGTCGATAAGAATGTTTTTGCTGCAGTTTCATTTGCTTCTGGTTCTTTGTCCCAAGGTTTCAATCCAGGAAGATATTTACCTTCAGATTTCATTTTGGTGATCCAAGCAGCATAGGAAACATCTCCAAGAATATAGAGCCATGAAACTGCATACCCCGATTTAACCAAGTAAGGATGTGCAACTGGACGGAAAGATTCTCCAATATCTGAAGTATATGCAACATATCTGTGGGAGGCCAATAAAATAGTTCTCAATCTGTTTGCATAAGCTGCGTATCTAAGACCAGATTCTTGTTCACTAATTGATTGATCATCAACAGCTCCTTTGACTTTTTGAAGAGTCTTTTGAGTTGGTTCAACTGACATTATGTATGCTTAATGTTTAATGGGAAGTTTAATTTAAATAGCAGCAAGATGCTAATCAATCAAAAAAAATGAAAAAGTAGCAACAGAAAAAATTGTACATGTTTAGGATGCATTTATACGATTTTCTCATTTTTATTTAATTTCATTATTTTTGCCACTATTAGTGTGTAACTGAAACCTTCCAGTAGCAAGGAAAAAAAAATAATAGTCCAATAAAAAAAAAAAAAACCAAACCTGAATCGTTTCAGTTGGAATCTTAAATCCGTACTTACTCAAACAAACTAGTGACACCAATCCCCGTTGTTATATATTCATCAACAGTCATGAAAATAACACTTGTCGTTAGATTTATTAATTCACTTTCGGCATCAGATCAAGTACCCGATTTAAAAATTCCTATCGGTATAAATTTTGATAAAGACAATGTCAATAGATTAGTGAATGTCATTTGGTTGAAAGCCACCATTAGAAAGGATGTACCTCAATGTGCCAATAAACGTCTAAGATTAATCCACAATGGTCGAGTATTAAATGAAAGAACTGATTTTGAAAACGAAGTTTTGAAACATAGGTCTGAAACTGACCAGATATTTATTCATTGTGTTATAGGTGAAGAATTGACAAAAGAACAACTAGATGAAGAAAATCAATTAGATAATAGACCACAAGTAGTTTCCACCAACCCTCAAGTTATTGGTTTCGACAGATTATTACAACAGGGTTTTTCACAGGAAGATGTTGTAGATTTGCGACGTCAATTCTACCTGCTTTATGGAGGTGATAATTCAACCGGTGGTGATATTGCGGATGTGGAAGAAGATGAAAACAGACAGAATAGATTACGAGAATTAGAAGAAAGATGGATTGAATCCACGTCTAATACAGACCCACAAGCAAATGGTCGAGCTCCATTGAGTCGAGATGGTGGTAGTGGTGGCCCCAGTACGGCTACAGCAACAGGCGACGATGACCAATTCCAGGCCGCTCCTCCTCCACTGCAGTCATTAGATGTTGATGAATCAAGAATAAATCAGGATTTATTGTTAGGTTTCACTATTGGTGTGTTTTTAGGGGTCATTGCAGTTGTGTTCTTGTTGGCTGATGATTCAGTCTTCAACAAACGTCAACAAATGGCAATCATAGCTGGTATATGTATTAATTTCTCATTAGCAATTGTCAGAGGACAATGGATATGAGTAACAATAACAAGACCAAGAGATGAATGAATATATACATATAATGATACTAAGAAGATAAAGAAAAAAAAATGTATGGTCTACCGGCCCTCATTAAATACGTAAAGTTGTAGTTTTCAATGAAAGGGCACTAAGATGACCGGTTGTGTTAAGTATTTACTCTCGCCTGAAACTTGACGCTCGCCAACTCGTAGGGATTAATAGAACAGACAAGCAACACGGATATAGCTTAGGCTGCCGCACAAAGAAGAAGAAAAAGAAGAGTTAAAAAAAAGTTGAAAAAAATTTTTCATTGATTTTTTTTTCTTTTATACACTCGGTTACAAGAAAAATTGGCGATGGAGTTGAGAAGTCACGTGAAGAAAAAAAGATTAGGGTTTTCATGTCAATATCATCAAGGATGAACAAATATTTTAACATACTTTTCCTTATTATGAATCAAGTCCAATATACCTTGTTCAATTCCATCTTTTAATTGGACTCTTTTGGATACTAATTTTTCAACTTCTTTTGGATCGATTAACCCTTCTTCAAATGCTTTGACTACCAATTCAAAGTCAACTCTTGTGTAACACATACTTGCAGTGATTACAAGTTCATTTAAAGTTAAATCCATTGGGTATAAATCAACTGGAACATGTGGCCATATTGCAATGTTAGTACCAACACCACCAGCACATAATGATTTAACCATTGTTTCAAACGTAATCTTGTTTCCACAACAATCATAAACATGAGTGAAACCTGCATTTCTTTTAGTCAACTTCAATAACTCCTTAATCTGTGTATTCTTGTCTTTATACTCAAGTGGATTAAATGTTCTAACACCAAAAGATTCAGCCAATTCTCTACGAGCAGTTGCTGGTTCACTTAAGACTATATCATGAATCTTATGCCCCTTTAAAGCAAATATAGTACACAATCCAATTGGACCACCACCAATAATCAAAGCTTGTGGATTTGGTTCCTCAGAAATTCGTGATTGACGAACACCATGCCAAGCAACAGCCAAAGGTTCAACCAACGCAGCAATTTCATCAGGAATGACTTTTGGATCATATGGAATAACTCTATTTGAAGTAACAACCATATATTCAGCCATACCACCATCACTGAAACCCAATCCATAAAAGTTAATCCGCTTACAACAATTGTATTTCCCTCTAGCACAAGCACCACAAATATCTTGTTGCTCTTCTTTCAGTTGTTGTAAAAATTGTCTTTCCAAACAGGTCCCATTTGCTTCTAGAACTACGTGTTGCCCAATCTTCAAGGTATGTTCAACATCACAACCAACTTCAACAATAACCCCACATAATTCATGACCTAAACATTGACCTGCTTTATGTTTATGAGTAATTGGATTGGTTTCACCTTCAAAGAAAATAGGTCCATCAAGATATTCATGAAGATCTGATCCACAAATCCCACAATTCATAACCTTAATCTTCACATCATGTGGATGAACAATCTCTGGGATTGGTTTATCAGTAGTATACCTAATATCTTTATTACCAAAATATTGAATAGCTTGCATTTTTTTTTTGTTGAATAAAGGAGGGTATATTATTAAGGAGCAATTGATTTATGTGGGGATGTGGGCTTTTTTTTATATACACCCAAACTCCTGGTCATGATTTATTATTGTTTCCTCAATTTACAATACGACGGATCTCCTGATTAATTTAAAAATTGCTTTCTGTATCGAGCCTCCCTAAATTCTGTATTTACCCTAGATACTACTCTCCTTGGTGATAATCATGATTCAAAATAAAGGAACCAAATTGTTGCAAAATTAAAGTAGAATAAGAAATGAAACAAAAAAATATCGACACAAAAAAAAATAGAGTCTCGTGCAAATCACGTGGTAAATTCGGAAAAAATAGGGTGCCACAAAGAATTTGAGGGGACAAGAAATTATTATTACAACTATGGGTTAACTATTGGCTGCCTTTGGAATATTTGATATTGGTCAAGAGCCATCTGTTACCCCAAAGTATCGGAGAATTAACACAACAGACCCGGAAAACGATCTCCATTATAAACATTATACCATCAACACAGTCCCGTACTGTCATCGAGAACCTGTTAATAGTCCCCCTTTTTTAGTTCGCGGAATTGGTTTCTAAATTTTTGTGTTGATTTGGGTACCGGGATCTGACGCCGAAAAAATTGCGATACCGCTATATTTCAGATATCACTAAATGATCCCATCTCAATTCTTTAGAATTCTTGGTTTTTAAGTTTGGAAAACTGCATCGGTTGTATGTTCATCTTTGAATTCTCTTTTATACTTTTTATTCATTTTTTTTTTTTAATTTTAGTTTTCATATGAACAGAGTGTACGTTGTAGTTGACGAAGAGGGGTTGTGCAAGGTGATAAGTGCAATTCTCGACCAATCGTACGGTAGAAATAGGTCGCTTATAGCCCCACTTTTTTCGTTTGCTTACAATTTTTTTTATTTTTTTTTTTGGTTGTCTAATTATGAGTATCTCTGCTACACACACTAGATTTGTAAATTACTCATTAATTTAATCGCACCAAACAGAAATTACCTGCGATGAAAATTTTTCTATTTTTTTTTTTCTTTTGGATTTTAAAGTGCCCCCTCTCTTGTTAATTCTGAATTTCCTTTTATCCTTCTTTCTTTCTTGTTTTATTTAATTAGGTCTATTTTACTTTCTTTTTCAATTCTATCAATTACTTTTATACTCACAGACTTAGATCCCTCGAAGTATTCAAGTTTATAAGTATTTATTCCAAAGTATTTAACTTATCTATACTATTTCTTATCAATCTCACCCCCACTCATATCAAATATATATATACGCACCAACGAATAACATAAACCATGTCAGATCCAAAACCATTGCCATTTATTTACCAATTCATATCCGGTGCTGTTGCCGGTGTGTCTGAAATCCTTGTTATGTACCCATTGGATGTGGTTAAAACCAGACAACAATTAGCTACTAATAGTGACTATAATGGTACTATAAATTGTTTAAGAAAAATTGTTAAAGAAGAAGGTTTTTCTCGTTTATATAAAGGTATTTCCGCCCCAATTTTAATGGAAGCTCCAAAAAGAGCTACTAAATTCGCTGCCAATGATGAATGGGGTAAATTTTACAGAAACTTGTTTGATGTTCCAAAAATGACCCAATCCTTGGCTATTTTAACCGGTGCTACTGCTGGTGCCACTGAAACTTTTGTTGTCGTTCCATTCGAATTGGTTAAGATTAGATTACAGGATAAAACCACTAAATTCAATGGTATGGGTGAAGTTGTCAAAGACATTGTTCAAAAGAATGGTGTTTTGGGATTATACAAAGGTTTAGAATCTACTTTGTGGAGACACATTTGGTGGAATGCTGGTTATTTTGGATGTATTCATCAAGTTAGAAGTTTAATGCCAAAACCAAAAGATTCATCCCAAAAGACTTTAATTGATTTAACTTGTGGTACTATTGGTGGTACATTTGGTACCATGTTGAACACTCCATTTGATGTTGTCAAATCAAGAATCCAAGCTGGTTCTACTCAATACAAATGGACTTATCCATCCATATTGAAGGTTGCTAGAGAAGAAGGTTTTGGAGCATTGTATAAAGGTTTTATTCCAAAGGTCTTGAGATTAGGTCCAGGTGGTGGTATTTTGTTGGTTGTTTTCACTACTTGTATGGATTTCTTTAGAACTCTCCAAGATAAAAAATAGACTTACTCAATATATACATATATACAGACAGGCATATCTGTACATACTTACGAATACATGTATTTATTATACACCTGATATTATTCTACAATTTTAATTATTCTCGTAATACTAATAGTAATATTAATTTTTTTTAAAAACGAAAAAATTCACCTGAAAGACATCTTGGTAATACAATAACATTCATTTGTCCCTCTTGAACTGTCCCTCTTTTGTCCCACTTTTTTTTTGCGTCCCATTATTTCTCAACTTTGCATCCAAACTGAAAAAGTTTGAAGTCAAAAGAGAATGCCAGAGAGAAAAAGCAGATGCATATGATAATTTTTATCACAGCTAACTGACTGGAATATCGCGACCGACTGGTACGCGACCCGCGGAATCAATCCCGCGTGAAACACACGGATTTTTCCCACCTTTTAAATGTTCCATACTTTGATGAGGTTTCTACTTCTATTTTTATGGTTAGGTTCCTTTGGTCCCTTTTTTTTTCTCTTTCTTTTAAAGAAACTTCAGATTCAAGTCTAGAATTTTCAAAGCTTTACAAAACAAAACTGAATAAACGTAAAGCAACAAAAACTACAGCAAAGAGGAAAACAAAAAAAAAAAAGAAAGAAAGAGAAAATCTGAAAATTATAAATAGTTTGTTAATTACCACCAATGATATACTTTGTAAATTAATTTTGAAATTGTTATTTCTTACCAATTAATTTATATTATTTATTTATTTATTCAATTATTACTGATATTCCTTAGATAAATCATTCAATTGAAAAAAAAAAAGAAGATATTGCCATTCCTTTTCTTTTCCACTTATCTTTGTTTTTTTCTTTATCAGATGTCTGCTGAGTTGTCATAAATGTCTTCATCTTCATCTTCATCTACAAACAAGTACACAGGTCCCAATTTAAATGTGACTTTAACATGTCCTGATTGCAAACTTTTTCCGCCTGATTTAATAGAAAGATTCAGTGAAGGAGATATTATCTGTGGACAATGTGGATTGGTCTTAAGTGATAGAATAGTTGATACTAGATCAGAATGGAGAACTTTTCAAAATGATGATAAGAATAGTGATGATCCATCACGTGTTGGTGAAGCAAGTAATTCATTATATGATACTGAAGATTTAACTACCATGATTTCATATACCGCTAATCCTGGAGGTTCCGGATCCAAGAATAATTTAAATAAAATTCAACAGAAAAGTCTCGTCGATAAAAAGAATTATGCATTACAAGCTGCTTATCAAAGAATATCTGAATTATGTAATGGTTATCAATTACCTAAATCAGTTAGTGATGCTGCTAAACATTTATATAAAGCAGTAAGGGATGATAGATTATTAAAAGGTAAGTCTCAAGATGCAATAATGGCATCAACTATCTTGTTAGGTTGTCGAAGAGCAGAAGTACCTAGAACTTTAGAAGAAATAAGAGCATTGACTAATGTACCTACAAAACAAATAGCTAAAATTACAAGATTAATTAAAAAAATCATTCATTCACATTTAAATAGTGATGATGCTGCTGCTGCAATTGTTGATGAAACAACAAATTTAACTACTCATTCAGCAGAAGATTTAATTCGACGATTTTGTTCTCATTTAGGGTTAAATCCAATCATTACAAATGGTTCTGAATATATTGCTAGAAAATGTAATGAATTAGGGATTTTAGCTGGTAGATCACCAACCACTATTGCCGCTACTTCAATTTATCTTGCAGCTAAAGTTCTTGGTGACACAAAGTTAACTCAACAACAAATTCGAGATAAAACTGGTGTAAGCATAGGTACAATTAAAAATTCATACAAGATTTTATACGAAAAAGCTAGAGAATTGGTCGACCCTTCTTGGGAAGAACATGGAAAAGTAAAATGGGATAATATTCCTAAAAGTTGAAATTCAAAATGATAGAGAACAAATATAAAACAAATGTCTGTGCATTCTTTTTTTTTATCGTGTTTGATAAATACAATTCTGATATAACTATAAACATAAATATAGATCTATTACCAATAGTCTCGCATTGTTAAAACTTTTGTGATAAAACGTTTTGAATAATGTTCAACATATCGTGGTCCGATAATGTCAGTGTGCTTGAATGTTTCAAGGTGTCTTTATACTTGTAAACTGGCGAAGAGCCATTTGACTTCAGTGATGATTCTAAAGATTCATTTTCACGTTTCTCATTGGTAAAGGAATTAATGGCTGATAAGAATTCCAGTGAGTCAAAATCAAAATCAATAACATCAATTTTGTTCAATTTGGCATGTAATTTTGATTCTTCAGTTAAATAAAAGACATCATCAAAATATTCCATACAATGGAACAACGACTGTAAATTAGTACTGGATTTCAAATCAAAAGTACTCAACAAGGATTGGATGGATTCATAGTTAAGTAAAATATTATAAACTAAACCATAATTTATTGATTTAGAACTAGAGAATCCCAACATTGTCATGATTGTTGATGGCTCTTCTCCCGTGTCCTGTTGAACATCATTGAACCTTCCGTGCAATAATAAGTTCAAAACCAATAAACAGTCTTCAACTAAACTTCCCAATTCTTCAAAAGTAACATATTTAGATTTTATCAAGCTTTGCTTCTTGAAAAATTTAATCATACCAAATAAACTCAAATGAAAATCATCCCAAGCATATTGGGATAAATCGATTGTAGGATCATTTTGGAAAACTTGCAAAATATTATACACCAAATTCAACCCCATTGAAATGTTGCCAACATTCAATTTGTAAGTTAAATTAAATCTGAGCAAGTTTTGCACAGCATCCAAAATATAAAACAAAGAAGATTTATATCCTAATTTTCCAGTATTAAGAGATACAAATGGTACCTTTTGATGACATAATTTCCATTTGTATTCATTGATCTGGAAGTTTTGCAATGAATCCAATGGTAAATTGAACAACGTAGCCAAGGAAAGTGTAGTTAAATCCTGCATCAACGAAGACCTGTATTGGTATTCAAAAATATACGACAACAAACATAACCATACTTCAAATAATTCAACATACTCAACTTCATCTTCTGGTCGAGTATCTAATTCGTTATAATAGTCGTATTTTTGTGTAGTAAACACTTTAACAAAACTTGGATTCTCAGAAAGGGTGTAAATATTTAGAAGTGCTGGTAATAACTTTGCCAACTCAAGATGTGAATCATCATCTGCACCTCTAATAGATAACCTTGCAAGCTTGTGTTCGTACATGTCTTGTAACTCCTTCAAGTAAACATCTTCTGTAGCATTGTTTATTAAACTCAACTTGTTGTTTACTTGCAAATTGGTAATAACATCAGTGGTCAAGCAATTGACATAAAGATCAGAGCTCAATCTATTACCACTGAGCCAATTAATAAGTGAACTATTCTGAATCTTATTCAACATCAAGTCAGGACGGAATTTGTAACAATAATTGTATTCCATACAGAAAAATGGTAAAAATTTCAGATTGATTTCTTCATTGAAAAGATTCCAGTCATAAGTTGCATCAAAAATTTGCTTGTATGGATTTTTTAACGAAGTTGATAATGCTGTAATATCCGAATTGGCTTGGATATCCGGGATAAATATTGGAGGAATATTGACCAATACACCAATCAAAAGGTACAAATTAACTAATGTATCAACAGATAATATTACTTTAGGTGCATCGTACACCTCTTCTTCCTTTTCCTTTTTTTTTTCTTTTGCAGTTGGATTGGAAATTTTTATGATTCGTTGCAAAATGTTACTCAAATCAACTTCGTAAAACGAGAAAAGCAAACTCTTTAAGACATTGTACTCATCGGTTGCCGATTTGAAATGACTCAAACCAGAATAAATAGATCTAAGGATTCTATTCAATAAATTAATCGATTCTTTAATGGCTGTTAAACTCAAAAATCGAGCTCCTGGTGAAGAATCTTCAATTCTTTGAAGAGAAATATTTAAAAACCATTTCAACTTGATCAAAAGCTGAACTAATGGCGTCACATTTTCTTTTTCTTTGAAGGACTCAAATAATTTAACACATAAATCATGTTGATCTGAAACCTCGTTTCTTTTCCTAAATTTGTCATTCACATCTATTATATTCTGAAACCAGTCTCGGAAAATCCTAATGGAATTTTCTATCAATTGGGCTCTAAGTTCATCATCCAAGAATTCAAATTCTCTTTCAGTGGTCAAACTTGGTGTAGAATTATTTTTGCTTGTGGCTTGGCTTTGTTTTGGACCATTTAAAGTTGTCAAATCGTCACCATCATCAAACTCTGCTAACACTTGTCTGCTGGAATTATTCAGCAGATTACCATTCAATTCAGTGATATCACCACCGCCATTATCAAGTATAGCTTCAGATGACATTGACTGTTTACCATTAGGCAATTGAGTAGAAATATCAGCAATATCATCCCTCTCGTCATATTGAATGGCATCTTTCAAAACAGTTAAACCGGCGGTAAAGATCTTTCTCAATATTGCCAAGTTTCTCTCAGAAATATCCGATGATAAAACAATAGCTTCAGAGTTTTCTCTCAATACTCCTAATAACAAATCATCATATACTGGGGTAGTGAAGATTGATTTATAAAAAATGTCATCATTTTCAACACTATCATTGAACAATTCTTTGTATAGACTCTTTTGGTAGCTGTGAGACATGATAGTTATTGAATGTTATTTTCTAATACATTGACAGGCAGTTAAATGACAATTAATGGACACGTTATAAGTAAATCTTGATGATTCGAAAATCAATTTTGTCCAACCAATGTTCTTGTTTATTTTTTAATTTTTTAATTTTTCTGTGTTGTCTGTACAAGTAGATCATAAAAATCCTTCTGTCTCTCTCTCTCTCTCTCTCTCTCTCTCTCTCTCTCTCTCTCTCTCTCTCTCTGTTTTTCATTTTATTTTATTTTGTTTTGTTTTGTTCCCACCCCCTAAATCTGCCCAGACAACCGGAGATGTTTTGTGTGAGTGGGTGAGTGGGACGTGCGAGGTTGCCTAATGAAAAATTAGCAGCCCAGATTATCTCTCGCACGTTGTCTCATTGCACACGTCCTCTCTCTATCTCTCTCTCTATGATCCCAACACGACACACGCACCAAATAATAAATTACCTAACAACTCTTTTGCGAAAGCTAAGGATCAAAATTGAAAACAATTTTTTTTTTCCACGGTGCTGTTCTTCTCTCTTTGGGCCAGAGTAATCAAAACTAAACAGAGGAAGTAAAAACAACAAAAAAATATAAAGAGTACACCACAAGAGTATTCAATAATCCCTTTGTATTCTTTTGTTAATTCATTTTTTCCCCCAATTTCTTGTTTGTATTGTTAAGTGGATATCAATACGAGGTTCAATTATTACTGAATGTACTTAGTTTGAATCAACTAGATCTCATATCCATATATCACACTTATTCTCCCTCCCCCCTTTTCATTTTTTATATATCAATCATGTTTACGCGAAAACAACCTCACCATGAAGAATACGAAATGGTAGATCAAAGTGTGCCGCGACACCACACCAATACCCTGAGTGATTCAATTTCCACTCCAGCAGAAGGTCTGGTATCAGATAGCCGGAGTTCATCCGATTCACAAACATCTGACGTCTTTGACGATTTGGAAAACTTGTCTGCTGAATCGGGACAGAAAGTTGAGGATTTTTATGATAGCCCGGTGTTTCAATCAATTTTCAATCGATATACCAATAAAGGATTCAACCCAAAAGCATGCTGGATATTCAGTCTATGTATCATTATATTGTGGCTCGGAACCCTAATATTGTATTCACAAATGAATCCATCAAATCTCATTTCAAGTTTACGATGGAAAACCAGTATTGTTCAATTGAATGGTGAAAATATAACAATCAATGAATATAGCCCCAGCTACAAGAATTTGAGTTTATATGACTGGAGAACTGGGAGATATTATATACCCGAGAAACAAATACGATGGTTGACTCCACATCAAAACCCCAAGATCAAACTGGGAAGTGGGTTTTATGCAGTTAATGAACACGGGAAATTGGTAATTCAACAAGTCAATAGTGATTCCAAGGATGTTCTTATATCAAATAGTCGATTTGCTTATGGTAATGATTTTTTTGAAATTCAAGATTTTATTTTAAATCCAATGAACTCTGCCGAGGAATTAGACAATACCCATATTCTTATTACTGATAGGTTAGAACAATGGAGACACCTGAGCTTTGCATTGTATTGGTTATTCAATCCATTAACTTTCAAGTATACACCTATTCAACCACCAGAAAGTAAAAAAAAATTGGAGACTCAAGAGGATCCGTTTGCTCCAAGAGTTTTACAAAAGTTACATTATGCTGATTTTTCCCCGGATGGGAAATTTGTCTATTTTGCATTCGAGCATGATTTGTATCTCCATGATTTGTCAACCAATGAAGTTCATCAAATCACAAAAGATGGATCACCAAATATATTTAATGGGAAGTCAGATTGGATATATGAAGAAGAAGTTAATGCTCAAGACAGAATGATTTGGTGGTCCCCCGATAGTTCACAGTTCATTTTTGCCAAGATTAATGATACCAATGTGCGTGAGGTAGAATTGGACTATTACGCAAAGGCAAACTCCGAAGTCACTAACCAATACCAGGTGCCAAACGAACCTGAGATGGGTGGTGTGAATCAGTATCCTATAAAGACTTCGTTGAAGTATCCAAAACCAGGCACACCAAATCCTATTATCTCGTTGTACAATTACAACGTGAATACAAAAAAGGTGAAACAATTAAATGATGACGATACCAGACTCGGAGTTGACAAAATCTTGTACGATGCGAAGTGGATTGACAGCAAGAACTTTTTAATGAAACAAACCGATCGAACAAGTTCTATTTTGTCCAAAAAGTTATATCAACCAGAGAAACACGAGGTTCGTGTTATTAATTCAACAAACGTGACTGCAGATTATAATGGCTGGGTTGAAAAAATGAGCCCTATGACTAATTTGGAGGATGGCAAGTATATTGACAACATCGTGGTGGATAATAGAAATGTGTTGGCTGTTTTTGACAATCCAGAACAGTCCACTCCACTGAAGATCTTGATGGAAAACCAAAACTGGGAAGTCATTGGCAAGGCTGTGTATGATAAACAAGAGAAATTTATTTATTTCATGAGTACTATAAAGAGTTCAATGGATTCTCACTTACTAGGAATAGACATGGCCGATAATTACAAGATGTACAATATTACAAACACAACTAGTGATGCATACTATGAGGCTGATTTTTCTATAGATGGCCAATTTCTCAATTTAAAGTATCAAGGTCCTGATGAGCCCTGGCAAAGATTAATAGATATGGGAGATGTTCATGATTACATCAAAGGAGAAGAATTTGACGAGTCCTTGATAGAACAGGAAGTAATATTGAAACAGCCAATTATAAGCGGAAGAACTGATTTGAGAAATACAAATATTCCTACTTCTAGGTTCAAGGAAGTTACAATAGGTAATCCAAAGGATGAAGTTTCATTGAATGTTATGGAAATTTTGCCTCCTAATTTCAAACCTTCAAAATATAAGTATCCATTATTTGTTCATACATATGGTGGGCCAGGTTCTCAGAATATTTACAAGAAATTTGATATTGGATTTTTACAAATCATTAGTGCAAAATTGAACTGTATTGTTTTAGTGATAGATCCACGAGGAACAGGTGGTAAAGGGTGGAAATTCAGGTCTTATGCCAACCAGAAATTAGGATACTGGGAACCAAGAGATCTTACACTAGTGACATCAGAATATATCAGCAAAAACAAAGACATTATTAATAAAGATAGAGTTGCACTTTGGGGTTGGTCATATGGTGGTTTCGTCACATTAAAGACTTTAGAAGTTGACAAAGGAGAGACATTCAAGTACGGTATGGCTGTTTCTCCAGTAACCAATTGGCTATTCTATGACTCGATATATACAGAAAGATACATGAATGAACCATCCATGAATCCTAATTATGAAGCCTTTGGAAAAATCAATGAAATCGAGAATTTCAAATCTGTGCAGAGATTTTTGATGATGCATGGTACTGGAGATGATAATGTACATATTCAAAACCTGATGTGGTTATTGGATAAGTTCAACGCAGGTAATGTTGAGAATTATGATGTTCAATTTTTCCCTGATAGCGATCACGGTATCACATATGATAATGCTGGAATTATAGTATTTGACAAATTGTACAACTGGCTAGATGATGCTTTCAAGGGACGATTTGATAATCTTTTATAGTTTCTATATAAGAAATGGTACCATAAGTAATGAATATAATGTAAATTTTTTTTTGCATCTATCAGTTTTGTGCGACATTGGTTTTTTTTGTCGTCCTCATCGCACAAACAATTGCACCAAAGTAAGAAAAGAAAGAAAAAAAAAAAGTTCTACTTCAAAAAAAAAAAAAAAAATTTCATTAGAAGCCCAAGCTCATCTAACTAGGACCTTCACACAACCCATCAACCATGGCTAAGACATCAAAACAAACAAAGAAGTTTCAAAGTAAACACTTGAAGCATACTATAGAACACCGTAAGAAGGTACAGGAACACAACAAGAAAATTGCTTCTAGAAAGAAGAACAAAAGTGGTGAAAGCAACCCTCCAAAGCGTGCTGATGGTAAAGCTAAGGAAGTTTTCGAAGATATGTCAGTAGATGACTTTTTTGCTGGAGGATTTGAAGTTCCAAAAGAAAAGAAGAAGAATAAAAAAGTAGAAGAAAAGAAAGAAGAAGAAGAAGAAGATGACGACGAATCATCATCTGAAGAAGAAGATGAAGAAGCCATGAAGGAAAACTTGAAAAACTTGGAAAAAGAAGATCCTGAATTCTACAAATATTTGAAAGAAAACGATAATGCATTGTTAGACTTCGAAGGAGTTAACCCATTAGATGCTATGGAAGATGATGACGATGAAGAAGATGATAATGAAGATGAAGAAAAGGAAGTTCCATCTGATGTTGAATCTGATAATGAAGAAGAATCTAACAGATCATCCAAGACAAAGGAATCCAAAGTTGAAATTACTTTTCAATTGGTTAAGAAATGGAGTGAACAATTGAATAAGCCAAGTCCAAAGATCATCAGAAATGTTGTCATTGCGTTCAAAGCAGCTGTTAATATTCATAATTCAGATTCTGAAGATTATAAATTCTCAATAACTGATCCAAAGGCATTTTCCGATTTGATGTTGTTGGTTTTGAAAAAAGTTCCAATTTCTATTCAAAAACTAGTTAAATATAAAACTAACCCTCAAGGAGTTAGAACTGTTCCACAAAAGAATCAATATGCTACTCAAATAGCTTCAATTTTGAAATCTCATGCTGGTTCATATATCACTTTGTTGAATGATATCACTAATACTGAAACTGCTGCTTTGGTTTTAGCTTCAATTTATGAAGTTTTCCCATTTTATTTATCACACAGAAGATTATTGAAACAAATTTTATCTGCTATTGTCAATGTTTGGGCAAGTACTCCAGAAGTTGAAACTCAAATTGCAACCTTTGCTTTCTTGAATAATGTTGCTAGAGAATTTCCAAAATCTGTTTTGGAAACTATCTTGAAATTGACTTATTCCTCCTTTTTACAAAACTGTAGAAAGACAAATGTTCACAGTATGTCTCAAATCAACTTTTGTAAGAATTCCGCTGCTGAATTGTTTGGTATTGATGAAAATTTAAGTTATCAAGTTGGGTTTGAATATGTTAGACAATTGGCTATTCATTTAAGAAACAGTATCAATGCTACATCAAATGCTAAAGAAGGTTACAAGACCATCTATAACTGGCAATATTGTCATTCTTTAGATTTCTGGTCAAGAGTTTTATCTCAACATTGTAACCCAGAAAAAGAATTAAAAAATCATAAATCTAAAGAATCTCCATTAAGACAATTGATTTATCCATTAGTTCAAGTTACTTTAGGTGCTATTAGATTAATTCCTACTGCTCAATTTTTCCCATTAAGATTTTATTTGATTAGATCTTTAATGAGATTATCTCAATCTACTGGTGTTTTTATCCCATTATTCCCATTACTTTCTGAAATTTTAACTTCAACTGCCATTACTAAAGCTCCAAAAGCTTCTAATTTACAAGCTGTTGATTTTGATCATAATATTAAAGTAAATCAAGCTTATTTGGGTACTAGAGTTTTCCAAGATGGTTTATGTGAACAATTTATAGAATTATCTGGTGAATTCTTTGGTTTATATGCTAAAAGTATTGCTTTTCCTGAATTAGTTACACCAGCTGTTTTATCATTAAGAAGATTTATTAAAAAATCAAAGAATGTTAAATTTAACAAACAATTACAACAATTGGTTGAAAAATTAAATGCTAATGCTACTTTTATTTCAGGTAAGAGATCTAATGTTGAATATGGTCCTTCTAACAAAACTGAAGTTCAACTTTTCTTGAATGATTTTGAATGGGAAAAGACTCCATTAGGTCAATACATTGTTGTTCAAAGAAAATTGAAGGAAGAAAGATTAAGAATCTTGAAAGAAGCTCAAGAAGCTGAAGAAAAAGCTGCTGCTGAACAAAAGAAAAGAGAAGAAGAAGGTGAAGAAGATGAAAGCGAAGAAGATGTTGAAATGAGCGATGATGAATAAAAACAAGAAGATTCTGAATAGATATAAAGATGTTAAATACATTTGTAAAATAAATAGTACACATAAATAATAAGTGTTTTTTTTTTTTTCAACTTTTTTCTTTTGTTCAAAAGGTAATTAAAACAAACCAAAAAAAATTAATTTAAATCAAACCTATGGGTCTATAGGTATAAAATTACCAACGATACAACTTGGGATATTATATCTATCTCTTCTGATAGTAAAACTAAAACAGCAACTCTTTCTTTTTATACCGTCTCTTGTTCTTAAATTACAACTTGTCAAAACAGCCTTTTGACCTTTATCAAAAGCAATAGCTCCATATTTTTCCCAAAAATTGACAGCACTTTCTTCACTCATTAATTCATAAATTGCAAGTTTTCCATCTTTGAGATCATCAGTAGTTACGCCAACCAATGAAGCAAATTCTTTATTACCACGATAAATCTCTCCGGTACGTCTCCACAAACAAGCAGGAATAGCCATAGATGTGAAAACACGATCATAATCCAACAACATTCTTTCAAAACTTTCTTCAACTAAAACCAAATCAACATCTTTCAATGTACGAGCAATGGCTCGGAAGGCAGGACGGAAAATAGATAAAGGTTTCAAGATTCTTTGTCTGCTAGAAATATTCATATAATTATCCATATACCTTTGTAATCTTGCATACCCTTTGGCATAATTGTATGGTTGCAACAATCCAGCTTCTAATTTTGCTTTGATGACTTGTTTTAATCTTTCTTCAGGGGAAATTTCAGTAGTAGGATCAGCAGCAGTAAGGAAAAATTTATCTCTAGCAGAATCAGAAATCATTGGCTGTTGTTGTTGATCCGACTGTTGAGTTTGATTGTTATTCTTTTCAGTTCCAGGTTCGGCTTTCAATAGTGGGGCTTGTTGATCTGGAATTTGTTGAACCTGATCTGATTCATTTGGAAAAGTTGACGGGAAAATATTCAGATTTGGAGAAAATGACAACACTGCATTTAAATTAGTAACACTATTCCCACCAGAAATACCAAATCCATTATTATTATTATTATTATTATTATTGTTGTTGTTGTTGGAAGTGTTGGTATTAGTGATACCAGCAGTATTATTAGTATTACTATTAGATACTCCAAAACTTAGAATTCCATTAGGATCATCATTAAGTGCCCCATTTACCAATTCCGGGTCATCAATCATTGATAAAAAATCATTTAACGAACTAAATTCACTTCCAGCATGTTCTGAATAAAAAAAAGGTTGTTGATTATATGGTAATGTTTGTGATAGTACCGAGTTTTTCAATATCTTTGGATGACGTTGATTATTATTTGGTGGTATTTGTGAATGTAATTGTTGTTGTGGCTGTTGCTGCAGCTGTTGTGGGGTAGGAGACACTTGAGCACTAGCTTGTAAAGGTGGTAACGGTAATTGCAGATGACTTGTTGCTGCAACACCCGGAGTTTGAGAAATTGGAACAGTTGACACAGGAACTGATACAGGTACTTGATTAGGAACTGGATTAGATGCTGGAGTTGGAGTTGGTGCACCACCCTCACTTTGAGTCTTTCGTAAAGCAGCAGCTTTTTTACGTTGTCTTGGATTTGATGGTTCGTCGTAACATAAATGTCCAATACCACGTTTAATACATCTCTGACATGGTCTTGATTCATCACAAATCATATGAGATCGACGACAATAAACACACGCTATTTCCAATTTTTTCTTCCTTTTTTTAACTGGTTTATCCTTCTTCTCAACTTGATTTTCGGATCCTAATGCTTGTGTTGGTTCCACAACAGGTTGTGACTCCATATTTGATGAAGTAGTAATACTTGGTGAACTCATTAATGGATATTGTTGAATATAGGAAAATAGTTTTCCTTGACTATCACCTTTCAACCAAAATTTTTTGTCTTCAAGGTTTCTTAACTTGGTTTAATTTAAAGATTTTTCTTCTCTCGGAAGTACTGAAAGCAGAATTAGTAAAAAAAAAAAAAAAAGAACGAGAGCAAAAAAAAAAAAAGGAAAAGAAAAAAAAAAAAACGAACGGTAAACACATGAAAGTCACGTGAAAACTCCGGGAAGTGGGGTAGATTGCGAAACTAGAAAAGAACAAAAGAAAAACAAAGAAAAACCTTATCTGAAATATATAAACAAAACAAAGACCAAAAACACACACACACACACCTCAGTTCAGCGTAGAAAGATCAATTGTAGATTCATCAATATGATCCAGTTCCACTATACTAGTAGCGGATGATTCGATAGTACTTTTGTCGTCATGATTGTTATCGCTTCCCGAATCAATGCTAGTACTCAATTCTTGATTATTAAATGGAGTGGAATTCGTGAAGCGACTCAAAATCTGCAGCGGTTTGGAGACAAGATACGGTCTTTGAGGGGAATTATTAGGAGCAGCGCCGACAGAAGTAGATGAGTTGTTGTTGGAAAGACCAGAACTGCCTTCGATTGGTTGGCTATTGGCAGTATAAAATGTCATATCTGAAGCGTCAGAGGACATACTTTGTGGTATATTATCCCTATTAATGAAACTAGTTTCTTCTTGATAGTAATTACTCCGACCTGGTTCTGAAATTGAATGTGTATCTTCATGAACTCCACTATTTTGGTCACTGGTACCTCTTGTGTTGAGGGACATTGTGTAATGATCACTATCGATACTTTCCACTTGCGATGGAGTTAATCCAAAAAACGGACTTGAAGGGCCGATATCCAAATCGGCAGTACTTCCATAATCCACAGTATCTTCTTGACCAGCAAGCAAGAGAGCTGTTGAATGGCGACTATTATGAAGCATATAATTACACAACGGACAACTTCTTTTAAAGTTAATTAACCAATTGGACAAACACTTTTCGTGGAAGAAATGCTTACAATCCAACACGAGTACTCTAGATTTCAATGGAACATATTTTTCCAAACAAATCGAACACTTGTATGATGGGAAAAAATCATCTGGAGCTGTAATACTATGCAAATGAGTCTTTGATGTACGCAAATCAATACCCCCAACAATAATCCTGTTTATTGATAATGTTGATCCATTGGGTGAAACTTTTGGAGACTCCATTAACAAAGTGTTCTCGCTATCTTTAGGAACCATGCTACTTTGACCCGTGACCTTTAAATAGTGTTGAAAATGTTTGGCTGAAATCAAATGGTCAATATTGTAAATATAAATAGGCAAACTTCTAACCATTTTTGCATTCCGTTTGTTCACTTGTCTTTTTCTGATTCTCTGACCACAAATTACAATAGCATAGAAAAGGAGAATTAACAATGGTGGAGATAACACCATAGACAAGATAATACTAACCCAACTTCCAATATAAGCTGTAGTGATCTCAAGGTCCACATTGTCTGATTCATATAATTGCAAGTTTTTATAATCTTCGTTTGTAATAAACATAATCGGTACTTGTAATGATCCGTCCTGATTAAAAGTATTTGAAAACATGGTGATCAATCCTCTATAAGGCTCATCATTGGCAATAATGATACTTTTTGGCTCCAAATCAGATTCAATCAAAGTGGTAACTTTATCCACAAATGTACAATCCCCTCGCAAAACAACTAGAACTTTATGGTAATACTCCTTGCGATTAAGGGATTTTAAGTCATCCAAATTACAAGCATTGTAAGGTAAGATCTTGTACTTGCTCTCCAATTTATAGTTCAATATAGGACTGAATGATGCATATCTGCCGATGAATTCATGGGAAGTCAAGTTATGGCTTTCATCTGTGGTGTTGAATCTGAGGACGGCGTCAATAGGGAAAAAGGAGTTGACCACACTGTTTAATGGATAATCTAATTCGGCATCATTGATAGCGGAGTTTTCATTCAACAAATCATATCTATACTTCAACATCAACGGTTCTATGTATTGCTGTTTAAATTCCTTAAATGAATTGCGTGTTAAAAAGATTGCATCGTCCCAGTCAAGATGAGTAGAAGATGATTTCAGGCCAATAAGATAAAAGCACAATAGGATAATCGAGCAAAATACCACCACACTTGGCCTCAAGACGGATCTTGTGGTTTGTGGTTCCCTATGTGGCATGATGGACAGTGGGATTAGTAGACAATATTATCGATTGTATTCAGATGGCTCGGAAAAAGAAAGGAGTGTGATAGTTATGTGTATATAAATAATAGCCAAAAATAAAATAAAAAAAAAGTCACACTAAAGTTTACTTGTTAATGGCGCGAGTAAAAGTGTAGTGCAGACGTGGATTTTTTTTTTTTTTTTTTGAAATGTTTAGTCTAAGCGGTATTGTGATAGAGTAGGTATAATATGCGCCCCGTCGGTACGTCGTTACTGCGAGAACAGTTGGACGGACAAACATGACCCAGGGGATGGAAACAATCAGTACAAAGAAGAAGTCTCTGGGGTTGCCGTGGGGGGGGGGAGGGAGGATGATTTCCTCGTTTACCTCCCTCTTACATATGCAAACTTCAAAATAAAAAGGGGAACTCCTGATATTATAATCAGATTCACAACGGGTTATTATTGGTGTTCAAATCACGTAAATTTAGATTTTTGACTTTGTCGCAAAACTTGTACATTTCTTTTTTTTTATTTGAAGGAATATTTGTCATTACGTCGCTGGTATATCCACACTATCTAACGGTAATACACTCGAGTGTATGACCAACAAAACATTACAAATGCAAGGAAATGCCTCTAGTTACGTATTTCCAAATATTCAACAATGGGCTCATCGGATCAAACACGGACGACTTTAGTGATATAGATTGCTAATTGCAAGGGCACATAAAAATTACCCCAATATTGTTCAAGAGAGCAATAAAGAATTACATGTTTTGTTAGTTACATTGCTCTTAACGTCCAGTTTTGCAACCGAATTGTTGCAAATTGTTTTTAATCATTATTATTCATTGAAATAGTTATATAATACATCTGTGTTATGTCTATTCTAGATTTATTTAGAGACAGTTTCAAAGAAAGCTTTACCTTGGGCGAAAGCAATTTCTTTTTCAATTTGAGTTGGTTGTCTGGAACCATCAGCGCCAGCAAAAGTACCAGCACCATAAGCTGAAGCACCGTGGATTTCTTCCAAGTTGGATTGTAAAGCGAAAGCTTTAGCGTAACCCAATGGAACGAAAATAATACCATGGTGAACAAGGACACTCAAAGAGTTGACAACAGTGGTTTCTTGACCACCACCTTGGGTACCGGTAGAAACGAAAACACCAGCGTATTTACCGTGTAAAGCACCTTGAGCCCACAAACCACCAGTGGTGTCCCAGAAAGCTTTGAATTGAGCTGGGAAGTTACCGAATCTAGTTGGGATACCAAACAAGAAAGCATCGTATTGAGTTAAAGTTTCAGCAGAAGCAATTGGGTAGTCTGGTTTAGCTGGAGCGTGCATCTTAGTCAAAACTTCTTCTGATAAAGTTTCTGGGACTTGGTAGATGTCAGCTTGACCACCGGCAGCTTCAATACCTTTCTTTTCTTCTTCAGCTAATTGAGCGACGTGGTGGTATAAGGAGTAGATGATAATTGCAACTTTTGGAGCCATTGTGTGTTAATTGATTAAAGTGAATAAAGAGAAAAAAAGTACTATACAATTTCAATTGATTTATCTCAAAGGGAATTGGCGTGATTTAAATACATTGAATTCTTCAATGCTTTGCCCTTTGTTTTTTGAAGATGCAGACCTAAAAAAATTTTGAACTACAAAAATAAATGAAAAAACCATATAAGCCACAAAAGCGCTGAATGAAAAAAAGAAGAAGAAGAAAAAAAACGATGGCCACACAAGAATATCGCAATCTCGACACCGGAGAGCCGATACGCTGATTAAACAGTCGTATCGATAAATAAATCAGTTTATAACTACGATTCATTACCCTACCCAAAAATAAGAAAAGCTTAAATGAAATATCGTGGAGGTTTTTTTTCTCGCCGTTTGTGAATCTTGTGGCGACAACGGTTCAAAGTCATGGTAAAAAATCCATCTCCATTCGGATCGTTATCAAGATCTTGCGACTCATTACGTATTTCGGAATTTATGGTTAGTAAGCATGGCCCCAGCTCTTAGTAATGGAAATGCAAAAAAAGAATAATAAACAGAATTATTTTACACTAAAAAAATAAGCAACAAAACCAATCAAACTTGAAATCCGGAATAAACAAAACCGACCGGAAATACCTTCATGGCTCGTCTACGCGTAACTGTGTAATACAAAAGAAACTAAATTGACAAAGAACCTGCTTGGGTTAGAAGAGTTGCCGTGCCTAAAGCAGACAAAACTGATTGTTAATTGTGGACAGAATATTATGTGAATTTCTCTTTTCTCCGGTTATTAAACGCGTCAACTGGTTGAAAGATATAGCTCTTTAGCCCACGTTCTGTTTTTGCTTTTCCTTCTGGCAGGTATCGTACAAATAGGACATTTTGGCCACTGGCCTTGTTAGCCCTAACCATTGGTGAACCTAACCAAAGATACAACCTAGTGCCCTTCAAATACCGTGTCTCAACGACATTGACCGCAGCTATGAAATAGATTGAACGTACAGAAAGCTGAATGTTAGAAACTAAAAAAAAATGAACAAGCTAGAGTTCATGCATTGCGTTTAAATTAATAATATTACTAAGTGAATTGTAATCAATCAGTGAGGAATTTCGACTAATTCCGGACGTCCTGGCAATAATAGCACAGAAAAGGGAAAAGAAAAAGAAAAAATAGAAAATGGAAAAACTGACAATTTGATGCGAAACTTTTTTTTTTCAACAACAGATTTCCAGGTATTTCTATTCGGTTCTTTTTTTTTTTTATCACGGTACGCCCATAAAATATTACATCAATGGGCTTACATTGTGTTTTGGGAGCTTGATTTGTAAGATTACGCTACTTTGATTAGAATTTCTTGCATTATATTTAGGGTATTTCCACTGCTACATCATTAGCAACGTCTCATCTCCGCCAATTACTCAATTCCAGATATTCCAGTTGTGCAAAAAAAAAAAAAAGAATTGAAAAATTCTAACCTTAATGGTATATCGCAACTACTAATAACCTTCAAATATTACTGTAATTCATTTGTAAGCATTGACTTGAAGCTTATTTGCAATGCATGAAGTTCTATTAATATCTAAACTTTACAATGTAATTTTTTGTTTGCCAATGTTTCTTCTGTATGGAGTTTTTTTTTTCTATTTTTTTGTATATCCAGACATGTTCCTAATTTTGTGTCGAACTTGCTTCCACCACTCCCAAAATATATACATTGTAAATTCCCACTAATTCCATTTTCTAATTTTTAATTTTTTTTTTTTGTTCTTTCCAACCCCCTTTCTTTTTAATTTTGAATTTGATTATAGAATTTTGTTTTCATTCAATCTTCCATTTATTACATTCATATCTCACCAATTAACATAATATCACAATGAAGATTGCCATTATTGAATATTCCACCTACGGCCACATCACTCAATTGTCTAGAGCCGTTCAAAAGGGTACCGCCGAAGCTGGTTACAAGGCTGACTTGTTCCAAGTCCCAGAAACTTTACCACAAGAAGTCTTGGACAAAATGCATGCTGCTCCAAAACCAACCGATATCCCAGTTGCCACTTTAGATACTTTAACTCAATATGATGCCTTTATTTTCGGTATCCCAACCAGATTTGGTACTGCCCCAGCTCAATTCTTTGAATTCTTTGCTGCCACTGGTGGTTTATGGGCTTCTGGTGCTTTACACGGTAAACCAGCCGGTGTTTTCGTTTCTACTGGTACTCAAGGTGGTGGTCAAGAAACCACTGTTAGAAACACTTTGAACTTTTTAGCTCACCACGGTATGCCATATATTCCATTCGGTTACGCCAATGCTTTTGAATTACAAGCCAACTTGGATGAAATCCACGGTGGTTCTCCATACGGTGCTGGTACTTTTGCTGGTGCTGACGGTTCTAGACAACCAAGTAAATTGGAATTGTCTGTTGCTGAAAAAACAAGGTGAAGCTTTTGCTAAAGCTGCTGCTAAATTGATTGGTAAGAAAGCCACTTCCTCTTCTAAACCTGCTGCTGCTGCTACTACTGGTGCTTCCACCACTGCTGCTGCCAAAACCACCGAATCCAAACCAGCTGCCGCTGCTGAATCTGCCTCAAAACCTGCTGAAAAGAAGGAAGCTGCTGCAGCATCTCCAAGAGCCCAACAATCCACCAAGGCTCCAGAATCTTCTGACAAGAGTTCTTGTTCCAAATGTATTATAATGTAAAAGAAATAAATCACAAATATACAATTAAATTAATAGTTACAGAATAACCTCGAAGAATCAACCATATTCTACAAACTGAAAAGAAAGGTGTTAGTTATGTATTGACTATTTTTCTTTCATACACATAGAAATTTTTATGCTTTAATAGTAATTAATAGATGACATAGTAAAAGAAATTAATTAGTAGTTAGTAATGCTAGTTTATTTTGCAACAACTAGGACATGAAAATTAATACATACAAAAAAAAAAGGTTTGTAATAAAGGAAGGAGACACCCAAATCTAATCTATCTTAAAATCCCACTTTCATATCATTCCAATATCACATTCGTGCTATGTAAATCCCTCTCCAAGAACGACTCATCGTCCTCCCCATCCTGGACACTCCAAATTGTCTTCAGTCCCAAACTAATACGGAATCAGTAAGATCGCCAATTACTCCATTTTTGTACATAAAACTTCAAACACGGTTCAAGAGTCTAGCATGCCCGACATGAACATTGGTAACAAACCACTAATTAGGAAGTCCTTAGATCTGAAACTGGAATGAACTTTAAATGTAAACAAGAAAACTCAACTGGAATAACTCCAACGAGTAATTTTAATCCCTCGCAACCACTCTTCCCTCCAGTCTTCTATGAAATAGAAAAACAAGAGATAATTAGTTAGGAAAAGACCATGATTTTCTGAATAACATCCTAAATCTGACATTAGTCCTTACAGTGATCCCATATTCACACCAAAAACCAAAGATACAGCTATATTTCTTTTAGTTAGATCTCTAGGTTTCTCACTGCAGGATAAGAAATTGTGCAATGAAAAGGAATACCTGATTTCGGCAATGCCAGAAACACTCTAGTGAGAATTAGCAAAGACAACCAACTTTTTATCTGACTCCATAAATGGAGACAAGAAAGGAGAATTTACCCAAAAAAGTTTCTGATTGAATCCTGGAACGGCCACCACAATCCGAAGAACATGGCACCCCAAGAAAATCAAAACAAAAACAGTAGGTAAATCAAACTCCCCAGTATAGATCATCCCAAAGTGCATACTCCCACGCAAAATGAGTGAAACCAAAAAAAAACCAGGCTTGGTCTCCTATCATCATCTCTTAATACCTGTTATTTGTTTGATAATTATTTTTGATTTAAAATTTCCCTTCAAAAACAAAAAAGAAAAAATCCACTAAACAAAAAAAAAGTATGGGAAATTTTGCTGAATACCCCGGGCTAAAGAATAATAACTTTATGAGAAAGAAGGGTCTTCCAAGTGTTGCTAGCTAACTTCGTATTGATCTTAGGATGAGCCCATCTGCCGGAATGACATGATTATTGCATAGAGTACTCGAAAACTAGAAAGCAGAGTCCTTGTGTAAAGCAAATAATCAACATTCTTCGATATGACCCAGCAAATTAAATCGTCGAAATCCTGGTAAAGTTTTTTACGTGGTTTTCACGAAGGTTAGTGCAAATAGAAGATTTTGTTGCCTTTCAAACCTGAAAAATATTCAGCATACAATGTAAATAAAACATCGTTTTTATTAGTGTAAGGATGTCACGATCATTGGTGTACAAATGAATGATCTCAAACTATCAGAAGGGCCAACTAAGGTAAATGGATTCAAATGGCTCACAATGTCATGAGGACTGAGTTATTCATTATATTTTAGACGTGCCATGTAGGATGGAAACTTCGTCAGTCTTTAGTTGTTCTGTTGACGGATAACTGAATGGATAAACATATCTCTGAAAATAGTGGGAAATTAAGCATATCTTCACCATGAATGATTAAGGTACCGATTAGATGAATGGATGTCTGACTTAACAGGAAAAAGAACAAGTATGTAAAAAAAAAAAAAGAAGTAAAGTAAACTTGTGAAAGACGAAGCGAAAGGTCAATCCCCCCTCCCTTTGTGAATTTAGTACCACGACATTTAGGTGCACGACATTAAAATTTGAGAAAAAATAGATTCAAAGAAGCAATGTAACAATGAATATTCAGCTGCTATATATTCACCAATCACACCATTGATACTTAAAATTAAACGTGTTGGCAAAGTAGCAACTAATAAGGTATATTTATCACTAGCATGATGGTGCTAATTAACTGTATGTTGCATTTGCTTTCTCACTCTTTAATTTGCGACATTTTTCATTGCATTTTTAAACGATCTTTGATGTTTACATTTTCTGAAACAAAAGAAAAAAAGAAGTCCTGAAACCAAATCTCCAACTATTGATGTTGCTTCGTTTTACAACCAAAATTAGGTTTCAAATAAAATAATATTCCAGACAACACTTTTGACAGATTGATATTGTATAGATAACTGAACACCTGAAATGTCATCTCAACGACCCAAACTAGAAGCTAGAAAACATAGCAGTCAACATGAATCTATATCGTCGTCGCGTCTGAATTATATTCCACCTCCTCCAAGACTACGTAGCTACACCGATCCCACACTACAGTCACTATATAATGATGACACTGGTTCAACTCGTTTAATTCATACAGCTCCTGAGAGCACAAATGAGAATGACGATCAAATATCTTTTATTGAAGATAGTGAAGATGAGATGGCAGTTCTATTGAGTTCCGCGTCTACCAGTTTACCGAAATTAAGTTCCATGATGTTTAATAATAATTTTGAAACTTCCATGGATACCAGTGAAATGAATCTTAATTTATATCATTGTAATGAATCATCACAGTTGAATAATGATAATTTTAATGAACAAGATTTTGCCATGCCAGCTGATTTGGTGGATATTCATGATTTCTATCATTCACAGAATATGATTGCTGAGGATACTGATGTGATATTGGTAACTAGTCAGAAGGAAGCAGTCAAAGAAAGGGGAGAAATTGCTCAAGATCAAGAACCACTGGTACTGAAAGTCTCCGTAGAACAAGAAGATTACGATGATGAATTTGAAAGTAATATTTCAGTAGACAATGAAAAAAGTGAATCCATGGATAAATCAAATATGCTACTAACAGTGGGAAACATATTTAGACTCGATCAAGTCATGGGTACCCCAAAAGAAGAAGAAATATTAGAATGTTCTACCCAATGTGATGAAGATGAGTTTAAGGAAGTGAAACAACTGAAGAAAGATGCGACAGTTGAAACTGAGTCTGTTCTAACGCTATCGAAGACTGATAGTAGCGAAAGAAAGATAGAATCCTTTCCAGGTGAAGTTCAAATTATAAAAGTACCGTCACCAGAGGTGAAAGACGTGGATGACGTCGCGGAAGTGAATATAGTAGAAGAGAAGTTGGTGGAATTGGCTGATGAAAAATTGATTGAAAAACTGGAAGAAAATGATGATAGTCCAGTCACATGTACTGAAAATCCAGACACACAGGAGAGTAAGGCCAATCCCAAACTACAGCACAAGGAAGCTACCCAACCCGAACTAGAAAATGATGAAAAGGTAGTTCTAAAGGAGCTGAAATATTTCAATGCAGCAGAAGAAGAAAAGCCTACACTTACTACTAAGGATGTATTGCCGACAACCAAAAGTCCAAAGAAAAGTAAATCTATTGCTAGTCCACTGATGGGGCCATCTTCCTCTTCAATCGAGCTAAAGAATTCAAGGGTCATTGCTCGACCAGAGTCTAAAGTTGTAAATGGCAACAAAGAAAATCATCATGCTACTATATCAGCAACTAAATCCACTAAACTCATCAGGAAAAGAATCGGTTCTAAACCATTATCAGAAATTTGTAACCAACAACCAAGATCAAGGGTTGGATTATCTAAAAGAGTTAGAATTGATTCGTTGCATAACAACATGAAAAAGAGAAAAACTACGTAGTTTATATTCCTAAATAGTTTAATAAGAATTCTACTGTTTGTTACTAGTTTATATTTATTGCAAAAGGAATGTACGAAAGCTCGTAGAGTCAAGACTTCATTGATAATTAAAATCACAACTGAACATAGCATTTCGGTTACTTTCCCGGGCTAGAGAGTACGTCCACACTAGGGCAAATTAAATCCATTACAAAAAGTAAGGACAATGCCAGCATGACCGCTCAATGCAAATTTCCCGGTTAGAATATATTTTAGCTAAAGAAGAAAAGAAGAAGAAATATGAAAAAGAAAATTTTTTTTTTGTTCATTCTTTTTCTAAGAAAATACTCAGAGAAGCGATGATTTGAGGTTTCGGTTAATGCACTACTTTGGTTGGTATGATTTTTCAATTTAGGGTTCATGAACAAAGTGTATAAACGTTATTTTGCATATCAAGTTACAGCTGCAAGGAAAACCCGTTTTAAAGTATGCTCTATTATTAGAGAAAGTATATGATAAGTAGTTGTATTGATATTATATTAGATGGTATATTTTTCAGTATTTTGTCTAAAAATTATACTAAAATGACGACAGTGGAGGCAGATGGTTAGAAGATAAATGATGGAAACAGGTCAACTATCATTATCACTTTGATTAAGAGCATATCAACTCGAATATTAATTAGTAATATGGATAAAATCATTCATCAATATTTCTTTCCAATAATTATAATCTCCTCGGAAGATCCACCAAGTAAGTAGACAAAAAAAAGGTCTCAACTTATAAAGATTGAATTATCCATGGAAAAACAAAAATCCAGTAAGACCAAAATGAAACACGTTAATCATTTCGTACACGTTCAATTCTTCTCCTCAAATTTTGAATGACCTGGTAAAATTATTGACTCTATAGCAATCAATACAATTCAAGAATGACAGAGAAAGTGAATGTTAGAGAAATTACATGAGAATCGAAAGATTCAATAAATTAAGTTGATGCAGAGTCTCTTAAATCAAAAAAAAAAATCTATAGCCTGAAAAACACGCAAATTATGCATAAACCCAGGTGATTTTTTTTTAGGTGTTGAAGTATCCAACCAGAATCCCCCATTTTACTGAGCCTCACCCCCGGGGAAATTAACAATCAGTGTACGATAGTTGTTCCCAAACGAAAAGATAAATTGACCACGAGGAAATTTAGATAACCCGAAACATATAAAAATATTGAGATGTGGACCGGAGAAAGAATTTTTGTGGAGATTCATAAGGTGATGATAATATTAATTCTTCACTAGATTATTTTCAAAAATATTGATTTACGAATTTGTTTGAATTTTTTACTTTTTTTGTTGTTCCAAGGATATATAAATAATGTTTAAAAAATTTCAAACTCAATTGATTCGAAATTTTGAAAATAAATTTTTATTAAATTATAAAACTACATTAAAATCACGAACTTTTCATAATTTTTCAATTCTTAAACAACAAAAAGTTGAGAAATTTATAATTCCTAAAGAAATGCAAGCAATTGAATATTTTGGTAATAAAGATTTAAGATACGTTACTGATAAACCAGTACCAGCAATTGTTCATCCACATGATGTTAAAATTAAAATCTCTCATTGTGGGATCTGTGGATCAGATCTTCATGAATATCTTGATGGACCTATTTTTTTTGAAGGTGAAACCAATCCAATTACTCATAAACATAAAGCAGGTCAATGTTTAGGTCATGAATTATGTGGGGTTATTGTTGAAGTTGGTAATGAAGCTGAAAAGGATTTAAAAGTTGGACAACATGTTGTTATTGAAGCAAATGGTACTTGTAAAGATAGACAATATTTACAACAACTGTCAGAAGAAGAACAAGATATTTGTGGTGCTTGTGCAAGAGGTAAATATAATGCTTGTAAGAAACTTAATTTCTATGGATTAGGTTTCAGTGATGGTGGTATGGCTGAATATATGGTTGTTACTTCAAACAGAGTTATTCCATATGATCCAAAAGTCATTCCTGATGATATTGCTGCATTAATTGAACCATTGGCTGTTTCATGGCATGGTGTTCGTCAATCAAGAATTGAAGAAGAATCAAATCCACAAACTTTGATTATTGGTGGTGGTCCAATTGGATTATGTACCATCTTTGCATTGAAGGGTCATAAAGTTAATGTTAAAGATATTGTATTAAGTGAACCAGCTGCTGCTCGTAGAGAATTGGCAGAATCATTTGGTGTTAGAACATTTAATCCATTTGAATTTAAAGATGCAAAAGAACAAATTCAACAATTGATTAATATGACTACTGGAAAAGCTGGTTTCACTCATGTTTATGATTGTTCTGGTAATAAATTCACATTCAATACTATGGTTAAAACATTGGGTGCTGGTGGTGTTGGTACAAATTTAGCCATTTGGCCAAATGTTCCAGTTGATTTATATCCAATGGATTTGACTTTGAACGAACTTGTTCTCACTGCTAGTATGGGATACACTAAGAAAGATTTTGAATTAGTTGTCCAAGCATTTGAAGAAGGTTTAATTAATCCAAAAGAAGTTGAAAAATTGGTATCCAAAAGAGTTGCCTTAAAAGATGGTATTGAACATGGTATTTTAGATTTAATTAATAACAAAGAGAAATACATCAAGATTTTACTTCACCCATGAGATAGATAGATTTTAGATTATGTAATAATGAGTATGATATAGGCTTAGAGATTAATAATAAGATATAAATCTGTTAATAACTGTCATGATTCGGATGAGTAGGTTATGAGAGAAAACATACTGACCAACGGTTCGATAATGAAGGGAAGGATTTAGAGACAGAGAGATGAAATTTCAAGTTACTGATAAGAAACTGTAAGTCTCTGTATGTATGAGTAAAAATTGGAAAACAAGAACTACGAGCCCTTATCTACATTCTTTATAACTACTTCAAAATAAAGACTTCTCCTCAACTTGATAAAGATGCATTTACATACGAGTGACAGCAAAAGAAAAGAAAAAAGAAACACACCTTCTTGATGGCTTTAATTGATATCATCCTTCCGATTCATCACAGTGGTTCTGGATCAAAATTCGTTTCTCAATTGTAATCCTATGTTAATCAAATCGAATCCAATTATGCAAAGTGGAACTAGACTTCCACTCAATCCCACTCCTCCCTCCCCAAACAAAAAAGTTAGTCACCAGTATATTTATGATCTCAAATAGCAATATAGCTAAGCAATAACCAATAATACATCAAAATCATTTAGGTCGGCAAAAAAGGAGCAGTTCAAAAGACAAATCAGTTAGTAATATTGACTCTCTTCTCAGTTTGCCCTTCAAAGCTTAACCAGCATTTATCGGGTTATTCCCTCCACTTCAAATTCAATTTGACAAAAACAAAAACAAAAACAAATCAGATTTTATGACGTCATAATTCTCTTCGCACGCGAAAAATAAGAATAAAAATAAAATAAAAAAAAAGGATCTCGAGGGTTAGAAAAGAGTTACAAACATCAAGTATTCATCAGAAACAAAAACCTGTTTCTACAAAAATCAATTTAAAACATATACACCCAAAATAAAATAACTCCTATACTACGAATAAAAACACATTTTTGCATTTTTTTCTTTAAATAGTTCAATACATATATTTGTATTTATGTTTGTTTTTTGCTTCTTCTTCTTATCTTACTTCTTTATACTAAAACTTACACATTGTGGAGCTTTCTTTTTATCTTTTGATTTAGACGAACAACGTTTTAGATATTCTTGTTTTTCATCAAATTGTGAGAAAGCAGCAGAACCTTTAGCAGAAGAAGCAGAAGATCTTCGTGATGATTCTTTCTTTTTACCGTCGAATAAGCCCATTATAAATTCGTGAAGTTAGTTAATAATAACAAATGTAAATAAATTAATAATAATAAAAAAATTGAAAACTAAAGTGAAAAATGAAAAATAATAATGATAAAAAAAAACCTGAAATAAAAGTAAACTCTGTGAGTATGGAGGATGATACTAAATGAATAATAACAAAATATAACCTATGACCTGTGCTATCGAAACAAGTTTCTAATAACACATTATAATATACCTAATATAATACAAGAACGGGGAAGGGAAATAAATACAAAATAAAAATAAAGGGGAGAAAAGGTTTCAAATGATTTTTTTTTAATCAAACGTAAACTTTGTAGACAAAGGAATGGACTGGGTAACTTAATGAGGAGACTTTTTTTAAATCTAAAAAATGAATCAATAACCTGATGAATAATATAAGCAAGATATGTTAATACTTTTAATTATATCTGATATGTCAGGTTCGTTTTTTTTTTTATTTCAAAGTCAGTTGTACTCTCAACACACACAAGAAAAAAAAATATATGTGATATAAATGTGTGAAAAATTTAATGTACGTGAGTGAAAGGAATACTAAAACAAACTCAATGATGTTAAAGTTGATGAAAATGGGAACTCCACTTAAATAGTAGGAAATGAATAATTCAATTTCAAACTGAAAAGGAACAGAAGGGGGAAAATAAAAATTTAAAAGTGGATTGATGTGGAAAAAGCAGGTATGAATTTTTTTTTGGGAGAAAAGGGAAAACTATTGGCAAATATAAATAGTTTGTCTTTTTAAAAAAACTAAAAAAGAAAAATTTTCCTCACACAAAATAATCTATGTAGAAAATTTTTTTGTACAGGCTGCTAACTGAAAAAAAAAAGAGAGAGAGAGAGAAACTAAAAAAAAAATTTTCCATTTCAAAGAGGGAGACAGAATTATCACTTTATACTTTTTTTTTTGGAGGGCCTTATTTTAGTTTACAACTAGACATGATTGAGTACGACATGTCTTTCTGTAGTCAACATTAAAAGAAACATAACTAGAGTATGATACGTAACATTTGAAATAATAATAGGAATAACAACCAAAAAAAAGGATTTTCCTCCTCTTACTTTTTTAGCAACTGTGAATTTCCTTTCTTGTTCAATTTTGAAACAGCATAACCTGTAAAAAAAAATGATTGTTTCTCGATTTTTTTTTTGTTTGTTGTTGTTGTTGCGGGTGGTGTGCAGGAGGAGAAGGGGGAGCGGGTGGAGGTGGAGGTGGAGGAGGCAAAATGAAACTTTTTTCGTGGTAGTGTTTCCGGCGCAATTGCTTCCCTCTGTGTCGGGTGACTTTTTTTTTCTATTTGTTTCGTTTTCACTTTTGGGTTTTTATTTTTTTTTTTTGCTTTCAATGCGAATTAACTATGAGGGATTTTTTTTTTACTACTGTTTCTCAAGGTGAAATGTCGTGAATGAATAATGTCGTAGATGATGATTGTAATTTCATACACGAAACTATAGGAGAGAAAGAGAAAAAATTATTTTTGCTGTATACACACTTTTGATTTCTATACACCAATGACAATATTGAATTTTTTTACTTTAAAAAAAAAAAAAATTTTTTCTTCGTAATAAAATATTAAACTAAAACACACACACACGCTTATATCCACACATTCACAGTTTGTTTGACTCATGGAGAAAATGATAAAAATGTCTAATTATTAATCATTACAACAATGCAGATTTCAGGGTGGTATTTTTCTTTTATTTTAGATTAACATTAAGTTACCCTCACCGTACACCACAAACTTTAATCATTAAAGAGAAACCCAAAGCCTTAAATTAATCACCGTCAACATCAGAAAATAAATAAAAAAAAGCCTATACCGGGAAGGCTTAATTATTTTTTTTGGGTGGAATAAGATAAGCAGGAACGTGGAGTGAGTGGGTACATAGGTACATTAACGGAGAATATTGGGACATTCGGATATGTCAGTTGGATAAGCTATTCTTGCTTCTCTTCCATTTGTTTCTTTTTCTTCCACTCTACATTTCTACTTCGAGTAAAGTTTGTAAGTATAGTAGTGGTAACCATCTTCCGATGTCTCTATATTATATCGCATTTCTAAGAAATGATAATAACGTCATCATGGGTGGTAATGTACAACATGGGTTTTCACCCACAAATATTCCATCAAAACACGCGTCATGTGGGAGATTAACTACCCTATGATCGACATTTGCATGTTTTAATTTTATATTGTTTAGCGCGTAAGAATCCAAAAAAATAAAAAAAATAACTCTGAAACAGACGACTTCGTGATCTTGCGTAAGTAAGCGAATTCTTTAACAGATGAGGGGGAGGTGTCCCTTGATTGTATATAACATGTAAAAGACATAACTTTGCTTATTTTGTCAATGTCGAAAGATTGACGCATTTAGTTAATGGAAAATGATTCGAAATTGAGGTGGGATTTAATAGTAAAGAAAAAATCAAACTTGGTGCATATAATCCAAACGCAGGATTTTTATGCAGATAGTGACACGGTTTTGTGACATGCAACTTATTACCTCATTAGTGGAAATTTAAATTTTCATTTTCAGGGGTACGAGAATTAAAGCGAAAGCGAAATAATATTTTTGTTACTGAACTCACAACTCAAGAAAAAAAAATTTGTCCTGGCACACACTCCATATGAAAGAATTTAACTATGTCGTACTATTGTAAATAAGAAATGTCTCTCTGGTTCGTTAATTTAGCCTTACGAAGTGGGTACGTTTTATACATAAGAAAATTTAAACAAACTACGAAATAATTTATCGTTAATACTAGTAAGAATAAAGTAAGAAGGAACACTTTTATGTTTGTTCTAAGCATTTCCCTGTTTGAGATATAATGAAAAGAAAGAATTAGTTAAAAAAAAAGGGCGCAAGTAACGAAGTAAGTTGACTCAGTGTATGACCCTGTCAGCATTGATGTACCTTGACGCACGACATTTATCTTCAGCAGATTACGTCATATTCAATTTTTTGTAGAAAAATACCACCACCTAAAATTAGAGATTATGGTTAGTTGCTTTTTTTTTAGTTAGCCCAGCCTAATTTTCTCCCCATTTATCATTAAGTAAGATATAAATTCTGTAAATAGATTTTTGTTTTTTATTTTCTAATTGTTTATCATTCTATTTTTATTTAGTTTCGAGAAGAAACGACAAAGTGCTAAATTTAGTTTTATTACTCAAACATCTAACCTTCATCAATACCACCATCAATTTTTTGATTAAATGGTAAGGCACACGGCTCGCAAATTCAAGCCATGAGAAAAACGTTTGTATTTGGAGTTGTATCAGAAACGGATCATCACCAACTCGTTAACCGATTTTTTTATTTTTTTTTTTTCATTTTTTCATTTTTGCTAGTTAAATATTGACCCAGCTGCATAAAATCTGCAAATTCATATAAAACTACAAGCATGTAAGAAATAGGTGTCGGAAAAATCAGGTGAATTTATGGAAATCCCAGAGTTGAAACAAACACTCCACTTTATATGCCCCATAAATTTACTCCACCTCCACGGAAGTTGTTTTCTTATTTACTAAACTATCAAATCTCGATTTAATATTAGACTCTGGTGAATCCCCGGGGTCTGATATTAGAATGTATTCAAATTATATGCTTAGAAATAAAGATTCACCACTTAACTAAACCGTCTCCTATCTCCTAGTTATCTTTTTTTTTTTTTACAATTTTGGAACTATTGCTGGTTATGTCCTATATAACAATGGATCAAACAAATCATTGTAAATTGCCAACATTTTTTTTGTTGTTCATTCTTTATTTTAATAGGATGCCGAAACTTGAAATCTTATCTCTTTTAAACAATGGTTTGATAATGAAAATCTTTTATACAGGTAGGCTTTTTTTTGCTGTTTAATCTGCTAAATTTTTGTTTTTTTGGTTTCACCTATTGTATTGTCAACTCGAGGTGTCGTGGCATTCAAGTCTTTTTGGTATGTTGAATCTCGTTAGGACTGGAATGTACCGTGATTACTCGTGTGTTCCTGAATAACAATAAGCATAACCAAGCAAAGAATCACCCAATAAGAAACAAATAAAGATTTACTTTGGAATTGTATATTCGACATTTAGACGAACTATAACCTGTAAAATTAAAAGAAGAATAATTTCAAGGTCCACGTAGTATATAGAGAATTAAACTGAGACACGCGTTTTTGGTTACTTGGTTACCACTTTGCTCCCTAACAGATAATTATTACGTCATAATATGATTACTTGAACCCCTAAAGTTCATTATTCAAAGTTCATGATTTCATAGGGAAAAAAAAAAATCGTACCGAATTTTTATTGCGTTAAAATTTATAACTTTATATAGAAATGTGATAGAATATATTTCGCAGACTTTACATCTCTCTTATGTCAAAATATTTTCAAATTCATCCATATTCTCCAATTCATCTTGTTGATTAACTCTTTTCAATACTTCTTTCTTTGAACTTTCTTGTAAATAGCCATCTATTAACAATTCATCCAATACATAATAAGCTTTATTAAATCCAAATATAATATCCAATTCACATACATTTCCATATAATTTATCCATTTGTTCAACAAATCTATGAATAATTTCCAATCCAATCAATTCATTATCATCTGAATTAACACCAATAACAAAAAATAAACTAGCATATCTTCGATAAATTATCTTCATATCTTTATATTCTAATACATTACACATCTTAGCTCGACGAGATAATATAATCGTACTTAATTCTCGAATGATTTTGGCTTTTTCCTTTTGTGAAATGGTTTGATACCATTTAGATAATCTGTTTTTACCTTGTCTAGATATAAGAAATAAAAATTGAATAGCCATGATGATGGATGTGGATCAGTATAATCTGGATTGTTACTAGCGATTTGGTGTTCACTTCTTTTTTTGTTTTCTCTTTTACTTTTGTTGTTGTTGTTTTTTTTTTTCAGTTCGTTTCCTCAGAAAGAAATTGGTCGTGCGAAAGTGCACAGAAACTAATATACCACTTCAATATGTATATATAGCTCCTTCAAGTGATAGTTCAATAACCTTCCGGTAGTGATGCTGATAAAACAGTTAAACCCAACCATGATACAAATTCGGCACATTTGTATTAAAAAGTTGACAGCTCAAAACTTAGTATTGAACAAATAGACACGTATGATATTTTCATTTGACGGCCAATGTCACTTACACCAGCAATACATAAAGATGAAATTGGAATTCTTTAAATATTTCGGTACTCTGCTCTGTAGAGATCTCATACAAAACCATCCCTCTCTTTCCATCGTCAAATTGATAAGGAATATAACCTAATTGTTCTTTGTAACCCTAAAGACGAATTAATCTTAAAGTCTGTCATAGTTTCATCATAAAAATATTCCAATTTCTATTATTAATTGACATGAAGTTTTATCTTATTGTTTATGTATTCTTCTGAACTAAAAGCCCACTTTCTATTGACGTATCTTATTGTTCGTTTTGATTCTTCCTTCCACCATAACTGTCAAAAATCATTCAAATTAGAGTTTCTATTTTACGATCTTCGTTTGATTAAGTTGATGACGTTTAATCTAATATTGATGCGATTAATCCCATCAACGAAAAAAAAAAACCACTTCATTGTTCAAAGATATTCTACAAAAGAAATATCATCTACTCCTTTTGTTTCACTCCATTGTCCTCCACCATTTAGCTTATGCAGTAAGAAACAAGGTATCTATAAATAAACCAGATGGTGCACGTGACTATGATGAAAATTTCTCGCAATAACTGTTCGTAAATATTTCATGAGTGTGTGAGCAACTCAACAATTGCTTTTAGCTCATAATCATTATGTAGGCACGTGGTTGTGTAGATTGTTAATGATAAATAAGAAATACAATCATCTTGACTTATCTTGTGCTGGTTCTAGACTTATAAGACGTACAGTTAAAACCACAAATATTCACGCGTAAATTTCAGAATGAAAATTTTTTTGCCTCACTCACTAAGTTAACTCCAAGAGCTTACGTTGCTTCATTTTTTTTTTTTTCCTTTCTTTCTTTCCCGTTACTAAATTCTAACACGAACAAACCTTAATTACGAAATTTATACACACCACATACAACAAGAACAGGAAGAAGAAGAACAAGAAGGAAAAAAAAAATAACCCACTCAGTTTCATTTTCAATCTTCATCATTAACACCTACACATCGTCATAACTAACAGTATCTCTATGTTTCAGAGACTCATTTATAGACTACGATTATTTCGTCGTCGAAACAAATATACTTTTGTTAATTCAATACTATTACTGATTGTTATTCTTTATTTATTTTTTATTTATTTAGATGAGCATGTACCACAGGATAATTCAACGGTAATTAATGAAAAGGGAACTTATCATCATTCAATTTGGGAGAATATTTCATTATGGTTCTCAAAAACAAAGCCATTCCAAGATGGTAATATTAATAACAACAAAGATGATGATGATGATGGATTGATTGATCATAATGATATTGATGATTTATCCGCCTCATCAGACCAAGATCATCATTTGGATACTGATCTGAAAAATTTTAATGAAGAGGACAAACAACAGAAGGAGAAGGAAAATATACGAGCTAAAGCTCAAGAAGCTGAAAGATTACAACGAATAGAACAATATTCCAAATTAATCCAATCACAAGAAGAGAAATATCATAGATTGCATCCATATGAAGCAGGAAGATTAAACTCAGGTTATGAATTTTTTGATAGCATTTTTAAGATTTTCCATGAAGGTAATCCACAAGTTGTTGATTTGAATTCTTATATATCAAAAGACAGAATTTATCACGCAAGATATGATACAACCATCAAGGATAAAACAGTTTTCAGTGAGAAGTACTTATCCAGTTTCTTGCAATTGAATCAAGCACAAATATCTGCCATGAAGAAATCACATCAATACGTTGTTGATAATTTACCTGAAAAGGCACCTGAAAAATTGTATAAGAAGAACGGGATTGTGTTTGTTGCGGGTGGGAATTTCAATTGGTTGACATTATTATCAATTCGATCATTAAGAGCAGTTGGCTGTCATTTACCTATTGAAGTTTTTATTCCAAAAATTGAAGAATATGAACCAGATTTCTGTGGCAGAATGTTACCTGAATTAGATGCAAGATGTATTTATATGAAACATAGATTATTTGACCCTGCGGATGATGATAATGCCCAAGATGACAAATATGCCAAGAAATTCGAATTTAAAGGGTATCAATATAAGGCGATGGCCATTTTACTTTCGAGTTTTGAAAATGTCTTGTTGTTGGATAGTGATAATATCCCTGCACATAACCCAGAAAGCTTGTTTGAAAGTGACCCATTCAAATCATATGGTTTAGTAGTCTGGCCAGATTATTGGAAACGTGCCACATCTCCTTATTATTATGATATTGCTGGACTTAAAATAAGTGAGACTGAGTTTGGAAGCATATATGATGAAGTTGAAGGAACTTATTCTATTAAAGCAACAAGTGATCCTATCGATTTAGATGAGGTTCCATTACATCAAAGGTTAGGAAGTATACCGGATCCAACCAGTGAGTCAGGACAATTGTTAATCTCCAAGAAGACACATCTTAAACCTTTGTTATTAGCGTTATATTATAATTTGTATGGACCAAGTCATTATTATCCATTGTTTTCACAAGGTTCAGATGGTGAGGGTGATAAAGAAACCTTTTTAGCTGCCACAGTTACTTTAGGTAAGAAGTATTATCAAGTTTCCAAATTCCTTGTATCATTAGGTCATTTCAAGACTGAAGGTGGGGAATTTGAAGGTTGTGGTATGGGACAACATGATCCTGTTGATGATTTAGAGTATATTAAACTTAAAAGGAATTATGCAAAAATTCCTGAAGATGATCCTAATGCAAGACATATTTTTGAACTTCAAAATCCAATTGTTGTCAATGGTCCAAAGATTTTATTTGTTCATGCAAATTTCCCTAAATTAAATCCTTGGAAATTAAAACAAGATAAAGAAATTTTCAGTAAATCAGGTGAAAGACTAAGGTTATATGGACCTGGGATGATTAAAAGAATAGGATATGATTTTGAATGGTTTCAATGGGAAGGTATGAAATTATTATTATGTGTATATGATGTTAAATTGGAAGCTTTCAAAGATATAGATAGAATGGAATTGTGTGATGAAATTTTAGCACAATTGAAATTTTTAGAAAAATCTAAATAGAGTAGTAAGTGTTATATTATTATTATTATATATATATTATTATCTATAAAATTTCCGGAGATGATGCAATAACTTTTAAGAAATGACTTGTACAACTTAAATCAGTCCATGTGAAATCATTATCTGGATCACAGGTACATTTACTATCCACATATAATGTTGTATCTTGAGGACATTGTAAATATGGAGCATGATAATAACCCACATTTTCAAACCAATGAATATCTTGTTTATTTAAAAATAATGCTACTGCAATTGAATGAATTGGGGCATCACCCCAACGTTCATAATAAAACCCACCTTTATCATCTAAAAATTTGAAAAAATCTTCATAATTTTCATTATTAAAAATATCTAAATTTGCAATTTCAAAATTTGACCAAAAATGACATAAATTATACCAATTTAAATTATTTAATAATAATGGTAATAATTCTGGATTTCCTAAATTTCTAGAATCAATATATTCAACTATTGAATTCCATAAACTTGGAATAGTTTCAGAATATTCAAATAATGATATAACAAATCCATATTTTTTATTATTTTCATTCATATATTTGAATACATCATAATTTAAATCACAATAAATTTTAATACCTGGTTCAATTCTCCAATAATATTGATATTGTTTAACATATTCATGTTTATAAAAAAATCCCGAATAATATCGACACATATGTCTATAACTTTCACTATCCCAATAAGGTACATCAATAGGCAAATTTCTAATTAAATCAACATGAGTAATATTAATATGATCTGGATATGACCAATGATCAACTGGAATAAGTCCAAAATTTAATTTTCCTTTAGGTATTAAAGTAGTTATTAAATAAATAAAATCATTAGTAAAAGGTTCATCATTTAAAAATGTATAATCATAATTAAATTTATCATTAAATCTATCTTGAATATTTTGTAAAGTTTCACGGACTGAATAAATTTCAAAATTTCGACACAACATTAATAAAGTAGCATTTTCTTTAGATTCTGGGTTGGTTATAGGTGATTTTTCAATACAAAAATTACCAGTATGTGGATTTTCATTTAGAAATTGTTTAAGTTCTGAATTATTAACATATTTATAACATTGATTACTTTGTTGTTGTTGTTGTTGTTGTTGTTGTTGTTGTGTGTGTTGTTCTTCAGATAATGAGGATGACGTAAACCGAACTAAATTCAAGGGAAATACAAACAAGATAGCTGCAAATAAAACAATAAATGAATGTCGTAGCATATTCTATTATTCAAAAATTCAGTTATCAATTTTTTATCAGATTTCTATTTTACACCCAAAAGATAGCAACCTAAGTTGTAATCGATCTTGAGTGTATCTAATAAGTGGTGTGGTGTATTTTGTTAATAAAAAAAAAATTCATGCTTGAAATTATGAATCTAGATGTGAATTTTGCTTGGTTGTAATGTCTCACACAATTTTTTTTCTTTTTCTTTGGCTTCTCCCTTCTCTTCTATTTTCCTGTATATAAACGTATAGAGTCAAGGGGCTCATCGTTTCTTTTTTTTTGTTTCTGCCAGATTCCTCCCCCCCTTTCATGTTGCAGAAAATCACGTGCATGGATTAGTTTGGTAACTCATGTAATGTCCACATGATATAACAGATTACAGTTGTTATTGATCGTTGAGGTAAAGTGGGAGTTATATTTTGCAGTATGTATCCAGCTCTTAGTAATAAATATTTCTTTGTATTTAATTTGTTAGAGAACTTCTTAACTAATGAAAATAGACAAATTTAGTCCTGTTTATCAAAAAGATACAAAATGTTTTCTTACTGGGGATGTGATAATAATTCTTTCTAAAAAGATAAGAACAATTTCATTAACATGGGTTGTTCTATTATAGATGGGATTGATAAAGGATGCTAAAATTAACTGAATTGAAAGTTAATCATTGGTGTCAAAACTACATATAAATTCCAACTAAATAAAGATAATACGTCAGAGTATTCTGTGATTGGATAGAAATGATTTAGTGCCACGCTATGGGGTGAGCTGTTTCTGTTTACATCAAAATCTGCAAAAGAAGAAAAAAGTATAAAAAGCGCTCAAGTTGCTCCTGTGTAGTGAATTTTTTATTGTAATTTTCTTTTTCATTTAAAAAAAGGGTAGATTGGGGACGGGAGAATTTGGTTCGATAATCCTAGGGTGATAGTCTTCCTCCATGGCGTTGACTAAATAGGGTCCTATTGATTTTTACTAACCATACTCATATTATCTAGCACTTGTATTCATAATAGTAATATACGTATGTTTTAGATTTATAATTTTTGTTAGTTTATATTCCTGTAGATTCATGGAAGTAAACCTCTATGACATCATACATATTATGCTTGACTTATCAATTGATCTTGCCAAAAATCGTAAAAAACTCATCAAACAGCAAGATAAGAAAAGAGATAGTAAAATAAATGTATGAATTGCTAAACAGAAAAGTACGCATTAATCAATCTATTGTTTGATACTAATATCAAAGTTCAAATAGTTTCAATTATATAACCGAAAAACCTAAACTTGTCATTGATGAGAATTCAATATTACCCCCGTGGGATTAATACAATTGCTCACAGTGATCAGTGTTGAAAACGTTCCTTTTTCCGGTTTTAGTAGTACTTTCGAGATTGCTTTTGAATAATGGGTGGTAAACGAATTCATCCCCACGTTCTCGATGCCATGAATTACAGCCAACCCCAACCACCAAACCTGTACACTCCACCAGTCATAATTATTCAGGAGCAAACGAAATCGTAGCCACGTTGTTATACACACATGGTATGGTCAATGGAACCCACCACCAAAGAAGGTTTCTTTTTTTATTCACTTCTGGTGGTACTCCATTTGTTATCGGTGTCCGAAAACCGAGAGATATAAATGTTTTAGGGAGATATGATGAATAAACAATAAGGTTCTTCATGATCACCTTTTTTTTCTTCTGTAACTCAATTAGCTTAAAACTTTACAGTATATACAGTGATAGAATTAAGGAAAGAGTAGTAAACAAAAAAAAACCCATAGTAAAGAAGGAGATGCTGGCGTGGTGTCATTTTATTGTTGTGACTGAAACATTTCGGTGTTCTCAATTACTTCACATTGACTACCGCATTGGTTGTAATAACCTCGTGTTATATATCGACTATACACACGTCTACAATTTTTTCTGTATCATGGTATGCCAGCGATACTATTGGAACCACATTATCCAATTTTGTACTTGGTTTTACTATTTTAAACACTCATTGATTTAGTGGATTTACACTAAGATTCTGTATAAACGTTTTGTAATCTTACTTTGCTAGCATTTTTAATTATTATCTCTATTATAGATATATGAGCAAAGAGCAACAGAGAGAAAATAGCCTCCCCCCCAGTAACCACTTTGGTTAGGAAAATCAATATCGTCATTGATTATCTTTAAAGTGAGAACGAACCAAAAAAAAAAAAATAAGCACAACAACGAAAAATCACAAACAATTTTCAAAACAGAGAAACAATTTTTTTTCTTCTTCTTGTTCTTCTCTTCCTTTGTCAAATTTTCACACAGAATAATAACACCCATTTTTCTCTTTCTTTCTTTTTTTTTTTTTTCTTTCACGTTTTTCCTGTTTAATTTAAAGAGTCTTGAAATATTCATTATGTCATCAGAGCTCAACGCATCATCATTATCGTCATCGGCGTCTGATTTACCTGCAACAACAGCAACAACGTCATCATCAACAACAGCAAATTTACTCTCGGGGAGAAAAGCAGCTCGATCGCTTAGGATATTCCAAGGACTATCTCAAGAAAATGAAGACCACCACCATCACAAACACCATAATCATACACACCATCGAAATGGTGATGTAGGGAAACCTAGTCCGATTAAAGAAAAACGACCACAGATTAATAACAATTCCATCAACAATGACTCGTTAGATTTAGAACCAGTTTCTTCAGCCACTTATATTCCTCATATTCCCGCAACGGAAACCCTACCCGACGAACCAATAACACCTATACTGTCTGTGAAACCACAACATTTGACTGCAAATTTAGAATTTGATCATGGAGTAAATGGTGATATTACAAAAATATCTTCTGTTTTCAATAGTGCAGCATCAGGTAAAACTACAGGAGATACTCAAGATAAACCTGATTCAACTACCACTACGCATGAACTCGATGCAATTGAAGATGAAGAGAAAACAGTGGATTTCCCCTTGACTGTGGAACTCAAACCTTTTAAGAATAAAGTAGGTGGACATACTGCTATTTTCTCTTTTAGTAGAAGAGCAGTATGTAAAGCATTACTCAATAGAGAAAATTGCTTTTATGAAACAATTGAAAGCAATCCAACATTATCAAAATTCACTCCAAAATATATTGGATTGTTAAATGTGCGGTATTCAGACTTACCAGAAGTTTCTTTGGATGATAATTTACATATGATTCCTGATAGTTTGAAACAATATTCAAGTTCGTTTCCATCACCGAAATTCAGTTTGGATGCCAGTCCTGTTCCTAGTTTAACAAACTCACCAGTACAACGTTCTAATATGGGTTCTACTTCAGTAAACACCGAGTTGCAAGTTAAAGTATTGGAAGAAGTTTTCCAGCCTTTGAAATTACATGACAGTGATGTATTTGCTATGGATGAAGAAAGTAGTCAAACCAGCATTAACAATATTCTACCAGAAGAACCATCTTCACTTCCTTCATCATCTCCTGAAGTGTTACTTCGAAAGCATACTAGATTTGAAAGATTTATTGTTTTGGAAGATCTTACTTGTGATATGAAACAACCATGTGTATTGGATTTGAAAATGGGAACAAGACAATATGGAATTGAAGCATCGCGAAAGAAACAAGAAAGTCAACGTGCCAAATGTTTATCTACTACTTCAAGAGAATTAGGAGTCCGAGTGTGTGGATTACAAGTTTTCAAATATGATAATCAACGTTTAGCTAAAGATAAATATTTTGGTAGACGCATCAAGATTGGTAAACAATTTTGTAAAATACTAGGTAAATTCTTATACAATGGACATGATATATATTCAATCTTGAACAAAATTCCTAATTTGATTGATCAACTTAAGGAATTGTATCTGGTATTTAGAGAATTACCAGGTTATAGAATGTATGGTAGTCTGGTTTTGTTGATGTATGAAGGGGGTATTACTGAGTCCAGCCATGTCAAGGTGAAAATTATTGACTTTGCTCAATCAGTATTACCAGAAGAAGATATTGAGAATGCCAAAATTCCACCACGGCATCCAAAATTGCCAGATATGGGCTATTTGCGTGGTTTAAATTCATTAATTGCATATTTTATTTTAATTTTTAATATCATCAGTGGAACCAAGTTACGAAACACCCAAGATATGGGTATCTGGATCAAAGATAATGAAGATAAACTTAGATTGGAATCCTGTAAATGGTTGAATGATTATGCTGAATTGGAAAATTTACAAGATGGAGGAATCAATGAAGATATTCCAGGTGATCCATTTGATATTTATTATCCTGGTTATACAGCAGAAGAAGACGAAAATATTTCTGAATAGTATGTAGTATTAAGTACATTAGTATAGAGATTCATACTATATATATAGATATATACGTGTATATCAATAATGAAGCGGAAAATTTTCAAAACACAAAAGAGTACAAATGGTTAGCTCCGGGCAGAGGGAAAGGATCCCAACCCTTTAATTGGATAATGTGGAGATTAGTAAGTCGTTAGTATGGGCTAGTTACCATAACACAAAGCGAAACATGTCAATTTTTATTTTATTTTTTTTCAAGATGAGTTTGCGTTTATTCATATAATAAAGAGTGAAGAAAATTTTTGCAAGATTATTTTAGTGTCAATTGGCGATGCTTCTTTTTTTCATTATTATTTTTCGGTTTCTCAGACACGAAATCTAAAATAATGTGTCTAAAAATGGCTTTGAAACTTTTTGTATTCTCTGTCCCCACCCCGCCTTTAAAACTGTTGTCTAAAACAAACAAAAAAAAAATTGGTTTTGCTGTTCTGCCCCCCCCCCTCCATTTTATTCTACGCCCACACTTCAAAAGCAAATACCACTGTAGGAGAAAAAAAATTATACCTTAGACCACTCTTTTTCTTTCTTTCTTTCTTTTGGTTTTCTATTTTTTTGATTTAATTATACAACTATTATTTATTCCATTATATCTATTCCTTAATTATGCCACGTCGTAGTAGTAATGCTCCTTCTATACCAGTGGTCGCAACCATCGATATTGGTACCACTTCAGCAAGAGCAATCATTTTCTCAAGAGAAGGTGAAGAATTAGCTAAGCATCAAATTGAATACTCCACTACTGCTTCAGAAGCACCTGATTCCTCGTCAAACACTGACCAATTCAGAAGAAGATCGTCTTTAATGAGACAAAATGAACCTATTTTCTCGGCTGAAGGTATTGCTATCTCCATCAATGATAACGTTATGATCGAAAACAACCATTCCTCGGTTGGTCCGACTTTAAGATTCCCTCAACCTGGTTGGGTTGAATGTATGCCTGTTCATATCTTGGCCAATGCTGTTCAATGTTTGGTTGCTTGTTTGATCACATTGAGAAAAATTAACCAAAATCCTAATTTGAAGCTTAAATATAGAGTTAAAGCTATTGGGATTGCCAATATGAGAGAAACCACTATTGTTTGGTCCAGAAAAACTGGTAAGCCATTAAGTGGTGGTATCACTTGGACTGATACTAGAACTGCCGAAATTGTTCAACATTTAGAAAAAATGATTGATGAAGATAGAAAAGCTGAATTGAAAGAAAAAACAGGTTTGCCATTGTCAACTTATTTCTCAGCTGCTAAATTGAGATGGTTATTGGATAATGATGATGTCATCAGAGAAGAATATGAAAAGGGTGACGGTAATTTAATGTTTGGTACTGTTGATACCTGGTTGATTTACCATTTAACTAAAGAAAAAACCTACGTTTCTGATATCACTAATGCATCAAGAACTTATTTTATGGATTTGGAAACTTTAGATTGGGATGATGAATTATTAGATTTCTGGGGTATTGATCCAACTAGAATCAGATTCCCAAAAATCGTCTCATCTTCTGAATTCTATGGTGAATTTGCTGCCCCAAATTTGTCCAACTTGGGATTCCATAATAAAATCACCCAAGAAGCATATGATATTTTGAAAACCATAACTGGTGTTCCAATTTGTGGTTGTCTTGGTGATCAATCAGCCTCCTTGGTAGGTCAATTGGCCTTCACTTCTGGTTCTGCTAAATGTACTTATGGTACTGGTGCTTTCCTTTTGTACAACACTGGTCCACGTAAGTTGATTAGTAAACAAGGGGCATTGACTACTTTTGGTTATTGGTTCCCAACATTAGAAGGAAATGAAGGTAAACCTCATTATGCTTTGGAAGGTTCTATTGCTGTTGCTGGGTCCATTATTCAATGGTTGAGAGATAACTTGAAAATGATTGATAATGCCAAGGACATTGGTCCATTGGCTTCTCAAGTTGAAAATTCTGGTGGAGTTGTGTTTATTCCAGCATTCTCGGGGTTGTATGCTCCATATTGGGATAGTGGTTCTCGAGGTACTATATTTGGTATGACTCAATACACTTCAGCCTCTCATATTGCTCGTGCTGCATTGGAAGGGGTTTGTTTCCAAGTACGTGCCATTTTAAAAGCTATGGCTAGTGATGCTGGTGCGTCTGAAGATTTCTTGGAAGAATCATTATGTTGTCAAGGTAGTAGCAGACCTTTATCTTCATTGGCCACTGATGGTGGTATGTCCAAAGCAGACGAAGTCTTACAAATTCAAGCAGATATTTTAGGGCCTTGTGTTACAGTTACTCGTGCATTAACTCCTGAATGTACTGCTTTAGGTGCTGCTATTGCTGCTGGTTTATCATTTGAAAATGAAGAAGATCGTATATGGAAGGATCTTGACGATGTGGTTGAAAAAATCACTGGTGGAGCCAGTGGTAAAACTGGCAACAAGTTTGTTGCTGAATTACCTGATGATACGAGAAGAAAGAATTGGAAACGTTGGGAAAAGGCAATCGAAAGAGCCAAGAGCTGGTTAGATGATGAGTAATGATGGTATTTTAGAAAACAAAAAAAGAAAAGATGAATAGAAAGTTGCATAGATATAAACTTTATAGATATATTTATTTTGTAGAACTAATGAACAAAAAAAAATAAAGCAAAAGTGTGTAGATATATCACTTACCTATTCAAATGAAGAATCGTAATCGTCTATATCAACGACGAGGGAATTATCTTCAAATGATCTTTCATAAATAACACCATCCAAATTCTCCACATTAAATGAACTATTAGCAATATCAAGACTACTGTTCATATTCTTCTTAGCATTATTATCAAATATCTTGAAATTATTATTGAAAAACTTGCTTGTTTGTTTAGATAACAAATCGAATTTTTCATCAGCTGATTTGATTAAGTTTTGAAATTCTTCATTTTGATTAACGAATAATAAACTAGCTTTCTTTTTGACATTATTACATTCATCAAGAGCTTGATTCATTATAAATGAAGCTTGTTTTTTCAAAGGGCTTTGATTTTCATTATTATTATTACCGTCCCTTTTTGGAGATTCTTTAATTCTTAATTTATTTAATTCTTGTTGTGTTCCTAAATATGCTTGTTTATAAATATCTTGACCTTTTCCAAGAAGAATCACTTCTTGACGTTTAATTTCTTCAATAGATTTTGATATTTCTAATAATTCAAGTTTTTTTGATTCAATTAATCGTTCATATTCATGTAATTGTGCTTGTTTTGTAGAATATTTATCTAGTAATTCTCTTTGTTTTAATTGTAACTCTTGAATTGTTTTACCATCTTGTGGCTTTGAAATTGGAACATCTATAGAAAATCCTGATTTTGTTGGTGATTTTTGAGGAGTAGTTGGGGTTTCTTGTCTTTTAGGAGATAATGAAAATTTAACTAATCCAGTAGATTCACTAATCTGTCTATTCTTGATATTTATAGTACTTGGTGATATTGGTGAAAGTATCTTTTTTGATTTTCGTGGAGTAATTGGTTGTATTGTCGACATTCTCTTATAAATATATATGTATCGTCAAAATAATTCTTCAATTCTTCTTCTACTTCGTCGTCGTCTACCTGAAAAAAAAAAAAAAAATAGAAGATGATCTGTGTAAGTTAGCGATGAATATTATTTTATTACATTCCTAAAGTTTATTCGAGAAGAACGATCTGGGAGACTATTGCATTTGTTACTTAGGGGGGAAGGAGAACAGACAAGGCGAGCCAGATATTTTATGCGATACCAATTTGAGACATTTTGTAAACATTGAAATTTTATTTAATTTTTCAATACCGCTTTCAATTGAGAAAAATTCTGTTGGCTGCACAAGTTTCACGTGCGGGACGGAACAAAATCAAACAAATTTGTCAAACTTCCGCAGCAATGTGAAACACGTGACTTAATTTTTAGTTCCGTTAATAATTTTCTTAGTTTGCCATTAGAGAAATAAAAAAAAAAACACATTCTCACCAAAAAAAATTTTGTACCTCTGTTTCAAAAGAATATAAAAAAAAAGGAAAAAGAAAAAGAAAAAATTTTTCCTTTAGTTTATCAATTTCTTTTCTTTCTTATTAATCATCTATTGAAAGTAATATATTCCTAATCAATGAGTTGTTTTGCCAAAGTTAAATGCTTTTTAGCATGTTTTATTGTTTACTACATTTCATACATGTACAATTATAAATGTCCAACCTTATCTACTCCATTACAAGAAGGTATTGAACATATCATTCATCCATTATCTTCCCAACATTCCATCTTATGTGAATATTTACAAACTGGTATTACTACAATTGAACCATATCATGCTAAAGTTCACACCTTTTTAGATGAAAATGTCCACAACACTCAATTCTTTATTGATAACAAAATTGAAGATAAAATTTCATGTGCTAAATCTAAATTCACTACTTACGTTTATCCTTATATTCATGAATTGTATAAATGGACTGATGTTGTTGAAATTCAAGCTTATGATAAATTAACTAATGTTTATGAAGAAGTTCAAAAAACTTTAAAGAAAGATTAAATCTATTGAATTACAATATCATCTTTACATCGATTTTGATTGATTTTAATGTATAGTTTATAAATTATTTTTTTTTCTTTTTTAAAGAAGCTTGTTCTACATATGAATATATAAATTATTATACCAGTAATTATTAGGCTAAAACAGTATCTTGTAGTGTTGATAACGCGTCGTATCAAAGCTTCACTTGTGAATACTATGGATGAGTTTATGACATTTGTCAATCTACTCATAATAATGACAGGTTGTCTGTGAAAGTTCTTCGCTGTTTCAGTGGGGTAGTGTGTATGTTGCAAAGAAATTAAGATTGATTTGAAGTTAAAGTAAGCAAGAAAAAAAATGGTTCGAATTTCAAGGGGATCTACTTCTAGATCAGCCTTACGATATATAGAGATGTTCAACTTTTACTCAACTATCAAGGTTACTAATAATAAAGAAACAGGCTATAATTTTGAAGACTATAAACTATTAATATTATGACTCGATTATACTTGTACCTTATATTTTGATTATTTTATATCTACCCCATGAAATCGTATTTTTTTTCTTGAGTTTTTCGCCCAAGAAAAATTTCTAGGGAGAATATAAATCGACATTGAAAAGTTATTCATTGGTTGGGAAAACTAAATGTAGGTGATCTAGATGTTTGATGTTGATGATTTTTATGGATTGTTGTAATTTTCGGGGCTCAGAATTTGAATAATCTGATAATTCAAACGCATACACAATTGAATCATCAATTTCTTTTAATATTTTTACGATTTTTCATTAACATGAATACATCAATATGAGCAATAAAAATCTGAGGTTTTTGTGGTTGTGTGATTTTCTTAACTGATATTAAGAACCTTAATGTTGTTTGTGAATTATGGTTAGTTTGAATCACCAATTGGTTCCATTTTTCGGTATCAAATTGATTTTGCAACCATTCTTTTCAAAGCCTTACAGAATTTACTAATATGAAATGGTCTGCTTCTTTGAGACTACAATTTGTGCACTTTCAAATCACAATTGATTTAATCTCTTTTCATTTGAAATAAACACTGTGTTAATTACACACAACTTTTATAGAAACTAACTTCTATAGAAGTTGTAGTTAGTATTCGTAAAAGATAGCTTACTTCACTGTGACCTATATCTTATATTGTAAACAGACTAATAGCACATCTTCAATCCCTTAACTCGTATCAACCGCTGAAGGTAATAGATCCTAAATCTCTCTATCTTCTGTTAAGTATTACAATTTTATATTTTCCCTAATAAGATGCACAAAACTACAACTTAGAATTGCCATGACTTATTGAGTATTGTAAAATATAACTCAACACTTTTGTTTAACCAACAACCCCAATCCATGCGTCCAATGTGTACAAACACTTCCAAATTTACTCTTTACATATTTCTGTCTTCGATTTAGTCAATGAATAAAGCCGTTTTGACGTGTGACTTGATTATATAATCGTAATTCCGTTTTTTTTTTCCTTCCCATTGTTCTTCAAACGGATTTAACCTTGATTTTTGCCGTATACTGTACGTTTTTCAATAATTATTTTTTTTTTCTTTTTCAACAATAACAATCAACAAAATAATACATTTCAGCCACCTCATACAAAAAGAATATAAATACATGTAATGCTTCCCCAATTTGTTTTAGACCTTGAGGAAACTACTTGTCAGACAAGTCAAACCATAATACTAGAAATATGGCATTTTTATTTCAAGGTTCAGGAATTGCAGCATCTATTTATCTAGCATTATACGTCATTTATACAGCATTTACTATTCGAGTAGTTTATGAAAAAGGTTTAAGATCAATTTATACATCATTATTAATATTTGGATTATTTAGAGTATCGGGTCAATTATGTGGTGTTGCATTTGCAAAACTAGGTTATAAGCATTATCAATGGTTAATTGCTTATTTGGTATTTAGTGCAGAAGGTTACTTCACTTTAATTTTAACATCATTTCATTTAATTGCTCATGCTCAAATTGCAACAACAGGTAAATCTTGGGTTCGTCCAACTAGGGATCAACAAAAAATAAATAGAACAAATGCTAGATCTTGGAAACAGAAACTAAATGCAAGATTTCCTCCAGCAACAATTTTCCATTTATTATTAATCCCAGCTAATGCATTCATTGTTTCTGGTGGATCCCTTTTGGCTGGTCAGAAAGTAGGAGACATGGATCCTAGTAAAGTAAATACTTCTAAAGCATTAAGAACTACTGGACAAGTTATATTCTTGTTACAAACCTGTGTTGCTATTGGATTGGCTGTTTATGTTTATTTTGTTGAAAAATTAAAACACAGTAATATTTACAGTATATTCTTGGTATCCCCATTTATTGTGGTTAGAGGTATATTTGGTATACTATCTATTTATATCAAAGACATGAACTATTATGATATTTCCAATTATACCGCTGAAGGTTTCCATACAAAGTTCATCATATATGAATATGTATTGGCGAGTACTATGGAATTCATAACTGGTTGTATCTATATTTCAAATTACTACTTTGATAGCAGAACATATAAAACGGTCCACAGTGATGAAGAAGATTCAAAGTTGAGTATTACACACGAAATGAGGAAATAATAAATATGGTGTAGTTGATGTTATACTGATTGATTTTTAGTAATTAAATATTTGGTTATTGTTCCGTGAACAATGTAGAACGAAATAAATTAAAAAGAAAAATAGAATCTGATGTAGATAAAACAATATGTGTATCATGCATGGGTAATTCTCCGCTCAGCTTTTGCATATACGCAAAACAGATGAATCGCCTCCACAAAATATGCTTGCTGGAAAATACAATAGGATTTATTTTCAACTATCGCTATCCTTGTGTCTGACTAATCCAAGTTGTTCTCTTCGACAATATTAAACACGGCTGAATCACAGGGCACGGGTGCAATGCTGTCGCAGCAAAAAAGATTAAAACCTTTCTACTTCAACTATGAGAACCCTGAATACATGACTAAAATTATATCATAACCTATAGTTCCATTTAGAATATGTGGTTGTATTCATTGATGCATCCATTTACCCCACTGTGTGTACATAATTTAGTAATCTGCGCGATTTCATAGTTTATCCGATTACATAATCGTTTAATATCATCACCGTATTTCTAGATTCACCATTTACAAAAATGCCTCATAGATCGCCGTATCAATACCAGTTACATCATATCTCTTGTTTTGGTATCCTATGTTTAGCATGATGTTGAAATAGTGGTATAAATACCCATGTCTTGTCCTGTTTTTCCTAACCTATGAAGCATTACAACAACGAACAACAATATGGCGTTCTTATTTCAAGATTCTGGTATTGCTGCTTCAATATTCTTAGTTTTATTTTTTATCTACACTTTATTTGCTGCTAGAGTAGTTTATGAAAAGGGTTTGAAATCAATTTATACTTCACTTCTATTATTTGGGATCTTTAGAGTTTGTGGACAATTTTGTGGTATTGCATTTGCCAAATTGGGATATGCCCATTATCAATGGTTAATTGCATATTTGGTATTCAGTGCAGAAGGTTATTTTACTTTGATATTAGCTTCATTTCATTTAATTGCAAATGCCCAAGTTGCAACTACTGGTAAATCATGGGTTCGTCCTACACCTGAACAACGTAAAGAAATGAAAACTAAAGCAAAAACAATTAAAGAAAAATTTCATGCATATTTTCCACCATCTACTATTTTCCATATGTTATTAATTCCAGCAAATGCTTTAATCATATCTGGTGGTACCATACTTGTAGGTCAACAACCGGGAAATTATAACCCACAAACAGTTGAATCTTCTGAAGGATTACGGACTGCTGGTCAAGTTATATTCTTGTCACAAACTTGTGTTGCTATCTGTTTGGCTATCTATGTATATGTTAAGGGAGGCATAAGACATAATAATCTATACAGTGTCTTCTTGGTTGCTCCTTTCATTATAGTAAGAGGTATTTTTGGTGTTTTATCTATTTATCTTAAGGATATGAATTATTATGATGTTGCAAATTATACAGCAAATGGGTTCGATACAAAATTTGTTATTTATGAGTACGTTTTAGCTACTACTATGGAGTTCATCACTGGTTGTATTTATGTATCGAATTATTACTTTGATACAAGATTCAGCAAAAGACTCGACTATGAAGAAAAATATGATGATGAAATATTTAGTGATAAAGATGATAACGGGAAAATTTAGTATAAGTATGTATTTAGTTCTTTGTTGAATACTATGCCTTATGTTTAGTAATAACTAGTGTGTCGATGCTACCATGTTACTAGAATTGATCACAAGACACGACTCCTCATGTCCCCACGATTTTTTTTTTTTTGATTTACCGCGGAAGATTTCTGGAGAAATATTAATCCATTTCAACATAGCAATTATTAAAACTAATCCAACCATGGAAAGAACACCATTATTACCATCTTCCTCAATTCATCATGAACATTCGCATGCACATACTCAGCGACTTTTGACATCATGGCACACATCTATGATATCTATTGGTGGTTTAATTGGAACGGGATTATTTATTGGAGTAAGAGTTACCCTTCTTAATGGACCAATCATAAGTCTTTGTTCATATATTTACATTAGTTTGATTTGCTATTATATTATCCAAGCAGTTGGAGAAATGTCTATTTATATGCCATTAAATGGTTCACTATGTCAATTTATATTCAAATATATATCTGATCCAGTTGGGGTGGTAACAAATTTCATATATTGGATCAGTTGGTCAATCACTTTAGCTTTGGAATTAAGTTTGATATATAACATACTTGCAAATTTCAAATTACAATTTATTGAACAGAATGAAACATTGGTGATTTTCCTCATGTGGTTGGCATTGACTGTGGTTAATCTATTGCCAGTTAATAATTATGGAAATGTTGAGTTTGTGATCACTATATTTAAAGTATTTTTCATGATTGGTTGGATCTGTCTAAGTGTAAGTTTAATTATATATCAAGGGGATGGATTCAAGTATTGGAATAAAGAATTAATATGGGGGATAGATTATATTAAAGTTGTTAAAAACCCAATTGGATCAAAACTTATAAATATTTTATCATCATTAGTATCATCATGTTTCACATTCCAATCAATAGAATCAATTGCAATTTGTTCAGGGGAGATCAAAGATATTAACCAAAATCTTCCAAAGGCTATCAAATATGTTGTACTGAGAATTGTGGTATTTTATATCTTTACATTATTCTTACTTACCATGATGATCCCATGTAATGATCCGAGATTAACATCTGATGATGATGGGATTTTTGCATCACCTTTCATATTAGCATTAAGTAATTTGAATTCTAATGGTTATTTTTTATTTGCTTTCAACTTCATCATCTTACTTTCTATGATCTCAGCAGCTAATAGTAATATTTATTTTGGATCCAGATGTTTATTATCCATGGTTGAAGAGGATTATTTTCCAAAAGCATTTGCCAATACTAGTAATCATGGAGTACCATATAATGCTGTATTATTGACATCAATCATTGGTTTGATTTCATTATTTTCCAAATTTAAATCTATTGATGCATTTTACAAGTTGTTGATTAATCTCAGTGCTACTTCTGGTCTAGTCATGTGGTTATGCATTCTGATTGCCTATTTGCAATTCAGAAAAGCATTGAACTATAATTCTCTTGTATATGAAAAGTTATCATATGTTGCTAATTATCCGATGATATTATTCAGTTACATAACAATAGCAAGTATTATTGTGATCATATTGGGTAATGGGATTGTGAACATTTGGAAATTTAGTTGGGACTCATTTATTAGCTGTTACTTAACTCTGATAATGATGATAATTGGTTGCTACTCATTGAGCTTAATTTGGAAGCAACCTTTACTAAAACCTGTTGAGCAGGTTGATGTGTTTACTGATCAATCCCCATTTGCATTTAAATAGTAGATAGAATATAACAATTATAGAGCAATTCGATGCAATAATTAACACTTCTTTTTTCTTGTCAACTAAATAATACCCTTCATGAACCCACTCCCGACCAATCAACACCAAATGCAAGCACCACGGCGTTTGTCTTTCTTTTTCTTTTAACACAGTATACACCCATGCATCCGCCAAGACTGCATTCACAACAATCGACTCGGATTTTTTTTTTTTAATAAATAAAAAACTTCAAAACTCAATTCGAAGCGAAACCCTAAAAGCCCCAAAAGCCCCAAAAACCCCAGCTTTTTCAAAACAAAAATTCGATGTAAAGTGGCTAACCTCGTAGTTGCGTACGTATATCGTTAACTTGCTCTTCTAATGGATCTCAGTCGAGTTTCATTTGTGGGGAAAACGTAATTTGGTTATGGAAATCTACCATCTGGAATAAACAAAAAAGCAATACAAACCCGGATTAATTATTATATTCACAATTAATTGGATTTTTAAATTACCAACTCTGGTACAATAATATTTGCTTTCTTTTTTAGTCAGTTTATTTTTGCAGTCACGCACACATTGGACTACATGAGAATCACTGGTGAGATTGGCTTTGCCAGAAACACTCTCTGGTGGTTGCTTTGGCGGTTGCCCTGGTGGTTGTTCTGGTGGTTGCTTTGGTAAGCCACCCGTGAGTTTTTCCTTGGTTGGATATTATTTGATGGCGATTTTGTTACTTGTGTTTCATAATTATTCCCTCTCTCCATCCATCAAACAGCAATTCCATCCGAGAGGTGAACAAACCGCGTTAATGTAAAATTTTCTTTTCGCATTTTTCTTTTTATTTTTTTTTTTTTGTTTGTTTTGCTTCATTGTCTTTTCTTTTGCACTAACATTGTTTCCCCCAGAATGCAAAAGAAATGATCAGATATTATAATTCTACCCAATCCAGGATTATGGTAATCACTATATCATAGCTAATTAAAGATGGTGGGGTAGCTTCATATAAACACAAACCCACGCACTCAGACTCGCACACGCACACGCACACTCTTTCCTTTCTCTGTCTAACCTATAAATACCTGAGGTTATCTTCTATTACTCATCACCTTTTTGTTTTTGCATATACTTATCATTCTTGTAAATCACTTCACTTCACTATTTTACATCACACTACTCGTATCACAGACACATCAATAAAATGCACGGTGGTGATTTAGAAGGTTCAGAAATTCAAAAGCTCATTGTCGAAAAACGTCTCGGCTCCTCTGTCAAGCCAGGGTTTGGTGCCATCATCCACAACAAAAGATCCTTTGGTGTCTGTTTGTTCACCGCCTTGGGTGGTCTCTTGTACGGGTACAACCAAGGTATGTTTGGTCAGATCTCCGGTATGAACTCGTTCAGTAAGGTCGCCGGTGTCGGTAGAATCCAAGATAATCCTACTTTGCAAGGTTTGTTGACGTCCATCTTGGAATTGGGTGCCTGGGTCGGGGTCTTGGCCAACGGGTACATCGCCGATAAGGTCGGTAGAAGAGGTGCTATTGTTTCTGGTTGTATTTTGTTTATTGTGGGTGTCATTGTTCAAGCCACCGTCCATGGCGGCAACTATAACTTTATCTTGGGTGGTAGATTCGTCATTGGTCTTGGTGTTGGGCAAATGAGTGCCACTGTCCCATTGTACAACGCCGAAGTCTCGTCCACAGAAATCAGAGGTGCTGCGCTGGCCGTCTTCCAATTGAGTATCACCTTGGGTATCATGATCTCCTACTGGATCACGTACGGTACAAACTTCATTGGCGGAACAGGTGAAAATCAAAGTCAAGCCGCGTGGTTGGTCCCAATGTGTATCCAAGCGCTACCAGCCGTCATTTTCGCCGGTTTCATCTACATGTTCCCCGAATCTCCTAGATACTTGATCAATATTGGTGAAGAACAAAAGGCATTGGAAAACCTCGCATGGTTGCGTGAGACACACAAGGACGACGAGATCTTGCAGTTAGAGTTCTTGGAAATGAAAGCACAAAAAATCTTCGAAGAAACTTTGCAAAAACAAGCCTACCCAGACTTGCAAGACGGCTCATTCAAGTCCCAGTTCAAGGTCAATTTCTACCAATACAAGTCCATGATCACCCATAAACCTACATTCAAGAGGGTCTCCATTGCCTGTTTGACCATGGTGTTCCAACAGTGGACCGGTGTCAACTTCATCTTGTACTATGCCCCATTCATCTTTGCCTCCTTGGGGTTGTCTGGTAACACCACTTCCTTGCTTGCCTCGGGTGTCGTTGGTATTGTCATGTTCTTGGCCACCATTCCAGCCGTGTTGTGGGTTGATAAGCTCGGAAGAAAGCCGCTCTTGGTCTCCGGTGCCATCATCATGGGTTGCTGTCATTTCATCGTTGCCGGTATCTTGGGCTCGTTCGAAGGCAACTGGACTGAACACGCTGCTGCTGGTTGGGTTGCTGTTGTGTTCATCTGGATCTTTTCTGCTGCCTTTGGTTACTCCTGGGGTCCATGTGCCTGGGTCATTGTCTCTGAAGTCTTCCCTCTTGGTTTGAGAGCAAAGGGTGTTTCCATTGGTGCTTCTGCAAACTGGCTCTGTAACTTCTCCGTTGCCATGGCCACTCCAGATTTCGTTGCTAGAACAAAGTACGGTGCCTACATCTTCCTTGGTGCCATGTGTATCTTGGGTCTGTTGTATATCTTCTTTATGGTTCCGGAAACCAAAAACAAGACCTTGGATGAATTGGACGAAGTGTTTGGTGATTTCGAAGGTACTTCCAGAAAAGAAGCTGAGCTTCATGAACAAATTCTTAAAGATATTGGATTGCTTGATTTGCTTAATGGGGAATTGCCATCTAGTGATCCTAAACCAGAAGTTGAAATGAAGGAAAATGACCTTGCCAGTTCCGAAGTCAACAGTAAATAGATGCTATTATACCGTGTTGTATGAGGGGTTTATTTTTTATTTTTTACTAGTTTAGTTCTGTTATTTTCTGATAACTTTTTTAGTTTACACTTTAATTAACTGTTTAAATAAGTACAAATATTTTAATGATTATTAAATTTATGTCGACAATGATGTACGAACTCTTTAAACTTTGTACTCCACATACAGCCTACCACGTTTAACAACAATACAATACGTGTGTGCAAATTTATTAAGGTTTCTACTGGAGCGCGCAGTACAGAAGAAAACTAGAATCTTCCGAATCATCATCACATCAAACAATAATAACAACAAAAAAAAAGTTCACCACTTCGTAATTAACTACTTTACAATAACATACACATCTACTCCCATAAACATATTCATGGCATACGGAATTAGATTTGTTGGTGGTATACTCACCTTGTATTTGTTCTATGTCTGGACCTTTATTTGTCCATTGACTTCAATTGATAACCAAACCAACTCATTATCCCCCATCAATCATCACTTTTGTTCATTAAGTAATAATTATATCAAACCTCATTTCTATCCAATTTATGAAGAACATATTGCTCCTTTATGGCTTTCTATGGATGAAAAATTTGCTCTTGTGGATAAATATGATCAAAGTATTTCTTTTGCCCATTCAGTTGATGAAAAATTTGGCATCAATAATGCCATTGGTAAATTCAGTGAATCTGCTTGTGATTATTTACAAAAACTGATTGATTATTTCCAAGATAATATTGCTCCTAAGCTAGTAAGGGCTTTGAAATTGTTTATTTTGAAAGCTAGGGTTTATTGGGAATTATTCAAGATCAATTCTCAATATTATTCTACTCCTATTATTAACCAATTACATAAACTTGGACAATCGATTAAATCTGTTGAATTCATTGCAAAATCGATTGATTTCATCAATGATTTCTTCATCAAATTGGCTACTTCTAAGAATGCATTGAAGCTTCAAGAAAAATCTAAATTTGTTCAACAAGAATTTAAGAATTTGATCCATATGGAAGAATTCAATGCTAGTGAGATCAAAAATAATGTCATGCAAAAAGTCAAAGATATTCTTGGAGAAAATGTATTTGACAAGGAAGAAGTTGATGAATCCGTTGAAGCAGCTGAAGATGTCACTGATGTTGATGACGATGGAGTCTATGATGAAGAATATGATGATGAAGAACCTGAAACTATTATTGTTACGTCTACCATTGTTGTTACAGAAGGATCAAATGCTGTTTCTACTGATGATCCTGTTTTGGGTCCAGTTTTACATGAAATCAATTACTGGGAAATCAAAGTTAACAAGTCAATGACATCTGCTATGAATAATTTACAATCAGAGATGAAGCCAATTCTTGATTCTATAATTGAAGAAATCAAACCAGAAATCAGTCAAATTATGCAAGATTTACAAAAGGTAAATGCTGAAAGATATTCCAAGATGAATAAGAAAATCGCTGCAATTACTAAAGACTTCGAAGAAATGAAAGAAAGTAACGATACTTCAATAGAAACTGTCAATCGTCAAGAAATAAGAGATGATATTTCGGAATGTTCTGAATCTACTCAACAAGAATCTAAAAGAATACAAGACATTTTAACCAAGAGTCATCAACAAGTCTTGGTCTCATATTTCAAAGTTTTGCAAGAAACAATTGATATTTTGGAAACCACTAGTGAGGGAACTATCAACAATTTCCAAAATCAATTAAATAATTTGATTAATCAATTAGAAATAGATGACGAAGAAGAAATCAATTGGAAAATCTGGAAGAAATTCCATAAAATTAAAGAATCATTGTTTGACTTTAGAGATTTTTTATTTAATTCAGCCAATGATTATAAAGTAGATAATAAAGGTAAGACAGTTGTTGGTTTGGAAGAATGGAACAAGTATTTGCAAAACATTGAAGCTCATTTGAACTTTTTGGTAAGAGATAACATTGAATATTTGCAAATAGTTAGAGCCAGGGCTAATATTGCATTCCAAATGAGAGAAGGTTTGGTTTATGATTTGAACAAACTAGATGAAGAAAAGGCACAAAGGGAACAAGAGCAGGAAAAAGAAGTTGTTGAAGAAGTGCTTGTTGATGAACAAATTCAGGAGCCATTCAAAGCTCCAGAAGACTATGAAGAACCTGTTGAAGAATCTGAAGATGTTGAAGAATCTGAAGATGTTGAAGAATCTGAAGATGTTGAAGAATCTGAAGATGTTGAAGAATCTGAAGATGTTGAAGACTTAGATGGAGATGATGTCACTGAACCTATTCAGGAAGAAGATGTTGTGATTGAACAAGATGTTGAAGAATCTCCAATTGAAGAAGAAATAGAATACATTGAGGAAGAAATCATCGATGATGCCTCAATTGATTCCAGTGAAACATCAATTGAATCTGTCGAAGTCAAATCAGAATCTACCCCAGATTTCGGAACCTCTTCCGAATCAAGTGATACCCTTGTGAAATCGGATTCTCCAGAAGATGAAGATGAAGCTGACGACGAAGAAGAAGTTGATAGTGATAATCATGAATTTACCATTGAAGTAGAAGAAGTATATGATGAGATCATACTTGAAGATGAACCAATTGAAGATGAATCTCAAGATAAGATATGAAACTCAAGAACAAATTAAAGACTTATCGATTGTTATGTACTGTTTGTTTTTATTTGTATTAATCTTAATAATTTTATTTCACACCAACCCCGAGTTTCTAATTTAATTTTAACTAACTGTAAAGTGTAATAGATAAAGAATCAATAATCAAATAATGTTTCCTAATAATGAGAGGTTTTTATTGAGTCAAACAATAACTACTGCCTTACCAAATCGGGTTTATACCTCGGAGTTTCGGTCGTTTAAACTCAATCAACAAAGAGGGTGCAAAAATAATTAAATCGAAAGGAACGATAAACAAACAAAAATTGTTGGAGAGAATGAATAAAGGGGGGGTAATTTCATCAAACTAATTTATCTAATAACTGATAAGGGATTGTAATGTAAACCATGCGGAATCTCGTGATTTCATGTTGGAATTTTTTTTTTTTCCTGTCTCTGTCTCTTCTTGTTTCTCTACGTAAGGGCTTATTGTTATAAGAAGTAACGTATGACGGCGGTAAAAAAAATGTAATGGGAAGACGGAAGAATATAAATTTTAAACTATGCAATGTTCAAGCAGATCATGAGATGTCAAAAAGAATGCATTTCATTGGTTGGTGATAGGATATTATAGGCTACCAAGTATCTGAAAGAGTAGGTAGACAATTGTGGGGCTGGTTACAAGGACTTTTACTCAACAAGAATAGAGGGGTAATGATGAGGAAGAATACGTATAATAGAAAGAAAGAAATGTCTATAAGTTTAAAACTTTAGATAAGGATATCGGAAAAAGAAGATTCGTCGAAGCGGAAATTGCAGCCTTGAGGAAGAGAAAAAATAATAATAGTAATAATAATATTAATGATTATAATGATAATCAGATTGTCTTATGATTGATCTGTGAGACTATGGCAGTTCATCCAAGACAAATTGATGATCTAATTCGCACATGTTCATCCATACTTCCGAATAGTGGTCTACATAAAGGCATATTGTTTTATTCATGGAATGTCTTTATTCTTCGTTGCTGTTTTGATGTAGGACAAAGACAAAGACAAACTAGAATGTCATAATCAGGAACATTTTTTTTTTTTTTTCGTTGTTGATGTTTTAATCTGCAATGAGTTGGTTGGTAATCAGTTAACCTTCGATTGGTTTAAATTTTTTATTTTTATTTTTTTTTTTTGTCTCTGGTTCTCTAGATTGTTGATTTCTTTCTGTACTCTCTTGTAATTGTGCACGGGCACACGACTATATAATTTATCCTAATTTGGATTTGGCTTTTTTTTTCTTTTTACTCAACTTTTCTTTTTTTTTGCATTATGGACCACCGGAAGAGATTGAAAAATTATTTTGTCTTTCTTTTTTTTGCTGTTGTTTACAATTGCTGGAGAATCAACAATATCAACAACAAAAAAGCAATTTATACAAAGTGAAATGCTCGAGTATCAATGGTAAGATCTTTTTATAAGGGTTGATTGATTTAAAATAAAGAATAAACGAGTCAGATTTATCGTTATGTATGTAATTATTAGTTAATTTCAAATTTGGGATAAATATTCCCTCAAAAGAGACAAATCAGAAACAAAGCAAAACAAAGAGAAACAGAAACAGAAACAGAAAACGTCAGATGAAATTGAGATACAAAAATTACTTGGAAGCAAAGTTGCAAATCCACTGTAGTGAGTATTCTCTCAAATGTTCTCGTACTTCATCCGCATCCAATTCAGTGATATTTGTGCGCTAAATTCTTTTGAGACACTTTTTCTCCTTTTTATTTCAAACAGGACATTCAATATGAGGAACTGTATCCATCACACAGCCAGTATTGTATTGACTCTTCTTTAATTATGAGCCTCCACCTCCAATCTCCACCGAGAAAAAGTTACAAGGCAAAGAAGACGCGTACAATTTCTTCGATATCCACATATTCTCCCTCGCCTCCCCATATTATCTGTGGCCCTGTTTAAAAGGACCATACCGCCTTACTGAGATATTAGTCGATTCTCTATTCATAAACCCATTAAGCATGTATGAAGGAAATGTAAAAATAACTCAACAAATAAACAATCTAGCCCTCGCCCCCCCTTGTACAGCACCACACCCACAAAAGGTGATGTGTTCCCTAAACCCGCGCAATCAGAAAAAACCTCATGCACCTCACCTTTGTTATGGGGAATTTGGTTGTGTGCAGTATGTTGCTCCAGGAGCTGTGATTGGCTGTGATAAATATTCCCTGTCTTGTCAGGATATTGTCATCGTTTCTTTTTCTCTGTTTTGGCGTGTGCGCATTACAAAAAGGATTTTCTTGAGGATAAAATTTATATTATCTAACATGATGAACAGAAGTATATAAATACACTTGCAATTACGTTCATTTTGAAAAGTTGCAAATTATAAAAGACTCTCTTTTGATTTCTTCTTTTCTTTTCCTTATCGTCATAGACAATCATTTATCTTTCTGATTAGACCTAGGTCAGTCTTTCCAACTACTTTCCCCCACACACACACATATACATAATAATAATAAAATGTCAGTCCCAATTACTGAACAAACTGCTATCTTAGCTAAATACTTAGAATTACCTCAAAGAGGTAAGGTTTTGGCTGAATATGTTTGGATTGATGCTGAAGGTAACACCAGATCCAAATGTAGAACCTTGTCCAAAAAACCATCCACTGTTGATGATTTGCCAGAATGGAATTATGATGGTTCCTCCACTGGTCAAGCTCCAGGTAATGATTCCGATGTTTACTTGAGACCAGTTGCTTTCTACCCAGATCCATTCAGAAAAGGTGACAACATTATCGTTTTGAACGAATGTTGGAACAATGATGGTACTCCAAACAAATTCAACCACAGACACGAATGTGCTAAATTAATGAAGGCTCACTCTTCTGAAGAAGTTTGGTTTGGTTTAGAACAAGAATATACCTTGTTTGATCAATATGATTACCCATACGGTTGGCCAAAGGGTGGTTTCCCAGCTCCACAAGGTCCATTCTACTGTGGTGTCGGTACTGGTAAAGTTGTTGCTAGAGATGTTATTGAAGCTCACTACCGTGCTTGTTTATACGCTGGTTTGAACATTTCTGGTATTAATGCCGAAGTTATGCCATCTCAATGGGAATTCCAAGTTGGTCCATGTGAAGGTATTGAAATGGGTGATCAATTGTGGATTGCTCGTTATTTATTGCAAAGAGTTGCTGAAGAATTTGGTGTCAAGATTTCCTTCCATCCAAAACCATTGAAGGGAGACTGGAATGGTGCTGGTTGTCATACCAATGTTTCTACTAAAACTATGAGAGTACCTGGTGGTATGAAGGTTATTGAAACCGCCTTAAGTAAATTGGCTAAGAGACACAAGGAACACATGTTGTTGTATGGTGCCGATAATGATCAAAGATTGACTGGTCGTCATGAAACTGGTCACATGGACACTTTCTCCTCCGGTGTTGCTAACAGAGGTGCTTCTATTAGAATTCCAAGACAAGTTGCCAAAGAAGGATATGGTTACTTTGAAGATAGAAGACCAGCTTCCAACATTGACCCATACTTGGTTACCGGTATTATGGTTGAAACCATTTGTGGTTCAATTCCAGATGCTGATATGGCTAAAGAATTCCTTAGAGAAAGTAGTGATGAATAAGTGTAGATGCTTGTTAGTTTTCTATTTCTTTACATTATTTTAATTTTCCCTTTTTTTTATTCTTTTCCAAAAAAAAAAAGTTGTATAATTTCTTTCAGTTCATGATTCCACCATTTTCTTTATTTAGTTTATAGTTTTTATATATCTTATTTAATTTGCATTTTACGTTTTATATCAAAGATAAATTTAGTAGATTTACGATTGCATTCTCTAATGATAAGCTTCTCCATGTTTCGTATAATGGGATCTCGGAGGTATATCTCTATTTGAGAGTGTGTGTGAGAGAGAGAGGATCATTGGTAAACGATAAAGAGTTGTACCTGAGTCAAGAAATACAATTTAATTCCCCAAGATTCATACTACAGAGAGGGTTGAAGTTTATTGAAGTAATATTTCTGTTTTGTATGTTAGCATGAGGGATTTTTTTATTTTTTTTTTTTTTATTAATTTTTTAGTTTTTTAATTTGCTACTGGAAAGGAAGGCGGTAACATTTATTTTTTTTATTTTGTTTTCAGGATTTGTCTTGTCAGGAAATGAAGTTTTGTTTAGTTTCCTGGATTTTATACAACAAATAGAATAAGAATAAGTAATGGAAGGGAAAAAAATGCGTCATCCTCATCTTCATCTTCATCTTCAGCTTCATCATGCTTTTAACTAAAACTATTTTGTGGATTGGCTAATTAATTAGAAGGAGAAAGGAGAACGCAAAAGAACGAAATTTAATTACAGAAAAATCATTTCATGTCACAAGAAGAGGAAATGAAGTGTGCGATTTAGACAGGTATTGAAATTCCCGAAAAATCCTAGTTTCAAAAGACTCTAATTTCAACTAATATTAAGCTTTGATGGAAAACATTATATGTTTGAACCATGTTATGTTTGATCATTGATAGTTTTAATTTTCTCTTTTTTTTTTAAATTGAATTTTTCGTGATGATGATGTTGATGAAAATTTCTTTTTTTAGTAACAAATTGCAACCAATTTCAAAGGAAAAAGAATTTTCTCATTGATGGAACTTCTCTACCGCTCAATCAAGCAAGAGAGAAAAAAAAAAGATCGTGATCCCTCAATGACTGCAAAAAAAAATAATGGGATAATTTCCTAATTAGTATAAAACATATACAACCACTTGGAAATAAGGCACATAACATCTGAAACTCATTTATGGAAATGATCTTTCTATTACATTTCTAGTTCCAAACATATTTGTGCTGGTTGATTGAATTGTGAATGATGATGTTGAAATAGATGAGACCTTTCATAACAAGTTGCTTCCAAAAATGAGAATGTAACCTCATGAAAAGGTCATTCATTCTGAATTACAATTATTACTCTGTAACTTGACAGAATTTGACAATGTGAAACCGTTATACAACGGATCGAGTTTTGCAACAAAAGGCAAGAAATTTGTTGCAATTGTACATGAGTAACGCATACAAAAGAAAAAGAAAACTGAAATATTACGTAGTTATAAAGTGTGGCTATTATATAACATTGTAAAGCGTACAAAAGACACTCAGAACATTACTTGCAAACTGTTCTTTTAATATTAAACATACAGTCTAAAAAAAGAAAAAAAGAAATGCCATCACCAGGAATCGAACCTGGGTCTAGTCGGATTTGTTGTGTACTCCACAACGACTCGTACTGACCACTATACTATGATGGCTGGTTGGTTGTGATGGAGAAAGAGACGTGATCTCAAGCTTAGATATTCTACTGTATAAGATTTCATATCCAAAATTGTTAGTGTAATTTTCTTTCGCTTTTGGTACTATAATTGCAATTTTTTTTTGCAACATCTGTTAGACAAAAAGAACTTTATTCTCAAAAAATCAATTCACAAAATGTTTAGAATCTCTCATTTGAGGGTATTTAGGATATCTTTTTTACTCTACCAACCATGTGAAGGGTTGTAAAGTTTGGTCGCATTATGTCAAGAAATACATCAACAAGTTTAGCTTTATAATATTACATTAATACATTTGAAAATCACTTGACAAAATTTATAATATGTACTTTCGCAAAGTTAACTTACATCTAGAAAAAGTACAATACAAATATATTGCACTATTTGAATGTTCAACTTTTTCAGACAAATCTATGAAAATACCAATCAACCCATCTTAATTAAGATTTCTGCAATGAGTACCATTACTGTTAAATATTTCGCAAGAGGCTGACTACAATATTCACGATGAGTGATAAATAACATACCAAAAAAAAAAAGAAAAACTTAAATGACAATGGTAACATTCAGAAATATTCAAAGTATAATTCGTCAGGCAACATTGGAGTAATTTACAAATCGACAATTTGAGGCAGTGTCACCATCACAACCAACCAGCCATCATAGTATAGTGGTCAGTACGAGTCGTTGTGGAGTACACAACAAATCCGACTAGACCCAGGTTCGATTCCTGGTGATGGCATTTCTTTTTTTGTTTATATTCTTTTTATATTTTTAACAAAAATATCTTCAAAAGCATTAGCTATAGGCGCCGTATCCTTTTGCAAGGGTCACAACACGGTGGGTATCGTTTAACCAACACCACTGCAGGACAAAAAGCATGTCACCTTAGACATTAACGCTCGTGTTAGTCGTGTATAGTGGGCAGAAAAATTAAAAGTAATTTGTGTTTATCAACAATTTTTCTCAGTTTTTTCTTTTTGAAATTGTTAATTTTTCTTTTCGTTCATCAGTAGAGGACAACCTACGACAAATAAAAGCATATAACATGTCTGAAGAATACGTATGTTGAAATCATTTCCAATTGCATGGGGAATATTGTAAGGACAACTAACGTACTAACATTTCACTTTTATTATAGTCACCATTAGTCGTTGATAGTACATTTTTGACCGATTCCAAAAAGATTATTAAGGAGAGAATTATCCCATGGGAGGGTTTAGCAAGATCTGACGTTGTATCTGAAGACGATGCCAACCATATCAAATTATTGGAAAAACAATCAATTGAGAATAGAAACAATACTGTTAAGGGTCAATTGGACTTGTATTCTAAAACCTTGTTGAATGTCTTGAATAGAGTTGATAAGGATGATGTTATCAAGAACGTATTGGCTTTGATTAATGACTTGTTGTTGGATTTGCCAGAGTTTTTAGATGCCATTTTGAAATTGTCAAATGTTGATAAGTCCTTACCTTATGCTCCATTCCTTAATCATTTAGATAACAAAGATGATTTAATAAAGAGTTTAAGTTTATACAACCTTGAGATTATTTTGGCCAAGGCCAAATCTGTTCAAGACGATGAAGTATTAATTAAAATCTTTAGTGTTGTGTCATCAATTATTGGTGGATCAGATTCAAATTATCAATTTATTGGTTTACAAATTTTGCAAGATTTGTTGATTGTCAAGCCATTCAAAGCAATCTACCAAAATCATAACTTGATTGCTAACTTTAAACCAATCAATAATTTGATCACCAAACTGGCAACTAACTCCAATGCTACTGGTTTGCAATTATCTTACAATATCTTGTTAGTTGCTTGGATTTTATCCTTCAGTGGACCAATGAACAAAGCTTTGCTCCACAACTTCCCTCAATTAGCTGGTAGTCTTTTAACTATCGCTAAGGACTCGATTAAATTAAAGATTGTCCGTGTTGCTGTAGCAATTTTGAAAAACTTTGTCGATGTAACAACTTCACCACAAGAGCAATTCAAAGTTATCAAGTTATTGTTATTCCATGGTGCTTTGAACACCGTTAACACTTTGAAGGAAAGAAAATTTGCATCCAATGGAAGTGACGAAGAGTTATCCAACGATTTGAACTACTTGTCTGAAAGTTTGAATGAAATTGTAACTTCCAAGTTGACTTCCTTTGACGAATATTTAACAGAATTGGAAAACCCTAAACTTATAAGTTATGCCTCTCCAACTCATAAATCCAGCGAATTCTGGTTAGAAAATAGTGGCAAATTTAAAGATTCAAATTTCAAATTAGTCAAGAAGATTTTTGACATCTTAATCCAAAATTCATCAGACAATTCTACAGTTAATACTATTTTATTGAATGATTTACAATTCTTAATCAAGAACCTTGGCCAAGATTTGATTACCTTTATCAACACTGAAAAGGGTGGACAATATAAACTTTTGATTATGTCATTTTTAGAAAATAGCCAGGGTAACAATGAATTGAAATATGAAGCTTTAAAGACTATTCAATTATTGGTTGGCCACAATTTTTAAGTCACTCAAAAGTTAATTAAGTAGGTTTTCACTCTCTGGAACTTCTTTTTTTTTGATAAAAACAATATACAAGCATATAATGGATTGAGAGCCATGTGCACGAACCATATTGGGTTTTTACAGTAAAACGCTGTATAAAAAATGAATATCATTCTAATCATAATTAGAAACTTATATTTAGTTAATAAATTATACAATAACCCATGAAACTTAGCAAAGCGAAAAATAACAGAACTAAACTAGTAAAAAATAAAAAATAAACCCCTCATACAACACGGTATAATAGCATCTATTTACTGTTGACTTCGGAACTGGCAAGGTCATTTTCCTTCATTTCAACTTCTGGTTTAGGATCACTAGATGGCAATTCCCCATTAAGCAAATCAAGCAATCCAATATCTTTAAGAATTTGTTCATGAAGCTCAGCTTCTTTTCTGGAAGTACCTTCGAAATCACCAAACACTTCGTCCAATTCATCCAAGGTCTTGTTTTTGGTTTCCGGAACCATAAAGAAGATATACAACAGACCCAAGATACACATGGCACCAAGGAAGATGTAGGCACCGTACTTTGTTCTAGCAACGAAATCTGGAGTGGCCATGGCAACGGAGAAGTTACAGAGCCAGTTTGCAGAAGCACCAATGGAAACACCCTTTGCTCTCAAACCAAGAGGGAAGACTTCAGAGACAATGACCCAGGCACATGGACCCCAGGAGTAACCAAAGGCAGCAGAAAAGATCCAGATGAACACAACAGCAACCCAACCAGCAGCAGCGTGTTCAGTCCAGTTGCCTTCGAACGAGCCCAAGATACCGGCAACGATGAAATGACAGCAACCCATGATGATGGCACCGGAGACCAAGAGCGGCTTTCTTCCGAGCTTATCAACCCACAACACGGCTGGAATGGTGGCCAAGAACATGACAATACCAACGACACCCGAGGCAAGCAAGGAAGTGGTGTTACCAGACAACCCCAAGGAGGCAAAGATGAATGGGGCATAGTACAAGATGAAGTTGACACCGGTCCACTGTTGGAACACCATGGTCAAACAGGCAATGGAGACCCTCTTGAATGTAGGTTTATGGGTGATCATGGACTTGTATTGGTAGAAATTGACCTTGAACTGGGACTTGAATGAGCCGTCTTGCAAGTCTGGGTAGGCTTGTTTTTGCAAAGTTTCTTCGAAGATTTTTTGTGCTTTCATTTCCAAGAACTCTAACTGCAAGATCTCGTCGTCCTTGTGTGTCTCACGCAACCATGCGAGGTTTTCCAATGCCTTTTGTTCTTCACCAATATTGATCAAGTATCTAGGAGATTCGGGGAACATGTAGATGAAACCGGCGAAAATGACGGCTGGTAGCGCTTGGATACACATTGGGACCAACCACGCGGCTTGACTTTGATTTTCACCTGTTCCGCCAATGAAGTTTGTACCGTACGTGATCCAGTAGGAGATCATGATACCCAAGGTGATACTCAATTGGAAGACGGCCAGCGCAGCACCTCTGATTTCTGTGGACGAGACTTCGGCGTTGTACAATGGGACAGTGGCACTCATTTGCCCAACACCAAGACCAATGACGAATCTACCACCCAAGATAAAGTTATAGTTGCCGCCATGGACGGTGGCTTGAACAATGACACCCACAATAAACAAAATACAACCAGAAACAATAGCACCTCTTCTACCGACCTTATCGGCGATGTACCCGTTGGCCAAGACCCCGACCCAGGCACCCAATTCCAAGATGGACGTCAACAAACCTTGCAAAGTAGGATTATCTTGGATTCTACCGACACCGGCGACCTTACTGAACGAGTTCATACCGGAGATCTGACCAAACATACCTTGGTTGTACCCGTACAAGAGACCACCCAAGGCGGTAAACAAACAGACACCAAAGGATCTTTTGTTGTGGATGATGGCACCAAACCCTGGCTTGACAGAGGAGCCGAGACGTTTTTCGACAATGAGCTTTTGAATTTCTGAACCTTCTAAATCACCACCGTGCATTTTATTGATGTGTCTGTGATACGAGTAGTGTGATGTGAAATAGTAAAGTGAAGTGATTTACAAGAATGATAAGTATATGCAAAAACAAAAAGGTGATGAGTAATAGAAGATAACCTCAGGTATTTATAGGTTAGACAGAGAAAGGAAAGAGTGTGCGTGTGCGTGTGCGAGTCTGAGTGCGTGGGTTTGTGTTTATATGAAGCTACCCCACCATCTTTAATTAGCTATGATATAGTGATTACCATAATCCTGGATTGGGTAGAATTATAATATCTGATCATTTCTTTTGCATTCTGGGGGAAACAATGTTAGTGCAAAAGAAAAGACAATGAAGCAAAACAAACAAAAAAAAAAAAATAAAAAGAAAAATGCGAAAAGAAAATTTTACATTAACGCGGTTTGTTCACCTCTCGGATGGAATTGCTGTTTGATGGATGGATGGAGAGAGGGAATAATTATGAAACACAAGTAACAAAATCGCCATCAAATAATATCCAACCAAGGAAAAACTCACGGGTGGCTTACCAAAGCAACCACCAGAACAACCACCAGGGCAACCGCCAAAGCAACCACCAGAGAGTGTTTCTGGCAAAGCCAATCTCACCAGTGATTCTCATGTAGTCCAATGTGTGCGTGACTGCAAAAATAAACTGACTAAAAAAGAAAGCAAATATTATTGTACCAGAGTTGGTAATTTAAAAATCCAATTAATTGTGAATATAATAATTAATCCGGGTTTGTATTGCTTTTTTGTTTATTCCAGATGGTAGATTTCCATAACCAAATTACGTTTTCCCCACAAATGAAACTCGACTGAGATCCATTAGAAGAGCAAGTTAACGATATACGTACGCAACTACGAGGTTAGCCACTTTACATCGAATTTTTGTTTTGAAAAAGCTGGGGTTTTTGGGGCTTTTGGGGCTTTTAGGGTTTCGCTTCGAATTGAGTTTTGAAGTTTTTTATTTATTAAAAAAATCCGAGTCGATTGTTGTGAATGCAGTCTTGGCGGATGCATGGGTGTAGACTGTGTTAAAAGAAAAAGAAAGACAAACGCCGTGGTGCTTGCATTTGGTGTTGATTGGTCGAGAGTGGGTTCATGAAGGGTATTATTTAGTTGACAAGAAAAAATAGATGTCTATAATTAGGTTAGATAATTGATTCTATTCATGTAGCTATCCAAAAGGAAGGTCTAATTTAATTATTATATTTCATTTAATTGTTTCTAGTAGAATCCTGTCTAATTTGTGTATTGATCGTACGAGTATACTAACTTGTCAAGAAAACTTAAGCTATGAATAACACACCGGAAATCACATTAGGAACTGAATTATATCAATAGAGCAACTATTCAAGTAACTCCTTTAACTCTTTCACATTATTTGCTGGCGAAATACTTTGAGATCGTTGCAATCGAATTCCCTATGTTGGTTAAAACAATTCACACATTCAAACACTCGATCAACACCAATGATACTGAACAAAATAAAAAAAAGACTAAACTTTGAATCTATAGATTCCATTCTTAGGTTTAGTTGGCTACTATTTGTTATTTGATAATATGAGGGTTTTGGTACAAATGGCTGACTTCCATATATTCCACTACATGCAGGAATTCTGAAATTAACGAAAGAAAAAAAAAATTTAACAAAACAAGTACTTCAATACGCGTGTGATTCAATACATCGGGACGAATTCAATACATAGCCAACTTTGAGGACAATGGCTAAGATTAACCAAGATATGATCTACCGGGATCATAGAATTAAAACTTTTGAAGAATCACAAGTTGTGAAAGAAAGGTCGTTTCTTTGGGAGGACCATACCGATGTTGTTAATGTCGATGTATTGATCAATGCAGGGTTCTATTATAATCCAATTAGACGTTATAAGACAAGAGTTACATGTACATACTGTGGTCATTCATCATATATAAATAGTCAGAATGATCTTGACAAAATATTATACAAACACAAACGAGCCAATTCATCGTGTCCTATGAATCAAATCCTTGAAATGGTTAAATTAACTTCAAAAGTAAAAAATAACCACCATGAAGTTAAGAGACTTTGGCAGAAGAATCAAAACTTTCTGGATCCATCTAGTTCAGAGAGTCAAGCTTTTAGGGAACAATTTTACATTAACTATCCATTAGATAAAATTGATTCAGTGCCCAATTCTAGATCATTATCAAAAGCAGGTTTTATTTATAGTCCCAGAAGTATTGAAGATGATAGAGTAACATGTATGTATTGTCAATGTGCATTAGATTTCTGGGAAGTTGATGATGATCCTATTCAAGAACATATTAAGAATGAACAGGGATATTGTTACTTTTTGGATACACTTAATATTAGCACGAGTGGACAGATTGTACCTGAAGAGTCAAATGAATCAATTGCACTTGACGAGCCAACTAAATCAAATGTACCCGACGAGTCAACAAAATCAAATGTACCCGACGAGTCAACAAAATCAATTGAAGAGTCAATGAAAGAGGTATCTGATTCACAGGATGAACAGGACCAAGAAGATAGTAAAGTTGATGGCCTGAGCATTGTTGAAGTCTCTCGAAATACGAAAGATGACAAAACCAAGAATTCCACTAGCATTTTTAATGAAAGCGATAGCGGGAGTGAAAATGATATTGTGGAGATTCAAGAGATTCAAGAGCAAAATATGATCCATCAAAATGAGATCAAAGATGATTCTATGTTGGTTGACGAAACAAGCAATAAGAGTGCTGATGTCAATAATGATGAATTACCCGATTTTGATGAGCAAATAGATGATGAAAGTACAAATAATCATTTCGACAACTCGTTTCTGTCGCCAAATACATCTCGGTCCAAGAATCTGTCAATAATTAAACTGCCAGTAAGAGAGACCAGTGAACAACCAGCCACCTACAGAAGATCAAAACGCATAAAAAGATTGTACAGTGAGAGAGATCGAAATGTGGATTATTGGGACAAAATTCCGGATGATGATTTGCTCCAGGAATTTATTGATGTATCACAGAAGTCAACCAGCTCCAAGAGGGAGAAAGAGAAACAGAGAGACACTGATTCGAAGGATGACCAAATCAAGAGCGATGATAGACATCTTGAATTAGATTTCAGTGAAGACCACTCTCAAAATGATGATTTTGACATCCCTATGAATGAGCCTGACAATATTGAAGAAGATAATGATGTGCAAGAAATGCTGGACATTGAAGAAATCATCAAACCTGAAACTCGAAGTGAAAGTCTGGATGAAGAGAAGCACAAAGAAATTGAGTCTGAAGAAGAAGACTCTACAACAGACGCCGAACACAAGAGTAGAATATCATTAGAGAAAGAAGTGTCTGATATAGAACTGGAAAGTGAAGTTGAAATATCTGATAGCAGACATGTGACAAATGAGAATGAAAATAATTTAGAGTCAGATGCTGAAAATGAGAAACACGGATCTGAGAATGAGGTTGACGAATCAAATGCAGAATCAAATGCAGAATCAAATGCAGAATCAAATGCAGAATCAAATGCAGAATCAAATGAAGAAGAACAACTAGAATCTGAATATGAAAGTGAGAATGAAAGTTCAGAAATACCAGAACCTGTTGATGAGCTGTATGAAGTTACAGAATCTTCTGACGATTCTATCGATGTATTTGAGACTTTGAGAAAGAAACCCAAATCGGCTACCAAGAGGAACAAGGAACCAACTCCAAAGGTAGAAGCTAAAACTAAGACTAAACCGGAACCAAAACAACCAAGAAAAATAACAATAACAAGAAGGGAAAAATCAACCACCCCCCTTCCTAGTTTATTTGATGATTCCAGTGATAATTTTGAATATGACGAAAAACATGTTGAAAAACTTGAAAGTCAGGTAGCCAAAAAACCAGTGGGGCGTAAGTCAGATGAAGCAAATATCAAGAGTATTTTGCCAGTTCCTAAAAATCCATCACCTCCAAGAAAACTTTCAATTACTGCAGATCAAAAATCAACGGGAAAACACAATTCGTCACCTATTAGATTCTTAGATGGATTAAAAGAGTCTAAAGCAAAAAGAAGAAAGGTATCCAAACCTAACATTCTTGATATGTCATTTGAATCAGCACAAAAGTTTAGTAGCCCTATAAGATTTTCACAATCAAAAAAGGAGAATGGAATCATTGCGAAATCTGATGACGAAAAAGAATTAGGATCTAACAATAAAGTCATTAATGAATCTCCTTCAAACGATGATAATAGCCTTGACAATAACGATGAAGTTAAGAACGTTAGCAACTTATTGAAAGGTATTGATAGTTGTGATGATTCATCTCACTCTATAGACAAGAAATCGGATTCAGTCATTTCTAAAGAGAGTGAACATACTTTTGAGGATTCCCCTAAGAAGGAATCAGAATCAATAGACCCGGATGCAAGTTATGATATATTATTTGACAACGGTGAAGAAAATGATAAGGAAGATCAAAACGAAGTTTATGTTGATGCTGAGCCTGAAGGAAAGAATGAACCTTCAAAGAGAATGGCCACGGTTGAAAAAGTTGTCGAGCAAGTTGTTTCTTCTCGAGACAAAATCGAAAGATTATCTACACCGAATATCGAAGAAATTCAAGGAACCAGTACGTCAAACAATTCCAGAATTGATATTGACGATGAGGATGCCGAAAGTGTTGATGATTCACCGTTGGATAAACCCAATGTAGAATCGGGTGAAGGGATTGCAGATGACACTAATAGCATTGAAGAATTGGTAACCAGCGAAGAAGGGGAAGGTGATGATGTTCATGAAGATGATAGCAAGATTCAGAAAGACAATGATTTAAATCCAAATGATTCTTCACCTAAAAAACTTTACTTAGACACCATTGAATTTGATAAATCGCCAGTCAAAGAAATTATTGAACCAGAAGAAGTTTACCCCGATAGCAACAGAGAGGAAGATACGGTTGATATTTTGTTATCCATGGAGCCAAAAGCGTCACCGGCAAGAGGAAGAAGCAGAGAATCGACCAAAGATCTAAAAAAGGAACAAGTAGATATCGACTCAGTAGAGTCAGAGTCAGAGTCGGAATCGGAATCAGAATCGGAATCGGAAAAGGAGATAACAGCTGAATCCAATTTGTTGTATAATGTTACAAACCAAGAGGAAAACTCCATGTCACGAAAGGAAGAGACAGACAAGGTAAGACATGCTACAGAAATCAATGATATATCCAATCATATCCATAGTGATCAGAGGATTGATTCACCTCGAGCAGCGATCAACAAAAGGATATCTTTTAAGGACCCTGCCACATCTCCATTGGCCATGAACTCTTCATTATCACACATTCACAAACAAGAAGAGGGGACTACTAAAGAAGAAAGAGTTTCATTAAATGGTCCGCAAAAGAGATGGGAACCAAGACCTTTAACAAAATTTGTTGAACAAATAAAGTTTTTAGAATCCAGTGCTAAGGAATTGAAAGAATTGGCCAATTCAGAATACGACTTGAATAATGATGTCAATGGTGATATCACGCGGTTTATTGCGGAAATGCCTGAAGAAGAAGAGGAAATGACAATCAAGCAATGGATGGAACACTGTGCAACTAATTGTCGAGATATAGTCACCCAGTCGTGTAGTGAACTTGGAGATTTTATTCTTGAAGAATATGATCGCGCTATCCAAGAAATTGAGAGTATGCCCACAATTGATTGATTGATTGAAGATGATGAATATACGAAACATCTATGATTTGACTGTGTATCTTATTGTTTATGAAAGGGTTTGTAAACTAAGTAGATTAGTTAGACGATATTCCAGAGCGAGTTTTACATTGCTGTTGGTCATGCCAACTATAACCAGACGCAGACAGGGGGTGTTGGTGGTGGTGAGTATGTTAGACAGCAAGAACGAAAGAAACGAGAACTTTCTTCTGTATTTACAATTTTTAGACTATGCTTGTGAAATGGACAGAAGGAGAAACAATCGCAGAGAGAGAAAGAGAGAGACAAAACTGTACACAGTGGACAACCAAATAAAAAATCAAACAAAAAAAAGTGAGAGAGAGAGAGAGAGAGAGAGAGAGGACGAAGTCAAAGAAGAGGAAAAAAAAATAAACCATGAGAAATAAGAGATCACTTGCAATTAAATCACCAACTTTTTCTTTGATCTCACTTATCAACGATAACAAAAAAAAAATTAGAAAGAAGAGGCACACTTTGGGAGAATCAACATACGTCACCAATAGTTATACAGTATAAGATTAAGTGTATTGTCCGTTATACCCAAACTTGAATTGTGGCAAAAAGGAAATTGAAAAAATAAAAGATACAAGAAAAGAGAATTGTAAATTATTGGCACATTCATTTTCCACCTCCTCCCATAATTGCTGAACTAAAAATAGAAGGAAATCAAATTCAAGATGTCATTTTGGCCATTCACCAATCCATTGAATAGCAATAATGCTTTGCTGAAGTTTTTAGACTCAGTACAGGATTTATCAACGGTAACAGTCGAAGATCTAATAGGTGACCCCACGATCCTGCAAGAGCTTTTAAGTGAGCTTCATAGTATAAAGGGCAATTATAATGCAAAAGGCGGTGCAGGTACCAACTTTCTGTTTCAACAACCACCGTCTCAGGAAATTAATGGCACCAGTTCAGATACCGCATCATTCACTTCGTCAACTAATGAAAACAATAATGCCAACGCCAAAGACACTAAGGGAACAAAGATCATTGAAATATTAATTCAACCATCAATCTTGACCGGATTGATTGATTATTTGGTTAGAAGCGTTGATTTTTTCCATGAGCAGAGCATCAAAGAACAGAAGACTGTTATGGAATTATTGAATGAAAATCCACCAGAAACCGATGAAGTTGAAGAAGAAGAGCTCGAAGAAGTGAGAAGTGGCAAGATTTCTAAAGATTCAGAAGAGGAGGAATCAGAGGATGATAAATTTCGTCGAATGGTGCAAGCAGCTGCAGATATACTTTCAGTAGATTTATGGATTGTTCTGAATCGTATTATTGAAACACCAACCATTATGAATGAATTATGGCTGATTATAAATATGCAAAATTTACTGGAAATTTGTCCCACAGTCTCATATTTGGTTCACATTTTAGACCAATTGATGGATACCAATAGCATAGAACTTTTGAACTTTATCAGGCGTCAAAAGGATCTTGTTGACACATTCTTGGCTAAAATCGAGGTTCCCATGTTAATGGATTTCTTCTTCCGTGTTGTACAAACAGATAAACCAGACTCACCTACAGGTATTATAGAAACAATCGCCCTGCAAAATCTTATTTCGAAACTAATTGATATTTTAAAACCAGAAAGCTCACAATTTGCATTAGACAGTTGTATCCCAAATCACCAATTATTTTTTAAACAAACCGCAGCAACCGATTTCTTGAAAGCCTTGGTTACAATTTCATCAAATGCAGCTTTGGCTGTAGTATTGGAAACTAATATTGGGCCTAATCAGTTGACACGAGAGTTGGTATCACCAGAAATTGTTAAAACAATGATAAATGAGATCATGTTGGTGAAAATTAAAGAGAAAGATGGCAAGTACCAAACCAACAAACACGGAATAAATAATTGTGTCAGTATTGTAATTGAACTTATTCGAAAGAACAACTCGGATTATGATCTCAATTGTGGATCTTATAGTTCCATGCTTCAAAATGGAGATGGGAGCCCGGGTGAAATTAATTCGTATGTTATGTTCCAATGGTTGAAAGACTTTGAACAAAATCCACCGGGTCCAAGAGATCCAATATATTTGGGAGATATGCTTGAACTTTTTTCGAACAATTTAGACAAATTTGCAGAATTAATTCAGATGGAACCAATCCTTCCTATGCATGTGGATACAAACATACTAGGATTTACAAGGTTTAAGTTGTCAGAATTGATTGCAGAATTATTACATTGTTCCAATATGATTTTGCTTAACTCCAGAAAAATCAAAAAAATCATAAGTGTTAGAGACCAGATTAGGTCACAACAAGAAAAAAGACTAAAGAAAGCATTAGAAGACCAGATTTCATTTCCCGAGTCCCCTAGTATCAAGCAAGTGACTTCAGGTATGGATGATGTGTCGTTAGACGATATTCATTTTGGCACTCATTCGAGTGACGAATCTAATGAGTACAGGAAACTTGTTGATAGTTTAGATGATGTGGAAGATTCCGAAGACGAAGAGCCTTCAATTTCACCAGAGAATCCATTTGTTTGTAAAGAGAGAGACAATACAATTAGAGGAGATCCGTGTGTAGGGGATTTCTTCAAGATAAAACTACTTGATCTGAACATATTGTACGATATTATCAATATGTTTACAAAGTTTCCATGGAATAATTTTTTCCATAATGTCGTATTTGATTTGATACAACAAATATTCAATGGTAAACTCAACTCATACAATTCTTTCTTGATTGTTGAATTGTTTAAAGAGAACAAATGTAATTTGACAGAAGTAGTCGTGAAAAGTTATAAGGAAGAAGTAACACCAAGACCAGGCTATATGGGCCATTTAATTTTAATCAGTGAAGAAATAGTTAAATTCACATCACTTTACAAGCCTGATTTGATATCTCCAGTAATAGTGGTTGCTGTTCAATCTGAAAACTGGAACTGGTTTGTAAATGACATCTTGTTAAAGACTCGTGAAGTGTACAATGTTGTTCTTGGTGCAGAAGAAGGAGATGAAAGTAATGATTATGGATTTGACTCATCATCAGTAGGGTACCTTGATATGGACCAGCCCAAGAAAATAATCTTGGGAGATGTATCTAATCACGAAGAGTTTGTCAACGACCGATCTGATGAAACAAATGGTGATGGCCAAGAGGGTAATGAAGACGATAGTGGAAATGACTCTGGTGATGATTATGATATGAACCAATTTCTTGTTCCTGAAGTCAATATACTGAAAATGACACCTAGTGGTGATTTGATTAGTCATGGATCACAGGATGATGATGACGATGACGATGATGATGACGATAATGATTTAGAATACGAAGGTGATACTGGTGATAATGGTCAAGATACAAAATATTTAGAGAATTTGTCAGGAAGTTCATCAGATGATGAAGATGAAGACGATATAGATGATGATGACATAGAAGATGACGAAGACAAGAGCAATGAGTTACGAAGAGTACCAAACCATAGCAATCAATGATTGTGGAAATCTGACATACGCATATTTTCACAGATACATATATTATAGTTTACATCTTTAGATTGATCCATTATCCTTTTTTTTTATTTATTATTTTATATTCTACTTGTTTATTTCTTTCTACTATAGACGACTTTTCCATTTGGTAGTTCGATTTTCTTACCTCTGTTTTTCTTTTTTTGTTGTTTCTTCTTTTCTTCACCAGCTGGTTGTGCAGCTTCGCCAGGTTTGATATACTCCACGGTGGTGTCGATTGGGTAGAACTTTCCAAATGCCAAATTCCAAAGCTTAGCAGGGATTTTGAAAAACAAAGAATCTTTGAATCCAGGATGGATATTAATTTCATTTTCATCAATTAAATGTTGTTCATCATCTTCCAATAACCAAACAGAACCATCTGGTTTAACCAAAAATTCTTTCCCATTAGCTTCATTAACAAGCTTACGATCAGACCCATCAGCAGGAGGAATTTGAGAACCATTCCAAGCTTGAGTTTTAATGATATTTTTCATATCTTCAATTCTTTTATAAGCTTGTTTTCTATTGATTTTAAGAGCAAAAAAATGGAAAACACTAACAAGAATGTAGAGGATAAATAGGGTGAACACTACTCCAGGACGGAATTTTGAATAATAATAACCTGTTCCTTTCCACTTTGGGAATCCTTTGGAATAGAAATAATCATATCTTCTCTTTAATGATTGATCTCTTAATATATTACCAACCAATGATAATCTTTGAAATCTTTCATCAGCTTTCTTTTTCTCTGATCTTGGAGCAGTAGAGAATTTATCAGGATGTAATCTTCTTGATAATTTTCTGTAAGCTTTGTTGATTTCTTGTAAACTTGATTTTGGACCTTTTTCTAATTTCAACCAACTATAAAATGTTGTTGATTTTCCTAAATCTTGTTGGATTTTGTCATTCAAATTGAATATTTCATAATCTTCTTTACTCCATCTTGCAGCAGTAACTATCGCTACAAACAATAACAACAATTGAAAGACTCTCATTGTAGCAGAATTGAGCTTCTAAGCAATTAACACGGTGTTTTTGATGGGCTGTTAAGATTGATTTTTTTTTTCACTCTTCTTTCAATCGCGACATAAAAGAAGGCACTGCAAATTGATTTTTTTTTTTTTTTTTACAGCACGATTTACTTCTTCTTTCTTGCTGTTGAAACCACTATTACGTACAATGCCAGGATTATATCCATTGCCATTCAACGAACAAGTTGTTTTCTTTTACAATATTGTTGCAGCCACTTTATGGTTTTGCTGTTTCGGAAGGTTTCTTATATTGCTTCCATTAGTAGGTCGAAGATTTTTACCAGGGGGAATTGCTGATTTCTTTCACGTTGTTTCATTACTACCGTTGATAGGATCAATAGTTGTTAAACTTGCACTTTATCCTAGATGGAAGAAATCATATTTATGGTCATTACTGAATGGGATCAAGATGGCATGGCTTTGTTATGGGGTTATTTTCCCACACCCAAGAATTGCTAGACATACTTCATATTCAATTTTGATTACTTCTTGGTGTATTCAATATTTCATCCATTATTCATACTATGCATTTAGAGTTAAAACTAAAAGAAGTCCACTTTTCTTGCTTTGGTTCGAATACAATAATTTCTATTTGACATATCCATTTGCATTAGTTGCTGAAATGATACTTCTATTCTTAAGCCTTGGTTTTGTTGAAGAAGATCTGATTTATGACTATGTTCTCAGAGGAGTGTTTTTATTATATATACCAGTGGCATATTTTGCATGGGGTCATTTGAAGGAACGAAAGAGAGTTAAGTATACCGAAGTTTTGGAAAAGAGAAATGTTACACGTATTAGAAATAATCAAAATGGTTCTTCAAATGCTGCCAATCCTACTACAGCAACATCTATAGAATTAAGAGATATACAAGATAACTAAATAGGTTAAATATTAAATGCATTCCCAATATATCACCAATGAAATGGTGCTTCAGACAAACATTCCCAATTTGTTGCGAATTGTATGCCTAGGAAAAAAAAAAAATCGTAAAGAAAAAAAATTCATTATGAAAGAAGGGAAAAAAGAAAAAATTTCACCAATCGAATCTAATCCAAGACAAATAGACAAACAGTTCTACCAACATATACTTCTACAACATATATAATCATGATAACGAAATACTTTTCTAATGTGATGATCAGATTCAATCCATTTTCTGTGGGTGGAAAACCAACAAGATTATTCCTTCAAAGAGTTCCACAAGGTACCAAGATTGATTGTAAAGTAATTACTAAACCATCAGATAAACAAGAAATTAAAGTTACATTTAAAGATAAACATGTTATGACTATTGATCCTTCAACTATGAATTTCAATGATTTGGCAGATTATTTCAACGCACATTCAAGAAAATTGGCTATTAAAGATTCCATTCAAGATTAGGTTAATTTATTATTATTATTATTATTTCATTATTATTTGTACATAGCATAGATTATTTAATATACTGATTGGATATATCAAGGAAATGATAGAGGTAGTGAATGTGTAATTATTTTGATATAATGACTGGGGGGTTTGAAACTGACTTTGCGTATGTCCTACTCTTACTAAGATGAACCAATAAAGAATTTCATATGTACCATTGGCACATCTTGTCACTTATTATGAAAAACAGAGAAAATTCTATTTACAAGTTTGTCACTAAGAAATTTAATACATCACAAGAGGAATATATTCATTCAAAAAATTATGTAAAACTAACTAGACTTCACATTTAGTAACCACAACAATCTACTTATTGTGTTGACCATAAGCTTTAGTAGCATAGTGACCATCAATAACAATGACATCTTGTGGTCTGTACTTGTAGGTCTTGTTGAAATACTCGGTCAAGATTTGTTTAACACCATCAGCATATCTAGCTTGAGCATCTAAAGAAGTACCAGACACATGAACAGTCATGGCATTACCGTAGTCTTTCCCATAAGGACTGTGCATGGTTCTCCATGGCATGTCCTTTGGAGCCGGTTGCACTGGCCAGACATCACCACCATAGGAAATATGACCAGAGTTGACGGCATCGGCAACGGCTTGTGGGTCGGTCAAGGCACCTCTGGCAGTGTTGATCAAATAAGAACCTTTCTTCATTCTGGAGATCAAGTCCTTGTTAACCATTCCTTTGGATTTTTCATACAATGGACAGTTAAGAGTGACAACATCAGCTTGGGAGAACAATTCTTCCAAAGTGTCGACTCTTTCAAGGATATTGTCAACATCATTGAACAACTTAGAAGCATCGTTGATCTTCTTGACAGCGGCATCAGGCAAAGCTTGGTAGTCGTAGTACAACAACTTCTTTGGATTGAAAGCAACCAATCTCTCCAAGATTCTGTAACCAATTCTACCAGCACCAACAGTAGCGAAAACTTTACCTTCCATGTCGAATTCATCTTTGGCAACTGCAGCGATATCCCATCCACCACTGACGGCTTGGTGGTGGCCCTCACCGTAGTTTCTGAGCAAGATCAACATGGTCATAACAGCATGTTCAGCAACAGATTGGACATTGGATCCAGTGACTTCCAAGACAGCAACACCCTTTTCATTCAAGGCATCCAAATCATAGTGGTCTGAACCAACACCAGCAGTGATACACAACTTCAAGTTTGGAGCTTTTGCAATTCTGGTTTTTGTGACATAAGCCGGGAAGAATGGAGTGGTGATGATGATCTCAGCTCTGTCCAAGTATTCGTCAAAGGCAGAAGTTGGTTCTGGGTCTTTCTTATCGGTGGTAATCAACTCGTACCCGTGCTCTTCAACAAGTTTTCTGATGCCCAATTCGTTTTCAATAGTACCCAACAAACGTTTTTCTTCTTTGGAGTGCTTACCACCGGAGTAGAGAGCCATTAAAACAACAGGTTTGCCCATTTTTATTTATTTATCAAATTTGTTAATAAGTTAGTGTGGAAAAGTGTAAAATTATAGTGATGTATTACCAATCAGATGATCAATAAGTAGTGGAGAAAGAAAGAAAGAAAGAAATAGGAATGATGAAGACAGACAAATTGCTGGGATATTTATACCATTGCAAATGATACTTGCCCATTTCCCATTTCGCTAAGAACATTTTGGAATATAAAAGAAACAAACTATTTACTTGTAGTTACTCCTCCCTTGTTTGTATGTAGGTAGAGTTTTTCCAATTGCTGTGAAACATCTGGGGAGGCTCAAAAAGGGATTATATCGCTCGGATCTCTACAGGATATTTCTTTGTGTGGAGTGGCAGACACAGATTTAAGCGATCTTGCATCGTTACAATTGTGAGAAGAATTTGTTTGCTTCCATAGAGTTCTAAATTATCGCGGGAAGAAGAGTAACTTTCTGTGAGTCAATTTTGTAGATTAGGTAGAGCTAAATGAAGTCGTTGAGTTAAGTATATTATCTTAAAAATTGGGGAATATATCTATCGTGGTTAATTATTTGTGCCATAGTGACGACTGCCGAGCGATTTAAAGCATAATCTCATCAACTTTACCGCGTAAATTTTTCTTTTTCTTCTCCGGTTTATCATTAGATCGTTATACAGTATGTAAGAGAAGTATGTGAGGCCCAGTGATAGATTGAGTTCTGTTGATTAAAACAATGGCTTATAGTGTATTGTTTGTTGAATGTAGTTGGTGCATTGATGGAGAGCATTGAATTCTGTTTTAACCACCGACACCGCGACGATCTTGCCGTCTCAGAAATCAACAAGTGAACAAGAAAAATTTCTTCATATCAGAGAATTAATTAATGATAAGCCCACAAAACACTGTGTTTATAATTCATTCTAGTATGACAATTTCACAACATAGTCATGATAAAAACAATATATTATTGTTTACAACTCGATTATCACTGAATTTATTGGAATTTTGGTCAGATGACTATAACTTTGAATGCTCATTAAGACTTCTAAATGATTTGAAACTTCAACAAAAGATTTCGGAAATGAGACTACATCATCAGAAATACAAGGCTTTGTTAACTCTGTTATTTACAAGATATGTAATTAATCAACTACTTGGCAGCAATAATTTCTTTGATGTTGTTAATTTCTCCTATAATGAGTATGGAAAACCAATGTTACCAGATTTTCAGTTCAATTCAAGTAGTTCGAATGATATTATATGTATGGTGGTGGAATATTCATCCCATCCTATCGGAGTTGATCTATCTCATTCAAGACAAAAAGTATCACCTGTGAATTATCTTGAAGAATTTAGACCTATTTTTGACAAACATGAAATCCTGCAAGTTGATACTTATTTTAAGTTTAACCATTTTTGGACTTTGAAAGAAGCCTTTACGAAACTTATTGGAAGTGGATTAAATATTGAATTATCAGATTTTTACTTTGAAGTGGGACAAGGATTTAGTGAAGAGGATTACGAATACATACAGACACAAGATACAAGTGATTGTTACGATTACTCATTATCATGGTTTGACAATATCAATGTTAATATTGAAAAATTGAAAGCAAAGAAGGATCAGTTTATTGGGAACCTAGAAAAAGAAGAATTCTATTGTTTCTCCAGTATTCTTGAGAATAGTTCTGGAGATCAACCACCAGTAATCGTCACCATAGTGACGCAAAACGAAAGTAAACCAATCAAGCCTATCGAAGTACAATTTGATAAGATTTTGCTAGGATATTTCTAACATAGATGGGAAGCTTTATAGATATTAATAGACGATTCTTTCTTGTATAGAATTTGGAGTACAAAATTTTACTTTGGAAAATTAACAAAAATTGTTGCAAAATATTCCTAGTGCGAATGGTAATTGACAATTTTTAATACACTATTAACATTAATACTAACTAAATTCAACTAAGTTAATCATATATAAAACAACACTACAATTTGATGAAAAGAAACATAATAGAAAAACAATAAAAGGAAAACCAAATAAGAAACCAATAAAAACGAGCACACTTTACATGAATAATCCTGCGATGATTGCAGCAAAAAAGGCAATTCCATCAGTGACATGATAACTGGGAGCAGCATTTGAAGCATGTCCTGCTGATTCGGCAGCAACTGAATCTTGACTTGAAGTTGTCGTATCTCCACTGGTTTGCACTTGTTCTATGGTTTGTGATTCTTTTGAGATCGATTCATTTCTAGGGGTTGATGAGGTAGAATTTGCAATACTTGAATTAGTACCATTTTGAATATAAACATTCCCAGTAGCATAAGCCAGATATGATTCCTCATAATCACTAGTAGTTTCATCTTCATAGTAATATGAGCTCTCATAATATTCACTGTAGTATTCAGTGTACTCAGCCGGTTCTGTATAATAATAGTCGTCACTGATATCTCCATATTCTCCAGTGTAGGTGGTTTCAATACCGAAGAAGTAATCAGTGTCCTCATCATACTCAGTCGGATAAGCAGTATCGGTCTCGTAATCATATTCAGTATCTTCAAAAACGTTTGTAGCATCCGTGTAATAGGAATCCGAGTCAGCTCTAGCCACTAAATCTTCATATTTAATATTAATAGCATGAGTAGCATGAACCAGAGTAGTAAGTGAAAGCAATAACGTAACAATAGCAAATCTCATTATTTGGATAGTTTCAGCTAAAGAAGATATAAATAAAAATTGAGCCCACAAATAAAAATTCAAAAAAATTACAAGTGGTGAATCATCTTCTTATATTTATAGTCCCAGAATTTGATAAAACACATGGTTTTTAGTAATTAGGATTTGCCACAAGGAACACTATGTGTTGAATTTTTCATTAACAATGGTGCTATGATGATGTGGATAAATTCAGCAGATGGTTGGCCCGCCGTTCCTCAAATGGGAGTAATAATGCAAGACATGGTATGTTCTTAATACTACATACGTAGATATATTCAAGTCATAAATGAATAAACAAGGACTACTTTGGAATTACAACCTTCTGAATATCTAAATCAATTACTTGTGCAGTATATTGTCAGTATGAAAGAAATTATCGTGGTACAAAGGAAATCTACTTTGGATCTCCACATTTTGAAATGTGTAAGAAATTCCTTTCAATTATCACACCTACACACGTTTTCATATACACACTCTTGATTCAAAACACCACATCTCCCCTTTTCTTTTAGCAATAAATGTAATTGAGGGTGGTTATTCAAGAAAATGAACAGTCAAACACTGAACAATTGATCGTGTTAGCGCGTCCAGAAACAAAGATTCTATTTGGTGTGTCAATTGTCTCTGGAATATAAAACTTGCTTGGAAAATATTATATTAAATATAAAAACAATATAGCATTGCCTTTTATCAATCTGACACAGTTTCTCCTCACAGAATGTTATCTGAAATCTAAATTTGCAGTATATGTACACCTCCTGGATCTGTTTATTTGAGTGTAGCCACTTCCTACAAGAATCCACACGAGAAATAACAGCCAAAGGAGAAATATACATAGAAAAATTTTTTTATTTTGAAAATAAGGGGATCTTGATACCCACACACAGAACTAAAATAACACTCTTATCAAACAATGAATCCCATCTTGATAAATAAACATGAAAAGTTTTTCAATAGATGTTTGTTAGGACTTCCTGCATCTGCCCAATCCGAGGATTCAAATAAATTGGCAATTATTTATTTTTGTCTACATGGATTACTGTTGATCAACAAGTTCAATTTCAGTGACGTGGAATTGCAATACCATAGAGATTTCGTATACAACCAATTCATGATAGAAACAGACGAGATAGTAGCATTTAGATCCACTCATTATTTCAAAAACATAACCAATTATGATTTGCCAAATTTATCATCCACTTTATTTGCATTATACTGTTTGTTAGTTTTAAAGTCCCCATATCATCAGAAAATAAACCGACGTAAATTATTAAACTTTCTAGTTAAATGCCAAGTTAAAGAAGGGGTTAATAAAGGCGGGTTTGTACCTACACTTCATTATGAAGATGGAGAATATAAACAGTTTGGAGACCCTGATCTTAGAGTTTGTTATATGGCATTATTAATTAGATACTTGGTGAAATGTCACGATGATAACAGAGAAGATATAGATATTGACTTGGATTCCTTGTTAAAATTTATTCTTGATAGACATAACCCAAATGGTGGGTTTAGTTCCACGATTTTAGACGAATCCCATGTTGGCTTCACTTTCTGTGCTATTGCAGCCTTGAAATTACTTGAATATCCTTTGGAAAATCTAAAATGGACCAAAGAGTGGTTGATCCAAAGACAAGTTGACTATCCTGAATGTTTATATGGAGATATGAGTTACAAATACTATAGAAATGAAGATATTGGTGGTTTCAATGGTAGAGAAAATAAACTAAGTGATACTTGTTATTCTTGGTGGTGCACGGGAAGTTTATATATAATGGATCCAGAGTCAGTTAACCTAGTTGATATTGAAAAGGCCACCGAATATCTATTGAATAGAACCCAAAATTCTTTATTTGGTGGGTTTGGAAGAGATCCAGAGGCAACACCAGATCCTTTACATAGTTACTTGGCGTTGGCTAGTTTATCTATTTGGAACCATAAGAAATATGATTTACAAGAAGTTGACCCCGTGTTGGTAATAACCAAAGAACTGTATAGATTTTTCAAAGAAGAAATAGATTACTAAGTGGTCAATTAAAAAACAATACATGACTAATTTTCAGTTTAGATTAACATAATGTTATTTGTTTCACTTGATCTCAGTCCCCGGATATTCTTCCTTTCGCGCGGCATTTGGCACTACCGGCGCTGGTTCCCATTCCGTCACATACTCTTTTCCCCCGTATTATTGTTTCGTAGTGAACACGGATGGCGATCGAGAAGCGAACAAGCAAAAAATAATATTTGAGGAAAAAAAAAAAAAATAAAAGAATAGAGAAAGAAAGTTACACTGTACATAGCTTTTATTTTTCAAGACCCCTTTCTTTTTCGCTTAGAAACTATCCTACCATTATTTTAAAGAATCGTTGCAGGTGAAGTAGTCTAATGAATGTATAAGGAAAACCAACTGTACACATACCCACTTAGTTAAATTAATGTCAACTTCAACACCAAAACAAAGCGATGCAAAACGATCTCCAGATGCTACAGCTCATTTAGTGGCAGGTGCTATCGCAGGGCTTGTTTCTGCTGTTACTCTACAGCCTTTTGATTTGTTGAAAACAAGGTTGCAACAACAGCAATTGACTTCTAAACATGAAGTTAGAACGTCCATAACCAAAGAATTAAGAAAACTTACTGAGATGAAAGATTTATGGAGAGGTACATTACCATCGACATTAAGAACATCAATTGGAGCTGGGTTATATTTCACAATATTATCTAAAATGAGAACCAATTGGGCAGAACATAAAAGTAAGAAGGATCTGTCAATTAATATAAAGTCCGGTTCATCTGTGTTGCCCAAACTTACCCCGATAGAGAATTTAACTACTGGTTTTATTGCTCGTGCTATTGTTGGTTATATAACAATGCCCATAACCATAATTAAAACGAGATTCGAGTCAAATTTATACCAATACAATTCCATGACCGAAAGTATTCAAGGTATATATTTGGGTGACAACAAGACTATTCACACAGGAGGATCAATAAGGAACTTTTTCAAAGGATCTGTGGCTACATTAGCCCGTGATTGTCCATATGCGGGGTTATATGTTTTGACTTATGAATTGTTTAAAAATGATTTAATGCCCGTACTTGTCCCTACAGGATTGGGTGATAATCGATCAGGAGTGATAAATTCTGTAGCGGCAGTATTAGCAGCCAGTACATGTACCACAATTACTGCACCATTTGATGCCATCAAGACAAGATTGCAGTTGACGAACGAAACATCAATGATGAAAGCAATGAAGACATTGATCCATGAGGAAGGTGGGGTCAGAAATTTGTTTAGAGGTTTGCTGTTAAGATTGGGTCGAAAAGGTATAAGTGCCGGTATAAGTTGGTGTATTTATGAGGAGATAATCAAGAGCAATTTCGTTCAAACTAAGTTTATTAAAAACAAAGATGCACCATTGAGCTAGTAGTAATAGAATTCCCTTAGACTCATTTTTTATTTGTATATAGAAGGATAAGCTAGAAATGCTGTATTAAAAAGTTTAGATATAAAAATATAAATATATATATATAATGATTATGACGCAAAAAAAAAATCGCATTTACTTCCGCTGGATAAACTTTTGTAAAATGTTTGGTGAGACTGAAGCAATTTTTGTATTTTTCCCCCACCTTTAATTAACACCAAAAAGAAAGCATGCGAAACGAAAACTTGATTGTCAGTCGAAAGAAAAAAAAAAAAATGAATTTCTGGAGAACACTTTTTATTTTCCACTTTAGTCAGCAACAATATTAGGGAAGACATCATGAATGACGAGTTAATCAATAGTGCGGTTACGTTCTTAAAGGATCCACAAGTTGCTAGTTCACCTTTAACTAAAAAAGTAGAGTTTTTAGAATCAAAAGGTTTAAATCAACAAGAAATCGAAGAAGCGTTGAAAAGAGCTAATGATAACGCCTCTCAATCTCAATCTGTCGGTACTACCCAATCATCATCATCATCATCATCATACGCACCACCAACTCCACAACAGGGTCCACCAATAGATTATTACAACGCTCCACCACCCATTCCAGAAAGATCATGGAAAGATTATTTTATCATGGCCACCGCTACTGCTGGTATAACTTATGGGTTTTATCAAGTTCTCACTCGTTACGTGATTCCAACTATTATTCCACCAACCCAGTCATCCATAGATCAAGACAAAGAAACCATAAATGAAGAGTTTATGAAGATTGACAAGGTTTTGGAACAGTTGACCAATGAACAACAGGAAATCAAAACATCTAATGAAGCGAAATTGGCAGAAGTCGATACCGTTATCGACAATGTCAATGATTTCTTGAATAAATACAACAAAGATAAATTGAAATTTGACGACGATTTAAGGTTAATGAAATTGGAAATTGAGAATTTGAGCAATAGCATTGAAAAGAATATGAAGTTGACCAAAGAAAATATAAATGATGAATTAGGAGAAGTCAGTCAAGAGTTGCAATCCTTGAAGAACTTGATCAAAGCAAGAGCCAGCTCCAATACCCAAGCCAATGGTGACTCCAGAAAGATCGCACCAGTTTCGTCCATCCCATCTGCCTCAGAAATATTGAAGAGAGCTAGAGCTAAGAACAATGAAAGTTCTACCACTCCAGAACCAGTGACTATAACAGACACGACCAAGAAATCACCTGCAGTAGAAACTGAAGATGCCAAACGCAGTGAAAACACAAGCGAAGGAGGAGTTACCGCAGCTGGTATCCCATTGTGGCAATTACAAGCTAAAGAGAAAGAAGAACAAGAGGAAAAGAATGTAAAGAACGACGTTCAAGAAGAATCGGGTATTCCATCTTGGCAACAATCAACAGCTGCAGATGCGCAGAAGTCAGAAGAAGAAATCAAAGAAAAGATTAAGAGTGTTGGCGTTCCATCCTGGCAATTGAACTCAAATAATTCATCTGCTAATACTGGAATTCCATCATGGCAACAAGCTGCTTCATCATCACCACCAAACGCTTCTTCCACCTCATCATCTTCTTAGTAGTAGAAACAGTTAATAATGAGAATATACACGAGTATTTTTTTTTTTTCAATTTTTCATTTTGGTAAAGCTGTCAAGTAGTTGTAGATGTTTTGTGGTAATGGTATTTATGCAGTACAGCTACGCGCTTTCAGTTGATTTTCATAAAAGTGTTTTGTATCCCATTTGGCGACCAATTAATTGGTTGGAAGAAAAAAAAACAAAAACTGTGAGAAGTCAAAAAAAATAAAATAAAATATACGCCAGTGAATATTAATTGGGTGGTGGTGTGCATATAACCCAGTCATAGATTTTTTTATTTTTATTTTTTTTTTTTTCTTCTTCTTTTCTTTTGTTTGATGCGTGTGTGCGTGTGCGTGTAATTTAATTAACGAGAGGGCGAGCGAGTATTATAAGACTAAGAAAGAAAGAAAGAAAAAATAGAGGACAGAAAAACAAATTTCGACATTTCCAGTTTTTAACCTTAATCACATATTTTTCTTTCTTTTTTAACCCTCCCCCCTAAGTTACACATCTATAAAGGTAAGATATATTTCATTCGTTTTTAAATAAACTGAGTGATCCAATATCATAATTCCCATTATCTACCTGTACACAGTTTTTTTATCTGTTCTCCCTTTTTTTTTCATTTAATATTCATTGTTTAGTTCATTGTTAAATATTTTAAGTGGTTTTTTTTTCATTTCTATTTTCATTTTAAAGAAGAAGGTCTTCAACAAGGTGTTTTATTAATCAATAGGAAGATAAAAAGAAGAGTACACGGTTTTTTCATTTTAATCATTATATATATATTAATCATTGTTTTTATTTTCATTAAGAATTTTTTTTTAAAAAAAATTTGATTGCATGATATTTATCTAAAGAGACAAAGACTTCCCATATTTAATGTCAACCAATACGATTTACCCAAAGAGAAAATTAGAATCAGTGCCATTTCAAGGTCAACTTGACTTTATTGAGAAGGCAAACAGAACCAAGGGTCAATATCAAACATTCCATAGATATCACAATAATAATAACAACAACTCATATAACCATGGTGTCAACAACAATAACAACAATCACCATCATCACCACCATAACAACAACCATAACCATCACCAACATTATTTACAACAACAACAACAAAACAAGTATGCATTAGCAGCTGTTGCAGCAGCTGCAGCAGTCCAACATCAGCAACAGCAAACCTATTTGTTGCAAAAACAACAAGCTCAACAAGCAGCTTTAGCCCAGCAAAAGCAGCAGCAACAGCAGCAGCAACAACAACAACAACAAAACTCACACTACATGTCTTACCCATCCCAGTCCCACGTTTATGCGCAAACACAACCGCCTCCACAAGTTTTTGCCGATGTTCCTATGGAAAAGACTAATTCTGCTACAATTAGTTCATCCAACCAATCTGTTAACAATGCGCCATATGACTTGAAAACAAACTTTATGTTGTATAATGGGAGCTCAACTTCGATTTCATCACCTACTAATAGCCAGTTTGGTAGTAGTAAGCAAAATTCCACCTCATCTCAGTCTTCATCTGCGACCACAACTACTGCTACTTTTACAACCAAATTGTTTGATAACCATCCGGGTAGTTCTGCAAACAATTCTCCAGTTTTGTTGCCACCAAATTCTAACAAGAATAGTTCATCATCTCCACCAAACTTATTTTTGTCAACTTCCAATAGAGGTGCAGGTACAGGATCACCTTTATTGAGTGCCAATCTTACCCCTACCACTACAACTTTTTTGAATTCACCATCCTTGGTGCCAGTGGGAGGATCTGGATCAAACACCTGGAACGTCGGAGTTTCTACACCTACTACTACAAGTTCCATCTGGGGTACTAGATCATCCGGAACTTCTACAACTTTGACACCAACTCCAATCGCAAAGTCTGGAAGTAACATCATGTCGGGCTTTGGTAGTTCGAATTTATGGTAAACTTAGGATCTGGGGAATGTCATGGTTTCATTCATTAAGAGACTTTTTTTCTTTTTGTTTTTATTATTTTTACTATTCATTTAATATTCAACTTCATTTTAATTTTCTTTAATTTGTTATTACTTTTTGAAGTATCATAGTCATCAAGTTCAGTGTATTTTTTTTTTAACTTAATTATTTTTTTTAGTTGGTTTTTTTGTTTATTCATTGAAAAAAGGAATCTTTATTTTCTTCATATTAATTATTATTGGTTTTTTTTTATATATCTTATTATTATTAACGACTTTACGTCTTTAACATTGTTAGTTTTGCTTGTTTGTTTGTTTGATTAAATTAATTGTTTGCTGGTTTGTAATCTATTATTATTATTATTATTCGATTCTGATTTGTCTTTTTATATAGTGGGTTTTTTATGTGTTAGATTAGAAGTTCGTACCTTTAAGAAGTATATATATACATAATTGAGAGTTTGTTATACAATTATTGAATCGGATGTATGTAATAGATTGTCTGTGTTGTTCATGTTGAGTTGTATGCGTATAGTCTGTCAATGAAAAATGGGTTTCCCACCAACCCTGATTCCAACAAACAAAAAAAAAGAAAGTGAAAATCCAAAACCAGAGAAAAAAAAAAAAAAAAAACACAGAATATATTTCAAGTTATCCTACACTTTTTACAAAAAGCACATATCAATGACAGAACAAGTTCTTTCTTTGTCCAAGCTTATTGAAAAAGCAGCAAACCAAAAATTACAGCCTAAACTATTTATTTCCTTATTCAATCAGTTTTCAAAACGGAAACAACTTCAAAATAGTGAATATGTCAACGAGTTGCTAAACATTAAACCAGACAATAATTCTTTAAAACAGCGCAAATGGAATGAATATCAATTAAACGTTGTTATTGAATTATCGTTTAGTAGTATTGAAAATAGTCATATGTTTTGGTCAAATCTACATCAAGCCAATGATAGTTTCCAATGTGCATACTTGTTGAAACTTAGTAGAGCATTGGTTGGTGTTCAACATTTTGATAGAGATGTATTGAAGAATTTTATAAGTGTTGAATTTATGGAATATGTACATAAATATATCCAGAGAGAGAAATTATCTGATAAAGTACTTGAACATACCGTTTTTCTTTTGCTGGTGATTGTTCAGAAATTTGATAAGTTTATTGAAGAAAAAACATCTGGAACAGTACAGGATTTCATTGTAAAATTGATCCCATTTTTGAGATCCGTAACTGGAAATGAAAATTTATCATCAATGTTGTTATTAAAGACCAAGCATATTCTTAGCAAGGCACAAATTGATCAATTGGAAAGCACACAACATATTAGAATGGAGCGTCAAGGCTCAATTATTTCCCTCAATCCTAGCATTCATGCCAATGTGGCATCTTTAACTATGATTAATAAGTTGGATGAATACTACTTCAGAATGAGGTATATCTGGATCCATAAATTGTTTTGTCATTTCAATTACAATGACACGTTGAATTTTTTTATAAGCAACCTTGTGATTGCTTCAAATCAAAAGAATTCTTACTTAATTGCGTATGATTTCATCAAGACAGTTTTCACTGGTATGGATATGGATGGGTATTGTTTGTTCAATGCTAAAAATTTTATTCTCACCAGGGTGCCACATTTGCTCAATGGTTTGAGATACGGGGAAGAGAGTCTTGAAAAAGCTGTCAATGATGCTTTACAAAACTTAGAGATTGATGACAGCTTCAAACAACGTTTTCTTAAAGCATTAGAGTTTCCTGATGAACCAGTTTTGCAATTGCGTGATAAATTCAATGAGAAACTATTGAACATTAACAGTGAATTCACATCCTTGGAAGAGTCGGGGCTTGTGGAGTTGGTGAATGCGTTACCAAAATTGTGCCAACTGCATAGAACTCAACAGGAAGTTACTCAAGTTATTTTGGATATTGTGGATGAACTTGGCTATAGCAAAGACTTTGAGAAATTGAACCGTTTATTGCTTACTGTCATGAATAATATTGAACTTGTTAATATTGTATTATTCAATAGCAACTTATCCTTGTTTTATAAATTGTTGGATATTATTGATAATTCCAATTTTAGGGTTGATGAGGACGATGAAAATTTTCAAGATCAATATTCGTATTGTGGAATCATCATGTTGAGTATAGTCATCATTGTTCAAAATTTTGGAGTTGATTTATCTAAACTTACGGTTAAGGAATCATTTATCATCAATTATTTGAACGATTTTTACTATCGTATGTGTGACAATTTGTCAAATGTAACACCTGTAAATGGTGATGACGAGGACAGGATCATTGCTGAGAACTATCATAATCTTCTAAATGAATGGATCACTGCATTATTTGATGATAGAAATGAGGGTTTATCAGACGATCTAATCAAATCATTAAGTATTAAACAGATCTATAAATTGGTTCCGTTGATATATAAACAAGGTATTATAGCGGCCGATTGTAATAAAATTGACTGGAATATTTTAAGTAACGGGTTGGAGTATTTGAGTCAACCATTCCTAACTCCAATTGTACCAATTATCATCAAGTTCTTAGTTAGAGATTGTAACATTGATCACGAATTGAAATTAAGAATCATTAAAGAAATGATTAATGATAGTTCCAGCTTGACAGTGAAAATGGTTATTAGCATTTGTGGGAATGATATTATAAAGTTAAATCCACCTGCTGAACTAAAAGAGCAAATTCAACAATGTGTTCATTATCTGGATACCATTGACCCATTTCCTAGGGATTATAATGTTAAGGACACTTTTAGAAGTCAATTGCTTGGTGAGACAAGATTACTGAACAAATTTGTTACAACCTATGTTTTAGGTAAAAGAGCTGATGTAATTTCCAGTTTAGTGCAAGAAATTTATAACTTTCAAAAGTCCAATCACGAAGATTCAAAAATGTTTATAAATTTAATGGTGTTTATAATTTTGTTGGACTCTGTTGAATCACGCCAGGATAAAGACTACTGGAAACGAGAATTCAGTGCTTTGTCTTCAACTCAACTTCAAAAGTCCTCACACACGGGGTTCGAATTGACTATGGACTATCATTTTTCTTCTATTTTTAATGATTCATCGTCAAGTATTCCTTTGGGCCAACAACAAGGACAAAAACTTCAAGTCCAAGATGGAATGGATGGTATAAATGATTTTTTAAAAGGCGTGACAGGTGGTGACGACAACGATGATGATGATGCTATGATGCAAGACGATGATTTATTTAATGAAAAGCCAAAGACAAGTGATCAACTACAAAATTTACTCCAAAAAGTTCACCGTTACCTGTGTTTAATAAATCAATTTAGAAAGATCAGAAACGAATCATTTAACAACTCTATGTTTGGTAAGTCTGTGTCTTTATTGAACGATAAATTGATGGAGGAAATGAACAATTGGCATTTTTAGGACACAGTACATAGTGGCATATATCCATTGATTAATAATAACGTCCAAATTAGGAAATTGCGGGTCCGTCTCTTGTATTAACTCCGTTGCGCAAAAAAAAAAAAAAAAATAGAAAACTAAAACATAAAAAAAACCTAGCACTTTAATTTCGCAACGTTCTTTTCAGAAAGTTGTATGCATAAATTTTTTTTTGTTTTTACTTTGTTCTTTCTAATTTTATTTTTATTTTTATTTCGTTTAAGATAACCATATTTTATCCGTTATGGACTCGGAGTTTTATTTGAAGCACACAAGAAAGAAAAGAAAAACCCTTCTGTGTATTCATTGTAAAAGAAGAAAGATCGGATGTGATCGAGGTAGGCCATGCGACAAGTGTATTAAATATGGACGAGAATGTAAATATTTTGAGGACGAGGATGCTGATTTTAATGATGGGTATACAAATGATTCATCAGCTGCAACATCATCTAGCTTGGCAACTACCACCAACCTGTCAATAGACCAAGAATCGGATGCGTCGTCGGTCATAACAAATCAACGAGAAATTAGCAATGGTATAAGCCTACAAGGCCGACTTCATCAATTTACAATAACTGAGAATGGAATTGGTCAGAATAATGGTGTCGCGATGCTGAAAATCAAGAAATGGAAAGATCCAATTATTGTACCTATTCAAACAAAGTTTATTCAACAACCAAAAACTTCACCACAGGTGTCAAGGAATGCCCATCAGACAATCTATTTAGTATCAGAAGATTCGAGCTCCATTGTTTCCAAATTCACTGATGGTAAGTCTGTGATTGGCATTAATCCAATTGGATCTCCTAATGATATGATTTCATTTTCTGACTATCAATCATATTCAGTTGATGATTCTAATTATGAGACAAATCAGGGGCCTTTCACATGGCACGCTTTTATTAAAATAGACCCAGCGATGGCATATTTGTCGTCGTTTTTATCAGCCAAATCCAAGAGTGTTACCAATTGTTCAGACTTTAACGAGAATGGAGAACAATTTACGGGTGCTCCTTTTCAAGTATTGCAAAGATTGAAATTGAGTAGTAAACAATTTTCTGATAGACAAATTAATAAAGCAGCTATCCCGTTGGGTTTGAATTTCGTACCTGAAGTGAACGAGGTATCAGATTTACTGGAAAGAATACGCAAAAAACTACCCGAGAGATCAATAACTTGGATTCATGTCAATAGATTTTTCATGTTCTTATATCCATTTGTTCCTTTTCTTGACGAGTATAGCTTTACTACTTCTTTGGAGAAAATTATTGGGTCCAAAAATGACCCAGCTAAACAAATTGAAGTTATAATTCTGTCTAATATGGATTATGCCATACTTGGAATACTTTTGATAATTCTACGGATGAGTTATCTTTCCTTAATCTCAAATGATGACGAATTTAATAATAAAGTTTTAACAAACACTGGCATGGTTGAAACAAGTAAGTTTTCTCAAAATGAATTGATCAATTTATCAAATATTTTGAAAGTGGAGATTGGTATTGAAACTACATTTTTGGCCCAAGACTGTTTAACCAAATTTGAATATTGTCGTAAAACAAACTTGGCTATTCTACAACTTGCAACAATGCTCAGAATCTATTTTAGTGTTGCTCCAGAAGATCCAGAGGGTCCCAGTAAGAACCAATTTCAAGTATGTACTGGATTACTTGTGCAAATAGCCTTTTCCATTGGATTAAATAGAGATCCTGAGAATTTGGGCCTCACTGATGTCAAGATGAACCATATCAGAAGAAAATTATGGCACTATATTGTATATTTGGATTTATCCCAAAGTGCATGTTTTGGAAGTCCAATTACCATTAATCCACAAATTTCTGATACAAAATATCCATTCTATGAAGACGGAAATAGTAATATTGGTATGTCTCATTTCGACCATTTGCTTTCACAAACTTATTCCAAACTTCAGGGTTTGCTGGCTGAAATTCGCAATTGTTTATACACTGTACTTCAATTTGGTAAAATCCCAATGAGTGATGTGGTTAATTCCGTTAATAAATTGGAAATTTTTGTTCACAAGCATGTTGGACAGGATCTTAAAGAGTTTGCAGATGGCTTGAATGAAACACAAGAGAGTGGTTACATGCATGATAAATTGTTCACAAATTATTATATCAACACAAAGATTTTTCTAATGGCAATATATATGCATATTTTTGTTCATTATGAGAAGACCAGTACCAATAGCAATAATGCCGATTTGATGTACTTTTATTTGAAGAAAACCGCCAGTATACTCATTGAAGATTTTCTTCCTAGTTGTTTTGGTATATTGGATCATTTACATCCTATATTTCTTTATTCTTCAAATTTGTTTACTAATCCAGCAATTGAAATTGCATGGCATAATATCAATGGTTTCACATTTGCTTTGTTGATTAGAGTCGAATTTACATTGAGATCATTACGAGCAGAAAATTCCGGATCTCCTGAGTATATCGATGTATTAGAAAAATTACTGTTTTTCTTGACCAAATGTGCTAAAGCTTCAACAATTGGTATATACAAATTGGGTAAGCGGTATTTGCATGCATGGAGAATTGCAAAATCGCATGTGTTTATCTTGAAGAATATTCAAGATGACGAATTTTTCCGAGGAATTCTAGCTAATCCTACAGGAATTAGAAAACTTCAATTAAAAATGGATCAACTTGTGGATTTACAGAACATGTTGGAAAAAACCATCAAGAGTTTGAATAAATCAAAGTTGATGGCAGAATGGTTTGAACTTTTTGCACCAAATGCGATCATACAAGATAGTTTAATTGATAGTTTATTCAGTCTAGTTACATCTACAAATGATCCATCTGTTTTCGAAAATGACCACATTACCAGTTCCATGGAAAATTATTTTGCTTTTGACAATCCATATTTCAATATGGAAGTACCTTGGGATATCATCACTGGGAATGTAGAATAAAAGTGTATAATCTATATAGGTTTTTGATATGTCAATTCAAAATGTACCATTGTAAATGTCGATTTTTCATCTTGCAGCCATTCTTTCCATAATTTGATTGCTTTCTCATTAGTCTCTTTATTTTTCTCAGGATCATCTGGGAAAACAACTTCTGCGCCACTTTTAATTCTAGTTGTTGTGGAATCAGTCCATCTTTTTTTAATCTCCATATCATCAGCTACCAACCAGGATGAAAATGATGTTTTTATATTATCAAGTACATATCCAGCTTCAATTGCTCTAGCTCTTAATTTTCTTCCAGCTCTTGTGTCAGTAGAAACAGCATTTTTACCCTTTAAAACATAAAATTGACTTAAAAATTCAAATTTTTCGGGGTAAATAATACTTGATTCTAAATCAGCATCCCTAACACATACATAACCTCCTGGCTTGGTAACTCTTTCAAGTTCTTTTAAAGCTTTAATTGGGTCTTGTAAATGAATAACAACTTGATGAGCATGGACCAAATCAAATGAATTATCTTCGAATGGCAAATCATAAATAGATCCTAATTGAAATGATACATTTTCTAAATTAGAATCATTCTTTAATTTGTTTTCATTAGCAACATCAATTAATTCTTGTGTTGGTTCAACACCAATAATTGAGCCTTGGGGTAAGTAATTTTTAGCAAAATCAATAGTAATTGAACCAGGACCACTTCCAACATCTAAGACCTTGAAATCAGGTTTAATAACTGGTATCAAATATTTAGCAGAATTTTCAACTGTTCTCCAAGCATGGGTATCAGAAACTGATTTCTTGAATCCCCTACTATAATAAGCTTGTTCTGTAGTAACCATTGGTATTGTTCAATACAAAAAAAATGAAAAAAAAAAAAAAAAAATCTGACGATTGGAATGAAAAGAAAATTCTGTCAAGCGGGAAAAGTGTCCTTTATATACGATAGTAATATGAACAGGTCAAGGTGTCACCGAAAAGAATAAGCGGATTGACAAACGCCGAGAATTTTAAAGTTTGTGGGGCGGGGGGGGCAGAGCAAAAAAAGTAACATCTCGGCCGAATATTTTTGAAAAATTTCCAAAGTCGTGCCAGAATCAGTATCGGAGTTAGTAGGAAAAATATATAGCCGGTATGATTCATTATTTGTGTCTTTCGGATAAAGTGATTCTTTTAGTAAGAATTATATACTTTTGAAATGTTTCAACATCAAAAGTAGACTTAGAGTTTGATATTAATGGGTGATAAATTGTATATATTTAAACAAATGATTTTTTTCTTTAAACTGAAAGTGGAAGCAAAATCCAGTGCTATTTTAATTTTCTTTATTTTCAAAACAAATAATTATCTATTAATGAACATTTCTTGACAAAACATTAACTTTATAATGATTCAACCATTATAGCATTGACCACCAGGATTTGATTCGATTTGTCTTGTAATTTTGATCGTGACTGTGGTTTCGATTTTGATGTAGTTCGTTCTTCTTTTTTCTTTAAAGAGAAAAAGAGTTTGAGCATTTAATTATAGTAACAACGTGAAATAAAGGGAATCAAAGGAATATAGATATGCAAATAAAATATAAAGAATTAAAAATGTGGAAATGATTTCTTTGAATCGCAAGTTCTGGTTGGGTTCATATATCCATTAGTACCAACCTGTGATGGAGGAAGTGAAAATTCAGGTGAAGGAAGTAATTTCTCTGTAGTTTTAACTTCTTTTGCAGCACGTTTGCCTGTTAATGAGGATAAATATATTGGTGGTGGTGATTTGAAGTTTTCATAGCTATTATTGAGTGGAGGCTCAACAAATGCAAAAGGATAAGGTGCATTATTAAATGGGGCAAGAGGTGTGAAATGTAATGCAGTAAATGGGTTGAGATAACCAGTTATTTCAAGTTGGTTATCATCATCATCTTTCGTGTCGATTGATAATGGAGAATGAGCAGCAAGAGGGCTATTTGCAACTGTAGACACTGGTGTTGATACAGGAGTTGGGCAACTGATAGGGCTGAAACTGGCAATAGGACTTGTGCAAGTCATTGAACTAAGTTCTATTGCTTCCTCACTTTTAGCTGGTGAGGGAGGACCTTGTGTAAGGGAATCAATGATTTTATCAGCCGGGGTTACGGGTCTTGAAATGGAAGCAGGAAGATGCACTTGTACATCATAAAGTGATTCTTTTGGAGATGGGTAACTTGTTAATATGGCCATTTTTTTCGGTTTTGGCCCTTCGTAGAGTGTAGCATCAGTAGCAGAAACGGCATCAGGGGCTTCTAACACATTGTATTGTCTTTTCATATCGTCTAAGTAAATTATGCCAGTGAAGTTGTTAAGAATGTAAATGCTTCTAAAAAATTAAAAAAGAACAAGAAATATATAAAAAAAAATGGTAATTCGTGTAAGTTGGAAATCTATTTATACTTATCTGTGTATCTTCTTTATTGAAAAATTGATTATTTTCCTTCTTTATACCCCTAATATGAAAAAAAAGGCCTTATTCTCCGATTTCGTTTATTTGTGTAAGCTTAAAAGGCTTAGAGTATGTACTTTATGTTTCCCACTCGCTAACTCCTCACCAATGATACTGAAATGGAGTAGTCGATTATTATTATTATTATTACTACAAGAAATCGACAAAGTAATAGTTCTACCCTGATTGTCTGTTGGGTATAACCATACCATAAGAATATTTTGTATCTCATAAAAATTTCTATTTCCAAACAATCAACTACTTCTGTGTTGAATTTCTTTCTTTTTTTTTGAGTTTCTTTCCTTTATTGTTCATCTAATAGAATTAAAAATCAAAAAAGGAAAAACAGAAAGAACAATTTATTCTCATGCTTTGAACAAATCCCCCTTTTTTTTTACTATACGCTTTAAAGACTAATAATGCACTGTTGAAATCCATGTGTATATGTGTGTATGTCTACAAGTGGACATTTCAATCAAGCCAAGCCAAGCCGTGATTTAGACAGTACTTGCTACTATTTGCTCAGGTTATGATCGATGCATTAATTGTTATATATGTTCGATAAAAGTTTATCATGCAAATGCCACAAAATTAATTTACATATATATTTTTTTTTACAATCATTAATTTATCCTCTGATGCATACTGCATGATTTATTATGTTGCGAAAAGAAAAAAAAATAGGGTAAAATGAAAATTACTATCGATCACAATACGTAACATTGGATTAAGGTGTAAACAGTCAATACTCAAAATTGAAAAGCAAACAAATAAAAACTAATTTATGTAAGGTATCTCCCTTAATAAGAAAGTAATTAAAACTAAAACGTACTCTTATTAGCGTGTTATTATTTGGTTTAAACGTGTTAAGATCCTTCCCCTCTGACTCGGTATGGAGTTAAACACCATATACACACACTCAGTTGCAAGTGGGATAGTTAGATTGGTACAAGTTTATTGTTATCATTATAAAAGCTACGTATCTCTATTAAAACTATTTACTAGCTTCGAAGTTGTTAACAATTGAAAATGTGGATAATAATTTCCAATGGTTGGTTCGTGTATTTCATATTTAGAAAAGTTCGAAAGTAAGATAGCCGCTGTAATTGATCTTCATCTGTAAGTTATCAAACATATGCAAATCTAGTTTGATGCTATTGGGGCGCTTTAATTACGCACCAGGACTTTTGAATTTGAAGAACCCTGTGAACTCAAATCAATCTATAATGACACTTGGCGGAGGGGAGGGGGAATCGATTGCGGTAGAATTGGAATCATTAGCATAATAAACTAACAATTTATCAATAATGTCCTGCATCTGGTCAATATTTGCCTCTAATTTTGCAATCTTCAAGTGATATTCCCTTTTGAGTCTTTGTTTCTCGGTGTCAAAATTCGGTTCACCTTTTCCTAGCACCACTTCTTCCAAGTCATGTTCCATTGTAAGCCTAATATGAGCTATCTTTCTATTTTTTTTTAACCCGAAAGGAACTAAATTTTTCAAGAGACTTCAGAATAAAAGTGTTCCATGCTATACACTTATATATTTGATCCTAAATGTGTGTATGTGTATATCTTTAATTCTATCCTGGTGTGTGCATCTACGCGAGTGAGTCTGTGATTTTTATTGGAAATAGTATTGGCAAGCCTTGTAAGCGAATGAATAAGTTGTTAGGACGAGCATAGTCGCAAAAGACCAATAATACTCCAATCACATGTTTGTTCTATATGCAATAAGAAAGACACAATGGACCAAAAAATGAAAATTAACCACATCTAAGATTTTCCTGTGATATTTTTCCTTTGTCAATTTTGTTTCTTTTTTAGGATTGGATCAATTTTGAAAAATTTTTAATTAAGAAAATTAGTCAAGATCAAAGATAATTATGATTTGTAGACTCAAACTTCTTTGGACTCACACCAACCCCTAGTAAAGAGGATAATTCAAAAGGAACAATGGAAATTTACTAGAACAAAGAGAACCGTATGAATAATAGACTCAACCCTTTGGCGGCAAATTATGTAGTGTTTCTCAACCTGGGAGAGAACGGGCATCATAGAAAATGGTACAAAATAAAGAAGCACTTGGCTACTAATACACATTTCTCTATATCTTAATACACACACGCACTCTCACGCATATGAACACACACACACACACACACACACACACACACACCAGACATTCATGCATGCCTTAGAGGCGTGGTCTCTATTAATAGCTATTCAAACATGCTGCGTATCACTATGTTTTATAATAAAAGATAAGCTATTCTTAATCATACGTGCTATCTTGTAGGACACCATCCTATACACTTTGTAGTCAAAAATAGAATATTACTAAGATTATAAATCAATGTGGGGATTTTGAATTTTGCTAATTTACCATTTCCATGGGTATATCCCATGATCAAGTTTTAAAGTCAAAAGTTCGCCGAGGACCCTAAACACAAAATCACATTATTGCTTCGAAATTTTCCTTTTATTCATTTGAACATCTGATAATATTTTATTTTCATTGAAAAATAGTTTAAGAGTAATACTAAAATAAATAAAAAAAAAATAAAAAGATACAAAATAAAAAAAAAATATATAACCACCCAGTCTTGATTAATTGGACTCGTTAGGTTGATACTTTATTTTATTTCTACTGAATTATTTTTATTATTATTATTATTATAATAAGAACTTGAGTGTTCAAAACGCACTATTAATGACATCAGGATCGGATCTATTTTCCTGCGACCAAGATCTTCAATTAATCTGGAGTAATTTTGTGGACCTGTGGCACATGGTTAAAAATTACTGTTTATTTCTAACAGGTCATCATTTGTGGCTATGATTAAACTTTAAATTATCAGGGGGCAAATTTATTCGGTGCAGAGCTAACTCATAGTCGGCACCTACTAATATCTGCATTAATATAAATCACCTCATTAGTTTCCCAGTTAACAATAACATTTATCAAGTTTCGTGATATTAAACCACATCTTATATACTTAGTATTGATTTTCTTTGATTGATCGTTTTTCATTCAACTATTAACCCAGAAAATAGGACCGAGTCAGTGTGTTATTTTTTAATGGCGATGTAACCGACCACAAAACATTTATTAATCAACCACCACTCATTAGGAAGGACACATGTGAACACCAAAATCCGTAGTTACTCAAAAGTTGAATTCATATTTTACGTCTGCGGTATAGGAATTCTACCTTCCATCTCCGGTAATGATAATCATTTACGTTGGGATGTTGAATGTGGCGGTACGTCCATACTTGAATTTGAACTAATTAAGCGACCTAGATTACAAAACTGATAAAATAGCTAAATAATAATAATAATGATCACATAAGACTAAAATTTATAAATTTATGAAGTATTTCTAGGAAGTGTAACACACACAACATTTGCACAATCCTAATTGGAAATCGTTGAACAACTAAGTCGTGTCAAAACCATAGTTTGATCCCCACGTGATTATTATCACATGATATATTGCTACCAAGTCCAAGAAAAAAAAAATCTAATCGTATTCCTGAAACCTCCGAGGCATAAGGTGATCAAGTTTTCTACGGGAAACATGCATTAGTTTGATAATTCGTGCTATAATTATACGACACATTCGTTTATTATCAGATCATATGATGGCAGTGAAATGTGAAACACAATTGAGTCCATCTTGCTGTTACCACCACCTCATCTAACAAATTTATTACTAGAAAATTGGTTCCTTGATTGTCCGAGTAAGAAAAAAAAAACTCGTGACCAGCAATAACGGTATATCCGTACGTCCTAGATTCAACAAGAATAAGGTAGTTGGCTCTTGAGTATCGTTATAGAACCTACATATCTTATATTAAGTAGTTTCTGATTTGTTGGCCAATGGCATTTCTAAAACTGCCGGGGCTACATGCTATTTTTTTTCTTTTTACATGTAGCGGTTGACAGCCAACTTCTTATTTTTTTTTCTCTGTTTGGTTTTTCTCAACCAATAAGAGAAAAGGAATTTGTCAAAAGCACGCATATTTTCAACCCCCCGGAACAAGAAAAACTAAGCAAGACTCTCTTGAATTGTAAGAACAAATAAAAAAAAAAAATACTAAAATACTAATGAAAAGAGAAAAACGAAAAAAAAAAAAATCTCTTTTGAACATCACCTTTTCCTTTTAATTAAATATTCAATTCTTCAATAATCAACACTTCTGTTAACTATGTTCAGATCCGTTCTTCGCCAACAAAAAGCTGCTCAATTCAGCATCAGATCTTTAGCCACTGCTACTACTGAAAAAGCTCCAAGATTAAAGAAATTCCAAGTTTATAGATGGAACCCAGATACCCCAGAAGTTCAACCAAAAATGCAAACTTATGAAGTTGACTTGAACAAATGTGGTCCTATGGTTTTGGATGCTCTTTTGAAAATTAAGAACGAACAAGATGCCACATTGACTTTGAGAAGATCTTGTCGTGAAGGTATTTGTGGTTCTTGTGCCATGAACATTGGTGGTAGAAACACATTGGCTTGTTTATGTCGTATAGATCAAGATGAAACTAAAGACTTGAAAGTTTACCCATTGCCACATATGTTTGTTGTTAGAGATTTGGTCCCAGATTTAACTCACTTCTACAAACAATACAAGTCTATTGAACCATACTTGCAAAGAGATTCCAACCCAGCTGATGGTAGAGAAAACTTGCAAAGTATTGAAGACAGAGCTAAATTGGATGGTTTGTACGAATGTATTTTGTGTGCTTGTTGTTCAACTTCTTGTCCATCTTACTGGTGGAATCAACAACAATACTTGGGTCCAGCTGTCTTGATGCAAGCTTACAGATGGTTGATTGATTCAAGAGATCAAGCTACTGCATCCAGAAAAGCTATGTTGCAAAACTCTATGTCCTTGTACAGATGTCATACCATCATGAACTGTACCAAAACTTGTCCAAAAGGTTTGAACCCTGGTAGAGCTATTGCTGAAGTTAAAAAACAATTAGCCTTTGATTAATGAAGGAAGCCTGGAGTCAAAGAATAATAACAAATACAAATTGAGAAGAAACAAATCTGAGTTATAAACAGAAGAGATTGTCTCAAGAATAAGAGTGCTTATTCAGAGTGCTTTTTTTCTGCATTGGATGTGGAAATTTTCGTCTGAATTAGTTCATTTTGCATGTTCCTTTATTTATTTAAGTAGTACCTTTTTTTTATATATATAATATTAAAAACATATTTAATCTGAACTTGAGTCGAGAGTAGTTGATAAATGGAACCAGTTTATATTGATTAGATGTATGTTCCTAGAGACCACAGCATGTCTTTGAATTTGGTATATTTCAACAATTTCAAGTCACCCCTACCCCACAAAGTTTATTGTTTGCGCGAAATCATGGAAAAAAAAAAAGGGGAATTAAATCTAGCCAATTAGGACAGAGGGCGGTATGACAACACCAAAAACGAAACTTGACAATAACTACCATATTGACCAGCTACTATAGATATATATGATTAATGGAATATATTGAGTTTAATAATAATAGTGACCACAAATATGCAGAGAAAAGACAGTACAATTGTCTACTTCTTCAAATGCATGACAAAAAAAATATATATGCGAGTCCGAAATACGGTCCCAGATTTAAATTCACAACACTTCAATTGCTGGTATAATTCAAACCACTATTGATGAATGTTTTACCTGTATTTCAATATCCACGTATCAATTGATTAGTTATGTCTACATATTGTGATTAAAATAGTAACTATGGTTCATCTACGAAGTTATTGCAAAATTCGCTACATCCAATTGTTGCAGCTAATCTGTGTACCACTCATGGTTGTATGAATATCTCAACTTTGTTAACCATTAAAACTAACAAATTCCAAGGGTAATGCATAATAACTGATTAAGAATAGAGAAAATGTACGAATGTACAACTCACATGGTTATGTTACATTTTAACCTTGGTATCCGATATTCTCACTGGTACTGGTCAATTACAAGTGTCTCTATCAATGATCCAACTACATTCAACAAACAATACACTTTAAGCCATTGTTTTAATCAACAGAACTCAATCTATCACTGGGCCTCACATACTTCTCTTACATACTGTATAATGATCTAATGATAAACCGGAGAAGAAAAAGAAAAATTTACGCGGTAAAGTTGATGAGATTATGCTTTAAATCGCTCGGCAGTAGTCACTATGGCACAAATAATTAACCACCATAGATATATTCCCCAATTTTTAAGATAATATACTTAACTCAACGACTTCATTTAGCTCTACCTAATCTACAAAATTGACTCACAGAAAGTTACTCTTCTTCCCGCGATAATTTAGAACTCTATGGAAGCAAACAAATTCTTCTCACAACTGTAACGATGCAAGATCGCTTAAATCTGTGTCTACCACTCCACACAAAGAAATATCCTGTAGAGATCCGAGCGATATAATCCCTTTTTGAGCCTCCCCAGATGTTTCACAGCAATTGGAAAACCTCTACCTACATACAAACAAGGGAGGAGTAACTACAAGTAAATAGTGTGTTTCTTTTATATTCCAAAATGTTCTTAGCGAAATGGGAAATGGGCAAGTATCATTTGCAATGGTATAAATATCCCAGCAATTCCCTTAATTAGTTCATCAATTCTATTCATTCTAATCGCTAACAATCATCTAATTGATAAATAATCGATAAACTAAAAACTACTACAAATTTATTTCCAAACCAAATATGTCTAAACCTGTTATTTTAATGGCTCTCTACTCCGGTGGTAAGCACTCCAAAGAAGAAAAACGTTTGTTGGGTACTATTGAAAACGAATTGGGCATCAGAAAACTTGTTGAAGAGCACGGGTACGAGTTGATCACCACCGATAGGAAAGACCCAGAACCAACTTCTGCCTTTGACGAATACTTGGACAGAGCTGAGATCATCATCACCACTCCATTCTTCCCGGCTTATGTCACAAAAACCAGAATTGCAAAAGCTCCAAACTTGAAGTTGTGTATCACTGCTGGTGTTGGTTCAGACCACTATGATTTGGATGCCTTGAATGAAAAGGGTGTTGCTGTGTTGGAAGTCACTGGATCCAATGTCCAATCTGTTGCTGAACATGCTGTTATGACCATGTTGATCTTGCTCAGAAACTACGGTGAGGGCCACCACCAAGCCGTCAGTGGTGGATGGGATATCGCTGCAGTTGCCAAAGATGAATTCGACATGGAAGGTAAAGTTTTCGCTACTGTTGGTGCTGGTAGAATTGGTTACAGAATCTTGGAGAGATTGGTTGCTTTCAATCCAAAGAAGTTGTTGTACTACGACTACCAAGCTTTGCCTGATGCCGCGGTCAAGAAGATCAACGATGCTTCTAAGTTGTTTAATGATGTTGACAATATCCTTGAAAGAGTCGACACTTTGGAAGAATTGTTCTCCCAAGCTGATGTTGTCACTCTTAACTGTCCATTGTATGAAAAATCCAAAGGAATGGTTAACAAGGACTTGATCTCCAGAATGAAGAAAGGTTCTTATTTGATCAACACTGCCAGAGGTGCCTTGACCGATCCACAAGCCGTTGCCGATGCCGTCAACTCTGGTCATATTTCCTATGGTGGTGATGTCTGGCCAGTGCAACCGGCTCCAAAGGACATGCCATGGAGAACCATGCACAGTCCATATGGAAAAGACTACGGTAATGCCATGACTGTTCATGTCTCTGGTACTTCTTTAGATGCTCAAGCTAGATATGCTGATGGTGTTAAACAGATCTTGACCGAGTATTTCAACAAGACCTACAAGTACAGACCACAAGATGTCATTGTTATTGATGGTCACTATGCTACTAAGGCTTATGGTCAACACAATAAGTAGATTGTTGTGGTTACTAAATGTGAAATCTAGTTAGTTTTACATAATTTTTTGAATGAATATATTTCCTCTTGTGATGTATTAGATTTGTAATTGCAATTCAACAGAGGTACGATATGTAATCAAGATCTCACATAAACTCAGTGTATAAGATTTATATATTCAATATATAACTTTACTTATTTCTTTTCATTGGTGTAAAACTTGAAATTATCCTTGCCTTCAAATGGATGTTCCTTTGCATACTGAGCAGCTTCTAAGATAACCTTCTTTGATGCTTCAAATGATTCCTCTGAGATTTGGTAGTGGAAAGAAACACGCCCTGAGTAGATCTTCACACCATGTTTATCGGAAATTTCAATCAACTTATCTGGATCAATCTTGTTTGCTTTTATATCAACAAATACAAAGTTAGTGTGCACTGGATGTTCCAAAATGATTTCATTTTCTTCACATAATTTACCCAATTCCTTAGCTCTTTCATGGGTAGATTTAAGTTTTGATACATTTTCATCAATTGCAACAATTGCCATAGATGCAAGAAGACCGGATTGTCTAATTCCACCTCCCTGTTGTTTCTTGAAATGGTTAGCCTTGGCAATGAATTTTGAAGATCCTACTAATACTGATCCAATAGGAGCACCAAGGGTTTTAGATAAACAGATTGATACACTATCAAACCATTTACAATATTCAGACATTGGAATACCAGTTTCTACCGAAGCATTCACTAATCTAGCTCCATCCAAATGTAATTTAATATCATTTTCATGACAAAATTTACTTATTTTTTCAATCTCTTCAATTGGCATAATTATTCCATGCAAGGTATTTTCCAAACTGATCAACTTTGTAGGAGCACCATGGATCTCACCATCATCATCAATGATATGTTCAAGAATATCTTCAAGAGTCAAGTAGTCACCATTGGAAGGAACCAAAGGTTGAATCATAGCTTGACTCAAGGTGGCTAAACCACCAGCTTCATGTACATAGATATGTGATCGATAATCACAAAGTACACTGTATGGAGGTTGAAAAAGATTAGTTCTAATGGCAATTTGGTTTGATAAAGTTCCACTAACACAATACAACCCAGCCTCTTTACCTGTCCAACTGGCAACTTTTTTTTCTAATTCTATTGTTTTAAGATCTTCATTGTATACTGCATCTCCCAATGTGGTTAGAGCTAATGATTGGATCATAGAAGGTGTTGGAGTGGTGAAAGTATCACTACGGAAATCATTATGAGCTGGACTCTGATTGGCAAAAACTGAGAAATCCATTCTTTTTTTTTTTGTTACTTTTCGATAAGATATGAATATAAATAGAAAATAATAGATATAGAAAGAAAACTAAAATTCAAAAAAGAATAAGTTACAAATAATTAACTATTTTTTTTACAAGATTCCAAGGGTTATTGAACATTGTTGAAAGACTCTGTCATTCTTGTGCCGTAGGAAGGAAGGTGCTGACGTTTGTTTCTTTTTTTTTTCATACTTTTTTGACCCTGTCTTCAAGAATTTGACTTCGTATGCATGAAATTTTCAAAACTTCGGAAATTTAAACCCATCTCGAGGCTTTCACCTCGTTTATCATTTGAGTTTAGAATCAAAGATACATGTAGGGACCATTGATGCTGCAAGAACAATATCTGCAACATTGGAGTATATACAACGCTTAATCAAGTATATTATCCAAAGAATAAAAGAAAAGAAAGAAAAAAAAAACGGTATCTGGATAGACTTGCCTATTTGGGTGGTGTTTTTAGCGGAAACCGCATTGCCAAATACTGAATTTTGAATCTTCCATGTTTTAATTACTAACTAGTGGTAGTATACTTAATCAAATAGTGCCAAACTTAAGCCGATATTCATTAACCAACACAATTACCTGCATTTTAATTTGAACTTATGCTTTGACCTACTACCTATACTTCTAACTGGTTCGATATGGACGGGGAACCATCGAGCGCATTTTTCTACTCTTTTTGAACATAATCTCAAGCGCATCGGGTTTCTTTTCCAAGATAGGAACAGACCCCACCAAATCAGAACACGAAAAAAAAAAAAAGATAAAAAAAAATTTCTAATCTTTGAAATTTGACAGTATTTAAAGCACTTGCTATAGCCATTCCTTGATTAATTTTGAAAATTTTTTTTATTCTTTCATCAATCAATTAATTACTTGTACAACTTTCTATTTACACATATACAACTATTATATAATGTCAATTCCATTACTGTTCGACGTCACCTTACCTAACGGTGTCAAATTTACACAACCAACAGGTTTATTCATCAATAATGAGTTTGTTCCATCTAAATCAGGCAAAACCTTGGAATCAATTAATCCATCAACTGGTGAAGTCAATGGAGAAGTATATGCTGCTGATGCTGATGATATTGATATTGCCGTTGAAGCTGCTCAGAAAGCATTTAAGACATGGAAGAAAGTCAGTGGTGTTGAAAGAGGTGAATATTTATTCAAACTTGCTAAACTTTTAGAAGAAAACCGTGAATTACTCGGAGCAATTGAAGCTTGGGATTCCGGTAAAACTAGAAATACTAATGCTGTTTATGATATTGATGAATGTGTTGGAGTCACTAAATATTATGCTGGGTGGGCTGATAAGATTACTGGCCAAGTTATTCAAAATGATCCAAATAAACTTGCTTATACTGTTCACGAACCTCTTGGTGTTTGTGGTCAAATTGTTCCTTGGAACTATCCATTGGCAATGGCATTTTGGAAAATTCCAGTTGCTGTTGCTGCAGGTAATACTGTTGTTTTGAAAACCAGTGAAATTACTCCATTGAGTATGTTGTTTGCTGCCACCTTGATTAAAGAAGCTGGCTTCCCACCGGGTGTCATCAACATTGTATCTGGTTTGGGTCCAGTTGCTGGTGCCGCCATGGCTTCCCATAAGAAGATTGCCAAGATCGCCTTTACTGGTTCTACCGCCACCGGTAAAGTCATCCAAAAATTGGCTGCTGAAAACTTGAAAGCTTGTACTTTGGAATGTGGTGGTAAATCACCATTGATTGTCAGAGGTGATGCAGATTTGGAACAAGCTGTCAAATGGGGTGCTGTTGGTATTATGAGTAATCAAGGACAAATTTGTACTTCTACTTCTCGTATCTATGTTCATGAATCTGTTTACGACAAGTTTATTGAAGAATACGCTGCTCATGTTAAAGAAGAATATAAACAAGGTGATATGTGGGATGATGAAGCTGTTGTTGGGCCCCAAGTTTCCAAAATGCAAGAAGAGAAAATTTTGGGTTATATCAAGATTGGTAAAGAAGAAGGTGCACGTTGTGTGATGGGTGGTGAAAAAAATACTGAAGGAGATTTGGCCAAGGGTTATTATATCAAACCTACAGTTTTTGCTGACGTTACACCAGAAATGAGAATTGTCAATGAAGAAATCTTCGGCCCGGTTGTTGTCATTGGTAAATTTTCAACTGATGAAGAAGCTATTGAATATGCTAACCAAACTGATTATGGTTTAGGTGCAGCCATCTTCACCAATGACATTACTGTTGCCCATAACATGGCTGCTGATATTGAAGCTGGTATGGTCTGGATCAACTCTTCCAATGATTCTGATCTCCATATTCCATTTGGTGGTGTTAAAATGTCTGGTGTTGGTAGAGAATTGGGTGAATATGGTTTAAATATGTACACCCAAGCAAAAGCTATCCATGTCAACCTCGGTAACAGATTGTAGACATCTATGTGTATTATGTGCTGGAAACTAATGGTTGTATAGTTGAAACAATACAATAAATATATAATTTGAAATTAAAAATAAAAATAAAAGAATAAAACCAATACGTCTTACTCAAAAAAATTCTTGTGTGGTATATATGGTGGAGTTCTTGTACAGAATAGTAAATCCTTATGTAAGTAATTACATAATTCACATTACTCCTATTTTTTTTTAAACTTCGTCCTCACTAATATTAGTCGTTGCTGTTTAATTATTTTTTTTTTCTTGAATTTCAGTTTTACAACCAATTATCCATCGTTCCCCTATTTTTTTATTCTTCTTTTTTTTTTTTTTTGATCTACTATTCCTATCTTCTTTTTTTAAAATATATTTGCTTTTCTTTATCACTACCTTTTTTTTGGAACAAGTTTTGGAGACTCCCTTTTGTACCAAGAAAGAGATAACAAGCAGGTACTTTAATAGTCAATAAATCATCTCACCAATGCTGACCACATTTGATCCATGTATATCAACCACTGGCACGACCCCTATTTCAGTTGATAATGATCTCAAGAACAGCATCAGTATAATAGGCAAAACTACTGTACATCCACCAAATTCCATAGTATCTATTTTCCCACCATTCATCATTCAAAAGATACTAGATCATGTTGATCAGTTTGATTTGATTAGACTACTGTTAACATGTTCTCACTTGTATGGGTTGGCAATGGAGAAATTATATCGCCGAATTACCGTAGTGTTGGACGCGGAGTTCCCGGTTAAGTACAAAGGTGATTCACACAAGTACATATCAGAAAATGGTATGGTTTATATGGATAGCTCATTGATACTAAAACTACACAATCTACACAAGTTTATTGACACTGTGAGAAATAACGAAACAATATTTCAGTTGATAAGATATTTTGTATTTGATAAAAGTTATGAAGCTCAAGGAAGTGAAACGTTGAAAGTTACACAAAGTGGGATTTTGAATATGTTCCGATATTCTAACAACTTGAGTTTCTTACATATATCATTTGTTGATTTTGGAGAAGGAGTGGGACAATTGACTGATTTCTTTAGGTTGAGAAATGTAAGGAAAAAGATGTTCAAATTATTGATCACGGAACCAGCACAGTTGATTACTCCGATCATTCCTCCCAACTTGACTAATCTATTTTTAATGCTTGACGATCAGGATATCAAGTGTATGGATTTATCTACTACTCCGTATGACACTTTCAACTCATTATTCACATTAACATGTTCTACTTCAAGACAGATGGGGCTTTCAATTCTTGAAAACATAAAACTATGTTCGCCAAATATGAAATTGAAATTAAAGGGATTAACTGTCTTTCATAGACACAACCAGTGTGGTGGACCTGATGAGAATGATGATCTTCACCTTTTTTTAAATGGCCATACAAACGAGGATGGTGAAGATGAGGACGGCGAGAGTGAACTAAACATCGGGAAGAAGCTAGATTTTGATATAATTGAACAAAAAGTTGACTTGACATATTTGACACATTTATATTTGAAAGTGGATTGTAACGAACACCGTGATAATTTTTGTAATTGCTATGAGACTTTTTTCAAGAAATTTGAAGAATTTTCGCAACGCAACAATGGGTTGCCAAATCTAGTTAACTTCGAAGTTGAATCTTATCCTAATATGGAATGGTTACGACCACATCAGCAGATGGAGAATATTTTGACACCATTGGGGAGTTTTATCAAGACGTTAGTTAACTTGCTGCGTTTAACAATTGACTTTACGACACCAGGTTTCAAAATGTTTGATAGTAGCTTGGGGTTGTCTAATTATTTATTAAACAAGTTGAATGAACACTTGATGGAGGCTTTCTTTTTAAGTTTTTTTATCAACAACGATAAATTACCATTATTGACAAAATTGAAAACACTTCAGTTGCCGGATTTTTTTACTTCATTTGTTTACTATAAACCTGATTTTATGGAATCATTATTGCACACATGTAAATGCTGGGGTTGCCACTTGTTATTACAGACATTAAAAGATGAGTTTTTTGATACACGTATTGATGATACAGTGGATACTACATATTACATGTCAATTGGTTATATTCTCGGGAAATTGCAAGCAGACAGAGAGGTTTGTATTCCAATCAAAGAACACACTTTCCATTACAACAAATATCCTATAAATAAAGGACAGCCACATACATTGCACACCAATTTTCATGGGGATCCTAAGAGTTGTTCATGTGATTTAGAGAATGATCCACTTGGGGTAGATGAAATGAATATCGATAATTTGATCACCACATATATAATCCACCAATTAGACCCAATCATTGATTACCTTACGATAATGTTTGTCAGCTTGGATAATTTAATGATTCATGGTATTTATTATGAAAGAGATTTACTTCTCAATGAATTGGTTCCAATTTATGATTCATATGATTATCCCGATGCATTTTTAACAAAAGTGGAAGATGAAATGGAACGTGGAATACTTCCAGAAGGACCATTTGGGAATTTTAGAGGTCGATAAAAAGAAAACGAAAAAGTTATTCAATTCAAAAGAAAAATTGCATATATGATTTCGATGAATATCATGAGTTATAAAAATCAAAAAAAAAAAAAAAAAAAAATAATAATAAAAAAAAGAGAACAAGAATTCAGAAACCAACCCAAAGGTTAGTTAATTAGTTAGTTAGTTAGTTAGTAATGTTTAATGAATCAGGACGTAATGCATATTAGAACTTATATATATATATATATATATATATAATATATGGTTAATTTTGAAAAGGTCGATTCTCTTGCTACGTAAATCGTTACTTGGTAAAGAATGTACAGTTTTGTGTAATCTCGTAAATGGATCTATTTTTTTTTCTTTTTCTTTTTATCTCTCATTTCATTGAATATACCCTTGGCAGCATACAGATTGAAAGAAGAAGAGATTTCTTTTTTTATTATTATTATTATTTATTTATTTTACGGTGGGGGGAGAGGAGAGGAGGGGGGAAGGTAAGAAAGGGATAGAGAAGAAATTGGCCGTAATATAATCTATCACTAGTGGGATTTGCTGTTGATATCTTGGGAAAACGTCATTTACAAATTTGTTGTTCAATATTAGTATGGAGAGATAGAATTGTTATAGTTTGTGATTGGTATTACTTGACCTTAATTCATTTGACCTTGCATAAATCTCATTTTGTAATTGACTATTTGTGGTTTACTGTAACTTTTACCTGAATGAAAGAGTGAAAGAAAGAAAAAAAAAAATCAAAATTGTGTGAACAAATCAGACACAGAACAAAATTAAGTACTGTAGTATGTATGCATGGTGGACAAAAAAAAAGAAAAAATCCCTCTCTTGTTCTTCTACTTCTTCCTCTAATTATTATTGTACTAACTCACTGTGCTTATTTGAGTTTTTGTTCATCCTCTTCAGAAAACATTTTTTTTTCCTCTTCTTCTTCTTCTTCTTCTTCTTCTTCTTCTTCTTCTTCTTCTTCTTCTTCTTCTTCTTCTTCTTCTTCTTCTTCTTCTTCTTCTTCTTCACTTTCTTTTTTTTTTTTTTTTTTTTTTTTGGTTTTCATTGGAGTGATCATTCTCTTTATTATCTATACTTCATTCATACTCCATCCAACTTCCCCTGATTTCCTTTTATAATTACATATACATCTATATATTCGAGGAGAATAATTCAAGTATTTCTTGTATATTTTTTGAAGTTCATTGCTAGCTAATTTTTTTTCTTTCCTTCTTCTTCTTTCTGATTTTTCCTTCCTTTTTTTTGACGTTGGCTTCGGCATTTTATTTTGAGTATTTTACGTTGAAGAATCGTTCTCAGGAAAACTTGGTGAAGAGGAATAAAACAACAACAAAAAAAAAACAAGTAAAAGAAAAAAATAACCAGATTTAGTGAGACAAATTTTACAAGGATAAATAAAATACTACATCTTTTTCTTTTTAATACGAAACAAAAGGGCATTTCATATCACATGAAAAAATTTTTCATTGAAAGTATAGATAAGTCAAATACTATTTAACATTAATCATTGAGTTACTATAATCGTCCCTTTACTGTGGTATAGCTTTTTAATTGTTCAGACCTTACACTATACTTTTCGGTTTTTCATCGTTATTGTTGTTTTTTTTTATTTATTTATTTTATTTATTTAATCTAATTTTTTCTTTCTCCTAGTACGATCTTTGTCCAACCTCAATCCCAGGGGTTTCAGCTTCAAACTTAATTTGATTCAACAAAAAGATTCTACATCATTATTTTTCAAGTCCATGCCAATAGAGTTCCGTTAGCATCAACAAATTACATCCCATGTCAAAACTTCCTCAGCGACAACAGCAAAACTACCAATCAGGGTCACCGTCTATTTCCGACAAGGAATCAAACGATTCACATCAATTATTATTGGCTCATTTGTATAATTACTTCAGAAGTAATGGATTGAATGATTCTGCAGAGGCTCTATTAAGAGAATGCAATAATTCCATACCCAAATCTGCCAATGGCATGTTTTCTTTGGGCAATTCAGATTTACAAACTGACAACACCTTCTTGGATGAATGGTGGAGTTTATTATGGTCCTTACAATCATCTGTTCACCAGAATCCGAATCCTATGGGGAGCCAACAAAGAATGTTGACTCCACAACAACAGATGATTTTACAACAAAGAATGTTTCAACAGCAACAGCAGCAACAACAACAATTACAACAACAAAGGTTGCAACAACAAGCTCTAATACAACAACAGCAACAGCAACGTATAATTGCATCACGTCAGCAACAACAACAACAACAACAGCAGCAACAAAATGCACCACCACCTCAAAATATTCCTAATAAATCACCAGCTGTTGGTCTGATGGGTCCACCTAATATGAATTTACAAGCGAAGGCATCTCCAAGTATGGATCAATTACAATCTCAGGCAAGGTTACAACAATTGAAATTGCAATTTCAACAGCAACAACAGCAACAACAGCAGCAGATTCAAATGCAAATTCAACAACAACAACAACAGCAGCAACAGCAACAGCAACAACAAATGGGAAGGTCTCCTGTCGTTAATTCCAATGGACAACCGCCCCATCAATCTCCTCAACCACCTGCACAAAACCAACCAACTCCTGCAAATAAAGCTGTTTCTCCAAAGTTGCATAGACATTCAATGGACGAGTACCTGATGAATTTGTTGCAAATTGAAAACCAAAGTAACTTACAAAGGCAAAGATTCAACCAAGCTCAGCAACAGCAACAACAACAACAACTGCAAAATGAGCAATCATTTGGACCTAAACAGGGAAAGCCACCTACTCAACAACAATTGAGGAGACAACTGACTCAGTCTCAGAAACAACGTCCACCTCCAAGACAACCACAAGCGACTCAATCATTTACTGCACCTGGTGAAAGAAAAGCTTCCTTTGACGGAATGTTTCCCGTGCAGAATCAAGGTATGTACCCACCTGGCCCTCCAGGTGGACCACCACTTGCTGGACAAACACAACCAATGCCTCAACAACAGCAGCAGGCACGACCACCACAGCAACAACAACCACAATTGCAAAGACAACCACCTCCACAGCAACAACAACCTCAAACTCAAACTCAGTCCCAACCTCAACAGCAGCCTCCGCCTCCTCTGCAACAACAACAACAACAACAACAACAACACCCTCCACCTCACCAGCCATCACAACAGCAACAACAACAAGGACGTGACGGACCAAACAAACAGGAACCTAATCTGTTATTAGATGATACCTTTTTCCTGGGTAACTTGCTTTTGGACGAGTTCAAAGAGTTTACATCTAATAATATGGATGAAAGTCAGAATAACCCACAGTTTAACACACCATCTGAACGAATGGGATTTGGAATGACACCAAACCAACAACAAATGCAAAATATGGGGCCACCTCAACAACAGCAGCAACAACAACAACGTATGCAAATGAATGCTTTTGATGGTCTTGAATTAGGTGGATCCATGGGCGATGGTGGGAATGATGATGTTGGACAAACAATTACTACAGATTGGTTAAGTCTGATGGGATCAGGGCCAGGTTATGGATGATTCTCGTTGTAGAGAGGTATATAATAGTTATTAATGTATTAATATTTATCGTCATTCTATATTATTTTTGCAACCCAAAGAAATGAGCTCCTAAAATATGTCTCACTCTCGGAGCGCATTTTTGATTACTCTTTACGGCGTCCTACGGCAAAGTTCAGAGTTTCCCTGTTATACGTCAACTGTCAATAATCTTCCCAAATATACATCCATTGTTTATGATTAATCCATAAAGATGTTACCATGAAACTATGTTGAATTTTCTCTATTATGGTTGTGAGCAATGCTGAATATTAAATTTAGTGAGCATTTGGTTGTCTTTTTTTTCGTGTAGCACATAACAACTTTAAATCGATGAGTCTGTTACATATACTCGAGACGGATTAAAATATACTACGAAACTTGTCATCTTACTCCACCTTAATGACATCATTCGTTAAACTTGTATTGTAGAATAGCTTTTTGGTTGTTTTGGTCTGCACGTGATTTTTTCTGTTGTGTGTGTTATTTTTATTGTCTCTTGTTTTTGAGTTTTTACTTGATTTGTAAATCACTAAAAAACTTAAACAATAGAGAGTGTGAGAGAAAAAAAATATCAAAGGATCAAAACAAACCCATAAATCGTGAAGCGAATTGAAAGATTAATTCATTCTCAATTAGTTTTTGTTTTCCCACCTAGGACAGTTTGTTGTTTTCATTTTTTTTTGTCTTTCATTTCCTTCTTCTTAAATCCAACTAATCAATCAAACCAGTTCCATATCAACCAATACCTTCCCTGTAAGTGTGTGAGTCTTGAATATTAATTTTTTTCTTTTCAATGAGAATACTGTCAAATGTTATTTGTATAGTGGAAATATGAATTTTGATAGATTGAATCCACTATCTAATTACTTATTCCCTTCCTCCAATAATTCAAATGCCACATCAAATACCAATACGACCAAAACCAAACTTAAGGATAATTATAACAAACAATCTGAGTTGGATTCCCAGCTCGATAGTGAAATAAGTGATTGGGGTATAGAAAACCCAACCCAACCAAATAGCAAAAGCAATACTTCAACCAATGGATTATTGTTATCACCTTCAGTAACATCCACATCTACTTCAACAACTAATATCGAGGATCATTATGTTCCTCTTTCATATCATGAGTTTCAGGACAATATATTTCTGTTACCACCTCCACAACCACATTTTTTACCTCGGCAAAACCGCACTAATCATTACCCACAACAACAACAACATCAATTAAGAAAGTATAGTACCACTCTGGTAAATTCCCAGAGTAGTCTTCGTGACTTTCAATATTACTATGATGCATATGTTCCTGAACATATATCTCCAGACACAGACAATCTTTGTAAATTTATCCACAAGTATATTTCATTGGAACACAAATTACCCGAGTTCTGGGAGAAATTCAAATACAATTTGATAGTATCCAATTTATTGGAGAATTCCATGGTATTGTCCAAGAATGAATCAAACTTGCAAACGTTAAGTAAAACAACCATTGTCGACTTTCATGAAAAATCTGATATTTTCAGTTATTCTTTCAATGATGATGGAACCAAGTTATATGTTCTTGACAGGCGCTATAATTTGTGTTATAATTTGAAATATAACAATATGAAAATCATCGTGTTGGTGATTAACATGATAATATTCCTCCTTAAACAACAACAATTGTATTATAATCAAGTTGCTAATCACCTACCTTTACAACTTCAAATTAGAATGTTTAAAATAATAGTTTACATATCCATGAAACTCATAAAAGTTAGAAAATTTAAAATTATAATCAATTCAACTAGAATTCTACAAAATTTACAACAATTTTTAATGCTTAATTATAAAATCAACAAGAAATTAATAGTTTACCTCAACAACCTCAAAGGAGAACAACTCAATCTTATATCGAATAAGACACATAAATATTTACTGAATCATTTACTAAACTCTTTGGAATTCTTGAACTTAAACTTACAAAGTTTAATAGTGAAACTTTTACCACACATGAATGGCAATTTATTTGAACAATATTGTGCAGTTAATAATGTCAATTTGGATATTTTGAATCACAGCACGAAATTGCATGAAGATGAAAATGACATGATCCATGTTCTTGGGACACAAATAAGCAAATTTGATAATTTAAGAAAATTATTTATTTGTCAATTACTTACAATAAATGAACCGTCTAATCCAAATTTCTTTGTATTTAAATTGATGGATGAATTTGGTCTTGATGAAATGGATCAAAGGGTACTGGATCTATCAGATATACCACGTTTACAATTAGTTTATGACATATTGTTGGACCATAACTCAACATTAACAAATATCGAAGGATTATTTGAAAAATTTGAGAATTTAAATAAAGGCGCTGTATGTACTTCTGGAGAAGAAAATGGTACAGGTGAAAACTTACCATTCGTGCTGAATTTAGATACATTAATTGCAAGAATGGCGAACCTAACCACGAACTTGAAGTATTTTCAAAAGTATAATCGTTCAATTCAGGATTTAGATAATGCTGATGAACAACAAGAAAAGTTGATGATATTTACACAATTTAAAGATGAATTGGAGCATATCAAGAGTTTGTATAAATCATCGCTAAATGATTTAAATCAAGAACTAAATCCAGGATATATGGTTCCTCAATCTCCTTCTACTCTTTCAAATGTATCTGGCTCACCAACTACTGTGTCAAAATCATTTAATTTGAAAACATTCCAGAATTCATCATTGAAAAAGCGTTTCTCCTTGCCTTCTCCACAGTCATTGCCTACTCCAACAACCCCTTCAAACATTGCAAATGATATCAATGAGAATGCTAATGGTAAAGAAAAGAAATACAAACGATTGTCAACTGGTTTGCAATTGGGATTACTAACTGTGTTTGAAAACGATCAATCACCAAATGGAATATCCAATAGAAATTCTATTAACTCGGTTAATTCGAAAATGTCAACACCAATGATTAGCAACAAGAGTAATAATAGAGTTGCATCATTGGATGATAATTATCTAAATATATTGCCTCCTGCTGGATACGAGACATATAATCAAAAATCACTTGAAGCGTTGAATAAAAGAATGCGAAATAGTATAGGTAACCAGAATCGATATTCCTTGAACTCATTACAATCCAATATATCCGGTATTACAGATTTGATTAGTACAAATTTGACTAGTTATGGAGATGAAGATCAAACAGATCAAGTACCAGAAGGAGGTAATGCTAATTCCAATATCCAAAATCCATTATCCAAAGAGGATTTGAAATTGAAATTGGAAGAAAGTTTTAACCGGATTTATAATTTGGAAAATGAGAATAAACTTCTTAAAAAGAACTTAAATGAAAGTGTGAATGAGAATCAGAAAGAAGATGAAGATCTTGCAAATATTAGTAAACCAAATCCACAATTTTTAAGTGAATTGGAGTTAAAATTAAGTAAATAATTATCTTCAATATATAAATATAGAGTTTGTTTACAAATTCGAAGATAAGTTGAACAGTATTGAGTATTCTCCTCCCTGTACTTCATTTCACATGTATTCTACAACTTTTTGTTTGACTAAAACACAATTTTAGTTACTTCTGTCTATTCTTTAGAATTTATATTTGTTTTTTTTTTATTATTATTCTTATTAGCTTTAGATATATAATGCACTAAGAATTCTGACACTAGTTTCTAATAATCCAATTGCATTAATGATTTGTATATATAACTGTTTTTTTTTTTATTATTATTATTCTTTACACACTTGTAATATCTGATATATTCTCTAATTATCTTTGTAATGACGAATCAAAATATAAGCGTTTTCTTGTTTCAAATTTGATAAAGAACGATAACCACCTTCTAAACGCATCAATAAACCACCAAAAGAAATATAAACGGACATTTTATCAGTATCACTACTTTCTTCAAATTTATAAACAGTACCATACATAACATAATCATAATCATCAGCTAATGATCTATCATCTGCTTTTGGAGGTCTCCATGAACCATTTGAAGTTATCATTGATGCTTCATTACCTAATGATGAAGCTAATGTAATAGTTAATGAATCATTATTTTGAACTGGAAATAATTCACTGTTTATATCTAATGTAATAGTGATATCTTTGGATGTTGAAGAATGTCCTGTTATTCTGCATACTTTGTTGTATCTACCAGGATCAGTAGAATCCACAATAAACATATCTTCAAATAATATACCAGACATAATGTGTTTTTGTTTTGATCTATAAAATTAATTTAATTGGATGGATAAAGTAAATGTATATCACAATGACGTGTGGGGATTATATGTCAAAATAAAAAAAAGACTAATATAGATCTCAACTATAATGGTATCTTACCGATGGATTTGAGTTCAAATTGATGTTGATGAGATGTTTCGTGAGAATTTCTTTTCAAAATTTTTTTTTTTCCGTTCTTCGATACACGACTTTTTTGCTTATGTAATAACATGTGATATTTTAGTTTGTGTAACTGATTTCGAAGAGGAGAAATTGTACATTTAAGGAGAAATTGTAAACATACTTCCATTTTTAGAATCGTAATGAAGAATTCGAAATTAAGGGTCAAAAAAAAAAAAAAGAAGAAAAAAAGATGAAATGGAAAGAATATTAGAAGAAGAAGAAGAAGAAGAAGACAAATCACAACCTTTGTAATATTGATAGTGGTTTAAACTTAATTCCTTAATCATTAATTTATTTATTCATTTCATAATCTCAATCTTATCATGTTTGGAACACCAATTAGTGAAAGAAAAGGTCTTGATATAACGATCAACTCATCATCATCTTCTTCTTCCAAGAAGAAATGTTATAAATCAGTAATTAAACTACTTATTTTTGCTAGTGTATTATTAACTACTTATTTCTTATATTCTTTTAAGAACCCACCTTATGAATTATCAACAAATACTACAGATATCCCAGTACAAGAGGATTTCATTGCTCCTGAAGCATTACCTACTAATACTGTTGAACAAATTGGAAGAAGATCAAATGAATTTATAATTGAAAGAGATGATAATAAAGATGACAACAAGGACGATTCTAAAGATAGTTCCAACGATGATTCTAAAGACAGTTCCGATGACAACAATAAAGATGACAATAAAGATAGTTCAAATGATGATAACAACAATGACAACTCCAATAGTGATGACAATTCTGACAGTGATGACAAAGATGACAAGAAGAAATCTACACCTATCTACAATCAACCTGGTATGAGATTTGTGTTTGTATTATTTGGTTTCATTTTCTTAAACATGTTTGCAATTTGTATTCATCATTTGTATTTAAAGGCTAGCAATGTTGCGTATGCCTATAAAACTGTTGATGATGACATCTCGCCATTTTGAGTTTCCCACCCTCCTTGTATAGCTTGCATTTAAATAGAGTTTTAATTGAGTATCATATTTCAAAGTATTTTTTGACTTTTTTTAGTTACGAGCTAGTAATGAATAGTCAACCGTTGATCGATTTCAGATCTTCTCTTGCTTATCGCGTTCGGATAAATCCGCAAATTAGCTTAAATCTACGAGTATAAAGTAGCAAGTAATAAAACACGGTGTTTACCGCCTTCTGTATGTAAATTGCCCTTTATGCATCCATTGCTCCAAGCAAACAAGTATCACTATAAAATTCAAGGAAATTCCCATCGGGGTAATTCTTTTTTTTTTTTTGCTGTTGTTGGTGTTGCTGTTGCTGTTGCTGACAATAACTTTCTGTCATATTTATAGCTTATTTTTTTTTTTGTTTTTTTCGTTACTGTCCCTATTCTCCAATTTAATATCTCCACATCAGAACTTAATGGCACAATTACCATCATTACCAAAGAGACTACTACAAATTGCCTGTGCCATAACATGGTGTTTACTTGCAGCAGGTCCAGTATTTGGGTTCGCTGCTATAAAGCCAATTTTTATTTCCCAGCACATTTATGAAAGTAAATGTAATCTTTCAACAAGTTCATCTACATCCGACGAAGTGCGTTGTGTTGACCAAGAGTTGTCATTGAATTTATTATTCACTGTTGCATGTATGGTGACCAATATTTCAGCATTGCCAGTGGGATCTATTTTAGATTCATATGGTCCAAAATTAACTGGTATAATTGGAGCTGTAATATTGGCCATGGGTGCATTAAGTATGAAATTTGCTGAATCAATTGACTTATTTGATGGTTACTTGGCCGGGTATACTTTATTAGCACTTGCTGGTCCATTTGTCTTTATTTCATGTTTTCAATTAGCAAATTCTTTCCCAAAGAATTCTGGGTTAATTTTAGCATTGTTAACGGGAGCTTTTGATTCCTCATCGGCATTATTCTTATGTTACAGATTATATTATACCCATGTTAAACATCTTTCAATCAGTAAGTTTTTCTCCATCTATTTGGTGGTACCGTTGTTCATTTTTATCTGTCAAGTATTCATCATGCCAAAGGATTCATATAAAACTGTTGGTACACTTGCTAAAATTGCTGAAACTGGTATTGATGAAACAGGAAAACCATTGAACCAAGATTTATTAACTCCAGCTGATCGGGAATCTGCAATAGTGTCATCTACTACTGACCCTATCGAATGTTACCAACCCACAATTTCTGAAACTACTTCGTTGTTGATGAGAAGAGCATCGGCACCTACAAGTAGAAGAGAATCCACTGCTCTGAGAGCATCTTATCTGTCCATCAAATCACACTATGAACAAGAAGCAGATGCTAAATTGATCAATCGCTCTGGTGGTGTATTTGGTGTATTACACGGAGCAACTATTAGTCAACAATTGAACTCATGGTGGTTTTGGGGAATGTGTTTATTCACCACTATTCAAATGTTACGTATCAATTACTTTGTGGCTACAGTAAAGAGTCAGATGGTTTATTTATATAATGGAGATGAAGAATTAGCTACTTCAATTAATCATTTCTTTGATTTGGCTCTTCCATTGGGTGGTTTATGTGCCATCCCATTTATTGGACTTGTTTTGGATAATTTGACAACATTGCTGGTGTTAAACATCTTGCTTGGATTATCTTTGTTCATTGGAGTCGCTGGTTTAGTCAGCTGGTTACCTGCTACTTATGCTGGTATATTGGTACTTGTTGTCTATAGACCATTTTACTATACCGCGGTTAGTGATTTTTGTGCTAAAGTGTTTGGATATGACAATTTTGGTACTGTTTATGGAACAATTATTGCATTCTCTGGTGTTTGCAATATCTTGCAACAAGTGATGGATAAAGCAACTCATGAATATTTCAACATGAACCCAGGTCCAGTCAATACGATCTTGGTTGTTCTCACTCTTGTCTTTGGTGCTGCATTAATTGGATTTGTGAAATCACAAGAAACTCATATCAAAAGAAAGAATTTAGAGATGGAGGCTCAAGATGCCTCATATAGACCAATGCCTGTTTAGGTAGAAGTATTATTTATTCTAGAAAACAAAAATAAATGACAACTAAATCATTATTGCCATCTGTATGATAACATGCTACAGAATTCTAATTTCCGATGGCTCGTTCATTAATAACTTGACTATTCTATCAATCTATTTACGTCTCTTGGTAGACTTCTCCACCTCTAGTGCTCGTAGTTTAGGATGACTGTTTGTTTCCTCTTCAGTACATGGTAAACGGGTGATATTTTGGTCACCATGAACCTGGCTCTTAATTTGAGCAATTTCTATTTGTTGTATACTCTTCTCATCACCATTAGTGCTCTTCTTCTCGTCTAAAGTGCGATGGATCTTGGTCGGAAGATTTGATAATATTTCATTTATCGATTTCATTATTTCTTATTTTTATTAGCTTCTTTATTCTCCTTTTCAACTTGTCTTCTTGAACCTTTTAATAATTCCAAATGACCAACTCTCAGAGAAATTAATTTTTCAGTAGATGTGGTTAATTGTGATTGATGAATTTTAACAAATTTTTGGGCTTCTTTAGCTGTGGATTTTTTGGCTTTAATGATCTTTGGAGCAGCTTTCTTAGGATTGAGTTGTTTCTTGGTCACTCTAGCTGCCTTCTTAGATTTCAATTTTAAATTACCTTGAGCCATTTGATTCTGATTGCTTGCTTCTTTTTAGTGTTTAACTATTATACTAAACAACTCTACAGAAAGGGGAGGAAAAAAAAATCTACGAGATGAGATTAGAAGAAAGAGTCAAAAAAAAATTAATGTGTTTCGCACGACCAGATCATTATAATTAAGTAATCTAATTATCTCTCTGTTTTTTTTTTCTTTGTCTCACATAGAATAATCTCATCATCATCAAAAAAGTAACCCATGCGACCATCGCACATCTACGGAAAATTTCGAATGATGAATACTCTTTATTTCTTTTCTTTTATTCTGTTTTTCTTCCTCTTTTTTTGTTTTTCTTCTTTAGATCTCCGCCTATCTCCATTTATAATCTCCTAGAAAGGTTAAGAACATCCTTATCCATGAGTAACTTTCTTATTTTATCAGGTCCTGTTGCTTTATCGCAATTCAGAGTCTCCAATTTGACTCAAGAACTTGAAAAAAAAGTTGGTCAAGAAAATATCATTGAACAAATTGCTGCTTCTTACACTCATTACGTTTCTTTGAAAAAAGAATTAACTGATAAACAATTGGAATTATTGAAAGTTTTATTAACTTATGATAATCCTCTTGAAGATACTCCATTGACTCAAGAATTGGTTAAAAACTCCACTACCACTGATGGTTCCTCCATCAAATTGGAAAGTGATACTTTATTTGTCCAAATCTTGCCAAGACCAGGTACTATTTCTCCTTGGTCTTCCAAAGCCACTGACATTGCTCAAATTTGTGGATTGGGTGATCATGTTGAAAGAATTGAACGTGGTGTCTCCTTGATTATTAAAACTAAGAATGGTGTTCAATTAGATTCTTACCAACCAGATGTTCTTTTAACTTCTGTTTTTGATAGAATGACTCAAACCATTTACCTTGGATCTAATGTCCCACAATACGATGATTTGTTTGCTCACCATTCTCCAAAACCTTTGGTTACTGTTGATATTATCTCCAACAAGGATAACTTGATTAACGCAAACAAAGAATTGGGTTTGGCTTTGGATCAAGGTGAAATTGATTACTTGATTAATGCATTCACTGATATTATTGGACGTAACCCAACTGATGTTGAATTGTTTATGTTTGCTCAAGTTAACTCTGAACATTGTCGTCACAAGATTTTCAATGCTGATTGGACTATTGATGGTGTTAAAAAAGATTTGTCTTTATTCAAAATGATCAGAAACACCCACAACAAAAACCCACAATATACTATTTCTGCTTATTCCGATAATGCTGCTGTCTTTGAAGGTCCAGAAGCTTATGTTTGGACCCCAGATTTTGAAACCAAACAATGGAAATCCATTAAAGAAAGAGTCCAAACTTTAGTTAAAGTCGAAACCCATAACCATCCAACTGCTGTTTCTCCATTTGCTGGTGCCGCTACTGGGTCCGGTGGTGAAATTAGAGATGAAGGTGCTGTCGGTAGAGGTTCTAAATCTAAAGCTGGTTTATCTGGTTTCTCTGTCTCTGATTTGCAAATTCCAAGTTTACCTCAACCTTGGGAAAGAAATGTTGGTAAACCAAACCACATTGCTTCTGCATTGGATATCATGTTGGAAGCTCCAATTGGCTCTGCTGCTTTTAACAATGAATTCGGTAGACCAGCCATTAATGGTTATTTTAGAACTTTAACTACTGAAGTTGAAAACTCCGAAGGTAAAACCGAAATCAGAGGTTTCCACAAACCAATTATGTTAGCTGGTGGTATGGGTGCCATCAGACCAGACTTGGCTTTGAAAGATACCAAGATCACACCAGGTGCTAAATTGATTGTTCTTGGTGGTCAATCCATGTTGATTGGTTTGGGAGGTGGTGCCGCCTCTTCCGTTTCTTCTGGTGAAGGTTCTGCTGACTTGGACTTTGCATCTGTTCAAAGAGGTAACCCAGAAATCCAAAGAAGAGCTCAAGAAGTTATCAATGCCTGTGTTTCCTTGGGTAAAGAAGGTAATCCAATTCAATCTATCCATGATGTTGGTGCTGGTGGTTTATCCAATGCTTTACCAGAATTGGTTCATGATAACGATTTGGGTGCTAAATTTGAATTGAGATCTATCTTGTCTTTGGAACCAGGTATGTCTCCAATGGAAATCTGGTGTAATGAATCCCAAGAAAGATATGTCTTGGGTGTTGCTCCAGAAAACTTGGACTTGTTTGCCAAGATGTGTGAACGTGAAAGAGCTCCATTTGCCGTTGTTGGTGAAGCCACTGAAGAACAAAGATTAGTTTTGACTGATTCCTTATTGAACACTACACCAATTGATTTGGAAATGTCTGTCTTGTTCGGTAAGCCACCAAAGATGTCCAGAACTGCTATTACTCAAAACTTGAAATTAAAATCATTTGAAACCGAAAACTTGGAACTTGCTCAATCTGTTGAAAGAGTCTTACAATTACCTGCTGTTGGGTCTAAGAGTTTCCTTATTACCATTGGTGATAGATTTGTTACCGGTTTGGTTGACCGTGATCAAATGGTTGGTCCATGGCAAGTTCCAGTTGCTGATGTTGGTGTTACTGCTACATCACTTGGTGAAACTGTTTTGACCACCGGTGAAGCTATGGCTATGGGTGAAAAACCAACATTGGCTTTGATCTCTGCTAGTGCTTCTGCTAAGATGTGTGTTGCTGAATCTTTGTTGAACATTTTTGCTGCTGACATTCCATCTTTGAAACACGTTAAATTATCTGCTAACTGGATGTCTGCTGCTGCTCATGCCGGTGAAGGTGCCAAATTATACGAAGCTGTTCAAGCTATTGGTCTTGACTTGTGTCCAGATTTGGGTATTTCCATTCCAGTTGGTAAAGATTCCATGTCCATGAAAATGAAATGGGATGACAAAGAAGTTATTGCACCATTAGCTTTAACCATCACTTCATTTGCTCCAGTTGACAACACTTCAAACACCTGGACTCCTCAGTTACAAAAAGTTGATGATGAAACTGTTTTGGTTTTGGTTGACTTGGCTGCCACTGTTGAAAAATCGTTGGGTGGTTCTGCTTTGGCTCAAGTTTACAAACAAGTTGGTAACTCTGCTCCAACTGTCCACTCTCACCAAGTTTTGAAATCATTCTTGGAAGCTTTAATTGTCTTGCACAAAGACTTTGATGTCTTGGCTTACCATGATAGATCTGAAGGTGGTTTATTGGTTACTGCTTTTGAAATGGCTTTTGCTGGAAGATGTGGTTTGGAATTGAACTTTAATGGTAAAGAAGATATTCACACTGCTTTGTTCAATGAAGAATTGGGTGCTGTTTTCCAAATCAGAGCTAAAGAATTGGCTAAATTCAAAGAAATCTTTGCTGCTACTGGTATTTCTGAAGAATACATTCAAACTATTGGTAAACCAACATTTGATTCCCAATCATTTGCCATCACTTATAACGGACGTCAAGAATTCAGTGGTAAACGTAGTGAATTCCAAAACTTGTGGTCCCTTACCTCACATCACATTCAAAAATTGAGAGACAATCCAGCTAGTGCTGATCAAGAATTGAAATCTCTTCAAGATGACAAAGATCCAGGTATTTCATACCAATTGACCTTCAAACCAAACGAATTCAAATCATACACTAAACAACCAAAAGTCGCTATTTTGAGAGAACAAGGTGTTAACTCACAACAAGAAATGGCCTGGTGTTTCAAACAAGCTGGTTTTGATGTTTATGATGTCACCATGTCTGATATCTTAGAAGGCAGAGTCACATTGGACGATTTCGTTGGTCTCGCTGCCTGTGGTGGTTTCTCATATGGTGATGTTTTAGGTGCCGGTGCTGGTTGGGCTAAATCTGTCTTATTCCATGAAAAAGCACGTGATGAATTCAAGAGATTCTTCCAAGACAGAACTGATACATTTGCCTTTGGTGCTTGTAATGGTTGCCAATTCTTGAGTAGAATTGCTGAATTGATTCCAGGTACCGATAACTGGCCAACTTTCGAACGTAATTTATCTGAACAATATGAAGCCAGATTTGTTATGGTTGAAGTTGAAGATAAGGTCAAGAACAATTCTATTTTCTTGCAAAACATGAAAGGATCTAAATTGCCAATTGTTGTTGCTCATGGTGAAGGTAGAGCTCAATTCAAGAACCAAAACGGTGAAAATGACTTTGAATTGGATGTTATTCGTTACATTGATAACTACGGTAACCCAACCAACGTTTATCCATTCAATCCAAATGGTTCTCCAAATGGTATTGCTGGTATTACTAATGCCAATGGTAGAGTTTTGGCTATGATGCCTCATCCAGAAAGAGTCTGTAGAAAAGAATCCAACTCATGGTACCCAACTGAACAAGGTAAAGAATGGGGTCCATATGGTCCATGGATTGAATTGTTCAAATCTGCAAGAGAATGGGTTGGTGATAATTAAGTATAACGAATATGTGAGTAAAAAAAAACTACATTGTAATAACAAAATAAACGCAAAATATTAACGTCAATGAAATAATAATAATAATAATAAACAATCTTTGTATTCTATTATGTACACGGTAAACTACTCTCTGTCACTTTCTTGTTTAGGAGAAGATTGGGTAGAATTCATTGTATTTCTTAGCATAATAAGCAGTTGAAACACCACCCAAAATAACCAAAGTGACAGGAATTGGTTTTGAAAATGAAGTTGGGATAGCTCTAGCTAAACCGGCAACTAACAAGAAAGTGGAAGAACCTAAAGCCAATTCTAAACCGTAGTCGGCGTTTTGTTTCAATAAGTAACCTGCACCACCATAAAGGGCGGAGAAGGTGACCCCGGCCAATAATGATGGAAGGGAGCCTTTACGTGTATAACCCATAAACCCACCAATTGCACATAAGGCAGATAAAGTAAATGCAGGATGATCCATACCCATGATTGCTAGTAACTATTTAATTGTTGATAAAGTCTTGTATGTTAAGTATTAACAAAAGAAAAATGAACAGTTGTTCTTTTTGAATAGTTTGTTTCTGAAACGGGAGACTGACAATTCGGTTTTTTTTTTCTTCCTCTTTGTAGTTGCCAGGATTTTTATATTTTTTTTTTCACCCGCATTTTGATTCGGATTTAAAAAAAAAAAAAAAGAAAAAGAACAATTAAAGGCTCTTGTTTGATCTTAGGAATTTGTATGGAAATGGTAGAGAATGTTAAGACTTTCGTGTTAGATTTCTACATTTACCAGGCGAGGATTGGCGGTAGGAGTGATCAGAATCATCAGGCAAGCGATTTTTTGTTTGTTAAATCTTTGAGAAAACCACAAACACTGTCAACCATAAAAGATAATGTTCATACGCGTCACTTCAAAGGATTCACAACTCTCAGTACACCCTTAATTATTCATGATGTAACGTAAGTGTCAGAAGCATTGTTCGTAGTCTGGATTTGCATTTTTTTTTGCTTTGTTCGGTATTGTTTTTCTGGTGTCGTAGTACAATTTAATATGAATGTTCCTTTGATTGGCGGAGAGTTGTGATTTTTGTTTTTCTGCTTTCTTTTTTTTTTTTTTGGCCACTTTTACACACACGCGCACGCACTCACATACACACCAATTTCGGTTACTTGGCCGTTTTGTTTAATTTGTTGTTGTGGTTTCATGATCACTTTATGATTAATTTTTAGACAACTGTCTGAATCTCCTTCCCCTACTTTTTGCTCAAAATAAAAGCTTTTTTAAGCCCTGAAAGTTGGAAAATGTCTGGTGTGTGGGTTCATAGGACAGTTGCTTGTGCTCACGACAATTCACTGATCCATCTATTCCCTCCTCTCCTCCATTGCTTATCTTTAAAATTGGTTGGAAAAAGTTTGGTGATAGTGACGAACAACAAAGTGTAGTGTGTCCTGCACACATCCAGGTGAGCGTCTCTCTATTTTTTTTATTTTTTTATTTTTTTTTTTTTTCAATATTTTTTCAAGCATTTTTGGAGTATTAAGCAACACAGTACTGAGAAACAAAGTGCGAAAGAAGAAAAAAAAATTAACTTGTCTGTACAGTTTGTCTCTCTCTCTCTCTCTTTGCCTTACTCACTCAACGTTGCCTTTCTCTCTTTCTCGTTGGGATTGTACAAAGAACGAGTAAATGGAATTGAACGAAAGTAAAAAATTTTTGAGCCCAACCTTTCTTTGCTTTTAAGGAATTAATAATCGTTTGCCCTTTTTTCTTATTGCAACAACGACCCATCAATCAATCATTCTTCGATACCGTTAGTTATTTATCACTATCCTGCTAATCCCACCACCCATAGTCTAACTAGTAAAAGTCACGATTATGAACATCTCGTCCATGTTATCGGTTGACAATAATAACGTTGCCTCTGAGAAACAAGCCAAGACAACTACTGATGTACAGCTGGAGAATCAACCTCCCGTATTGTCATCAGCATTAAATTCAAGTTCACCATCGGCAGGAGGAGGGCTCCAGAAAGATCAAGCTTCTGAAAATTCAACTAGCCAGGCAGAAACATCACAAACAGTACCAACCACTATATCCACGAGTGTTGTTGATCAAATAGACCACCTGGTTGCAAATAATAACTCTGCTCATCATCCCAATATCCTGTCCCCACTAAAGCACATGAATGGAAATATCCCATCTCATCAGGAATCTGATTCAATAGTGGCCGGGATACTACCAAGTAGTTATGAGTTCACGAGTTCTACATTCACTCCTTCGATTGATCAGAAATATAAGGCTACATTTGAAAATAATGTCAATATAATTAATAAGTTGGATCATTATCAACAAGTAAGTCATAATTTGAAATTATTAAAATTTGATGAAGCCAAACTCAATAATTACCTTATAAGCACGGGCCAGTTCGCTTCAAATTACATTGATAGAGTGGTTGCAGAGGATATTTCGTCAAGGAATAACAAAATTAGTGATACAAACAAAAATAAAGAGTTGAACCACATAGACTACTCTAAACCATTGCACCACAACAGCACCAGAGGTAAAGAATTCAAATGGGGATCCACTAGAGAAATCCACAAAGTTGACAACAAGACAAGAAGGAGAAGAACAGCTGCCACAGATGACGCATCCAAAAATACAGCATCTAATGGTACTAAAGACCATGCACATACTAACTCTGTCGGTACAGTGACTAATAACTCACCACATCTCAATGACAGCCAGTCCGCACATGATAAACAAGTGTCACAATCCAAAAACCATCTGAAAAATAAGCAATCGCTGCTGCTGCATCAACTGCCGCAACAACAACCTATTCTCATCAAACCCAAAGGTGCCGGTGTTCAAGGACAATTTGAATTACAGCCTAGACGTAGCAGTCGTCCAAAGGTTAAAAGAAAGGCTTTTGAGGATGAAGAGGTAGAAACCAAACAAGATTCAGAAGTAATTAAGAATGAGGAAACGCCTGAAGCTGTTTCTGGTGGAGATTTGAAGCGAGCAAAGGTGGAAGAAGAAGGTAAAGTTAAAGCCGTTGTTTCGCCAGCCGCTGCCGCAGGAATGACTGCCAAAGAATACAAAGCATTCATGAGGCAATATGATAATACGTATATTGCCATATGGAAAGATATGTCAAGAAAAGATGGACCTAAAGTCAGTAGGTTGATGCAGCAATCCACTCAAGCTAAACTCATCAATCTTAGAAAGACGTGTATCTTGGCCGCTAGAGAAGCCAAGAGATGGCAATTAAGAAATACCAAGAATCAAAAGGATTTAACAACCAAGGCTAGAAGAGCAATGAGAGAAATGTTCAATTTCTGGAAACGTAATGAAAGAATTGAACGTGATTTAAAGAAGAAGCATGAAAAGGAATTGCTAGATAAGGCAAAGAAAGAAGAAGAAGAGAGAGAAGCTAAGAGACAGGCAAGAAAATTGAATTTCTTGATTACCCAAACAGAGTTGTATTCTCATTTCATTGGTAAGAAAATTAAAACTGATGAAATTGAAGGTTCAGATGCCGATGGTAAGTTCAAACAAGAAGATAAGCAACACTTGGATAAATATGTTGGTGTTGATGGATCAGCTTCTCATGATATAAATTCCCTTGACTTTGATAATGATGATGAAGATGCCTTGCACAGAATGGCTGCTGAAAATGCTCAAAATGCTCTTGTAAATGCTCAAAACAAAGCCAGGCAATTTGATAATGATGAACCATTTAAAAATCCCGATACAAATGGGGAAGAAATGAACTTCCAAAATCCTACATTGTTGGGAGATATTACAGTGCCACAGCCAGATATGTTGAAATGTACTTTGAAAGAATATCAATTGAAAGGTTTGAATTGGTTAGCAAATTTGTATGAGCAAGGTATTAATGGTATTTTAGCTGATGAGATGGGTTTGGGTAAAACTGTCCAAAGTATATCAGTATTGTCTTACTTGGCCGAAACTCATAACATATGGGGTCCATTTTTAGTTGTTACTCCTGCATCTACATTACATAATTGGCAACAAGAAATTACCAAATTTGTTCCTGAATTTAAAGTCTTGCCATACTGGGGTAATGCTAAAGATAGAAAAGTCTTGCGTAAGTTCTGGGATAGAAAAAGTGTTAGATACGGCAAAGATGCACCTTTCCATGTTTTGGTTACATCTTATCAATTGATTGTTGCTGATATTGCATATTTCCAGAAAATGAAGTGGCAATATATGATTTTGGATGAAGCTCAAGCTATTAAATCATCCTCTTCGTCAAGATGGAAGTCATTGTTGTCGTTATCCTGTCGTAATAGACTTTTGTTGACAGGTACACCAATTCAAAATTCCATGCAAGAATTGTGGGCTCTTTTGCATTTTATTATGCCAACGTTATTTGATTCGCATGATGAATTTAGTGACTGGTTCTCCAAGGATATTGAAAGTCATGCCCAGTCAAATACTAGTTTAGATGAACAACAATTACGAAGATTACATATGATTTTGAAACCATTTATGTTGAGAAGAATTAAGAAGAATGTGCAGAGTGAATTGGGGGATAAAGTAGAAGTGGATATTTTCTGTGATTTGACTACAAGACAAAAGAAATTGTACCAACAATTGAGATCTCAAATATCAATCCTGGATTCTGATTTACTTGACTCTGCCACTGCAGGTACAGATAGTTCTTTAGCAAATATGGTTATGCAATTCAGAAAAGTTTGTAACCATCCAGATTTATTTGAAAGAGCTGATGTGAAGTCCCCATTTTCGTTTGGTAAATTTGCTGAAACTGGATCATTCTTGCGTGAATCTAATGAATTGGAGATGGCTTATTCAACGGAGAACATTGTTGACTATCAATTACCTCGTCTAATCTATGATGAACTTTTATGTCCAAACTATGAGAAAAACACTCTTGATTCAGTATATGAAAAGTTCAGCATATACAATCCTGAAAATACTAAAGAACATGGATGGTTGAAGTCAATCAATGTATCCCAAGGTGAACTTAAACAATTGTCGCAGAAGGACATTCTTTCGCGTGCTATAGAGTTGCAAAGTTATTCACCTAATGATGATGATGATAATAATAGCAATTTGCTTGGTAGATTACACTACCTATATGAAGATGATTTTGTTCCAGAAAATAAAAAATTATTAATTACAGAGTATAACAATCAACCACATTCAAACTCATCAGTACTTTCTGGTTTATATTCAGTGGTTGATAAAGTTGCTCAAGACATGTACATGAATAAACTTGAACCAGCAGCCACTCCACTTGCATCTGCTCCACCAATTACAGTTAATTGTTCGTCACTGAACTTTGCTAATAGGATCAAGACTACTTTATTTGATCCTAATATCAGAGCATCATTGGTACCATTGCCATTGTCAACCGAAGTAGAATTGATGAAACGTGAAGTCCCATTAGATCATTATCCAAAATCTAATTTGTTGCCAGTACCAACTTTTGATTATTCCAACATTCGTATGCCTTCTATGGAAAGATTTATTGCTGAATGTGGTAAATTGGCCAAACTTGATGAATTATTGGTGGATTTGAAAAAGAATGGTCATAGAATTTTGATTTATTTCCAAATGACTCGTATGATGGAGATTTTCCAGGAATATTTAGCATTCAGAAATTATAAATTCATGAGATTAGATGGTTCTACCACGATTGAAGCAAGAAGAGAATTGGTTACGCAATGGCAAACCAATCCAGAATTTTTCATTTTCATGTTGTCTACAAGAGCTGGTGGGTTAGGTTTGAATTTAACTTCAGCAGATACTGTTATTTTCTATGATTCTGATTGGAATCCAACGGTTGATGCACAAGCAATGGATCGTGCTCATAGAATTGGTCAAACTAAAGTTGTCACCGTTTACAGATTACTTACGAAAAATACTATTGAAGAAAGAATTAGACAAAAGGCACAAAACAAAGAAGAAATACAAAAATTGGTTATCAATCAATAACGGTTTATACTTTATTAAATCTAATATATATATAAAAATAAAACCTATGTAATATTTATTCATTTGTGGTTTGTATTGTAGTTTAAGCTCGGCTCTTCGCAGCCAAAAAAAAAATGAAAGCATCGTATGATACTTGTAGTGAAAAAAAAAAAAAAAAATTATGAAAAATCTACTTTAGAAATAAACCTACCAAACTCCCATAAATCAAATGACAGTGGAACCGGAACCAAAAAGACAAAAATGTGTGAAATATACATATCCTGATCAAAAGCGTACTATTTCCATTTATAGTATTGCCAGTAAACATCCATTAAATGTTAAACCTAGTGGGAATTCACTTCTTCTGGGATCAGATATTAATTTACTTGAACAAAAACAAAATTCATTAGGTAAATTAAGTATACTTCCTGATGAAATTATCATGGATATAATACAAAGAATCACTGATGTTGATACACTTTTAAACTTATCTCATGTTTCAAGAATTTTTTATGCATTTTTATATGATGAAGAAATATGGAAAAAAATATATATGAATAAAATTGAATATTATGATTCTTTAGCATGGTTAGGATCATGGAGAAATACTGTGTTGAATATTCAAAAAGATGATAATATTATTCAATTACCTGAAAATTTATTATGTTCTGATATTCTTTATCGTCCTTTTCAATGTTCACAAATTGATTATCAAAAACTTTTTAATAAAATTATTAAAGAAGAAGAAATCTATCATCGTGATGCATTACTTGGACAATTAGGTAAATTACCTCATGGAAGAATTCAAAGAATAAAAGAATCAGAAATTGATTTAAATGAATTCAATACAAATTATCATGATATTCCATTTATTTTAGTTAATGAAGATAATAAACGTTGGCCAAATTGGGATTTTGAAACTTTAGTTAATCGATTCCCAGATATAACTTTTACTCAAGAATCAGTAAGATGGAAATTATCTAAATATGCACAATATCTTCATAACAATAAAGATGAATCGCCACTTTATTTATTTGATTGTAAAAGTGATGCAATGAAAATTCTACGAAATGAATATAAAGTACCTGAAATTTTTCAACAAGATTTATTTAATGTTTTTAATAATATTGAAAATGGTTTTAATTGTCGTCCAGATCATGCTTGGATAATTATAGGATCTTCACGTTCTGGATCTACTTTTCATAAAGATCCAAATTCAACATCGGCATGGAATGCAGCTATAGTTGGACGTAAAATTTGGATAATGTTACCACCTCATATAACACCACCAGGTGTTGGAACTGATGAAGAAGAAAGTGAAGTTACTTCACCTGTTAGTGTTGCAGAATGGGTACTTTCTGGATTTTTCAATGATTCAACTAAAATTGAAGAATGTTTAATTGGTATTACTTTCCCTGGTGAATGTATGCATGTTCCAAGTGGTTGGTGGCATACAGTTATTAATATTGATGATTCAATTGCAATAACTCAAAATTTTGTACCTACTTCTAAATTACCACAAGTGTTGAATTTCTTAAAAAATAAATCAAATCAAATTAGTGGATTTAGATTAAAAGAAATTAAACAATGTTTAGATGCTATTGTAAAAGATTCAGATGATGTTGTTTTAAAAGATTTTTTACATTCTTTTAATCAACTTAAAAATGATGATTTGGATGAAGATTGTGGAGAGGTTGCAAATTTACCAAGAACACCTATTTTTGAAATATTCAAACAATTGTTGATTAATAATAATGAACGTGAATTGTTATCTACAGCTTTAGAGAAACTTGATAAGATAGAATTGAAGACATTTGAACAAGAGACAGGTAAAAGTAAGGCATGGTGTTCATTAACTGAAGAGACATCAACCACAGGAAATGGATCTAGCAGTGGATTTACATTCGCATTTGATGAAAGTGATGACGAATAGATAGTCTGGTAATAGTTTACTTAATGTACATAACATACGTGATCATTAAATTATTAGTATAATCACTTAAAGGAATATGATGGTTACAGTGCATCTGAACGATGAATAAGTATTATATCTGCATAATCTGACAAACTGTGGGTTGGCACTCAGACAGGCAGGCAAACAAAAAATATAAGGAAGTCACAAAAAACAAAGAAGCAATATTAGCCACTAGCGTCGCATTTTTTTTTTTGTTGGTGTTGTTGTAACTCCTTCAACTTTTAATTTAGGGTTGCACGAAGGAAAAAATTCTAAAAACTAATTACATAAATCAACATCGTTTAACCAACACTCCATTTGTTCACCACTATCGACACTTTCAAACGCTCTCTCTCTCTCATATTTCTCCAAATGTATGATACTGATAAACGTATGTATTTGTTGTGTATGTTCTGTATTCATTTTAAACGAACTCATAAACTAACATAGACTATTTTATTCTAGCTGATTCAATATTAAAACAAGTTCCCTTGATTAGAAATCCTATTTATCAACCACCAAAACCTGTCACTTTAAATACAAATTATAATAAATTAATCCCCACATTATCAAGCACAGTAGTACCTCCAAAATTAAATGTTTCCCATGATGAAATTACTGATTGGCTAGAAGAGATTAGATCACTCCGTGATAAAGTTAAAAAAGAACAAGCTGAAAATGACAAGTCTGAAAAATATAAAAAATGGGTTCATGATCAATCTACTAAAGTTGCTCCTGGATTCAATTATACTGTTATGAAACCACATAAACAAGAAAGAAATTTACAAAAAGAAGATAACGATTATGATAATGATGACGACGATGACGATGATGATAATGACAAATCTAAAGATTATTCAATTAATGAATTGGATAAATTATTTGGAAAAACTATACTAGGATGAACAAAACCAATGTATGGTAATAACAATGACTATTAATGACATGTATATAAGTATATATTTATTCTTTTCTTTTCTTTTCTTCTTATTTTTGAAATGTAAATTACTTACTGGATGTAAATCTTCCCGATAATCCACCGTTTGCTTGTAATTTTCTTAATAATTCCTCTTTTACTTCATCATGTAATGCTTTAGTTGGATCATATTGTGTTGTTACTTCTGAATCCTGTGTCTTTTGTTGATGTAGTTCTAATAATGATGGTTTTGAAGATGTAGCAGGGATGGTTGTTTCTGATTTAGATATTAGAACAGGACCAATGAAATCATCTAAATCCGATTCATTATCAGATACATTGTTATCTTGCTGTTTCAGTTGTTCTAGCTTTCTCTTTTTTCTTTTCTCTAGTAGTTCCTTCGGTATAGATGGTCCAAACATTGTGGTTGGGGTATATCTCTACGGTGTGTTTTTCGTGGTGGTGAAATATTCAAAGATGGTTTTTTTTTTTGTTCTAGATATCAATTATGCATATTGCAAACAGAATTTGGAACACATCTAAAAAAAAAGAACATAATCAAAACTCCTACAAACTGTGGGATCTTCACTTCTAGTACTAAAAAACGTTCAGGGATTCGGAAACATCAATAACAGAACGGTATCAATCAAATTTGGGCTCACCATGACTCACAAGTAAATGTATATCATCGACTTTTGCTATTCAAGTTTCAAACAAGACAATTCTTAGTAATCAATGACCCCCGATGATTTCTCTACTTCTTATAATTCAAATGCAACCCATGTCAACCACACAACTAAACTTAATAATATTCAGTTCACATTATAAAATGATGTTTTGTCCGGGTAAATCGTTTTGTGTAACTATATCACATGACCACAAAATTTGAGAATATTTTTGAATTCGTTCCTGCACTTAAGCGCACAAAAATTTTTCACTTTCTCACTTGACACACACACACACACACACACACACACACACACACACACACACACCAAGCAAAAGAAAAAATTTTTCAATGCCATTTAAAACTTTCTTTTCTTTTGGTTCTTCTTTTTGGTCTTTTTTTTACAACAACATATAAAACCTCTTTCTATCAAAAATGGTTAACGCTATCTTATCTAAAAAGAAGAAATTAGTAGCTGACGGTGTCTTCTACGCTGAATTGAACGAATTCTTCACCAGAGAATTGGCCGAACAAGGTTACGCTGGTGTTGAAGTCAGAAAGACTCCATCCAAATTGGAAATCATTGTTAAAGCTTCTAACACTCAAGGTGTTTTGGGTGAACAAGGTAGAAGAATCCACGAATTGACTTCTTTGATTGTCAAGAGATTCAAATTGTCTCCAGAAGGTATTGCTATCTATGCTGAAAGAGTTGAAGAAAGAGGTTTGTCTGCTGCTGTTCAAGCCGAAGGTTTGAAAGCCAAATTATTGAATGGTTTACCAATCAGAAGAGCCGCTTACGGTGTCTTGAGATTTGCTATGGGTGCTGGTGCCAAGGGTGTTGAAGTTGTCATCTCTGGTAAATTGAGAGCTGCTAGAGCTAAATCCCAAAAATACGCTGATGGTTTCATGATCCACTCTGGTCAACCAACCAGAGACTTTATTGATATTGCTATCAGACACGTCTTGATGAGACAAGGTGTTTTGGGTATCAAAGTTAAGATTATGAAAGACCCAGCTGCTAACAGATTCGGTCCAAAAGCTTTGCCAGATGCTGTCAAGATTGCTGAAGCTAAAGATGAAGATGAAGTTATCCCAGCCCCAACTGTTAAATCTTACAAACAAAAACCAGAAGAAGTTGAAGCTGAAGCTGAAGTTGAAGCTGTTGAAACTGAAACTGCTTAAGTGTGTTAGGTTATTGTGTAACGTTCTATATATTTAATTCACTTTTTTCTTTAATAATCATTTCCACGTCTTCTCTTGCTTTTCACGATGATTCATTATCATTGTGTGTCACCGTTGCGTATTTGTATGTGTAGTTTATGTCTATATTTTGTGTTTTGGCATAAGGAGGTGGCTATAGCAGGATCATGAATCATTCGATATTTGCGTTGGAACGACGTTATAATCTATGTATGTAACACTAAAAGACAAACGGTTGAGTTGATACTTCTCATAGTTGACAACCCATCAGATGGTTTTTTTTTGTTGTGTGTGCAGTGGTGGTTATTGTCTTTTGTTTGGGCTGTGATATTATATTATTTGTACGAACAACTGGTGTATTCAAATAGTGATTGGCTAGATAACAGAGAATGATATTCAATTAATTTTTGCAAAACCAGTTTAGTTTCCAAATACGAATATTAAAGAAATAAAAATCAAAAAAAAAAATCATCACAAACCAAACTCCGTCTCATGTGTACAAAAGAGGGGAACGGTGTCTCATGTGAGTCCCTTATTGTTTAAGGACATACAAGTCCGTTGGCTATACGGATCAATGGAAATAAATTGAATCAGATGTTTTAAGCAACCAACCCAAAAAAAAAAAAATTTTTTTCGCATATTTTTCCTTTTTGTTAACAAAATGAGTCGCAAAATTTAAAATGAATCATCGTGCTTAGTAAAGATGAATTCAATTTAATTTACAAATTGAGTTGCATTGGGTTTTTACGTGTTAATTTAACCCAAAGCAAAATCAAAAATCAAAAAAAAATAGGGGGACAACCCATTTTAGAAAAGAGAAGAAAAATATTGATCACGTGGAATTGCCTTGCCATGTTTGTTTGTTCGTTTGTTTATTTTTCATTTATCTCCTAAAGTATGAAAATTCCAGAATCCATGGGTGGGGAAGCAAGTAAAATGAGAAAAATTATTTATTTCCTCTGAGTAATACTAATTTCCTTATCTTTTAATTAATAAAGAGAAATGAAAAAAAAAAAAAAAAAAATTAGGTCATGAGGATTATTATGCATAATTTATGATGTAATTTTAGTTTCGGTTTTCACTTACCGCGGGTTGTAATACTAAGAAATTGAAAAACTCCGAAGGTTGACTATTGGTGTCTGGGTGTCGGTTTAACCTAACTTACGCGGATTCCCCCAGAATATTTTTTTCTTTGGCGCATGAATCATCTTTCATTTTTGTGTTGTTATTCGGTAGTAAAAGTCCATCGCAAACTATAGATGTAATTCACAAGAAACTCTGTGTGAGTGACACATGTGAATAGTTTGACTAAGCATACAGAAAGAGAAAGCAAGAAAAAAAATTTTTTTTTTCATTTTTGCAGACTAAACCTGATTCCAAAAAAAAAGTCTATATAAAGACATTGATATTCCCTCTTCTTCTTGATTCTTAAAAATTTATTTTATTCATTATTATTTATTATTTATTTATTTATTATTTATTAGATTTATTCAATCACCAAAAACTACTATTATCAAACACTACAATAACAAAAATGTCTTTCACTAACTTCTTAGAACTTTCCACTGAAATTTCCGAACCATTTATCATTCCAAATGTTTCCCCAGTTACTTCTCCAAAACTTGCTAGTAGATCTGCTCGTGCTACAGCTAAAATGCCATCTATGGGTACAGACAACTTGACTCCATTGGTAGCTATTGAAGAACATGATGAAGAAATTGACTCCACATTGATTTCAACCAGAAAACTCTCTGTTCTTGACTTGAACTAAGAGATGATTTGACCTTTTGCACGTTTATTCTTTATGATGGTTTCATTTTATTTTTTATTTATTTACTTCAATTGTGTATTTTCTTTTTTCTGGTTAACGATTTGATGGTTGGTTTATAGTTGTTCATTAGCTTTTAGTTTTATATTTAGGGATATCTTTTTTTTTTTCATATATATACATTGCATTTTAGAAAAAAAAAATAGCCAATAGTAAAAGTAATTGGTCTATTGTAGGAGATAAATGTAAAAAGATCCCTCTATCCGTGAAAATGATGCTACAACTCCTTGGTTTTGATATCGGATAGAAGGGAATATATATATTTATTTCTTTTTACTTAATGAAATCGATTCTGCTTTTTCTAAATCTAGGTCAGAATCATATTCTGAGTCTATGGATGGATCTCTGATAACCGGTATGTTACTGACTTTTTCTTCCCCATATGTTTCACCGTTTTCTGATGTCTCATCCTCCACCTCTTTTTTCTCTACTATATTCAAATGTTTCTGTTGTTGCTCCTCATTTGAGTCTGCTTCAGAATCTCGTTTGATTTCTTCGGTACTTTCCATCTTCTTTGATTTACCGTTCTTTACATCAATAGCACTCTTGATACTGAATTCTTCTTCCTCGTCATCATCCTCGTCCTCATCATCGTTGTAATTCATCTTAACCAATGTCTTTGCCTTCTTCTTTGCTGGTTCTTTAACAGTTTCCTCTTCTATCTTCACCAAATCATCGAAATAAGGATCAATCACTTCACTAGAGATTACTTTAACAGGAAATATAGGATTTCCATCATTATCAACTTCACCTTGTGATATTTTCAATGCTATGTAATAAGAATCTTGATTAATCTTACCAAAAATGTTAAAGTTTGTAAATTCAGGTATCTCTTTTAATGTTATAAAAATTGATTCACCATCTTGACTAATACCAACATACCCTCGTTTACATTTAATTCTCGGATGTGATTCTTTAATAATTTTGGTGGTATTAATATTTGGAAATTGAATTAGATTTGAACTTGTAATAAATTTTAAATCATTGAATTTTTGATTTAGACAATTTGAAATAAATTCACGACTTGTATTTGGTAATTCTTTTGACCATATATCAATCTCAATAACTCCTTTGGTAGTATTAAGTATAACTTTAGCTTGAGTTTTTGGTTCTAATGATGACATGTTTTTAAAACGTAAAGTGATGAGTTGAAGTACGCAGTTGCGTTTTTGTTGACATTTATTTTCTTATTTTTTTCTTTGTCTCAATCAGATTTTTTTGGATTGATACTAATGAAGATCATTGTTAGCGGTTCACAGTCACACACACACACTCTCTCTGCAAATGTTGTCTATTAGTTCTTCATTATGAATTATTCATAATGAAGAACTGTTTTAAAGAATAGTCAAGAATTATTAGTGGACACCCAAATATTGAATATTGTTTGAACTCCATGTTCTATACTAGAAACTTTATTGTAAAATTATTACAAAAATAAAACAAAATCCATTAATAACATACACCCTATGGATCATACGCAGAGAACAACAGAGTTAAATCTCTCAATAGCCCATATGTAATAATAAGAATAATAAAAAAATAACAACCAACGTTGTACAACAATATTACCTGTAGTAATTGGAAGCAAAAAAATGACGTCACAGACAGGATTCGAACCTGCGAAGGCAAAGCCCATTGCCTGAACTGCCTTCCAATGAAATGGAAATAGCAGGGCAACTCCTTAACCACTCGGACACTGGGACGACCACTTGGCAACGTGACGGAAGGGAGTGGTCCTGGATAAGTATAAAAGAATGGGTTTCGAATACTATGAAATTCGTCACTCCACGATCGTAAGATTGAATTTTCACTTGAAAATATTATAAATTAGCATATTCCTATTTTAAGTTTCATATCAGTCTTGAATGATACTGATTTAATTCTCTGTTCATCTGTTCCACACCTTTATCGGTACATTGTTGTGGAAACTGAAACTTCAAGCCATAAGAGAAATCAAAGCTCAAAAGTCTCTACTAATTTTAACCAACATTAAAGTTGACTTCTCAAATGCTTAGTTCTTTGTCGTACGTAATCAAGTTTTCTACATTTTGGTAATTATATATATATACTGACTCTAATAAAAATTTTTATTAATTAAAATATAAACTAGAATGAATGCTAGAATTTAGTGAATCAATGTTAATAAAACTCCCTTACACTTCTCGATAGAAAGGAGCTATGGAGCTTCGAACAAAACAATAAAACTATTCAATTCAAGTCCAAAGCTTTTTGCTGTTCTAAATTTTTTGATTTCTCAGCATCATTTTGCCAAATCAAGAGAGTATTTATAGTGACTGCAAAAAAAAATTACTTAGTAGTGCAAATCGTGTAGCAATTAATAAAAACTAATTCAATTGTTGCAATTTAGTAAATTATTTTCAATAGTAACTTATAATAATATTTATGTTTTTATTAATTCAAATAACACCTAATGTTGGTGAACTTTACTAGAGCATGGATTTTAATATCACCTTGATTAAGACTGTATATCCTTAGTACATATCTGAGATGGATAGTTAATTCAAAGATCTATTGATATATAACTAACGTTTGGCAGTCAATGACTAGTGTTCAATTATTGGTTTCATGTACAATGAGATGATATGAAAACATGCCATTAGTATTTGATAATCATTATTGCTACATTATAGATTTTATGTAACATTTAATTTGAATAGAATAATTACGTTACATTTGATTTAGAATGATACAACTTTATACAAAATTGAAAAAATTATAAACTTATATTGAATAAAAATAACAATCTAAATATTATAGATAATCATATTAATTAGTTGTTTGTGGTTGTTCACAGTCTATTACAGTAATTTGTAAAGTTTCAACAGTCAGTTCAAAAATACAAAGAATGGTTAAAAAGAAAATCCCGTTAACTTGGAAATCACACTATTACATTTGGCCTTGACCCAATGTTTTTCTGAAGTATTTGTAGGATGCTGAGGATTATCTTCTTCTTAAACATAGTTCATTCCACTATCCCCATGAAAGTATAATTGGAAAAAGGGGTAATCGTTTGGTAAGTAGAAACTAACATTAAACAAGTCGTATTATACATGGCATGTGACCCTAAAAACCTATCATAATAACAAGACATTTCTTCCAGAAATTAAACTACTAGTGCCACAAAATTTGGCTGAATACCCGTCTAAGATAAAGGAATTATCGCAGATTGTTTAAGTTTTACCTATAAATTGCAAAATTCTCATCTATACTAGTCTATTTCAATATATATTGACCTGTATTCTTTAGTTTGTATACTTGTGCCAGGTTGTATAAGTTTGTAAATTAGCTTTCTACAACTGCCGGTCTTTGAGAGTTAAATCTTACGGTTCAATTCTGTTCTTTTATGATATTGATGTATTAGAGATCTGATCTTAAGGTGAAACAATAATAGAAGCAAGTTATACATGTTTAATTGAATTATTCCAAAACTAAACACCCATTAATTTATTATTTCTTATATCAAGTTTATAATTATTGGAACGAACCAATGTTCCATGTAGAATTATACATAAAAAAATGACGAAATAGATATCTCATGGTGCTAAATTTTAACACCATCAGGTTTAGTTCCTCCCTGCACATTGGCAAGTGGTCGTCCCAGTGTCCGAGTGGTTAAGGAGTTGCCCTGCTATTTCCATTTCATTGGAAGGCAGTTCAGGCAATGGGCTTTGCCTTCGCAGGTTCGAATCCTGTCTGTGACGTCATTTTTTTGCTCTCAATCTATCTATAGATTAATCCAATCTGTGTTGGTTGTTTTTTTTATTATTCTTATTACAATCAGACTACATAGGAGTCCTACTAATGTTATAATCAAATCTAGTAAGTGTTTTTCAATTTTATTTTCGTTAGGTTTTTGTTGCAAAATCCATTCAAATACTACATGATAAATTCCTGAATAATCATGCAATGCTTTGAGCAGACCATTTTCAATAGTGTTTCAAACAATGATGACGCTCGATACCATCATCAATTGCCCCACCTTAATCATAGAATGGAGAAATAGAAAATGCATTTCCCCATCTGAACTATTTTTTGTCAATAATTGTGTATATCACGAGCCTCACTGATATTATCCCTGGAACAAATCAACAAAGGGAAAAAAGAAAAGCAAGTGATCACCATGAAAAGGAGTTTTTCCGAGGATGGCCACTCTAGAACTCATAACTTTAGCATCCGCATGGCTAGACTACTACTTCTGCTTCTGCTGCTGCTACGAGGTAACATTCTATTTTTATTCTCGGAGTTAGAAAATAGATTAAAGTATTAGAGTTTTTTCTTTCTTTCTCTCTTTGTCTCTTAGTACACATGGAAAGTGGTTAAACTTCCTTTTTCCAAAACGATTACAACCACACCACCGATAGTTTGTCTAAACTTAACCTAATTGGTGATTATTTGTTCAATCCATGCATATTTTTATTCCGTGTCTTTGTTGTTGTTGAGGTTGAAGTTGCATTTCAACTTCCAATTCAGATATTTTAGATCATTATTTTTTTCTTTCTTTTTCGTTAATTAATGTCGGTGCTTCCACCTCCCCCACCAATACCAGCGACGAAATATATTTTTAGCGCTCTGTTTCCATCACAAAATTAAACATACGTTTTTGTGGGACATTCTAATAAATTATTGTTGATTTCCACCGCCTGAATAACTGTGCAAACTTTTTGCAGAAGAATACAATGGAAGTGGGAAAATAAGGGGGACCAGGAGAGAAACATCAAGGATCCAATGAAATTGCAAAAACAAAACAAAACAAACATACACACACACGATTTGTATAGGAGGCACATATCTACTACAGAAGGATGTAGAGTAAAAAGACAATTATGATATTCAGGGAGGGTTTGTCATATTGATCTGCGAATTTTTTTTATTTTGGTTTTTGGTTTATTAATTAATTTTTCCTACCCCCCAATAATTTAATCTGCAGCTGGAAATCCGATTTTTGTTGTTGAGTTAATGTGTTGGAGTCAATTAATTAATTAATTAAACCATTGCTTCATTTATAACACCAATGGTATTTTTTTAAAAAAATAGTTGTGTCCTGTTCTCCACGACACAAACAACTACAACAAAAATTAGCCCAATAAAAATTACTAATAATAATAATAATAGTAAATTGAAAAACGTACAGTACATATTTTCCTACTTCACTAAAAAAAAAAATTCTGTATTGTGGAACACGCCCCCCCTCTCTCTCGTTCTCTCGCTCGCCTTCTCTCCTCCCTTCTCCGAACTAAAAGTAAACATACACACACACACACTCGCACAGTGAATGAACGAAAATCAAACATCACGAAAGTTTTTCCTGTTGTCTCTTTTTTGGCGAAATAAAAAGAAAACCAATTTCAGGTTCACTTGCTTTTTATAAAAAAATTTTTTTTTTAGTTTTACTTTCTTTATCATCTCTTATTACTAGCACATTCAAGCTACGTTCAATCAGAACTCAATTGATCTATACGATTTCAAATAGAAAGAAAATGGCCACTACTGGAAAAAGACACACCAAATCACAATCTGCTTATGTATGTATTGCTTTCAATTTTTCGGAAATTTGTCGTTTTTTTTTCATTGAATACTAACAATTGCAATTGATTTGTTTGTTTTAGGCTTTTGATAACACAGCAACCAATGTCACTGCTTCTCAAATGCGTAATGCTTTGAACAACTTAGCCGACACCGTTGAAGATCCAGAAGACAAGAACAGATTTGAAAATGAAATGGACAACTTTTTCTCCCTTTTCAGAAGATACTTGACTGAAAAAGCTTCCGGTTCCACTTTGGATTGGGAAAAAATCAGATCTCCTTCTGCTGATGAAGTTGTTGCATACTCCGATTTGAACGATACCGACAGCTCTACCAACTTGTCCAAATTGGCAGTCTTGAAATTGAATGGTGGTTTGGGTACTTCCATGGGTTGTGTTGGTCCTAAATCCGTCATTGAAGTCAGAGATGGAAACACTTTTTTGGATTTGTCCGTCAGACAAATTGAATATTTGAACAGAAAATACGACGCTGATGTCCCATTGTTGTTGATGAACTCTTTTAACACTGATGCCGATACTGCCAAAATCATCAAGAAATACCAAGGTCACAGAATCAGAGTCAAGACTTTCAACCAATCCAGATTCCCAAGAATTTATAAGGATTCTTTATTACCAGTCCCAGAAACTTATGACGATTCTCTTGAAGCTTGGTATCCACCAGGTCACGGTGACTTGTTTGAAGCTTTGGTTCAATCTGGTGAATTGGATGCCTTATTAGCTCAAGGTAGAGAAGTTTTGTTTGTTTCCAATGGTGATAACTTGGGTGCCACTGTTGATACCAAGATTTTGGACCATATGATTGAAACTGGTGCTGAATATATTATGGAATTGACCCCAAAAACAAGAGCCGATGTTAAAGGTGGTACTTTGATCAACTACCAAGGTGAAGTCAGATTATTGGAAATTGCTCAAGTTCCAAAAGAACACGTTGAAGAATTCAAGAGTATCAAGAAATTCAAATATTTCAACACCAACAACTTGTGGATCAACTTGAGAGCCATCAAGAAATTGGTTGAAGCCAATGCCATTGAAGCTGAAATCATTCCAAATCAAAAATCCATTTCTCATGGTAAATCAGATGTCAACGTTTTACAATTAGAAACTGCCGTTGGTGCTGCTATTAGACATTTCAAAGGTGCCCATGGTGTTGTTGTTCCAAGATCAAGATTCTTGCCAGTTAAAACCTGTTCCGATTTGTTGTTAGTTAAATCCGATTTGTTCTATTTGGAACACGGTGCTTTAAGATTAGACCCAACTAGAGATGGTTTCTCTAACCCATTGATCAAATTAGGATCTCATTTCAAAAAAGTCAGTGGATTCCAATCTAGAATTCCTTACATTCCAAAGATTTTAGAATTAGATCACTTGACCATTACTGGTAACGTTACTATTGGTAAGGGTGTCCAATTGAAAGGTACTGTCATCATTGTGTGTAATGATGGTGATAAGATCGATATTCCAAATGGTTCTATTTTGGAAAATGTCGTGGTTACTGGTAACTTGACTATCTTGGAACATTAAAATCTTGTGCATTCAAAACAAAAATATAGTAAATAATTAAAAGGAATAGCACTTATTTTAAGTAAATGATGATAATAATAATAATAATAAAAAAAATCTATTTATATAAATATATACTTATTATATGCAATTTTTTTCAGTTAATGTTTTTTGTGTATATTCTTTTGATAATAATGTGTGTAGAATCTATAAACCCACATATCTATTAAAGTAATTCTTTAGCAGCAGAAGTGTCTTCTTCACCAGTATAAGTTTCCAAGAATTCTTTTAAAGATTCTTTATGTTCCTTAATCTTTTTAGTAACTTCAGGGACCATTCTTTGAGCTTCTTGTAAAACTTCAATTTGTTTCTTTAATTCATATTCATCAGCATTATTAGCTTTCATTTGATTAACAAATTGTTCTTGTTCTGAAACTTCTTGTTGATATAATTTCTCTTCTTTAATTAATCTTTTCAAAGCATTAACCTTAATTTGTAATGGTGATGGTGCCATGATATCGTAGTAATATTAATAAACCAAGTGTTTAACTTTTTCTTTTTGATTCTTGAATTTTTGTTTTTTGTTTTTCCCTTTTTCAAGACAAGATTTTGTTGTTGTTTTTTTATTTCCTTTGTTCGTGTGCAACGTCTAATTGTCGTTTTTTTTTTCTATCGCGTAGACTCGATGCACACAAAAACTGAGCATGTTTGTTCATAAGAGGTTTTCTACGATTCCTTCTCCTAGTGGAGAAGGATTTGCCTGGACCGTCTCTGCACGTGTTGGCCCAAACTTACTGGCCTGGATGGACAGGGACCAGCATTACCGGTCTCATCGACCGGCCCGTTCCATACGGTCTGCAGCCCGCAGGACGGGTAACCACGTATCTTTAGACGGTCTGGTCAGCGACCGCACAATACGTGGTTCTATCTACATCTAATCAATCTATTCTACTGCCGGGATCTTTTAATTGTGAATCCCGGCAGTAGTCAAAGTAGCAGTGACCAGTTGCTACTTTGAAAAAGTCCTTCACTAGTCAAATTTGCCTTAGTAATGTTGACTCCCTATCTAAGGTTCAAGATAATGCTTGCCAAACACTATCTTATTTGGAAGGACCTTCTTTTTGGTTTATATTAAGGCAATAGTATGTGTAATGAATTGCAATAAACTCCCCAATGGTTGTCCCATTTGAAAAAAGGCAATACACATGATAACTAATGGAAATTAAAAAGGAAAATAGACATCAATAAAAATATTCAAGGACAACCAATTGATATTGCAAGTTAGTAAATCAACATTAGAAGGAAATTATTGAATGATTTGATACTCACATATAATTATTATTGAGTATTGTTGTTGAAATAAAAGAAAAAGTGGTGTAAAAAAGATTGTTTTTTTTTTTGCAAACTCAAGTTCTCTCCTTTTTATAGTTGTATTTGTGTGGGTAATATTTGTTAAGAATAGAGCGGGAATGCGTATAATAAGTCGTGTCTAATATACAAGACGTATGAATAGAGTTGGTTCCTTCTCCCTTTCTCTGTTCTGCTCGATCCCGAAGGGAATCCAGTGGTTTAAATACTAATCCCAAGACGCCTTCACACGTCACATCTCCCGGAGGAGATTCACCTGCCGATACCCGAAAGGGTTAGTTGACATATTCCCTCAACACACACTAGGCGGAGGCACACTAGGTCGTGTAGCCTGACCAACCAGTCCACGTACATAACAATATTACAAACCTTCGCTACCAAACGTGACATATCAAAACCACAATTCCTGTTTGTGTAATTGATCAAAAAAAAAAAAAAACTTACTATTTCCTATTTACTTTATTTACTTAAAAATATATAGTGACGATTGACTGGATCCCAACCACCATTACCGTTGCCTTGATCTATCTCTTCCTTGACTTTATTAGATTTGATCACAAAATATACGTCACTATCGTCGATTTTAACAATAGAATTATGCCACGGAGTTGGAATATGTAACAAATCAGTATTCTTTGGTTCTTTATGATCTTGAATACTATTAATTGGGTGACATTGATTTTTACCAGTCTTTGACAACAATGAAATACCAAATTTTGGACCAGAATTACAATGAGCATGAATTGAGAATCTCAAATGGAATGGGAACATCAATTCAACCAAATTAGAATAAGCATCATTGCGTTTAATCATTTCAAAAGCAACTTTCGCAACAATCTTCTTAAACTTTTTTCTAGCCATACCTGCAACATTTGGGTGAAGTGCCAAATCTTCAGTCATAAATTTGGAAAATCCTCTGAATAATGCCAATCTTGGATGTCCCTTGGTAGTAATATCCTGTCTCAATTTTCCACAATCGGTATCACATGAAGTGACAAGGATTTTTCTGCAAATTTCAGATTGAGGATCAATCTCAGTGCCAAGATAATGTCCCAATTCAACATTCTCAACCAAATTATTATTGAAATTTGAATTTGCTAGATTGAAAATAACTGGCAAAGAACAAAAACGAATTGGATTTGCATCCTTTGGCTTCAATCTAGCATACAATTCTTGTAAAGCTTCAAAATATCGATTAACTTTAGAATCATCAACAGCAATACAATCACTGAAAACATGTCCATCACTGACAATCCAAATAATTATACCTGGAGGATATATTTCTTTAACAGAAGCTGCAAATTGAATCAATCTTGAAAGTGCCAATTCTTCTCCCTTGTCAGGCATTTCACCAGCAACTTTTTCAACATTGGATGATTTACAAGGAAAAGCAGGTAAAACTGCTTCCAAAGGTTGCCAACGAGAAGTGAAAAAATCAACATTTTTACTGAAAAATGCTTTCCCAATATCATCCCATTGATCATTTTCAACAGTATGTTTCAATTCTTGAGCAAAAGCATTAGAAACCATCTTTGTATATATTTCATAATTCTCACCTTCTTCTAGCTCTTGCTTGAAGTGTATTCTTGACAGTGACACCAATAATTTAAGAAACCAATATTCAAAATCAGTAACATTAAATTGAACCGTAACTACTCCTTGCCAAATACCTGGTTCAATTTGAATTTCCCAGATATAATACAGATTCTCAATATTTAATTGAGTTAAACCGTCTTGGAAAAATAATCTTGTTTGTTCGTTTTTTTTAATTACTTGAAAAATATCATCAATTTCAAAATCATTGTAGTTTCTAGACCCCAAGATCTTGGACCCATTTCTTGAATAAGCTAATCCAATACACTCATAAATTGTATTTGGTGGATCAAAAACTTCAGTATCAACAGTAGAGTTACTGCTTGTGTTTGAATTCAAAGATAAACTTGAAGCCGATTTCATGATTAAAACTTGAGCAACAACAATAATAGTATATGTATATAAAAACTAACTAAAATAAGAAAAAAAAACAACAACAACAACCGATAAGTTATATGTATAAAATTTCTTATGGATTCTTTTGTAGTTCTTTTAATGGAAAGTTAGTCTTAGAAATATAACAAGAAATTAAATACATAAAGATAAAAAAGAGACGAAATTAAAAGATTTCAAGAATCTAGGATTGAATTTATATACTTAGTTCTTGTATAAAACTAATTTCAAGTAATCGAATCATCTTCAAAAACTGCAAGATTTGAAAAGATTTTCTTTTTCCTTCCCTTCAATAGAAGTGTGAGTATTTACAAAACTGCATTGCTATGCCTTTGAAATTGTTATTCCTTTATGCTAAAACTCCCCAAATAATGGAATACAATGCATCGTTTCAAGCTCTAAATTATTGTGTTCTATCTACTATTTTGCATCTGTTTCCAAAACGAAACAGTTCATGCGATATAATGTATCGGGGACGTTTTTGTGTACACTCCCAAAAAAACAAAAAAATTTTATGCGCAATTTAATGTTTGCAACTTTTGGGAAATTGCAGCATTGGGTAATATCAAGGGGGAAACAAACAATCAATGCCAAACAATGCCAACAAAGGAGAAACCAAACCATAAATAATAACTCTCTGATACACGACACATGAACTCATTCCACATATAATAGAGACAAAGACAAACCCAATTTCAACCCTCGTCTCTTTGAGATTAGGGGGATTTAGTTTAATATCCTTTCAAGGATTGCCAAATTTGCTCAAGTTTTCAAATTTTTCATTTGTTAATTTTACCCTTATTAATCTATATTTATATTAAAGAATTACGAGGTCGTCTCAAAAATACCGTTATTCTGTTGATTATTGTCTTCAAAGACTTTTTTTTCTTTTTCTTTTACATATTCATCTTTCTTTCGTTTTAATTCTCCCTCTAATCCATTTAACAATTATCAATGATAATGTTTGATATCGTCAAATACACCTTAATTGGGTTATTTAGCTATTTGCTATATGTAATTCTCGATATAGTACTACCACCATTCAATTTTCCCAAAAATATCCCAACAATCCCATTCTATGTTTCCTTCTTAGGTGCTTACACTAACTTGGATCAGAGGGATATTTACAATTTGTATTTGAGAGAGAAGTTGGAAAAGTACGGGGCAGTAAAGATATATTTTGCTTCAAGATGGAACATACTCATTACTAGGCCAGAATATCTTCTTGAAATGTTTAGAAATGAAGATGTGTACTCAAAACGGGGAAACCACCTAAAAATCCCTGGTTCAGTGATGGCTACATACACTGGTGATAATATCATTAGTGCTCATGGAGAATTATGGAAATTATATCGAGAAGTTATTGCCAAAAGTATTCAATTTCCCGATTTTGAACCAATTACGAAAAATACTAAATCATTACTTGAAATTATTGATGGTATGATTGACAGTGATAAAAATCATGCAATTATTCCAATCACAGATTTATTTCAAAAATATTCATTAGCAAACGTTACAGAATCTATACTTGGAGTAAATTTTAAGGTTCTTGAAGGCGATCAATCAATCATGCATCAAAAAATAAAGTACGTCAAGCTGCAAATATTCAAACCTTTTTTCTTGAACTTTCCTTATTTTGATAGCTTTCCTATTCCAAGTAGGTTACAAGCAAGAAAGGAAGTTATTAATTTTAGGAATTGGTATGGTCAAAGTATTATTGACAAGCATGATCCACAACTTCCTAATAGTGCAGCTACAAAATTAGTTGATGGCTTGATGCAAGAAAAACTCACTGAAAAACAATTTTTGGATAATGCCATTATTGTGATGATTGCTGGACATGAAAATCCACTTTTGTTAATGTTATCGTTGATGTTTGTTGCTGCAAAATATCCAAAAGTTCAGGAGGCCATACGTTCAGAAATAGATCCAACAAAACCTTATCTACACTCTGTTATTTATGAAACTTTAAGAATGTATCCACCATTGGGATTAATCATTAATCGTTATACCACCAGACCTACTAAACTAGGCAACATAGTAATTCCCAAAGGTGTTTACTGTGGCTATAATAATTTTGGTACGGGTAGAGACAGAAATGTTTGGGGACCAGACTCGGATGAGTTTAAACCAGAGAGATGGGGAAGGGATAATATTGAAGAAATAAATCGCAATTATGCTAATGCCAAAAGATCAGCTGAATTACCTGCGTTTCATGGCAGAAAGAGAGCTTGTTTAGGAGAAAAGTATGCCTTATATGAAGTTAAAGAATTGCTAACTAGTATTTTAGGACATTACAAAGTTACTTTAGATGCAAGTTGGAAAGAGAAAATAACCCCTGCTGGACCTATTAGTCCATTTGGTTTGAAGGTGAAATTTGAAAAGCTTATTGTTGCATAATTAAAACACAAAGAACAGTTTTGTCTCCTTTTCTATATAGGTGTTTTACTTTTTGTTTTTTTTTTATTTATATTTTTAGGTTTGTTTATGAGTTCGTACATAGTTATACTTCAATACCAAGAAACATGTAGGCGTTTTTATAAATGGTACCATCAATAATAAGGAATGTTCAATATTTTGTGCTCTATCTTTATAATGAAGGATGATTAACAATGAAATCCCTAAAGGTTTTATTTAATCCATTGTACTCGAATATTGCGCATGTAGTGGTGGAGAATTTGGTTCCCTAAAGTTGCAAATCAAAATTTGCTCAACTTGAATCTGGAAAACAAAGACGAATAATGGTGACAAATAACATAAATTCATAAAGATAGACTTATAACCCAGAATTTGGAGTTTTGAAAAAAAAAAAAAAGAAAATTTTAAATATCAGTTTTCATTGTGCAGAGCTTTTCAAAATTATTAACCTTTTTATTGGATCATGCCACAGACGAAAGATCAGGAAATTTTTGAAGTCCCCATCAACGATAACGAAAAGGATGAAACAACAGTTGACATTGAAAGAAAAGTTTCTTCACCAGAAAATAATCAAGATGTCATAAGTGCAGATTCCGAAAAGAAGAAAGATATTGAAGTCCAACAAGTCCAACCAACAGAACCTTACTGTGCATTAGCTTTTAAAAGAAAAGCTATAATTATAGCTATAATAACCCTTGCTGGTTGTTTAGGTCCTATTGCTGGTAATATTTATATCCCAGTTTTACCCCAATTACAAGAAGAGTTTTCGGTTTCTGCAGCTACTATTAATGGAACAGTTTCGGTATTTATGGTTGTGTTTGCCATTGCACCGTTGATTTGGGCTTCTTGGGCAGATTATGGAGGTAGAAAATTATTATATTTAATACCTTTGGTTTTCTTTATATTGGCTAATATTCTTTTAGCTTCTGTTCCTGCAAATATTACTGCTTTATACATCTTAAGAATTTTACAAGCATTTGGTGCATCAAGTGTTATATCAGTTGGTGCAGGTACTGTTACAGATATTATAGAACCAAAGAATAGAGCTAAAGCAATTTCAATTTTCATGTGGGGTCCACAACTTGGTCCAGTTTTAGGACCCGTACTTTCAATAATTGCTACTAAAGGTGATTGGAGATGGATATTTGGGTTTTTGGCCCTTTTTGGTAGTGTTGTCTACATTATCATCTTATTCTTTCTTCCAGAAACTTTAAGGTATTTAGTGGGTAATTCCTCTTGTTATGAAAACACATCAATTTTTGTGAAACCAAAATGGAAACAAGAAAAATTAGTGGATGGATATCCAGTACCACCAAAACCAAGTCTTAAAAATTATTGGAAAATTTTAAAATACAAGCCTGTTTTGATTTGTTCAATTAATGGTGGTTTATTGTTTGCTACATTCTATGGAGTCTCAATAACATTTGCACGTGTTTTGCGAGACCAATATTCATTTACTAATGCTCAAGTTAGTGCAAGTTATATCTGTCCTGGCTTTTCATTAATCGTAGGTTCAACAGTAGGTGGTTGGTTATCTGATAAATTAAGAGCAAGAATGATTAGAAAACAACCTGATAAATATGTTGCAGAACATAGATTTTCATTACAGATTTTTGGTCTTGTTATTTCTATGGCGGGAATTTTGGGTTATGCATGGACAGTTGACAAGCACGTTCATGTTTCTGCTGTATTTATATTTACCTTTTTGACAGGGTTTGGTATGACTTGGGTATTTGTTGCTAATACTACATATTTAACTGAATGTTCAACTGGTCAACCTGCCACAAATGTTGCAATTGGAAATTTTGCAAGAAATATTTCTGCTACCATATGTACCGCAATCATTGAACCACTTATTAATAGAATGGGATTTGGCTGGTGTTTAACTGGATTAGGATTAACAGATTTAGCCGGTATCGGGTTTGTCATTGTTTTATTAAAATATGGACCTAAATGGAGACGTGAATATGTAGAATCTAAATAACTAATAAAAGTTGAATATGAGGTATATGTATATTTCTATTGTTTCTTGTGCATATTTAAAGTAGCATATTTTTTTTATTTTTTTGGAAAAACATAAATTGCTCCTCCATCCATTTGACCTCCTAGCTACCAAATATTTGCTCAATTGGTAAGTCAATGTCAGAAGGTAAGTTTTAAAACTAAACAATGAAAGTTTCCAATTCTGGGGATATGAATATTTGCTCAGATTTTGTGAATATATAAAATGCACTCAATATTGCAGCCATGGTAATTTTTTTTTCTGTTTTTCCTTTTTCCATACTCCAAATCAAAATGAATAAGTCACCAGACAAAGATAGTTCAAGTGGAAAGGTTATCACAATCTCTGAATCTTCAATCCAAAGGGACGATGAGGGAGATATCATCCCAAAACTGGACAGTGAAGAAATCGAAGATGAGTATAGTGTTTGGAATAAAAAGAGCATTTTTTATACTTGGTTATTACTTTGCTATTCTACTGGTCCTGTAGCTTCTATGAGTAGAACTTATGTTCCTGCTTCCATTCAATCGATTGCTAGAAGTGTTGGTAGAACCAAAGATGGAAGACATTGTGCTATGAGAGGGAACGACTGTTATGTCAAGTTTGGTGTTGGTACAGTTCATTATACTTCATATGTTTTATACTTAAGAGCAATTGCTACAGCTGTAGAAGGAGTTGTTGCTATATTTTTAATGGGAATTGCAGATTATTCTAATTATAGAAAATTGTTTGTCATTTGTTCAATTCTTATCTATGGTTGTTTTGCATTACCGTTTGCTGGGTTGACACAAAGTAATTATCCCACTTTGAAAGCAGCTTCTGCACTATATGCATTGATGAGTATCGATGATTCAATTTATCAAATTATGGAAGGTTCATATATTCCATTGTTTATGAGAGCAGATAAGAAAGATCCATTGAAAAGAGGATCAATTGTTTCAGTGTTGGGTATTGTTATTGGTAATGTTGGTGGGTTGACCGCTTTAATTATTGGTATAATTATTTCATATACAAGTGGCAGACCAGATAAAGATGGGTATCATAACTTCTTGTTGGCAATTACAATTGCTGGCTGTTTAACAGTTGTCCTATCAATATTTTCTTCATTCTATATTCCAAGTGTTAAAGGTAAGAAAAGAGACAGCAATGTGATGGTTTTACCATTCAAAAGGTTTTTCGGACTTTTAAAAGATATTCAACAATATCCAATGGCTTTTCTTTATTGTGTTTCCTGGGTTATTTGGAATGTAAGTTATAGCAACTTCATGAGTATGTTTCTTTTATTGTTTAGATCTACATTGGGATTAGGAAGTACTGATTCTGAATACACCGTGTATACATTCATGTCGTACATCTCAGCTTCTTTAGGATCACTCGCCTGGATGGTACTTTATCCAAGATTCAAGTTCAATATCAAATATTGGGGCTATATGTTTTTAGCTTTCAGTATCTTTTCCAATTTTTGGGGTTGTTTAGGTATACACCATGCTACACGTGTTGGTTTCCAACATCGTTGGGAATTTTGGATTTTTGAAGTGTTTTATGCTGGAACTTCTTCAGCTATGAGATCACTTAATCGATGTGTGTATTCACTGCTTTTACCAAAAGGTGATGAAGCACAATATTTTGGTTTAGAAATAATGTTGGGTGTTGCTACTGGCTGGATTGGAAGTTTGGTTAATGCAGTGATCCAAGATAGAACTAACGATGATCGTTTCCCATTCTTACCCAATATGTTCCTTGCTATTATATCCATTGTCTTGTACTTTTTTGTTGATCTTGAAAACGGTATGGCAGCTGTAAACAAGGCTAAACAACCACAAGAAGAAAACGAAGACTAGAAAAGAGGCAGAAAATTACTCGTGATGTTAGAAAACACAAACCTTACATGCCGTGGATAGCACCAATACTGACACTGGTTATATTACATAAACTTACACTCTTTTTTATTTATTTTTTTATAATGATAATATATAACACAACGTATATAAAATTGAAACACATTTTCACATATCTATAAAGTTACTCTTCGCCAAACAAATTACCCAAAGCACCATTTTCAGTATAAGGATCATTCATGACATCAATACCAGTTGGCTTTTTTCTATTATTAATGGCTTCTTCTAATTGTTTCTTTCTCTTGGACATTTCATCACCATTTTCAATTGAATTTGGATTTTTATTAACTTTAATCAATTCCAATAATGCACTTCTTTGGTGTCTTAATGATTTTGAATTGATCAAACTTGATTCAAAGTTAGCCACGTCGTGAGAAGTAACATTGGACAAATAAGTCATCATGGCTCTGGCAGGATAATCATTCTTTGATCTTAATGCACAATACAACGTAGTCAATGCCATAGCAGCTTCGTTATGGGTTTCTGTAAAATAATCTTCCATCAAAACATGCACCAAAGCTTTAATCAAATGGTCCGACAAATACTTGTCAACTTCATCATCTTTCAACACAATTTCTGGTAAGATGTTTCTCACAACTAATATTGTATTGAAGGAGCATTTGGTATCCTTAAACATAATAATATGACAACAGATTTCCAAAAATGGCGCTAAAACTTCTTTGTTTTCAATAACCAATTTCTTACACGCAAACTGTATGTCAGTTGTTGGAGTAGAATGATATTGTCCAACAATATCCATCAACAATCTAACAACAGTAGCTGTCAACTGCCTCAACATATGTTCTTCCATCATTTCTTCACTCAATGTTTCGTCATCCTCGTTACCTTTTAATTGCAATCCATTACCGTAGACTCTTTCCCATCTTGCAACCAATAACTTATCAATATCTATGAATACTCTTGGCAATAATTCACTCATGAATACTTCAACATACTTAACTGGACAACATTTAATCACCACTCTAAGGCAGCTATTAATCATATGCTTCCAACTGTGTAATGTAACACCGACGGTATCACCAGCCACAGCATTCCAAATCATCAGACCGATATTCGGGATCTCATACAAGACATCTTCTAATTGTGCTATGGAACCAACAGTTAAAAATGCATATTCTCTGGTGTATCTAATCAAATGTCCAACAGAATCAGCAAAATCTCTAAGAGTCAAAGCGGCTTTAACATTCTCTTCCATAAAAGTCTCCTTTGATTGGATCGAAACACCTTGTTGCCAAAATCTTTCCGTACAACTATCCTTAACAAACGCCTGAACTTCAACTGGCAAATCTTTCCAATTAGCAGGATTATGGTATGCTTGAATTTGGGTTAATAATTGCAAGACATGTGGCACAATAGGCTGTATTCTAGGCTTCCATAGTTTTAACAAATGCAAAAATTCTGGAGAGCTGTGATTCAATTTTTCAATACTATACTGAATAAATATCCTTGTGGCTCTAATTGGAAATATTGATGACCAATGGTCCTTCAATTTGTTCTTTAATACTTTGCCTTCATCATCCATCTTGGCTTCCAACAAATTTGTATTGGCTGTAATCCCACGACTTTGAAAATACTTGGCAATTTCAACTATACCAATTCTCTCCATAAACCAATGCAAATCCATCAATCCCTTCTCAGTGTCAGGAGCAGACCAAGCTGCTAAATCTGGATCAACAATCTTTGAGAACAATTCGTCCTTGTTAGGGATAGACGATCTAAATGCAATCACCAATAAAAACGACTTGAATGCAACATTTTCATGATCACTGACTTTCTTGGCTGATAATATATTGGATATAGCATTCTCCAAATCGTTGAAAATGATACTCAATCCTTCTGGCATCATGTATGCATATCTATTCAACTCTGTTCCACAGCTTCCACGCAAATCTCGGATCAATTCCATATCTTCATCAGAAACATTTGGTGGATAAGGATAAGTAGCCGTAGTCAAAATTTTCTCTAGAGCTCTGAACATTAGAGGTGGATTGACATCTTTAAGTAATGGAGCAAAATGAACTAAAGTCTGAACCTGTTTTCGTACCAACAAAGGACTGGCAAAATTCATGACTAATAACTTCTCACACAATGACTCAACTTGCTTATTTAGCCTGTCTTTGATCACCTTTTTATCATCTTCTGTATACCATTCGTTCCAACGAGTTATACCACGGAGGGAACAATCGATAATTCCCAATTGAGCTGATCCATAATTATATACCTCAGATTTTTCTCCAATTTTGAATTCATTAATTGCCTTTATGCCAAGTTCGGATCCAAAAAAGATTTCTAAACGATTCTCTAGCCAACGTAATCCATCTTCGGGGCTTTTGCAAACCGTTATACGCGTTATATCTTCATTGAATCTACGATAATTCAGCAAAAACGAGCTTGCATCTGGGGTAGAATCAAAATCAACATCAAGGAACTTCTTAGATATGTGTTCGTCATCAAATGTGTAGTTTATAGTCCTGTTGGAAGCAATTTCTCTCAATTCAGGCATTAATTTCAAAAATGGTGCTTTAGCACTCAACTCGTCATATCTCAATATGGTAATCCACATTTGTAAAGATAAACCACTGATAATTAAACTTGGGTGACTTGTGGTCTCTAACACTAATCGCAAATAACTATCAACATCTGAATCTTCCCAAGAAATTTTGTTCTTCGAAGCGATATTTAGGTACTCACTTAGGGAGACAATCATTTCAACAGTTTTCTTCAAAAGGGAATAAACAACTTCATCAATGTCATCTGGATCCAAACTTAAGGAGTGGTAAAACTCACTCAACTTGGAAATACCTTCAGCAGTGAAAACAGAGCCAATAAAGAAATCAAAGTCTTCGTGTTGATTGTAGTTTCTTGTAAATAAAATGTGTAAACAGTCAACTGCCAATATCTTCATCTTAACATCAGGTAAGGTTAATATTTGAATTAATGTTTGTAATATATTTTCTTGTTTCAACACACAGGGGCTGATCCAATGTAAACAAGTTTTGAACGCCGACAAGATTTTGGGAACAAATGTCTGGCATATTTTATCATTGAAATCATTATTGGACAATACTTCAACTAAATATCTTGCCCATGTCACAAACCAACCATCACTCAGTGCCTTGCATATGGTAAAATTAGGATTATTCTCGTAAATTGTTTCCAACACTTTTTGAGGGGTAACAATCAATATAGACAACTGGTTCAAACAAGCACTTCTTTTAGTGGCAATTGGATCCTCCAAAAGGTATATATCTTCGAATAATGTTCTGATGATAATTAACGAGACTTCTCGACATGTGATGTTATTATTCCACAAGGTCAACAAGTCCGAATCCATGGAGACCCATCCATCGTTTGCTTCTTGCGGGGTGACAGTTGAGCTTTTATCCAGACTTGATGCTTCATTCTCGAGGGCAACCTTATCACGGGATTTGACCAAGTGGCTGCCCCAAATTCTCTTCGCTATAGCCACCCAAATTAACGCAGTCTTCTCTTTGATATAATGTGGGTCTGTGGGTTCAATTTTATTTGACAATTCAATGATCCAGTTCTTGATGGCATTAGTTTTTGTCAGGTCAAATGTGTGGAATCTTGTGTTGATGGATTGTTGTAACAATGTTAACCCAAAGTATCTAACAATGTATTTATCTCCGTTGTTCTCAGGTAATGCCAATTGATAACCCCAGAATGGACTTTCATCATTTGTCTTAATTTCATCCAAGAACTTTTGGGCTTCTCTTCTTTGATCATTGGTTGATTGTCGATCATAAACAACCTGTAAAGCAGATATAATTTGTTGAACTCCACCACTATCCATGGTCATCTGAATTTTTATTACTCTAGTTGGTGAAAAAGTATACTCGGAGTGGGAATTCTTTTCTTTAAAAAAATAAACAATAAACAAAAATTTACAAATTGATAGGCTTTAACACTGTCAAGTGAGTAAGGGATTCTAATGTACAAAAATATCTAGTGTATAATAATGAATTGAATGTATCAATTGATAATCCTTAATTTCTGTTGGTAAGTATACAATAGTCTTTCGGAGTAAAATAGTGTGTATAAGTGAGATTGGTGGGTGTTGAATTATTGATTGTTGATTTCCCTTTTGGCAAAAAAGAAAATTTTTGTTTGATTAAAATTTTGCGTGATTTTTTTTTTTCTATTTTGTCTTTTCCCTCCAAAATTCAACCGAACAAAAAATTGCTAATGAGGTGCTTAAAGATTTTCCGTAAGGCGGGTCCTACCTGCCTTTTCTTTTTCTCTCCCCCCTTTTCCCCCTCCATGTCTCACGTTTTACTACCACCTTCCCCCGTTCTAATTCTCATCCCCACGCAAGACCCATAGCGTCCCCAAAAAATTACTAATTTCGCCGCAGACCAATCCCATTCGAAGGTTCACTCGTACTAGAATATGAATCAGCCCAGTAACCTTACACTATATTCAAAACCATTTCAACGATTAAACAATTTTAAAAGATGAAGATGACGTTCATAAACAATGATGTTGATGCCAAAAAAATGAACACTCTTGCGCTTCGAACCTAATTTTATGCAATGTTTAAATCTATTTTGCATTATAACCTCATACACACTGATAATACGGACCAACCTACAAATAAAACTTTCTCTTGTCTCTTTCCATATCTGGTCTGTGTTCCCATACGACATCACCTCTAACACCCTTTTGCATTCTTCTTAATTTCAAAGTGAATTGGGGACCCAATTCTTGTAAACCTACCTTTTCCTCATTTCTGAATATATACCTATGTCTTCTGAAGAATATATAATCTCTTTGATTATGCAATGTTATCACTTGCCGACCTTGTAATTCCGGTTTATGTGGGAATATACTTTGAAATAATCTCCCCACTGTCTTACCCAATCTAGAATTGAAATTGTTCAAGATAATTTCAGGCAAATAATCACCAGCTTTACCATGTCCCTTGATTCTCTTACCATCAGTAATAGAAGTAACCGAGAAGTAAAATGTTGGACCTTCTGGAAGGTTGATCATTGTTATCCCATTGACTTTTTTCTTGTCTTCATTAATAACCATCAAAGTGGTGTATCCTCTATTTGAACAGAATTTAGCCATATCTTGCATAGTATATTCTTTCTTTCTTTTAATAAAAGTGGTGTTTGGAAGGAAATCCATAATCATATCGGCAAATTCATAAGCTGGTTTCTTAGCATTGGCATTAGTAGTTAATAAAATCTTTGGTTCTTCCAATAAATTTCTAAAGTAATTTCCAAACTCATCATCACCTTCAACTTCAGCAGCAATAGTCTCATCAAATACTCTCTTACTATCAATAGTAGCTGGTATATTCTCTGCTATTCTTTGTTCTCTTAATTCTGGATTTAATCGTTCTTCTTTTGCTCTTTCCAGCCTTAACTTGTGACGTTCTTTGTTTTTTTCATGCTTTAATTCCGCAAAGACCTTTTGTCTTCTTTGCTTGTTCTTTATGTTTTTCAACGCTTCACTAGTACTTGACATAGTGGATATGACTTGTTCTTAGAAAGTAGTTGTAATTCTGGAGATATTCGATGAGATGAGATTTTATGATTCTGGATAATTTTTTTTCTTCTTCTTCTTTATGTACCTATTACTGTAGTACGTGCAAAACGTACCAAAACACACACACTCTCTCTCACTCACATTTACCACCGAGTACACAAAATATGTTTCATCACTTGCCACAAGATAACAATCCATTATCAACAAACAAAACAACAACAACAACCTACATTTCTGCAATGGCTCCAATTAGCAAAGAATGTATCTATAGATGGGCCAATGTACTCAAGTCTAAACCAACAATTATCAAAGATACTTTTGCTTATGGCTCATACAATAATCTAACCAACCTTCTCAACAACATACTCGAGATTGATCATAAACCAAATATATCCAAGTCATGGTTTCAAGGATTCCATTTTTTATATAACAATCAACTAAATTTGAAACTTGGAAGTGATGGGTATGACAATTACCAAGCTCCTGTTAATGAACAAGGTGAACAGTTATATTTGAGACGGCTATGGGCTCGAGGTGAAATTGATTTCTTCAATTCACCGTCAATAAATTCCCCTATTGAAGTAACCGAGACTTTAAAAAGTGTTAGAATTATCGATGAATCTGTTTTAGTTAGTATTTTAAGGAATTTCACTTCTGAATCACAAGAGTTATTACAAGAAAGTCGAACATTAACATATACTAATGCATTATACACTCCGAATGAAAACTACTATCAACTTGAAAATTACAGTGGCAATGGTCCTACTTTCCACATATCAAGTATCGATTTGTTGAAATATTCTATGCTTACTTATAATCTTCACAAGATTCATATCGATGCAAATTATTGTCGCTCTATTGAGGATTTACCAAATACGATTGTTCACGGGCCCTTACAAGTGTCACTTTTGTTGTATTATTTTGCAATTAAACATCCTGAACTAAAACCAAAGAACTTTAAGTATAGAACATATGCTCCTATATTTATTAACGAAGAGATCTCAATACAAATTGACGAGGTATCGGAGAACTGCTATTCTCTAGGTATTATAAGTAAAGAGTCAGGGAAAGTGTACATTCAAGGTAAATTATCTACAGAGTAGAATAGTGGATAAATTTGAATATAAAACGAAACATTTATTATTTATTAAATAATATTAAATCAAATGTTATTTTACCTATATAAATATTGATCATTAACGACTAAAAATCAGTGCCCATTACACACATGGGTAAGGAAATAAGCGTAATAAACAAGGTTCTGTAACAGAGCCTTTACATATCCAAAGTTACTCTAACCTTACCTACACAGTAGTCTTTATATTCTTGAACGTAAGCTTCGTTGTTGAGTTCAACAACCCCTGATAATTCACTTATTATCTCATTGTTACCCGTAATCAAGACCATACCAAATGGGATTGAACTTAAATCAGGTAAGGGTTCAACAAGTTTACTGTCAAATATCAAACTGGTGAGGTTATGAGCAGTTTGTCTACCCATATACATGGCCCAACCTGCAGATTTAATAATATTGAAATCCACTAAATCTCCCAAAACAAAGAAATTATCATATGTATGTTCAGAATTATGAAGTTGTAAATATGAATTGACAGCTATGTTTTTTGTTGATTTATTAAGAAATTTTTCCCTCACTTCTTGACATAAAAAGCCAGTGTTGTTTGACTTTGAACAACACCAGAAATTCAAATTAGATGGGATCGTTTTATCATTTGTTGTGATTAAATCCCCATTTTCGTTTTCTTTTTTAATTCTTGTGTTAAGATAGACATCAATACCGGCGTTCTCAATGGACTCTTGTACTTTTCGTTTGAATTCTAATGACAATGGCTCAGGAGGGAAAGTTTCATGTGGATGAATCAAATTAACTGTTTTGTTAGGAAATTCTGTTTTAATATCACCTGCAATTTCAATCCCCACGGCACCTGCTCCAATAACACTAACAATATCGGCCCTTTCAATGTCTTGTTTAACTTTAGCCATTTCTGATAAAAAATCATCTACTCTTAGAGAATGTGGAGTCGTTGGCCAACTTCTATCTCTTCCGGAAGCTAAAACAACATAATCAAATTCAATTATCCCTTTGTCAAATTCATTAGAGTTTAAATTATACTGTGCTTTGAATTGATCTAAGTAGCATACTTTGCCTTGAATATAATTAAGTTGGAACAAACTGTCTGGGTTATTCTCAAACCATGAATCATCTTGATCGTATTGTGAAATGGAATCGCTGAAAATATTGGAAAATTTGCAATTTGACAATTTATTGAAGGGAATGAATTGAGTATCTGCGAATTCAATGTCAGTTAAACATTTCGGAATACCTAAAATGTTCAATAAACCATTCCTCGGCTCAATCAATGTTATTGAAATTTTTTTCCTTTTAGTTGGGTCTGTCTCATTTAAGCGTTTTGATAAATGCAGTTGTATAGCTCTTAATGTTGACAACCCACTATAAGAACCACCGACAATTAAAATATTTGTTGTCAACGATCTTGGTGTTGAGTGCAAGTTCTTAGTGAAAAACGTAGGTGTTGATAGGTCGTTATATAGTTTGGTTAGATGACTATGTGGCTCTGTCATGGTTAGGTTCAGTCACTGGTTGCGATAATCTAAAAGATCTAATAAGGACAATATTTAATAGAAAAGAAAAATTTTCCTTCTCCATCTAAAAAAAAAACGTTATATGAATTTATATCTAAAAAATCTTTCGCAGGAAAAACAACAAAAAAAAAGGTGAAACAAACTGTGACAAAGGAATTTATCGGAAAAAGCTGTTGACGCCGAATCGGGAAAGGAATGAGATACGAGTTTCATTCATACTTAACAAAGAAAAGGAAAAAGGAAGAAGAAAAAAAAAATTATTTGCCCCGGCACCACCCCACCCGCCCCAGTACCGTACTCCACGACTCAGCTCGACAGAACAATACCAGAGCAAGGACCCGTAAAAGACACCTTTAGCTGCAAAAAAAACTTGAATACAACCAAATAATAATAATAATAATAAAACCTCCAATCCTTTAATTCTCTTGGATATAAATCAGTTGCATGTTGGTTTGAAGATAACAATGTAATTACTCATGGGAGTTTAACCCATGGGTTGAATACTCCCTTTTAAAAAAGCTTAACTATTTAGCAAACCAAATAAACTACAACTTTAAATTTAAAAGAAGGAATTGAAGTCTGGCTAAGGTAACTTAACAACAAACTTACTAGTCGTCATTTTATAAGTTGATACGATTTTGCTAAGTCAATAAGTTTGTTTCTCTTGTCACGAGATCATCATGGAAAAGTCAATACAATATATAAAGTAGTATTTCTCCGGTAAGTAGTGCTGAATAGAAGTATATAACTCACAACAATGAATTTATTGGGTTTTCAACCAAAACAAGGTAATGGTATTTTATTTGATCATGAATATGCTAACAATTGTATCACGATTCTTAAAAATGATTTTGTGAACACCATTGACTATTATGAACAGCTGTTGGTTGAGATGAAATACACAATGAAAACTATAAAGATCTTTTGTAGAATTTTGAAGTACTTGTAATTAGACTTATTAAATTGTGATTATGGACCAATATCGAGCAATTGTATCCTTTTTGCAATAATAACGAAAGACTGGAACGTCTTCTTGACAAACTTAGAAAAAACATAGTAAAGTATTATATGAAAATCCACAAACTTTATGATAATATGAGAGAGCTTTATTCAAAATATATTAATGTTAAACACCAACAATAAGAAAAACAAAAAAGGATTTCTTTTATGTTACTTATGATACAATTCAAGTTTGAGTTTATGCCTATGAATTCAAAACTTGTTATAAGGAATATATGAACTGCTCATTATATATATATATATATATATCGATATGTATTATAGTAGAAACAGAATCAACTTCAAAGACGTACCAAGTATAACAACTCTATCAACGTTTGTTATATCTATTCCGGAAAAATTATTGTCTCCAATAATGCCAATCAGTTATAATTTACAAATTAATAGGGTAATAATGCATGATAAAACCCCAACAGGTGTATATCTTTTAGTGTTGTTTACCAATGGTAAGAAAGCATGGATGTCAATGACTTCAGTAGTACAGTTAAATCCAATAAAAGCAAATGAATATTTACGAAGATACCCAGAATTATATCCTCATCATTTAAAGTATTACAGATAAATTAGATGACACCGATAAGAAACGAATCAGTTCAGGTGAAGAGTTGCTATTTCAATCTGCTGGTTTAGGATACCTTAGTTCAATATGTAAATTTGTGTTGTCTGTGAGTATTGGACTATTTAGAACATAATTGAGTATACAAACTGAACTTCAGCTACGAAATCCAAATCGTATCCGATTCCAACTCTAAAAACATTCCATGATAAATATTACATTTATTCAATCATGTAACTAACTTGTATAAGATCAATCTTTAACTACAAAAAGAATAGTATTTCTGTAAGAGAATAATTCAAAACATTTTTATTCATCTATACGAAATCTGCTAGAGATTAAATCAATATTAAGGAGTCAGTATTTTATATCCACTGGTGATTCCAAAAACTAAACTACGTGAACAATGTAATTTATATTATAAATTAAGCACGCTGTTTGCAACTATTAGGGAACGCAAATTTAATATCTAATTTTTTTTTTTTTTGAATGATTCTTCAAACCCGTGTGATTTTTCATTCCTTTTATAGTATTCTCTAAATGACAAAACAACATAAAGCCTAATGCTTATTTTGATCACTGTCCATTTATTACCCCGCCCCCCTTGTCTATTCTTTAGACAAACACGACCACTGAACCAGCCTGTACTTTACTTTCATCGGATGAAACATTGACTAGAGATTAAAGGAATAACCTAAATTCATCACTGTTTAAAATGAATTGTAAAACCATTGTCGTCATGTAAACCCAAATGATCTCTATCTCAACAGCATACATGAAGCCACTATAATAAAGGATTTCCTTCAGAATCATCTCCAATACCCCCAATAGGTTATTAGATTTAAGTTTATAAATTTATAATTAGTCTCATCCATGAATGATGTATATGTTTCCATACACGTTTAAATAAATGAACATGTCATATGTGTAAATCAACTGTAATATCTGTTTCTTTAATTCGGTTAATATTTCCAACCATGAGTTCAGATGAAGATGGGTTATTAACAGTTGTGAAAATATTGAGACATACAATATCACAATTACATGGACCAATACTTCAAGTACTTCTTGATGATGGTTATACTGATTGGTTTCCTTTTGATGAAGTAATGGAAGCAGTTCCTGATATGGTATTTGAATATATGGCATGTAATCCTACCATGAATCGTTATTATCAATTACATCTCACATGAGTGAATTTATTCCTATAATGATAGTATTCCCTATATGAATGCCCAACCCGGCCCCCATATATGAATGATGATGTATCGATATTCCTAGATTGCGTAGACCAAAATAAATAAGAGACGTATATGTTATTACGTTGGAATGGTCATAAACTATGATTATTGATGATGTTTCTTACCAAACATATATTAATTAATGAATACACGCAGTGATACAGAATATGAAGAAATAAAACACAAAATAAAATGACTATATATTTTTTGATGATATTTTTTGATGATATTTTTTTTTTTTTTAGTTTTTTATAGAAACCTCACTACAAGATCAATGTTCCAGGTATTTGAATAGGAAAGTGACAAATGTTGCTAAAAAGATAAATGCACAGATCATATTTGGACCAAATTTGTCACCATAAGCGGTAACTTTCTTTTCTCGAATCATTAATACTCTCCATAAATACTTGTAAGTAGAATAAGCAATGGTGAAAATAGCAGTGATGAAGAAACCAATAGATGAAGTCAATGCACTCTTTGAACCATAATTCAACAAAGTAGTGGCAACAGCACCCAACAACATACCCATAGATAACCAACTCAAGAAAGTTCTTTCATTAGCAAAGTATACCTTTGGTTCGATTCTAACCGGCACACAAATGGTTTTACCCTTTGGCAATTTATCCTTGAAAGTGGCATTCAAATCCCAGTTAGTACCTGGTTTCACAGTGAAAGTACGGTCATCATTAAAGAAATGCAAAAATCTGCCATACCAATGGTACAAGAAGTTACGAACTGGAGAACTGGAGTGTCTACTTGAGTAGGTATTTGGCAACAACAATGGTGTATTTTCATCCAAGTCATCTTCCAATGGGTTGTAATCATTGGAGAAATGAACACCTGTAGTGTATGATGATCCAGTTAACTCTTCTTCATCCAAGTCATTACCACTTGTCGACAGTCTTTCAATTCTTGCTGGGGTGTTTCTTTGGATACCAATTTCCAGTTGAGTCTTTGGTTTTCTAATGTCAACATCCATTTGAGTGTACCAGAATGGCAACAAGTCAACATGGTCGGTTAACAAAGTGGCACCTCCATGAATAAACTTGGAGAATTTAGGAACAGCTTCAACCAAATGAGAAGCAACCAATTCTCTGATCCACACTGGTGGTTCTTGACCCAATTGAGTTTGTAATTTAACTTCCAAAACAGCATATGGGAATCTGCAGACATCCTTTTCTGGCAATTGCAGGAATGGGTAATCAACACCAATATCCATTCTTCTCCAGTTTCCTTGAGTTCTGTCGTATCCATCAAAATCATCTTCTCTAACCATGGTTAATTCGGTATCTAAAGAAATTCTAACTCTAGCATCACCTGGTAATTGGAAAGCAGTTCTATTATAGAATGAACGCATAACTGGACGATATTTCTCTTTCAAGACTCTGTATTGAACTTCTTTGGCTAGTCTTTCCAAATTGTCAATTTCCTGTGGAGATTTCTTACCTTGTTTTCTAGCCTTTTCAAATACTTGATTGGCAGTCAATTCACCAGATAAAAACAGGTTGACTTGTTTTTCTTTCAAACCAAATCTTGCCTTGACAGACTTTTCACCAGTCCAATCTTCTCTATGGGTTTTTCTTTCAACGAAAATTTGTTCAGTCTTCATACCACCATACCATCTTAATCTAATGGCTTCGGCACCTTCATCTTTTCTCAATCTACCATAATACAAGTCCATATCCTTGTTATCAAAGTAAATAGAAGTAATGGCACTATCTTCAGTTTCAAACTCCTTATCTGGGTTGAAAACCAAAACTGGTAAATGTTTCAAAATGATCAATTTCAATTCAGTAATGTTATCTGGATGAACCCAGTATTTAGTAGTTTGTCTAACAAAATTTTGTTGGGAACCACCAGCAGAAGAATCACCTTGAACTGGATTACCTCTAGTTCTAACCAAATCGTATAATTTTGACAATTTGACAATTAAAGCATCATAATTATCTTTGTAAAATGCCTTGTGGTTCAAACGAGCTTGGAAAATTGGACGAAGGGAATAACCAGTAACTTTATCGTGCTTCTTAATAATCTTATAGAACCCACTGTAATTAAGATTGGCAAATTTGTTCAATTCATGGACATCAGCAATAATATCAGATAATTCATCTTGCAATTCTTGGAAATCTTCTTCCAGAGGTGGGGTAGTAATTGCAGGATCATGGTTTTGATATCTATGTAATGCATCGACAACTTCATAAACATAAGTTTCACTATCCTTAATTCTTCTAGTGACTTCAGTATTTTTCACTTTGGTGAAAGAATAAACTTTATCCAATTCATTTTCCAAGGAATTAAGGAACAGTTCTTCCAAGTCATCATTCCAAGTTCCATCATTGTCATATAAACCTTTTTTCAATTGATGTTTTAAATCATCGTATGCAATATAGTAAAATGAGTAGTTCTTGATCAAGGACTTTCTCAAATGTTCACCAAATTTCATTTCTTATCAGTCAAAGATGGATGCTTTCAATGAGTATTAAGTAATGGAATGTAAGAAATTTTCAAAATTGGAAAGAAAGAAGTATAAAACAATAATGAATATGAAAATTGAAATAAAAAAAAAATGAAAGAAAATTCAAGAATGGGGTGGTTATTGCTTAATGAAAATGAAAATTCGAAAAAGAAAAATTAACTTCTAATTAATTTAATATTAATTTTTGTTGAAGAGGGTTACATTAGGAGAGAGAGTGCGATAATGAAATAAATTTTTATACAAGGCGAGACCCACGTGCCAAGATTCATCACCTATTGTTCGTCTGTGTGCAGATGGTTTTTTTTTTTGTTTTTGTTTGTGTGATTTTTCAATACGAGCACGTGCCTTGAAAACGTGACACGGTCAAGAATAGTATGCAATAAGCAATCCCAAGTCATACAAATGTATATTAATACTTACTAGATTCAATATAATCTTTCAATGATTCATTCATATTAATAAATGATTCTTTTGTTTTGGAAAACACTCCAAAAATGTAGAATAAAAACACTAATATACCAGTGAATTCTTCCGATTGTTCAAACACAGTCTTGTTTTCTTCAAGTCTTTCAAATTTAAACAGATGAGTACCGCCAAATAACCAGGTGCTAACCAATTTACCTCTCCAAGTAAATTCGTTCTCATTGTTCTCTAAAATAACAGGATACATTGTACTTGTATGATTTGTACCTTTTAATTTCAAATCAATTTGTAATTCATCACCTATATTCAAGTTTGGATCGGACTTGTTGGTATATTTCGTAAAACTGGTGAAAAGTGGGTTCCACTTTGGATAATTCTGATATTGTAAAAATACTGATCTTACTGTTTGAGGATCAGCATTAATTATTATATTTGTTTCAATTCTTGTCATCGTTGTCGTGATATACTACCACCAAATGAATAATTGATTAATTCGCTCTCCCTTTTTTTTTGTCCACACTCTTTTTTAAGTTTTCCTATAGTTTCATGTTTGATCGAAGGAATGTCGTCTATTTATATAGTGCTTCACAATTGTTGATTCAAAGTGCTTAGTTTATTTTAATTTCATCAATATTCAATGCGGTTCCAACAATTTATTATCTTGTGGGTGCTGTTAAATCCGTGTAGAAACGGAGATAGCCACTCGTTTATTAATGATAAGCCGTTCCGTATCTATACTTTCCATTGAGTATACTAGCCGTGCCTTTAACGAAGTCTGGTATATCATCAACTATCATCTGACAAATTGACTTAATCAATCCCACAATTACCTGAGTTCAGATTGGATTTGCATTTTTTGCACCATTTTTTTGACGAATTTATTTCAAAATTGGTACATTATTGTTTTGCATTACTTAAAAACTCTACAAAGTGAATCAACTTGCTATAAAAGCAAAATTCATCTTATTAGAATAGCCGCATCTCTGAATTCTTCAACTAACATGGTTAGTTAATACCAATTATTGATGCCGTTCCCTTTGGAACAAGACTTCTTTTTTGTGCGATTTATCATTATGCTGCCTTATTTTTAGATCCCCCACTCCCCTTTTTTTTTTTCTTCGTTTATTTTTTTTTGTACCAATATCCATTAATTAATGAATTTGTTGTTGACAATATTGATTTTATCCAACACTTTAGCCACTCAAGTACCATTCCATAAGGATGATAAGTATTCAATTACAGCATCTGTGAAATTCCCCGAATTTTCCTTATCTTCTCGAACATCTGTATCTTCATTAGGTCTCGACTCTGTTAATCAATCAACAGGGTATTTATCCCACCTTCACCATAATTTCTTTTATTGGTTCTTTGAAAGTAGAAATGATCCAAAAAATGATCCAATTATATTATGGTTAACTGGTGGTCCCCATTGTTCATCATCATATGGATTATTTTTTGAATTGGGTCCTTCATCAATTGGTTTTGATTTAAAGCCAAATTATAATCCTTACTCATGGAACTCCAATGCTTCTGTGATTTTTTTAGATCAACCTACTTATACTGGATTCTCCTATGGTGGCGCTCCAACTCTTACCTCCAATCAAGCAATGTATTTTGTTTACGTTTTCATAGAATTGTTTTTTCAAAAGAACCCACAGTTCTTGAAAAATGAGTTTCATATCGCTGGTGAATCTTATGCTGGACATTATATTCCAAATTTACTGCATGAAATATTGTGTCATGAGGATAGACTGTTTAATATAAGTTCAGTATTAATTGGAAATGGGATAATTGATCCATTGATCCAAATTGGATCCTACAAGAAAATGGCCTGTGGAGAAGCAGGACACCCAGCATTACTCAGTGAAGAAGATTGTCAATATATGGAAGATAAATATATCACTTTTAAAAAATATGATCAGCTATGTTATGATTATGGAGATTTATTATCATGTGTCATTGCAAGACAATTGGGTCAGGAAGTTGGCAAACCATTTTATAAACTAGGTTTGAATCCATATGATATTAGAAAAACATGCATAGCAAACACATCCGATTGTTATTTGGAATCACAACCTATAGATAAATATTTAAATTTGCCTGAAGTCCAAGAAGCAATTGGTGTGGAAAACATAAAATTTGTTATGTGTCATGATGACTATAATCTAGGATTTGAAATCACTGGTGATAATATGCGCCCTCTGCAACAATATCTACGAGAGTTATTGGAAAAGGACATCCCTGTGTTGATATATTCTGGTGATAAAGATTATGTTTGCTCATGGATTGGGTTATTAGAAGTTGTAGATTCATTAGGCTATAAAGATTTTGAACTTCAACCCATGAAGAAATGGATCACGGAAAACGGGGCTGTTGCTGGAGAAATTAAGAAATTAGAGAAATTGACATTTATCAGAGTATATGATGCAGGCCATATGGTTCCATTTGATCAGCCTGAAAATTCATTAGACTTGATCAATAGATGGATAGGAAATAAATTCTAGAAGTATAGATGTCATTATCAACATCTAATATCGATCATCACACGACCTTTGAATTTGCAAACAATAGTTGAATAAACCGTTTCTTGTATGATACCGGCTGTCTTTATCTCATGATTGACCAATTTATCATTGTTGAAATTGAGATAATTTCGATATCGGAGTTTACCAGAAAAAAAAATAAAAATAAAAGGGCTTGTACCTTGCTTCTATTGCCATTACGGACCAAGCATCATGTGACCACAAAAAAAAAAGAATATCATTATTATTAATAATAATAATAATTGGTTTCAAAGTTTCCTTATTTTTTTTTTTGGTCGTAGTTTTTGTTTCCATCCCGCACTAAATACAAAAAAAGAAAAATCAGTACCAATTCACCTGATTGACCTTTCTCTTAATTTAATCTTGCAGCCTTGAATTATCTATTCAACTAGAAGTCATATCTTCCATCACAATGCAGTCGAACTATCAGCATGATTCGAATCTACATATTGAACCACATCACATTGAAAATGGTGTTCCCGTGTTCATGCCAAGTTTAAAAGAATTTGAGAATTTTTATAATTTCAATAAAGCCATTAATAAATATGGCATGAGTTCAGGAATTGTTAAAGTTATCCCTCCAAAAGAATGGTTGGATGAAGTTAGAGGAAAATGTTATAGTCATGAGAATTTGTCACGAATAGTTATAAGAAACCCAATTCTTCAGAATATAAATATGAATCAACCAGGAGTATTTCAGTTTCAAAATATCGAACGAGCAAGAAAATATTCTATATTTCAATGGAAAGACGTGGCAAAGAAATACCAACCACCCAGAAGTAAACTTAAGAAAGAGGAAAAAGTAGATACACATAGAGATGTGCTAGAATTTAGTATAGATACGAGTGAATTTACTGATCAAAGATGCGAGGAATTGGAGAAAACATATTGGAAATCTTTGCCATATTCAGAACCAATGTATGGAGCAGATAGTCTAGGGTCATTATTTGGTGATAATGTTGAGGCATGGAATGTCTCCAAATTACCAAATCTATTAGATTTGATGGATGCACGCCTTCCTGGAGTCAATGAGGCATATTTATATGGAGGATTATGGAAATCTTCATTTGCGTGGCATTTAGAAGATCAAGATTTATACCTGATAAACTATTTACATTTTGGAGCTCCAAAGAAATGGTATCTGATCCCTCAAGCACAACATGAACAATTTTATAACATAATGAAGAGTCATTTTGAAGATGAATGGAAAAATTGTTCAGAATTTTTAAGACACAAGACATTTATGATATCTCCTACTAATTTGGAGAAACTAGGTATTCAAGTAAATCAAATCGTACACAGAGAAGGTGAATTTATCATCACTTATCCCTATGGATATCATGCTGGTTTTAATTTAGGATTTAATTTAGCAGAGTCAGTTAATTTCGCCTTGGATGATTGGTTTGAGTTTGGCAAAAAGACCCAGAAATGTGAATGTATTTCTGATTCTGTAGGTATAGATATTGGTAAATTATGGAAAAAGTTCTATGGTACTGATTACCCATCATCTGAGAACAAACACCACAAGAAGACATCAACAAAGAAGGAAGAACATAGAGTTATTGATGATTCAGACCTGGAGACAGCTATTGAATTGCATGATGAATCAGACGTTGAATCTATCATGTCCGATCATTCAACTGATGTTGCCAAAGTAGCACAACCCAAACGAAACACCCGTAAAAGGAAACTACGTCAAGTCCAAGAAGAAGAAGAAGAAGATGATGATGATGAGGCAGTGAATGAATGTTTCTTGTGCCCAAACAATTTCCAGGATTCCAGTTTTAAATCATCTCCTATGTTTGAGTTATTAAAGACTGATATGGGTCCATTAGAAGTTCATAGATTATGTGCTAATATGTTTCCCCAACAATTGTCATACGATAAGACCAATAATTCGATCATAGGGTTAAATAACCTATCTAAACAACAGATGAACTTGCAATGTTGTGTATGTAAGCAACGTGATGCTGGTGCTTGTTTCCAATGTAACTACAAACGATGTGCTAAATCATTTCATGGAAGTTGTGGATTGAGTGATGGTGTTAAATATATGCTTGATACAGGAGAAGCATATTGTAAGACTCATAACAATTACAAAAAAGAACATGGAATAGTAGAAGGAGTCAATATTGGTTCCTTTGTACAATTTAAGTTCAACAAAGGTGTATTTGCTGGGAAAGTTGTTAATTTGAACGATACTTTTGTTGAGGTTGAAGTCTATCCATTAGCAAAAGACATTATTGAAGTTCCATTAAATGATATATTCAATTCAAATGATTGTTTCCTAAATCAACCAGCTGGTTTTAATTACCTTGGATGAGCTAACAAAAATTTTTTTTTTATTAATGATGGATAATGTTTGTAATATTTGTACTACTACATTTTGTATATGAAGAAATTTTTTTTTTTTTACTTTTGGTGTATCGACGCGTATGGCAAAACAAACAGAAAATACTAAGATTGTGTATGGTAGATTCTTTTAATAATCAACATGCCACCACGAAGAAAGAAGGTTAAAGTTGAAGTAATTGAATCATCATTTGATGAAGAAATATCATCAGAATCACAAGAACTGGAAAATTTTGATCATTGGTCAGTACCAAAAAGTCAAATTCAAACACAATCAATTCAATCATTTCTGTCATTTTCATCATTAGATTTACCAGAACATCCTTATCAACCATCACGTCAGCACCAACAAGTTCAGCAACAACAATGGATAGATAAGTATCGACCGAAAAATGTATCAGATATATGTATCAACCCAACAAAATTAAAACAAGTTAAAGAATCTTTACTTGGAATGATTAATCATACATCGAGATCAAAAATTTTAATACTTTCCGGACCTTCAGGTAGTTCTAAATCAACCACGATAAAACTATTAGCTAATGAATTATTACCACATCAGGATGTATTTGAAGATTCAAAAATTATAGAATATAATGAACTGGAAGATTTTTTAAAATTTCTACAAGAATGTAAATATAAGAAAGAAAGTATTGTATTAATTGAAGAATTACCAAATGTTTATCATCAAGATACGTTGATTAAATTTCGTCAAGGATTGAAAAATTGGATTTATCAGGATATACTAAATCTTCCACCGTTAGTTATTTGTCTTAGTGAACTTGAGTATAATAGTAATGGAGATAATGAAGGTTTTAGAAACAGTTATAGTATTGATAATAATTTAACGGTTGATACTTTATTAAGTAAAGAAATTTCAAAATTGGATCAAGTTGAAAACATCAAATTTAATAAAATCGCCAATAGATTTCTTAAGAAGACAATCAACAAGATAATTAAAGATGAACATTTGATACGAAGTATAGGTACCACCAGATTAAATGAGTTTCTTGACGAGATATTTAAAATTGGGGATATTAGATCAATTATATGTAATTTAGAAATGTGGGTTAAGAATGTCAAATCCAATAGTTCAATTGGATTAGATTCTTATCTTCGAGAAAATTCAATTAATTTATTTCATGCAATTGGTAAGATTATTTATTCCACTTCAACAGTTAATGATCAAAAAGGAAATGACAATATAGATTTAAAATCGATTGAACAAGTATTAAATCAGTATCCCGATAAGAATAAAGATTTATTGAATCTTGGAGTATTAGAAAATTATCACATTTATAACGATTCTCAATATGACATAAGCCTTGCTAGTTGTATTGTTGATGATTTAAGTATAAATGATCTTTTATCTATTGGGAATGTTGGAATTAGATCAGCAAGGGTGAATTTACGAAAAGTACCTAAACAAGGTGTTAACAAAATGAAGATGAAATTTCCAAGGCATTTTAAAATGAATAAAATGATAAAGAAAACAAGCAACCAAATCAATTCATATCGGAAGTACATAAACCCCCGAAATTCGTTCCAAGATTTGAATCTAATCGATGGGTGCTTAATTCCAATAATTTACAACAAAAGAAAAACTCAAGGATTTAGGTATAATCGACTAGGTGGGAAGTTTCAAGAAATTTATGCTGATGAAGATATGCCTTTAAAAGAAGAAGAGGAAGGTGATGGGATAATATATGAGTATGACCAATTTGAAATTGATATTCAGAATAGAATTAATGAAGAACTAGAAATTGACAATTCAGATGATGAATTATCAGATCCTATAGAAGATTCTCAAGATGACAGCAACAACAACGACGATGATGATGATGTATTCCTGAGTGATTCAGAATTAGATTTATTATTAACTCAAGGAAACTACTAAACACACAAACCTATATATATATATATATTCTACTCTTTTGGAGGTTTAACCTTCTAATGCATGCTCAAAGAATTTTTCATCTTCTTCAATATTTTCTTTGATAATGTCTAATCCACCTTGGAATTCCCCATTAATATATAATTGAGGGAAAGTTGGCCAATCACTAAAAGTTTTCAAACCTTGTCTTACAGAATCATCTTTCAAAATATCAAAAAATCCAAATCTAACTTGATGTTCTCTTAAAATGGCAACTAATTGTCTTGAGAAACCACATTGTGGTGAACTTGGAGAACCTTTCATAAATAACATAATTGGAGCAGCTTTAGTTAATTTATCCAATCTTTCATTTAATGCTTCTTCAGATTCCTCTACTGGTGCACTGGAGTTTTCTTCTTTTTTGGATTCATTATTTGCTTGAGTAGTAGTATTAGCAGCAACAGAACCAGAATTTGTTGAACTGTTATTATTACTATTATTATTAGATGAATTTGAAAATTGTTCTAATGCTTGAATAAATTCTTTTGGATCAGCACCAGATAATTCTTTCAAAATAGTTTGATTTCTAATCAAGATAAAATATGGAACAGCATTAACTTCAAAAATTTCACTAATTTCCAGTAATTCATCAGCATTTATACTTAAGAATAAAATATCAGAATTTGAATTATTTGAATCAGCAATAGTTTTGAAAACTTGATTCATAGATTTACATGGTCCTGCCCATGGTGTATGGAAATAAAGTACAATTAATTTGGTTACTTCAGATTTAGTAAGATCGGTGAATTGTTGTTCTGATTCAATTTCAATTACTCCCATGGTTTAACTTTTGGTAGGCTTGTTGATACTTGAGTTTGAAGTCGGGCCAATAGTGATATGGTTGATAGCTTTTACATTTTTTTTTTTTGGTTAATTTTCTCCTTCGCTTTGGTTGTGGCCACAACAAAAAAAAGAAAAAAAAAATTTCTCTATTACTACAAAGCACGTGGGTGCATACACGTGATAAGTTGCAAAAAAATTAATTATTCTAAAAAACAAACATTACTCTATGAATCATTAAATATTAAACATGAAAAAGAAAAATATATGCAAACTTCTATACAACTCGATTAACTGATGCCACATAAGTTGGATGGTCATCAGCAGATAACGAGGAATTGTCCATTCCTTGATTTCTTAAGTCTTTTTCCCATTGACTTTCTTCATTAAGATTTTGATATCTTGGGTAGATATGAGGATGTTTAAATCTGTATTTTCTAATTGCACTTGGAATTAAATCAATTGACCACATGACTAATAATAAACCATACCAAAAGGAAATCAACCATTCGAATACGGCTGATTTTGAATCTTCATCTTGATGCATATAAGTACCAAAACAAATCGCAAATGCTACTGCAGCACATAACCAAATCAATTTCAAAACAAAAGAAATGAAATAAAGGTTTGAAGTCTTACTTTTACCAAAGATGACTTGATCATGGACTGGATCTAATTTTTTAGGATTTAAACCAAAAATACATGAAATGGTGAAATTACAAACACAAGCAAAGAAACAAAAGGCAATGAAAATCCCAACCATTGAAATATGAACACTATGGAAATTTTTAGTATTAAAAATAGCCACGAATAAAATACCCAATTGTCCACAAATTGCACATATAATACTAGCAATTGCTAATCTTGGTTGATGCTTTGAAACATAAGGTTGAATTTTCTCAGCTTTACGTAAATATAATTCCATTACTAAAGTACCAACAAAGAAAATTGCTTGAAATCCAGTACATGAAATAAACAAAGGTTGAAGATTAGTTGCTCCAATATCTGAAATATATACAGGATTTTGGTGTGCACCATTCATGAATGAATAAATAGGTCGACCTTGAGCACCCCAACATGCTAACATTGCAATTAACATCCCCCACCATACTATAAGGGCTATTATTGGAATAAGATAATAATGTATTACTTGGAATCTAATGACCGGTTTTGAACGAGCCATGGTCTATATATTAATCAAATTTGAATACTAAAAAGGGAACAAGAAGGAAGACCAAAATTTTTTTTTCTAGTTTCCTTTTTTGTTCCAGCTTTTTATTGAAAGAAATTTTTAGGGTTTAAATGAGATTCAAAAAAAAAAAGAAAAGGAAAAAATTTATGCTGCAAGTTCGTGTGTGCCGAGATGTTTAGCAAATCACAGATAAGTTATCCACGATGAAATAGCAATAAAGTTGAAAGTTTGTTTTAAATCAGAAAAAAAAAAGGTCACAAGATTGCTGATTATAGGAATCACCAGCCTTGTTATGATACAGAGTTATGTCACTTTTAGTCTGATTAGAGCCTTGTCCGTTTGGATTAGACGGTCCGTGGTATTTAAATAACTCGCTCGAGACTTTGTCGAAGAAATCATATCGAAACAGGTGATAACTCCGACGACTTCAAGATTAATTGCGGGTATTCTTTAATGGAATAACCGGATTAAATGAAATTTCTTTTTTGTTTTTTTGTTGCTTGCTTGCTGAGTAATAAATTTTTTTTTAGGTTCGGTCACACGACACTTGTCACAAGGCAAAAGCTACACTAAAATTAAGAATGAGATTATTACTAACTATTTGATAGTTCAACAGGAATGAGGCTATGGTGGGATACACACACACACACGCAGAGTATGTTCTTTTGATTATTTTTCTTTTTGTCTTGGTTGTTTGACATTACTTTGATTCGCTGTTTAACAAAGAATAATTTCAGCCCAAGAAAATCAAGAGGCTATGTGGTTGATCAAGTAGCCTTGTTTTAAACAGTTATGAAACACAAGAACACGAATTATTTATGTTGAAAAGTTCTTTCGTCTCTATGATTGCTCTTCTTAAAGTTGTTTATTTATTGATTTACCCCACGAATATGCTCATCAAGGATTGGCAGTGACGTACGCATTGTACAACGGTATTTGAACAATAAATACAAAAAGAGTTGTCATTTTCCTATTGTTTCCTCTATAATTGTCTGTAAGCCAAAGAACCTTTGTCCTTTCAATCGGTTCGGAATGAAGTTTTTTTTAAAAAAAAAACTTGTATTGAATTAGCAATATTAGTAAAGAAAACATTGAAAGATGTTGCATACGTATAGAAATGTAATGATTGCAATGTTTGACCTGAACCAATCTCGACACGTGGTATATTACCACGTGACAGAAAAATAAATTGTTGCAAAAAATTACAAGTCAAAGTTTGTCATGCTGTAGTATTATAGTTGGTATCTCATGTAGAATACTTAGTTATGCCTAGCCCCATTATTGTACTTTGGTATGGCATATCTTGATAATGACTGAATATATAAATTCGCCTAGTTCTACTTCAATTTGATTACTCTTGGTTTTCTTTTTATATCAACTACTACACGATACTCGTCCAATGTTATCACATATATCCAAATGTTGCTAATTGATGAAAATTATATTTCTTAGTGGTGACTTTATGATATTTCCAGTTCATGAAAAGTTCAGATCATTTCACTAGGGTGTTATAGTATTTGGATCAAGAGTTGGAAGTATCGTGAAGTTAGAGAAAAAGAGTAGATGGAACATAACTTTCTGATGTTGGTAACATTGTAAGTATAACAACTTCCAATACTAGATGTCAATCTTCTGATCTCACACCTGGAAAAAAATAGCTAATAGTTGTCATTATCCAAACAACATCATGGTAAAATTTGGTTACTGTCAGTGCGTAGAGCTTGTTTACTTTATCAAAATCCTCAACCAGGTTGTCAATAAACTATCAACCTAATTTCATCAAAACCCAACATATTTTTTTTTTTCAATATCTCCCCCTTTTAGACATTTGACACATAATAATTGTGCTGAAAGGTTAATAATTTCATCATTATCATCAAAAAAAAAATTTACGAACTTCTCAAAATTTGATCCACGTGATTGAAAACAACGGAGATATTTCTCCTAATTGAAAGAAATTTACGAACTTTCTTTTCATTCATGTTGTTTTCTTCCTTTCAAATGAATTCAGAAAACATTTCTAACCTTATTGATGAAATGATACATGAAATTGATTTCCCTCTTTTAATTGAAGATAAAAGAAAAAGAAATTATCAAATTTACAATAAGAAAAGAAACATGATTTGAGTTTGTCTTTTTTTTCCCTTCTTCTATAGTTTGAGAAGAATAGAATAATGTGTTGTTAATGAAAATAGATAAATGATCGTTTGGTATGTATTATGTAAAGATGGTAGTTTGTTATTACATGAAACTTCGTTATTTTATAAGGGGTATACAAAGTCAGGTTACCATTAGCAACAAAAGAAAGAATTAATGAAGTACTATTAGATAATTTATAGCCAGCCATTTAACACCTGTAACAAGGAGAAAGAATCGTACATTTCACATGATTCATGCCTTTCAATAGGTAGAAATATCGTTTTCTTACACATTAATGTAGTTTTATTTTAAATTATTATTAATAATTCGTTAGTGAAAACTCGTGAGCACGCCTTGTATTCAAATGTTTAATCCCGTTTATCGTTATTCCACCTCACCTCACTTTACCTCTCGTCACACGAGACAATGTTACGACATAAATTAGTACCAAAATACAAATACAAAAAAAAAAGTTGCAAATTCTAATTTACTAATTGGTAACAATTTATTATTGTAGTTGTCTAAATTCCACTTGAATATACATTTCAATCATTTAATTACATAACCAAGTAATTTAGTATAAACTGTTTTGGTTGTTGCTGTTGTCGTGTTATCACAAAATCAAAAGTTGGTCGTGTACAAATCAAGAACGAGAGTAAGACAATTGGTAGTTTCGTAACCATTACCTCTTTCTTTTTTTTTTACATATTTTTATTTAAATAACAATAAGATTTTTTAAGATTTTCCACATTTTTGTTGTAATAAACAATGAAAGGATTTTTCTTTATATTTGATTTCCTATTGCAATGATGATGGGGGGGGGGGAATTATGCTTGTTGATGTAAGCCAAAAGAAAAAAGAATGTTACGAACTATATACAAAAAACAGGGCATCAGAATAATAAATGATTGAGGTCATCAGTATGAGATGCGGGAATTAAATGTGTTTAAATCCGTAGACACTACTAGATTATAACCATTAGTTAGGGTATAAGCCTAGACTTTTCATTATCAATTGTCTGATCTTGTTACGAATGAACGAGAGAGAGAGAGAGAGAGAGAACAAACCTCGGAAGTGAGTTATTATTTATTAGTCGTGACTGACGGAGGGCCGGTAGATGGTTTACTATTTGCTGTATTCCGATTGGATTTTTTCAGTTAGTCCATTATTTCTGTTAAAAATATGAATTGCGTAAATGGTCTTTCTTTTCTAACAAGAATAATAAAGGGGGCAAAAACAGAACAGAATGGAAATACAACAACAAAAGAAAGGGCGGATAAAATAAACAATCAACAATCACAGAAGAAGAAGAAGAATAAAGAGAAGTCTTTAGAGAATTGTATTCAAAAATCGCTATGCATAGTGTAATAAAAAATTGCTATAACCGTCACTCCATGAAAAAACTTATCCGAATCTTTTGTAACTTTTTGTAAGAAAACATCCGTAAGAAAAACTAAGGCTTTGAAATGTGCTTTTTTTTATTTTTATTTGTTTTTGGTTAAAATAAATTTTTAGTTAATTTCATGATCTTCTTTTCTCTTTCTGTTTCTGCATTGGGTTTTTTTTTTAGCTTCTTCTTCGTCTTTTCTTACACAATTATGAGAGAAAATTTTTTTAAAAAGAAATGTCTTAGATATCTTTGGCTATTGTTTCTTGATTGATGATTTCTGTCTTTACATTTTGCTATAGCACCCCCGCCCCTTATATTTAGTGGATAGTCTTTTTTTTTTTTTTGGGAAGATTTGGTTTTTGCAGATACTAACAACTGTACAAAGAATGTGTATTGAACTGGATCACAACCAATAGATGAATTTGTCAGACAAATTTTCCTGGTTAATTGGATGTTTAAACGTAGTGAAATTGGGTTATTTCTCGTACTTTGTTAGTTTATATGATCCAATTCATAGTTTCTCTTTGTTATTTTCTGCATTGGACTTGATGATATTCAATAATTACCAAAGAGTGAATAATAATATTAATCTATCTTGCATAGTAAGAAAGTAATTTGAGGTTTTTTTTTTTTTAGATTTTGCAGTTGTTTTTAATTTGGTTATTCTTTAAGATGTCGCAGATTTTCATTATTACGTTACATTTATTTTTACATAATGTTTATTGGTAAAAGATTGACATGACAATCTGTTTCATGAAATATCCCAAATAACCTAATGAGTCTAATTGATGCAAAATATTCAGAAATCTAACGAGGGATATTTGATTTTTTTTTTAAACATTTCGTCTGATTTACCAACAAGACAATCCATGAACAAACACACACAGCTGGTAAGAATGGGGTGTTCGTCATTTGTACTCATTTGATATTCATATTATGATTTACACAATAGAATAAACAAGTTAATAACAAAAAGCTGTAACGATCCTACAACAGCAATGTGCTATAATATGGAATAAAAAAAAGAAACTTAATGGTTGTTGTTCTTGTCAAGTGTGTGTGTGTATGATTCTTTCGTAACAGTACTCAGTGCGTTCTCTTATATGTAGCCCCGCCCCCAATCACACACACACACCTATATATCGACACACACATTATTCGGATATATGAGGTAATGAATGATTAGATAAAACAAGACGATTTTGAAATGTTAACATTTCTATTCAAAAGCCTGGACTCTTTATGAAACAAACAAATAAATAAAAAAAAAAAAGTAACAAAATTAAACAAAAAAAAAAGGAGAAAATGTACAATAAAAGAAGAAACAGAAATTTTTAGCAATTTAATGTTTAATGGAGTAAATATTGAATAAAAATTAAAACAGGAATAGAAACAGAAAGTGAAATGAAATGAAATTAAACAAGCAATTTGAAAAGATTGAATTGAAAAAAAAAATACCAACCAAAAAAAAAATAGTCCTGTATGTAAGCTCATGTATAAAAATGCATAAAGAAAAGAAAATTAAGTGGAAGTTTGGTTTTGTAATGTTTAATTTTCTATGTACAAATGTATAACGTGTATGTAAAGTGAATTAAAACTCAAAAATATGGCAAAAATGGTAAAAATGGGTAATAAAATTTTATTAAAGAAACAAGAAATTTAAATTTAGTTAAAACTTTTTAATGAATGGATATGATGGATGAAGAGAGAGAGAGAAGGGTAATACAAAGAAATATTACATTTGCATTAAATTATAGTGTTAATCATCAGATTCAATTCAATATCCACATTCTACAACAACTGGTAGCTGGTGTTGATATCTTGGGTTTAATCGTTTGTACAACAATACCATGACAAAAGTACACGACTAAAAATAAGGAATGCGACATTATTTTATTTTTCATTTATTTAATTTAATTGCGTAACGCATTAAAGTAAGTTATTATTTTTTTTTTTCTTTTGTAAAGTAAGAGATCATCGGGATTATTATGAATTATCTCATAGCGTAATGAATGAAAGGACTCAGATAATTCATAACTAATTACAGAAAGCGGGAAGCCGATTACATTATTTTTTTACCAAGAAAATGATCAACAGTAGAGTAAAATATGAATAAGACAGCGGAAAGACAGAAGAAAATTATGTAACTAATGTTAAGTTAACCATCACTTTTAAAAGAAAAAAATAATAGAGTCATGTGTAAGTAAGGTCAAATTGTTTGAACAACCTAGTTGTGAAACATGGGCGATGTAAGTACCTACGGAATATGAAAATCCTATCACTCTTTCACATTGCCTCTGCCGCTGCCTCTGCCTCTCTGATGATTGCCTAGTATTGTGTAGGCAAACGTGGGATTTCATTTTGAATAGTTCACACATCGATGTTAATTTATAATCAATACGATGAAAAGCAGAGATTGTACTCTATTTCAGATTTTATAGGTCATGAGTTAATGAATCAATAAAAGTTGAGTAACAAAGGAGATAAAAGGAGTTAAATACGGGAGCGTGACTAAGTTACACGACTTGTCTTTATACCGAATCTAGTATTGCTATTTTTTTTTTTTTGCAATAAATGTTGGACACTCATACACACTATACTCTGTGTGTATTGTTACTATTCTATAGTGCATTAGTAAGTTAAAAAGAAAAATGAATTTAAAAATTTTGTGTAGTGTAGAAAATAAAAATGAACAAAGAATAGGAACAACAAACGAAGCAAAAATTGAGAGAGATTTCTGATTCAATTAGATGAAATGAAATGAAACGACATCTGTGGGATTGGGTTGTGTCGTAGTGATTTCTTTTTTGAAATTTCAATTCTTTTTAAGTTGTTGTGTTAGGTAACATAGAGGAAATGGAAATAAGGGAAATTAATGTACAGATCATACACAATATGATATCTAATTAACTTGAGTACAAGTAAAAATTCAAAAAAAAAAAAAAAAGAAAATTATGTATCATGCAATGACGATGGGTAATGAACCAAAAATAAATTTAGTTGTATCACAAAATAATAATAATCACCGACGACGACAACAACAACAACAACACGAACAAGAATGTGTGAATTTGTCAATGTCGTCGCAAGTGTTCTTGTTAAAACCAGTGAAATATCACAATACTCATTTGAATCATCTATTAATTATACTAAATGTAATGTAATGTACAGTAAAGTAAAGTAAACTATCCAATCCATGTATTTGATTGGTAGAACCAAAAACCTAGATTCACTGATACATACTCCTTATGTTTAATCCCTCTTCCTTCAGTATCCTTCTCTCTCTCTCTCTCTCTCCCTTTTATTAATCCCACCCTTCTAGTAATACCACTTCGTATACAGTTTGACTCATACGTTTTTTTTTCTCCTTTTCGTTTAAACCCGTTACTCCATTCATTCAATTCAAAACTAATGGGTTTGTTAACAATAATGGGTGGTAGTGCACGCGGCACAACACTGAAGAGAGAGCGAGCGAGGGGGGGCGCACAGTGTATTGTTCAGGCTTATATTATTATTGTCCTGATTGTATTGTTAATGAAAAAAAAAAAGAAAGAAAAAAAAAATTGATACATAGTCGTGCAGATGGCAACAAATAATTTATTGTGTTCAAATACACGACCCTAGAAAAAAGAAATTTTCTTGCAACTTTAATGTAAAAAATTACCCACCATGCATTTCCCTTTTTCTCTTCAGAATTTAAGCAAATCAACACAAAATATTATGTTTGTGTAATTAATTTATTTTTAACAGCCAAATTTTTTTTTTTTTTTTAGTTTTTAATTTTTACGTATACACACAGGTCAAATATAAATATATATATCGACACATATCTATACAGATGAAATGGTTAATTGAATTATATATAAATTAATCTAAATTTCTCATCCATCAAAAAAGCATATATATATATATATATATATAAGATCATCATCTACGATCTATCTTCATTCTCATCTACAACTACTATTAATAATAATAATCAACTAACCATGATTAACAATCAAGTAAACTCATCCAACTATATTAAATACGCTTGGATAATAATATCAAAGAATGATCCTTCATCTCAGAGTATATCATTTGAAAAATTTAGTTATAAATATTCAAAGTTCATTAGAAATTTGATTATAAATTCTCAACTTACTTCCAGCAATTTAATTATTAGTTTATATTACTTGTACAAACACTACCATCAGAACACAGTATTGAATCATTCCATAAATAATCATGATAATAATGAAATAAATTCCGTAATTGTTTACAATATCATTATTTCCTTGGTTCTTTGTAATAAATGTTTAGATGATCAATCATATACTTTAAAAACTTGGTTGATTATCATTAACAACAGTTTATCTAATAAGAAATTGATCAATATTGATTTGAAATTGTTGAATTATTTGGAAGGTTTCTTTTTATCTTCCTTAAATTATGAATTGGGTTTCAAGAGTATGAATCAAGCTCACGAATTTTGGGAAATCTTTGATGTACAAAAGAAATTGTCACAACCTCAACAATTACAATCACAATCACCACATCAATATATTCCACAACTTCAATCAAA